CCCCCCGCCCCCCCCGGGCAAAATTATAGTCCTACGTCGAGGGCGCGCAACCTGAGGATTGCTTGCTTGTTTTCTGCTGATGCTGTCTATTTGATGATTCTCGTAATCGCGTGAGAGCCGTGGGCTGTTGAGAGCCTGGGCATCCATGACTATTTTTTTTGGTTCTGTAATGAAATTTGTTGCTCATAGCATCAAGCTTGCGCATTAAGCTGAGCAGCCACCTCTGCGGGCCGCTCAGGGCTCAGTTCCTCCTCCAGGACTGTCGTCGTCGTTGACGAGGACGACGTTGCATCCTCCTTGGTGAGCCCCTTTCGAATAGCGAGAACGCTGTCGACGATCACCGCATCTATGCCCTCCTTGACTTGGCGCTGCGGTTTTATCGGTCAGCCTTATCCATCGCCATCACGAGTGCCTTACAGGGCTGTCTTACCTCGACCAACTCGGGATCGTTGTTCTGGACCCCGTAACTGACGCAAACCAACCCGTTCTGCTTCACCACCCGCACAAGGCGGGGGCTGTTGACAAATGGTTCAGAGAGGCTGACAATGCCCAAAAGATTCCACCGGCTGGCGAAACGAATCGCTTCTTGTAGACTGCTCGCGCGGATATCCCCAACTTCCTCGTTCCCAGCATCTGTCAGGAACATGATTGGGTAGTTGGGCTGCTTGAACGAGAGGCAGAGGCAGATGTCAGGGTTGAACGACGAGAATATGATGTTTCGGTTGCCAGCCAGGTCGTACACTTTGGATAGAACAGTGTCGCAGAATGAGTTGAGCTCGACCGCGTACGTATCCATCTCGTGCTCCTCGCTCTCGTGGAGCATGGGATACTTCATTTCTATGTTAAAGCCGACGGTCCCAGGTAGCTGCTTGAAGAGATCCTCCAGCGTCGCAAACGGGGCCTGGATGAAGTTGCCTCGCGAGTTAGCCTTGAACCCCTTTTCCTTGAAGTCTCGTGTGTGCTTCATTCGCTCGTCCAAAGACGTCCTGTCGTGAACATTGAAGCTCGAAGACAACGAACGGTAGCGCCCGTTGGAATCCAGGCTATGCTTGCGGACCGGCGGCCTCATGACGCCTGTTGAGTGTGAATGCCTGGTGGAATCAGGGTTGATGTGCAGAAATTGCTCCAGGGTCAGGGTGTGTACGGGTGCATCGAATCCAGTCTCGCTGACGAGGAAATCATGGTAGATGACTGGTATGTGGTCTTTGGTGAGCTGGACATCAAACTCGACATAGTTGGCACCCAGGTTGGCAGCCGCGATAAAGGATGGCACGGTGTTCTCGCCAAGCTGCAGGGACCTGTTAGACGTCAGGTTCTTGCCCAATCCACGATGGCCGATGACCATTGTCGAAGACATCTTCCTCCAGTACGTCTGCTCCGATGTGACTCCCATGTTGGGGTGCGCGAAGGGAGTGACGACCAAAAAGTTGAAGTTCACAGTGCCGATGATGTCCAGGTTCGCCGAGAGAATAGGCACGCAGACGTCTCCCTGCAAGTTCATCCTCTTGGTGCCAATCGTGGGGCGAATGTGGGAGAGGAGGGCTGCGCCTCTGCCGACCTTGTTCTTCTCGTTACCAGAATAGGTGGGAACAATATCGAAAAAGAGCTTCACTCTGGCTGCATCGCGAGTCGTAAAGACGACTGGGTCGGTAGACACGTTCTCCTGCACCGGGAGATCAATAATCGTCGGCTCGCCTTGCGCCCCGTCCGCAGAGACGACAACAGAAAGTGCAGTATCCAGCTGGGTTGTGTGCGCTTCTGTCATCGGGATTCTATCCAGCTTGACAGCTTCGATGTTCTTCCGCATGTCCATTGATCCGAGACTGACGAGGACCAGTGTTTCGTCCTTGAGGTAACGATGACCGTACGTCCTCACAGGGTCTGCAGGTCTCGAAACCAGGTTCTTTGATCGACGGTCTCCAAGAGAAGAGACCTCGGGTGGTGACGCCCCCGCAGTAGGGGGCGTTGCAGCAGCGGAAGGCTTGGTCGTGGTCTCTCCCGAGGGTAAGGCGTCAAGTAGCATCCGAGCAATGGGGAGGTGACCCCTGAGCGCTGCGTGCTCCTTGGCTGTCCATCCAGAGGAATCGATCTTGCCAACATCTGCTCCAGCTTCAACCAAGAGCTGGGCGACCGTATAATGGCCGTCGACAGCAGCAATGTGCAGTGGGGTCCAGGCAAAGGTCTTTTCGGCCAGTTCCAGGTCGGCTTTCTGGCTCTCCGTCCCGGCAAGAAGGATCTTGGCACACTCATTGTGGCCAAAACGCGCCGCAACATGCAGAGCCGTCTCCCCAGCTTGGTCCTGCCAATTGATATCGACTCCTGCGTCGACCAGCATCTGTACGATGTTGTGGAAATTGTGCTTGGTCGCGATGGCGAGAACTGCACTGGACTTAGAAATGTTTCTCCGGACCTCGGTTTTGTGATCATTGACACCTTGCCAATCCTCCCCAAGAAGAAGGGCTTTGGTCGTCTTGGGGTGACCGCCGAGAACGCTCAGATGTAATGGCGCATTTCCCTCCTTGTCTTGCCACTCTGGGGCATCTATCCCATTTTCCACGTCGAACTGCCCCCATGCCTGCATCTTGGCCATGATAATCTGGCATACAACCACGAACCCGAACTGGGCAGCGTAGTGAAGAGGAAGACGGCCAAAAGAATCTCGGGCGCTTAGGCCCTGCCTCTGCTCTGGGCGAAGCTTATCCAGCAGATAGGTCAGAATCTGAACAGGCTCATGATTGGCATCGACACTCCCAGACTCCTTGATATGGGACGAGCGAGGCACAGCAAGTGGTGAGGCCGCAGGGGTCAGATACTGCGCTGCATAGTGGTTGGCTTGTGGGAAAGCCTCGGAATCCGGTTCCTGGTCAGTGGACGGGGTGGACTTGCTGCGTCCAATGTGGATTACCAGACGGTGGATGCAATTCCTCTCGTTGATGTCGTCGGGTTCGTCGAGCGAATGGATGAGACCCAAAAGAAAGTCGATAGCCTTCCTAGACCTTGCGGAAATGGAACGCTGGAGCAAGTTCAACAGCAAGGTCTGTGTCAAGAAGTCAGAGGCATCCAAATTTCCCTCCTTCAGGCCAGCATCGAGGGCTTGGACATCATCGGTCCGGATGGCCTGATCGAGCTTATCAAGGAGAGCTGCCGGTAGACTGAGCATGGCTTTCGCCGATGCTCGACCCAGAGAGCGCGCAGACCGGTCAGACTTGGAATCATCGATCTGGTTGGACTCGCTCAAGGCGCTCAGCCACTTGTTGACCTCGGACACGAGACGTGAGACAACACTATCCTTGGCGAAAGGTCTGGGATCGACCTTGGTGGCAATGTATCGATGCTGTGTGGAGGTGTTGGGCACCTTCTTGTCCAATTTCTTGGTGATTTTGACAAAACCACGGCGGTTGATCTCGCCGAACCATGCGAGTTTCCTCAGCTGACTGCGCAGCTCGAGCAGGGCTCCCATGAGCTCCTCAATCTCATCCTGGTCCAGATCCGAGACGGCGTCCGGAGCACGGCCATACCGATCCTGGAGAAGCCGGAGCCGGCGGTAGGTCTCCCCAAACTTCTTGTTATAGAAAGAGTCGACATCTTCGAGGTTGCGATCCAGGGCAAAGAAGAATTCTGTGGTTGTGGTTAGGTGATGGCCTTAGGCCTCGCGCGCATCCGACAAAGAAGTCCCACCTGCTAGGTCCACCTTCTCTCCGCTATTCGCTGTCTGTACTGCCGCCTTGATCAACTTCTTCAGCCCCTTATAGTTGATGTAAGATGAGGCCCACTCGGGGACCTGATTGCGAGGGAGACTGTGGCCTGCATCAGCTTGGTCCTGGGGGTGGCGCATATCAAGGATGTCCATACTTTCTGCCGAACTTCATAATGGCAAAATGGCAGCAGGCTCTCGAATGTTATTGTGTAGTATAGTTGTTGAGTGGGCGAGAGTCTCTGATTGCTCTCGGAAGGCGGCAGCCAAGACAAGGAAGAAAACGATCAAGGACTTTGCTGGATGGCCTGCATCTTGAGTGTGAGATGAGTCTGGTGATTGGACAGAGAGGCAAACAACAAAGACCTCGAGTGGGTGGTCCTACGGCGCGGAGAGTGAACTGCTGGTTTGATGCGCGGCCGTCGGATGGGAATCGTCTTTGTGCTCTTCAAGAGAATGCAGTCGATTCTTTGAAGGCGGGACAGAGTATGGAGATCATGGCCATTTGGAGAGGGAGAGGACGTGAGAAGGATGGGGTAAGAAGGATGCGCAGCAATGGAACGTTTCCGGTTCAGCTTTGGCGTCCCAGGAGAGCCAAGGGGAGGTGAAATGCCTTCACACACGCAAGTGCCATGTAATCTGTCGCGGGAGAGGAGACAATTGGGGGGGAAGCAGCAGTAAAGAGCAGAAGGAGGTAGATATGACGGCCGAGGCTGGTCCTGTCAGTTTTGGTTTTGAAGCCAATTCCAGCGAATGAAATCATATGTGGGGTGCTTGCATCAGCTAGTGCAACCAGTAACACCCACATCAATGTGTTCTTGTCCTCTACTTGTACAAGCATCCGTCTAGGATAGTAATTCTTACCCCTTGGTACCTTACCTCCTTTACGAGTCCGAAGTGCATTCATGTGAGTACTTAGCATAAAGGTTCCCTAGTCACATCCTGAGGGAGTACCTGGAGTACCCTGCTCACAAGCAGAGATCCTCTCTTTCTGAGGTTGTGATTTCTTGGAGATACGTTGCCGCTGTATCCATCGATGTCGAGTCCTGGTTCATGTAACTCAGTAGTGTTGCAGTGGGTCGCATCCCGCCGACCCTGGCCGAGCGAGCCAGTCAGAGCCAGTCACAGCGCCTTGCAGCAGGCGTGGATGCGCGGTCAGCCCCTACTGGACCAATCCATACAGCCCCCCACCACCTGAGCGCTTGACCCGGAATAGCCGTGAACCCTTGGAGCTAATCAGGTACAGACAGCTACTGTACCGAAGGAGGTAACTTAGGTAGGTATTAGATGGAAGCGAGCCGTCCGTCTGGTCTTCATACCTGACTTTGGAAGAAGCAACTTCTAAAATTCTCAATTCAACCCCTGGCGTGCCTCAATTCCTCCCTTGAAGAATCACATTGACCAAGGCATGCATCCTGCAAGCCCCTCCCACAATTCCTTGGTTCTTGGTGCATCCTCTCTCACACCGCTCACTGCCCTCCTCAGCCATGTTCCCGACTTACTCCACTGCTTCGCTCGCGGCTCCGTACTAGCTCCGGTCCTCGGCCTGGCCATGCGCGTGTGACCACAGAGCATGACCATCAAACGAGACCCTTCACGCATTAGTCAGGAACCACAGACATGGGCATGTGTACAGCTGGTCAAGTGATGCCGTTTCTCGGACATGTAATTACTCTGTAGTTATGTGATGTGAACCCTTGGCCCGGGCCTAGGCCATTCAGGGTACTGCCGTAGCTAGCTCTATATGTCTCTAAATGTATATGCAGGCACCAAAGCTTTGCCCCCCCACTCCCGATGATATCCTACCCATTCATCTGAGGTGTAATTGCTTGCCCAAAAATACCAAACGGCTGGGTTGATGAATAGCCTTGGCGTGGGCTCGACATTGCTACTCCTTCTTCAACGAACTGGGTCTTCGACCGAGTTTGAGCATTCAGATGTTCTGCCCGGGCATCGAGAATGATCTCGAGCGGGATCTCAACGAGAGGCCCGTAAATACGACGGATGCGCTCCCGTACATCTTGAGAGAGGATTCGGGAAACCTCCCAATTCACGCTCTGCGCAAGCTTCTCCCCGACAGACAAGGCGCTGACCACAAGCCTCTGGAACTGTTGCTCTTGCAGCATGCCAAGAAGAGCTTGCTGGGCGGGTAGCAGGGATCCGTTTGTGAGGAGTGGTCGCAATCCTCTCTCATCAGGCCTCGTCAAGGTTCGGATGAAGTCAAAGGCTAGGTTCGCGAGGGCTCTCTCGCTTGCTCCGATCTTGCAGATCAGGTGGTGGAAAGTGGCCATGCGTATATAGTGGCGCCGCTCACGTTCGTTCTGTAGCTGGGCTCCGCGCCAGACAAGAAGTCGTCCAATCATATCGGTTGCCATTGAGTCGGAAGCCTTGCCCCTGCCTAGTTTATGTCCAAACTGTGCCAAGAAAATGTCCAGCACCCGGCAGTGCTCCCGTGCGTTTGCAAGAAACAGGGCATTGGCCAAGGTCTGACGACGCTGAGCTGAAATTGGCCAGATCTCTCCAGGTAGACCTATGCGACGGAGCTCTAGGACACGCTCAAGTGCTCTGCATAGCCTTTTGGTGTGTGAAAGTTTGGATGTTGATGTGTCGTCGTGTAGCAGCAATGCCTGAAGCTCGACCGGTTTCCCAGTCAAGGCCCTGATGAGAACGTCGGCACCTTCCCTATCATAGTTGGCCGAGATCCTATTGGCAAGCTGCAGGACGAGGTGTGAGCTGAGGGAATGGCTCTCGGCCAAGCACGCAGCATAAACCAGGGCGGCATCCTTGGACTGGTTGAAAAACAGCAGCCCACGAATCATGGCTTCATATACACCCTGGTTTCTTCTGGCACGTTCCATCACTATGCCGTTTCTGAAGCTGACATCCGAGGTGAGCGCCCAGGTGCGAAGAGCAGAAGAAGACTGTACATCCTTGAGCGACTTCCTCCTGATCCGCGGGCCGTGCGTATCCAGGGCCATCAAGTTGCGAATCATGCGATAAAAGCCACGCATGTCTTCTTTGACTTGGTAGTGATGAAGCAGACAGATATGCGTCTGCTGGGTGGGTCGTAAGAGGGTGTGGTGGTGAAGGGCATCGGCCACGATCTGGGCATAGGCCGGCTCTTTGACTCTCAGGAAGCCGAGAAGTAAGTTGTTGTAGTTGTGAATGCTTAGAGGAACAGACGACACGAGCAGATTGTAGCATATCTTGCTAATAAAATGCGTGGGTATCGACAAGTGCTTCGGGCGCCTGTAAAATCCGGTTCTCGGCAGCGTAGATAGTGCAGCCTTCTTGCAGCGCTCCCAGTCAGCAAATAGGCTGTTGTTCGCTTGCGTGAGCTCTCTGCGAAGCGATATAGCATCCTCACTGTCCAGATCTGGGTGTCGGTAGCGTGGATAACCTTCTGACCGGAGGAGACGGATTCCTGTCCAAGCGGAATCCAAACTTTGCTTTGCTGCCTGCTGTGCAGCAGGGTCGTCTGGATGCTGCGCACGATAAAGCTCCTCTAGCAGATTCTCAACAAGACGGTTGGTGGCATCGGCTGCCCGCGCAAGCTGGACGGGGTTTCTGACTTCCCGACGCTGGAAGGGCATCCTGCTCTCTTCCAACAACAGCGCCTCTTGCAGAGCGTTGAGACCAACAACTAGGCCTGCTCGCGGGAGAGGCTTCCTGCGACTTCTGTATATCCTGCATATTTCGTCATGGTTTTGTGAAGTATTGAACCGACGCGGCTGCTGGTAACATATCGACTCCAGCTTTCGAAGGGCTTCGTGAGAGACGGTGCTGAAGTTGCGAGGCTTGGGAGCAGGTGTCACCGAGGGCCGGGCGATGGGCGCTGTCGAGCGTATACATATTTTGCAATGGCAGCTGTGTGCCCTCGCTGCACGAGACCAGAGCCCATGCATCGTCGACGCATTGCAGAGAACGCTGCTGGGCGCACAGTTGCTCGAGGTATCTTCTTCGGGATTGTCGTATGACAGTTGAAGCGTCAATCATTGAATTGGGATTTGGAGCACGGCCTCGAAGTGGGGCCATTGATCGCGACCCCAATCAGGTTAGATGGGGATTTTGGGGGCCAGGCTCACACTCTCGCTACGTGCCAACCACCAGGTTCGAAAGATCAAGCTTGAGCTTCAGTTACAAAACAGGACCCCACGTACAATCTCAACTATAGAGGTATAGCTGCCTGTGATAGCAGTGGTAGCGCTCCATTAAAAGGCTACTGTTGATTTACTTTTCGATCCCCTTTCCTAATATCTCTTTCACTCCAGCATTCTTCGGGATGTATGCTCTCACACTGACTGCAGAGCTGGCAGGGTAAGTCCGCTTGGCGATGATCAGGGAGCAGAGCCTCCGTTCTAACAGTCTTGGTTCACCCAACAGTGTCACCAACCTCCGCCCAAGCGATGCGCAGGACAACCCATTCTGGTACACGTTCAAGGTGCAGTGTACCTCATGCCGAGAAACACATCCCAACTGGGTTGGAGTCAGTCGATTTGTCAGTCTCAATCCCTGCGACAGTGTCGAAATGGCATCTAACACGCTTCTCAAGGAACAAAATGAGATGAGTGGTAGCCGAGGCGAGGCCAACTTTGTCTGGAAATGCAAAAACTGCAAGGTGAGTCTTGAGCCTGCTCAAACGATGGAGTCCTTTTTTCTAATATTGTCGCCCTGTATCAGCGAGAGTCATCGGCCACCATCCAAGCAGCCCCAAAGGCATACCAGCATGCAGAGCCGGCCAAGGCACAAGACATCATTCAATTCGACTGCCGTGGATGTGAATTCACTGAATTCAAGCCCGAGGTAGAGCGACTATGGTCTTCCCTGTGACTTGACGATGCTGACCTTGGCACTAGGGAGACTGGTTGGCAGACGGACTTGAGTCCAACACTAAATTCGAAGGCATCGACTTGACTGAGGGCGAATGGTTTGATTATGACGAGAAGGCTGGGGATGAGGTCAGTATCAAGGACTTGACATGGGAGATACGACGAGCATGATTGAGAGATATGCTGAAGGGGTGGACCAACATCAAGACTTCATGTCCGGGGTCCATGAGCCTTGGCTTCTGGCAGCTACTCAATTGTCATCCTTTCATCTATGAAGATCAGCGGCAGAGCCATTCCCAGGGGCCGAGTCATGCCTTGATAGCCTGATGCTCAAAATGAGGATAGAAACGCAGAATCTAATCACAGTGCTAAAAGAAAAAAAGAATCATAAAGCAACGCTCCAGTAGAGGTGATTGTTCATGTAGGTTGTATTAGAGTGAGGCTTGTGAACCTGTATGGACAGTGCGTGCTCCACTAAAACTTTTGCTTGCGAGTCGCGACCTCTTTTCCTTGCTCCATCATTCATCTCCAACAAACTCACACTCCCGAGGTCCTTTTGGCAGGGAAACACTTTGACTCATTGAAGTGAAGCACAACACAATCCTCTATCACCAAGAACCTCTGGAATTGAGACTGATGGCATCAGAAATCTCGCCACATTTAAACTTCCTCGCTGATGCAGCACATCTGCTGGCGAAGGTGTCTCCAGAGACGTCCTCATATCTGATGAGCCGGAGAACAGACCTGATGCTTAGTCACGATCTCTCAGTCACCGATACAGAGAGGCAACATGTCTGCAGCAGCTGCGGTCAGATAATGATACCAGGTCAGGGCAGCTTGATTGAGCTCAAGAGCCGCAGCGATATCAACAACAAAAAACCTCGCTGCGCCAAGGCGAGGAAGCAATCCCACAAGCTCGGCCATGGGGCATCTTCACAGACGACCCTCATGAAATCCTACAGCTGTAGCCGATGCCATCACACGACAAAGGTGAACCTCCCGAACCCGCCACCTATATCGAGACGCAAGAAGCCAACTGCCGCACCAGTCACGGCGGCATCAAAGGAAGCACCCAGACCAACCGCCAATGCAAGCAGCAAGAAACGGGCCAAGAACCGCAAAGCCGGCCTGCAGGCTCTGCTCGATCAGAGGCAGGCAGTAAACAAGCCCTCCTCTAGTCTAGGCTTCAGCCTGTCCGACTTTATGAGAAAATCATGAATTGCCCTTACAGCCTGGTGACTCACTGTTGGTTGCCGTTGCTGTTGGCTCAACTATGAGACCGAATGACTCCAACTTCATATTGCAACACCCCATTCGCCACTGTGCCCTGAAGGTACAGCAACTTCAGTGCTGCTTTTTAGCGCTTCGACTCGGTCTCGAATGTTCGGGAATGCGCCAAGTGCCTATGACATAAGCCTTGGTCCCCTGCCAAAACTGCCCCGCTAAAACTTTTCGACCCCTCCAAAATTTCTTGGTGCGCTGAGATGATCGAATAAGTCGGCAATACAAGACCAGACAACACCCCCCCGCGAGTCTGGAGAGTTTTGTATTCCACTTTGATCGCACGCACATATTGGGAAATCCAGAGTCTCGCAAACAGTCTACAATCAAAATGTCTCCAGCAGAAGAAGTCAAGTCTACCGGTGTTTCTGCAGCCGACATCTTCGAGTCTATCGGGGACCAAGTCGAGCAGGTTGCGCCGGGGAATGAGTTTGCCCATCAAGGGGAGGGGGAGGACGACCAGAGGGTGGTGGAGGAGATTGAGTCCTTGTGCATGAACTGCCACGAGAATGTAAGTCGCAACCACTCGGGAGATGGCGCAAACGTTCAACTAACCAGATGTTGTCGCAAAGGGCGTTACTCGTCTTCTTCTCACCCGAATTCCGTACTTCCGCGAAGTCATCCTCATGTCCTTTTCCTGCGAGAAATGCGGTTTCAAGAACTCTGAAATCCAGGCCGCCGGCTCAGTCCAGACCAAGGGAACCCACTATGAGCTGCGCCTGACCGAGATGGCCGACTTCTCCCGCCAGGTTGTCAAGGCCGACACCGGTGTCGTCAAGTTTATCGAACTCGATGTCGAGATCCCTGCCGAGAGGGGTCAGCTCACCAACGTCGAAGGCCTCCTGTCGACCGTCATTTCGGACCTGGAGATCGGTCAAGAAGCTCGAAAGGAGCAGCAACCAGAGGTATACGAGAAGGTCCAGGAGATTATCGACAAGGGCAAGGCAATGCTCGCAGGTGATTCGTTCCCCTTCCGAGTCAGCCTCGACGATCCCGCGGGAAACAGTTGGATCGCTCCTGACCTCCGGGACGGTGTCGGCAAGTGGGAGAAGCGCGAATACACCAGAACGCCCGAACAGAACGCCGCCCTGGGCCTGGCCGACACGGAGACCTCGGGCTCGGACGGAGTCATCCCCACCGGTGGACAGGGCCGCCTTGATGACAACGACAACATCATCCCCAACGAAGTGTACTCCTTCCCCGCAAGCTGCCCGGGCTGCATGCACCCATGCACCACTCACATGAAGATGGTCGACATCCCGCATTTCCAACAAGTGGTCATCATGAGCACAGTCTGCCACGACTGCGGGTACCGGTCAAACGACGTCAAGACTGGCGGCGCTATCCCCGACAAGGGCAAGAAGATCACCATCAAGGTCAAGTCGAGCGTTGACATGGCTCGCGATATCCTCAAGAGCGAGAGCTGCTTCCTCGAGTGCCCCGAGCTCGAGCTCTCCGTCAACCCCGGCACACTCGGTGGCCGATTCACAACCGTGGAGGGCCTGCTGACCCAGGTCCGCGACGACCTCCACAACCAGATCTTCGAGGCTGATGGATCCGGCCGGGGAGGTGACTCTCTCAGCACAGACGACCGCAACAGGTGGACAAAGTTCTTTGACGGACTCGATGAGGCGATTGCAGGCAATCGTGAGTTCACCATCGTCCTCACGGACCCCCTGGCGAGCTCCTACGTGCAGAGTCTGGCGGACGACCCGAGCAAGCCCGATGCTCAGATGACCGTCGAGGAGTACACCAGGACGGAGGAGGAAGAGGATGACCTCGGTCTCAAGGACATGAAGACAGAGGGTTATGAGCAGGATGCCCCGGCGGCAGGTACTTCATAAGTCAGGGTGAGCCTTGGAAGAGCACCGATGATCGGAGATATACATGGGACAGGTGACGAAAAAGGACTGGGTTGTTGTTTATTGTCATGATGGGATCATACGAATGTGAGCATTATAATGGTTTAGACTCGGAAGACGGCCTGGGTCCTCAAGAGGTCCCTGAGCTTTGTGAATACACACGTACGTTTGCAGTACGTAATGGCCGCGACACACTACAAGGGCATCCACCTTTCAGGAGCTTTGGACCTTGCGTTTACATTTCATCCGTGAATTGGCCCCTCTCACGAGAGCGTGTCATCTCAGGTGCAAAACGACAGCATTAAGAGTCATGTCACGCATGCAGCCACTTACAGCAGTCAAGGCATCGAGTAAAGCTCAAGCCAGTTTTTCATCCCAAAAAACAACTGTATTCATTTCCGTTCATTGTACATACAAGAATCGAACAAGCGCCATATACCTAAAACCCCCTTGCTCGGCCGGGGCGAGGTCCACGGGGGCCGACACACTGTATACATAGATAGTATAAGAGTGCGTCTCACTCACTCGAAAAGAAAAGAATCTTTAGTACACGAGGTGGCCCTTGTCGGCGCGCCTGATGGAGGCAGCCGGGGTGCCGGTGCCCGTGGCTTTGGCGGTGCGAGAATCGGTGCCGTTGGAGGGGAAGGGCACGACGGTCGCCGTGACGATGGCCTCGGGCGGACACTCGCTCTCGCCGGCCGCCTCGGGCGGGGTCGAGGTGGTGGCCTGGACGGCTTTATCCGTGGTTGTGGCGGCAGAGCCCTTGTTACCGCCCTTGTTGCCACCCTTGTGGCCGCCCTTGTCCTTGCCCGCGCCGGCGGAGCCCGTCTTCTCGGCGTTGGCGGCGGGCGCCGTCATGGTCACGTAGATGGTCTGGGCAGGCTGAGTCACGGTGACGGTCTGCGCGGCAGGGCACTGGCAGTCGCCGGCACCCGAGCCGGCGCCAGAGTTGCCAGAGCCAGAGTTGCCGGAGCCCGAGTTGCCGGAGCCCGAGTTTCCAGAGCCAGAGTTGCCGGAGCCGCCCACGGGCTTAGCAGTGGCAGTGTTCTTGACAGTGACGGTTCGAGTTGCAGAGGTGGTCATGGTCAGGCTGGTGGTGGTGTCGTCCTGCCCCTTGCCCTGTCCCTTGCCCTTGCCCTGGTCCTTGCCCTTGCCGGAGCCTGAGTTGCCGCCGCCAGAGTTCTTGCCCGTCTCGGTGGCTGGCATGGTGACGATCATGGTACGAGTGACGGTCTGCTTCATGGTGGTCTTGATGGTGGTCGTCACCTCACGCTGGCCGCCAGGGTTGCCCAGGGTCATGGTGATGACTGTCTCGGTGGGGACGACGACCTCAGAGACGACGGTCGTGGTCTTGGGGACCTGGACGGCGGTAGGCTTGGCGCTAGTCAGAGTGCTACCGACGATGCCGCCGGTTTTGGCCTTGGAGATGACATCCTTGGAGATGGACGAGGCCGCGGTGACGGGGCAGACGGTGGAGGTCAGAACAATAGTGTCGGTGACGAGCACAGTGGAGTGAGCCCCAACTGGGAGGCTGGACAGAGCAGCCGTGTCCGAGGCAGCAGGGCAGTTTGTGACCGTGGGAGCACAAGAGATCACCGTGTGGACCGAAGTAGTGACGACGGTCAAAGTTGTCAGATCAGCGGCGGCCGTTGGGCCGCTGGAGGAAGTGCGGCCAGCGGAGGTGATAGGGCCCGTGCTGAGCAGGGCCGGGCTGAAGGTCGAGCTGGAAAGGGACGAGGTAGCTGCCTTGTCGACGGCCTTGGAAGAGACGAGCGCGGTCGTGTTCTGGCGGCGGAAGTTGAAGTGGGGGTGTCGTCGGTGGTTGCTGGCAGCTGCCAGGGTGGCGAAGAGGGCGATGGTCAGGGTAGACAGTTGCATGGTGATGCTGTTGTGTTGGATGTGATATCGTCTAGTATATGCGTGTGCGGGTAACTGGACTGTAGAGACTTGTATTCAAGCTCAACCAGGATTTCTCTGAAAGTCAAGGATTGGATATGCAAGTGAAGTTGCACGAAAAGGCTTTGGAAGCAGTTTAAGGAGAGTGAAAGTCGATTTCACCGTGAAGCTGGCAGACACAGTTGCTGGCGTGGAAAAGAAGGTGGATGCAGTTGGAAACTGACTGTCGCAGTGATAGTCGACGTTAAAGAAAGAACAACGGGCACAGCCGTAGGATCAGAGATAGACCTTGAAGAGCAGGAAACGAGAATGGAGAGGAAGGAGAAGAAAGTGGCAGACCGACGAGAGGGCTCTGCAGCCTTTTGTCTGTCCTCCTTACGGAGTACAAGCACTGGCCCCGACCGCCAGCCCGGGTTGTCGTCGCCGGGGTCAGGGGTTGACGATGCCATCAGGGACTGGGGTTCCGAGGAAGCAACGGCAGTGGATGGAGCCATGGGCACAGCCGCTTAGCCCACAGAAGCATGGGTCACAGCCAACTCCAGGACCGAGTGGTAATCTACGGGATGCATGGCGAGAGCCGTACTGAGACTTTTCGCTGTATGGACTTTGTGTGGTGGTGGACTTTCAAGAGATCAAGGAGGCCGAGATGTCCACGCGGGACCCGAATGACAGGGGCCTGGCCGACCCTAGTCCCTGTCAGGGGGGCCGAACGCAGGAACAGAAAACCTGAGACGAGGCGGTGAGCCAATGGGAAATCATCGCGAAGCACTGATCGGGGCAGGGGTGGTAAGGGGGGCCGCAAAAGCAAGCACAGAGGCAGCTAATCAGAGGAGGGTTTGGTGCCTCTCGGCCGCGGCCTTGGCGGCTCTCTGAAGCTCATGCAAGAGAGGCTCATCTGTGATGATGTGTTGATGATCGACGCACTTTTCGCGCGCGCAGACCGTTTCTTATGCCGACGATGTGGCTGTTCACAAAGATCATCCCAGGGCTCCCTGGGAAAGCTTAGTGTAGGCCCTGTGCATTGAACGAGATTCAAGTCTCAATTTCCAGGTTTTTCGATCTTGAGGCCACCCACCTCGAATTGATCAACCTGTGCCGCTTGGATCACAATGAGCTTATTCTTGGAAACCGCCATGCGTCGATGCACGATGACAAGATTGGTCGATTGCATGCGTCAGTCAGGGTCACGTCAGCGACTTTGCACCCTCTGCGACTCGAGGATGATTCGGAGCTTCGAACGAAGCGGCGTTCCATGCCGCCCTCAAAGAGGCCATTACGCGGGGTGCTGGAGATTGCTCGTCAAGGGCCTGCCCATGCAAGCTGAGTGACCAGGTAATGATGAGACCGTAGCAATGGAGAAGGAGAAAGGAAGCAGGACTTGAAGTGCAAGAGTGGGCAACCTTTGGTGTCAAAAGATGCATGCTTAGGCTGATGCGACCCGCCCACGGTTGTATCATGTTGATAGGTATCTTGCCGCAGAGCCTTTACCAGGTTGTTGAGGTGTGCGTGTGTAGCATGTGGGCCACAGGAATGGAGCACAGGTCTGATATTTCCATGCGAGTCCATGGATGCCTGCCGTGCCTGCCTCTCCAGCTGAACATCGTCGGGACCCTCTTGCCTCTTGATCCAAAGAATGGGAACGCCTCACTGGCAGTGCAGTTTGGTGCGACAGACTCCATCCAAACTGGAGTGATCTTCGAAACTCGCGTCTGCATCGAAGATGCGCACATGGGTCTATCAACACCTTATCTTACAAGTACTCCATCCATGTGCCAGGAGGCTTGCCAAGGGTGCCATCCAAGGAAGAAGGCGAAGTCCACGGACGAAATACCTACCTAGGTACCTAACCTTGCATGTACGCCCGGGTGGTGGAGCTTCTCCATTTCTTCCAACGTTCTCTCTTCCCTCCTTGTGCTTCTTGGTGCTGTTGGAAAGGGGGCCCAGTGAGGGGTCAGGCCCTGTCTGTTCTGTTTCACCAGGCGACCCAGCCCCGTAAGCGGCCCCCGCAATTGCCCAGCATCACCTGTGTGTGGTGTGCTCAATCCCAACTATTTCTCTCACTGGTTTCCAGGAGATGACATGGGATGACCAACTCCAGCATCATGAAACGCTTGCAATCGGGCATCCTCCTTGTATGGCATTATATCGAGCTACATCTCCTGAAGTGACGGGCGTCTACGAGGTTGAGACAGAGGTAGGTATCAAGCAAAGTTAGGAGGCAGGTTCCTTGTGCATCGGAGACAATCCTTCAAAAATAATGTCACGGCCGACGCATGACGCAGACCAGATGATGCCCGGTTGAAGTGGGTATATTACGACTATCTAACATTGTTTCAAGTCCTTAACTTCATAAGCCTCGTTGCAGTACTAGTTGATTGACTGCTTGTTGGGAACATCATGACAATGCCCCCAAAGAATGATTCCTGAACGCCGTCCACTTTTTGCCCATTGTTCCGATGTAAGGGTATCCCGTTGAAGGAGGCTCCCGAAGGTCCCCAGTCTGTATTCCGTAAGTGTTGAATGCCTGCAGCCGTTCCCTTTGTACACCTTCGCTCTCATGTTGAAAAATCAGATCCTTTCATGCTTCACCTTTTTTGACCCAGGCCAGAAACGCCGATGTTGAGATCGTAGGTAGCCCAGACTCTAAAATGGTCTCTTGCACAACCCCGCCAATGTGTAAATGTTCGAGCAAACAAAAACAAAAATCAAAGTATCGAAACGCCATCTCATGACCAATGTGCATCATCAACGATAATATGCAACACCAATACACTAGGCCGGCGCCGACACTATTCTCAAGTGTGACACTCAGCCTATTTGGAGTACTTGGCACGGAAGAACTTGGCGGCGTTAACCATGTTCACCAGAGCCTCCTTGGTCTCCTTCCACTGGCGCGTCTTCAGACCACAGTCGGGGTCGATCCAGAGCTGCTCAGGCTTGAGGTACTGCAGCATCTCCTCGATGCGGTCCTTGATCTCCTGCTCGCTGGGGACACGAGGGGAGTGGATGTCGTAGACACCAGGACCGATGTGGCGAGGATAGGCAGAGTCGACAAAGACCTTGAGGAGCTTGGCATCAGACTTGCTGTTCTCGATGGAGAGAACATCAGCGTCAAGGGCCGCAATGGCGTGGAAGAAGTCCTGGAACTCCGAGTAGCAGAAGTGGGAGTGAATCTGGGTCGAGTCCTCGACGCCAACAGTGGAGAGCTTGAAGGCGTTGACGGCCCACTCCAGGTAAGCGTCACGCTCCTTGCCGGAGCGGAGAGGAAGGCCCTCACGGAGGGCAGGCTCGTCAACCTGGATGACATCGATGCCAGCCTTCTCGAGGTCCACAACCTCGTCACGGAGAGCCAGAGCAAGCTGCTCGGCCTGGACAGACTGGTGTACGTCGTCACGGGGGAAAGACCAACGGAGGCAGGTAACGGGGCCAGTCAACATACCCTTCATGGGCTTCTTGGAGACGGACACGGCGTACTTGGACTCCTTGACGGTCATGGGGGCAGGTCGGGAAATGTCACCGACGATGATGGGAGGGCGCACGCAACGCGAGCCGTAGCTCTGGACCCAGGCGTGTGTGGTGAACGCGTAGCCGTTCAGGCGCTCACCGAAGAACTGGACCATGTCGTTACGCTCAGGCTCACCGTGAACGTAGACATCAAGGTCAAGCTCGTCCTGGATCTTGACGTTGTCCTCAATCTCCTTCTCAATGAACTTGTCATACTGCTCAGCAGTGATCTCACCCTTGGTGAGCTTGTTGCGAGCAAGACGGATCTCCTTGGTCTGGGGGAAGGAGCCAATAGTGGTGGTGGGGAAGAGGGGAAGGTTGAGCTTCTTCTGCTGCTGGGCGATACGGACGGAGAACTCCGACTTGCGGTTGTAGTCAGAAGGAACAATCTTGCTCTGGCGGTCCTTGACCTTGGGGTCGTTGGTCCTGCTCGAGGTAGCACGAGCATGCATGGACTTGGCGTTGGCCTCGAGCTGCTCCCGTACGGAAGCAGGGCCCTCAGTAACGGCCTTGGCAATGACGGCAATCTCGACAGCCTTCTCCGAGGCAAACGAGAACCAGTCGGCAATCTCGGGGTCCAGCTTCTTCTCGCTGGCCAGAGTGTGGGGGGTGTGTAGGAGAGAGCTGGAGGTGGCAACCAGAACACGGTCCTTGCCGAGCTTCTGGATGGCAGTCTCGACAGTCTCAATGGCCTTCTTCATGTTGGTCTTCCAGATGTTGCGGCCGTCGACCACACCGGCAGAGAGGATAGTCTTGGAGCCCAGAGCACCGATGACAGTGTCAAGCTGCTCAGGGTTACGGACGAGGTCAACGTGGACGGCATAGATATCCTTGGGGATAGCCTCCAGGTTGTGAACGATATCACCAAAGTAGGTGGTGAAGACAAGCTGGGGAATCTTGGCGCCGAGGCTGGCGAACTTCTGGTAGGTAGGACCGAAAGCAGCCTTGACCTTGGCGGGCAGGTCGAAGACGAGGACGGGCTCGTCGATCTGGACAGTCTCGGCACCGGCCTCCTTGAGCTTGGCCAGAAGAGACTCGTAGATGGGGACGAGCTTGTCGAGCAGGTCAATGGGGTTGACGCTCTGGCCACGGTCGGCCTTGGCCAGGTGGAGGAAGGAGATGGGGCCAACGAGGACCGGCCGGGTGGCAATGCCTGCCGCCTTGGCCTCAAGGAACTCAGCGACAGCCTTGGGGTTGGCAGCAAGCTTAAACTCCTGGTTGTCCTGCAGGGTGGGCTTGACGTAGTGGTAGTTGGAGTCAAACCACTTGACCATCTCCAGACTGGGAACATCGACGCCGTCCTTTTGGTGACCACGGCCCATGGCAAAGTACTCATCAACAGGGTTCAGCTTGGCGCTGGAATACCGCTCGGGAACGGCCTGTGATAGAAAGACGAAGGTCAGCTAGTGGCCAAAAAGCAGAATCTCTTCTCAATCAAGTGGCACTTACACCGAAGTCCTGGATGTGGCTAAGGACCTGGTCGTAGAGAGCAAAGTCATTGCTGGGGATGATGTCGACACCGGCATCCTTCTGGATCTTCCAGTGTGCCAGTCTGAGCCTCTTGGCCTCGGTCAGGAGCTCCTCCTGGGAAATCTTGCCTCCCCAGTCTAGCTACCCGGTTAGTATCGCGGCGGTCAAGAAGTATGACGGGCGGGGTCGAAGCGGTGGTGACAAGGGGTTGCAACATACAAGCTTCGGTGGCCTTCTTCAGGTCACGGTTCACACCCATGCGGGGGAAACCGAGGATGGCGGACTGAACCATGATGAATCGGCTATGATAGGACCTTGTTTGGGAGATGAGAATTGGTCCACGGGTACTGTTTGGAAGGAAGCAAACGAATGGTCAGCTGTTGGTCTCCCTGGCTAGATTGGCGGGGTCGATTGGGGAGCACAATTGTTGTTGGGAAGGGAGGGCAGGATGACGAAGAGGCTGCTAGGCTACCTAGGTACTTACATAAAGCAACGTCTGGTAAAGGTAAGACGCTGATGGGGAAGAAAGTGAAGATACCGAGAAATGGCGGGGAGGATGACAGACTCGGAGGAGGAGTTTGAGAATGGGAGAGGAAAGAAGAAGGGAAAAGTTTGCAGGTGGTGGTGGAGGAGGAAGACGAGATTTGTTTTTTAAAGCTCCCTCGGATTTCAACGACTGGGCGGTGTGACGGAAGTGAGACTTGCGTGCAAGTAGTACCCCCCAACCTCAAACCAAGCCATACCTAGCGGCTCCCTGCCTTTCCTGCCCGCCCTTTGCCTGCATATGTATCTACTGTGCTTGCTTGCCTTTACTTGGAGTTCACTGATCTGATCCCCCTCCAAGGTAGGTACTTCCAGCTTGCTTTACGCGAGTGCAAGTACATTGCACCTACTTTACCTTACGTGACCCTCCAGTCCCAGGGATGACGATCTGGCCTTTGCCAGGCATGAATCCTTGCACCCCGCCAAACGGAATTGAACCACCAAAGATGGTGCTTGTCACCTCTAACCATAGCTCCATCTCACCTTGCCAGTTCCTACCTACTTCCTCCTACTCTGTGTCTTCGTGATTGACTCAACCAAACGTCGACAGAGGGGGAAAAAACTGAAAGAGCCCCTCCATCTGGCCAGAAAATGCTTAGGCGGGGCAACCGACAGGGGACCAGTCTAGCCTGCTAGGTGCAGATGGTGGGGTCCGTAAGCTACCTCTACCAAGGAGAGTGAGAGACAGGCAGTAGGTACCTGCTCCGTAAGAAGTAGGCCTGCAGTTTATATCTCACCCGTGGACGCTCCAACCATGGCGGGGCCAGGTAGAGATAGCTTCAGCATAGCGTGAATTGCACCATGGAGAGCTGCGCCAATCAACCAACCACCTGGACAGTCTGGAACCTGCACGCCCAACCAAGCCTTTTCTAGCCTTGCCGGGAACTTCCAATTGGACCCTGATAACCAGGGCACCGATGTTGTTTCCGGTCAGATGAGCGGGATACACACAGACATTCATGTTTACGGGTACTGCTACTAAGATCAATTGAGACACCGTGGAAACTCTCGGATGGTTCCAATCAATGCCACCCTCCTTCCCTCCCTCCCGCTGCGCGCGGTTGACCGTTGCAGCCCAGTGATGTAGGTAGGTACCTAGGGAGGCATGGTTGGCGTGGTCAGCAAGCCAACATGCTCGGAGCGTATATCCAATCATGTCCAATTCGCTGGGAATTCTTGATATGAAAGTCACCGAGGAAACCGAAGAGACACACACATACTCCCCCTCGCAGACGGCAGCCTTCTCATTCTCGAGTTAGAATTTTGCTCTGGCTTATTACATACTCTAATCCCGGCTTCGGCTTCGGGAGGGGGGGTGTTGGCGTTTGCTGATCTGGCACAGCATTTGCGTGGTAAAAATTCCTCCCCTCCACCAGCCAACAAGAAGGCATGTCTTTGCCAGATGCCCTTTCATACCAGGGCGTCCACCCCCTTCAACTGTACAACCAAAGCCAGTTTCCCTTTCGGGAGATTCGCGTGGCATGGCATTCCTTGCATATTGGATTTCTCGCTATATCGAAGTGCCAAGAAACGATATAACTTAGACGTAATTCCGCCCGTTTCCTGGGCGCACAGTACATAATGTTAGGGGGGTATCGCTTCATCAATTCATTCGGTGCTCTCGGCTCCCGATAGCTTTCCTCATCCAAGCAAGACACGTTCATAATGCTGAGGGTCCAGGTGCTTGTGCAGCACCTGCTGCAGGGCTGCTCTGCTGCTTAGCACAGCCGGCGCAACTCCTCCGATCTGTTGCAGATTGGTCTTCATGCTGTCCATGTGGCTGGCCAGCTGTTTTGATAGCGACAACAACTCATCACCCTGGAGATCCTGCTCAGACATCGTTAGTATCAGGTCATATGAAAACATGCCATGATCTCTCACTTTGAACAGGCCGGCGGCTGCCGTTTCACTCGGATGCTTCGCAGTTCTCCGGTCGGGGCTGCTGTCAGCATCAGCGCCGCTGAGAGGTGCCTCTGGGGCCAAGGGATGAGCTCTCTTCCGCCGTTCTCGCCACGACCGGGCCTCCGAACGCGCATTAGCCTCTAGGGTTCGGAGTGTCGCATAATCCTGTTCTAGTCCTTGTTCTTCTCGCTCCTTCTCTTGTGACAGCAACGCTACCGAATGCAAGAGCGGACTCAGCGTCCTCTCCAAGGCCTGCATAGTGTCGACTACGCGCTCAAAGTCCAGATCATCCTCTTGCCCGGACTTGACACCAGCCACAGTAGTCCGCGCCTTTGTGGAAGAGGGTGGAAACGGCATGCCTTTCGAGAGCTTGGATCGCACGCGGCGAGAGACTATTGAAACTGCCGCACGAGCATGCTCTCGACGGTTCTGACTATCCCGTAGCCGGAGAAGAACTGGCCGCTCAGCTTCCCCAAGTAGATTCCCGATGAGGGAGATGGCCGCAGGCTCGAGTGCAGCCCATTTCGTTGCAATAGTCGCTCGTGGTATGTGGCGAGTCCGGGGAATCAGCTGACGGACCTGTGATGCGCCGGGCTGCTCTACCTCATCGCTCAGAGAATCTTGGGCTTGGTGTCGTTGAATCTTCCGCCCTCGTTTCCGGTGATGCTCTTCGGAACTGGCTGCCTCCTCCACTATGCTATCCGGGCGGGCCACCTCGTGTTGCGGCTCTTTAGAGGTGGGCGGTCTTCCTCTTCGTTTTGTGTGCGATACCGGGATCTCTTGCACCTCTTGATCTGCGAGTGAGGGCCTCCCACGACGTTTCCGGGCAGGGGCGTCATCCTCTTTGTCGTTCGACCGGGACGGGCGTCCCCGCTTTCCCTTGTTCTGTGCTTCGTCTACAGAAACGTCGGCAAGAGAAGGCCGTCCTCGCTTCTTGGGCTGCTGTGGCGTAGGTCCTTTGGGAGCTGCTTCTACAAGCGATGTATTGGCGCTCCCGCCAACCTCCCACCAGGGCTTGGCTCCTTCTAAAGAGGAGCGATCACGTTTACTCCGACGCGGCTGCACTGGGTTTTCGTCGCCATCTTGACCTGGTTCGTGTTGCGCGTTCGATACCCGGGAGAGCTGTCCAGGCGCAGCGTCTCGAGCCGAGGGTCGGCCTCGTTTTCTTCCACCAGGTCGGTCCGGTGGAGCATCGATCGCGGTATCGGGCGCTTCGGTATTCTGCTTCTCTGCTCTGCGCCCTCGTTTTCGAGGTCGCGGGTCTGTTTCCTCCCTTTCTTCCTCGGCGTTTGGTCCTGCTGGTGGCTGGCTTGTCGACGTGTGATGCGACGCGATCTTTGAGTGTTGAGAAGGGCGGCCGCGTTTTCGCTTCTGGCTGGGCGATTGCGGAGACTAGTATAGATCAGTATGCTGAACACCACCGAGTGTATCGACCCCACGTACCATTTTGCACGTCTGCTTGCCGCAGCTGGTCGCTCGTGTATAATCGTGACCTGGAGGGCGTGAATGTGCTTCGTGGATTCACAATCGACAACGCTACATACAAGTACATGCGCGACGCGAGATGCTAGGTAGGCTTTGGAGCCAGACAGCTCTCGAGTGGGGCAGGGCCGTAGGTCGCAATCCGATGTGTACACTTGTTCTCATTCGTCCTAGTTCAGCAACCTAGAACTCTCTTTCTCGCGCAAGCTTACTTGTAGGTACACAACTGGCCCCAGCGCGTCTTGTTGCTGGACCGTTGCCCCGTCCGCCCATCCATGCCGCCCAGAACTGAGCTCTGTTTTAGCGGACCGAAGTTCCCATACTGCAGTCCACGGTACCCCAAAGTTGCCCAAGCGGCGCTTTATCCGGGTTGCTGGTCAACCCCCGGTTCGCAAGGATGTGGAATAGGTACGGAGTACTGTGTGTGCAGTTAAATTAACCCCCGTAGAAAGCAGAGGAACAGGGTGGACAGGACAGGCCTTGCCTCGATTAAGGTAAGTGCCTAGGCCTGTTTGTACTTGAACAGAGGTAGAGAAAAGGGAAATCGCATGTTTGCGCAAATTCTGTTGTTTTGAACGAATATCGAGCAACTGTTGCCAAAAGACAAAGGCTTCCCTCTCTTCTAGTTCATCTGACCTGCAAAGTCGCAGTGGGCCGATCTGTTTTCCATCAAACACCTGCAGCAGTTTGATCAACTGTACATGTTGTTATCTTTCTAGTGCCCCTCACACTCATTTACATCATCCTGGTCAGTACGATTTCGCGCGATCTGTTTGAAGCTCCCTTTTTCATCCAACCCCAACGTACGTTTTGATTCTAATCAATTGCCATCAAACAGAGCAGACAACCATGCGCTTCTCAACGTCCTCCATCCTCCTGGCTCTGCCGCTCCTCGGCGCAGCTGCCGAGTCTCCTTTCGAGGAGTACAAGGCGCAATTCCAGAACTTCTTGGGCCAGTTCGGTTCTTACATTCCCAGCCCCAACCGCCACGACCATGCCGATGCTGCCGCATCCAAGGCGGCCAAGAAGATGGACGTTTTGTCTCTCGACAACTGGAAGAGCACTCTCTACAGCCCCGTCAAGCCTGGTGCTACGACCCCAGAGGAGTGGTGGGTTTTCGTGACCGGGCGCAACAAGACCTGCTTTGGTGAGCTCGAGACTATCCTTTCGTATTCTCGCGCGCAATCTATGATGCATCTGCTAACATGAAGACAAGGCCACTGCCTGCAAGTGGAATCGGCCTTCAACGAGACCGCCGCAAAGTTCGCTACCCAAGCCAAGGCCCCTCACATGGCCTACCTCAACTGCGACGACCAGCCCATCCTCTGCAACAGCTGGTCTGCCAGCCCTGGCACTCTGTGGGTGTTTGAGATGCTGCCACCACCTGCCAAGATCGACATCTACCTCAAGCGCTTCAACCTCACCACCACGACTTCGCAGGACTTTGTCAAGGTCTATGAAAGTGGCAGCAAGGAGAACTTCCACCTGCACGATGGCTACTTCCACCCCTTCGATGGTCCTCTGGCCACCTATGGTGCCGCGGTTCCTGTTGCTTATGTTCTCTGGGTGCTGAACGTCGTCCCCAGCTGGGCCATGATGCTCATCATCTCCTTCTTCAGCCGAAGCATGATGTAAGTGACCCAAAACACACTCTCTCCCGGTCCTCGCATCTGCTGACCAGCCCCTCCTTCGCAGGTCTCGTCGCATGAACAACATGGATGGCCAGCGAAGGCCAGCCGCAGCGGCTGCTGCTGCCCGTTAAGGAGCCTGCCCAAGCTTTCTCTTGACCAGAAGCGAAGGATACCTTGAGACGCGAGTTTAGCGAACCACGTACCACGCAGAACTGTGGATGCCCACCGGCTCACATTGACTGACTTTGACCTGTTTTTGTAGCGCTGGGTCGTATCAATGCCCACGGCTTTCTTTTTTGGGCACTCTAGTTAGGCCAATTTTAATTCATGGTTTTCGCTTGCACGTTGCCTGCACATCCGCCAGTCCTTCCAGGACCTGATCCCGCAGATGGCTGTTGGCCAACTTTCCGTAGCGTAGATCGCTCAGATTGCCCACGGTCTGCCTCACGGCGAGCAACAGCTTTTCTTCATCCGAGCGAAAGGCCTGGATCTCGTCCTCCAAGTCGCTGATGGCAGTCTCCAGCTCGGGAAGGACCGTACCGAGCTTGTGTCTGGGCTGGTGATTGCTAAAGGCGGTCCCAGCGAGCTACAAGAGGAAGATGAGTCGGAGCTACCTTATGCAAAGCACCTTGAAGACTGGGGTGAACTCACGGCCTTCTCTATTTCCATTTCATCATCCAGCTCCTCCTTCGATGACTCCTTCTTGGCCCTAGTCACCTCTCGACGGAGAGCTTTGCCTCGTTTTGACTCGCCCTCAATGTTGGCGGCGACCGAATCCACAGAAGCGTTGAGCTGAGCTTGCAAATCACGGTACAGCGCTCGGATCTGGGGAGACGCCTGCTGGGATTTCGGAAACATTGAAATGAACTCATTGAGAGACACAATAGCAGGGAGCTTGGCCGGCGTGAGCAGGTAGTTGCTCAAAAGGGTTGACTCTGCTGGAGGCATAGCTCATCGTTTTGCTGGTTGAGCGGTGGGAGTTGGTTCTATCTGGCCCCGCAAGACATCAATGATGCGATTGAGAATGAGGTAACTGGATAAATAAGATGAAGTGAGCAAAATATATGTGTAGTTTCTCAACAAGTCGGTAGGTAGGGTTCTTCCCTTTCCTGAACCATGGAGCTGAACAAGAGATATAAAAAAAACCAGGGTTGGCTGTGCCTGCGCAGTTTGATGAGGTGTATTGAGGTACATACCATCCATGGCTGGCTTTGGGTCTAAAACGCGTTTGGCGGGAAGGGACAGACGCGTAAATGGCTACAGATCCCGTGACTTCCCTCATCTCAACACCAACTCACTCACTGCCTCATATCGGGCCTTCCCCTCCCTTCCATGCAAAGGCGAAGCCCTCTTTGCACTGTTCGACAGAGACTTGAAGACCATAATATTTCTCTAGGTCTCTAATCATCTGATACCCAGCTCTCTGATTAATATTCTCTTGGACGCAAAATTTTCGACTCGACATCCGACACGTTCTCTCGCACCTGAATCATCGGTATGGCACCCTCAAAGCAACAAGGTCCGCCGTTCGCGGTGGACGAACGCGTCTTCTGCTTCCACATGGAGATGCTGTACGAGGCCCGGATCCTCGACGTCCAAAAGGACGAGAATGGTGACGGGTGGCAATACAAGATTCATTATAAGGGATGGAAGAATACCTGGGACGACTGGGTTCCACAAGACCGCGTCCGCAAGTTCAACGACGAGAACAGAGAGCTCGCGAGCCAGCTGCGCGAACAGATCAAGGCCCTGCAGCAGAAGAGTAGCAAGCAGGTGAAGAAGGCCGCCAAGGCCAACGGCTCTGATTTCAGCTCAGCTAGGGGAAGTGAAGAGAGGACTGCTGGCACCACCACCACCAGAGGCCCAAGGCGAGCAAGAGACTACGAACTCGAGACGGTCAGTAACTTCACTCTTTTCTTTTCATCTTGCTGTTTTTTCTCTCTCGTATTTTTCTTTGAAGCGTATTTGGCTTGTCTTTGGTCATTCCGGTCGGTGAGAGGCATGCCGATGTGGGATAATTAACTTCCCAAGCCATATCTCGGCAGTCTGCAAAGAAATGGCACCACTATTGTCGAAGTATTCATATCAGTGCAAGAGAAGGGGGGTGCGCTGTTTGGTTTGACTCCCAGATCTGGGGACTCGCAAGTGCGTGGTCAAGCTAAAGTGAATTCCGGCATCAATAGGGGGTCCGACCATCTTCCCAATTGTTCACCATTGTCAGTTCTCAATAGGTAACTGGACGGACAAGCCTCACTCGTCTTGATTTATTCCCTCTCCCCCCCCTCGGCACCTCTCTCCCTAGCCCTCTCCCGAGTTCTTTTTTCTGGACATTTCTAGTTGCAAGATTTCCACCTACTCCCCTTGCCATCCACGCCTCCCGCCTTCCATCTCTCCAAACCAAGCGCTACCCTCCTGTCCCTTTTCATTCAGTCGCCATGCCACTCCGAGGCTCGAAGATGGCAAGACAGGCCCCTTCATTCCTGGAAAAGGAAGCTTCATGGGCCAAGGAGACAAAAGATCATCTCTGCGAGCTGCCAAAAACGAATCATTGTTACCTGAACCGTCAAGGACGGCCATGCTTCGATGATCGCTATGTGAATGCTCCGCAAGGCAGGATACAAAAGAAGCGACACCCGAAACTTCTGGCTGCAGAGAAGACGGGCAACTTGACAGGCAAGCTGGAGCGCTATTTTGAAGGAGTTCCAGCTACTGCCTGTCTACCTATTGCAGGAGTGCCGAACACAAATCTGGCAGCATGCATGCGCAAAGCAAGCAGCAACCGAGTGTCAAGGCGAAGCTCGAAGTGTATGCCGAGCGGCAGTCATGGCTCGCCTCAAACCCCGACATCCAAGGTTCGCACCACTCGTCAACCGTCACTCGTCTGCATTCCTACGTTTACTGCTTCTCGCAACTTAGGCCCAGAGGGCTTGGCTAATATGACTCGATCATAGGAGGATGCTTTCCATTCGCGCCCATCCATCAAACTGGTCATGCCAGACCACCTGAAAGCCTTCCTGGTTGATGACTGGGAGAACGTCACCAAGAACCAGCAGCTTGTTCCATTGCCTCACGCACACCCCGTTGAGCAGATCCTGAATGACTATCTTGCATATGAACGTGGAAATCGTCAAGAAGGCTCGTCCAGCATGGATATCCTTGAGGAGACCATGGCTGGCTTGAAGGAGTATTTCGAAAAGTGCCTGGGTCGAATTCTCCTCTACCGGTGAGCCATTCTGCTCCCCTAATGTACCGGCCTTGTGAGACTGATTCCCTCCAGCTTCGAACGCGTCCAGTACATCGAGCTGCGTGAGCAGTGGGACCGCAACACAGACGGACCCAAGAATGTCTGCGGTTCCTATGGTGCAGAGCACCTCTGTCGTCTCCTAGGTATGTTGCTAACACTGACCTGGACGTGAGCCACCTCTAATCGCATCACAGTGAGCATGCCTGAGCTTGTTGCTCAAACCAATATGGATCAGCAGTCGGTGAACCGCCTCCGCGAGGAACTGACAAAGTTGACCAATTGGCTTGGAAGGCACGCCAAGGACTACTTCGTGAGCGAATACGAAACCCCGAACCAGGAGTACATCGAACAAGCTCGGAGTGGATAGTAGACACTCTACAGCGAGACGTACACGTCTGCCAGACACTGCTGGGATGATACGGGCATATCTCTGCGGTATGGGGTGATGAAATGGACACGGAGCTTGGTTTTCAGCGGTCTAGGAAGCGCAGACAAGCCACAGGCTTTTACAGAAGCCGGAGACACTCTCGCTTCTCGTTTCTCGCATATAGGTCGAGATTCTCACCTCAGCTTGAGTCACGAATGATGTTCCATGGCTTGGACCAGGCCAGGATGACGACGATGACGGTAAATTTTGGGCACAGTCACTCAATCATGGAACTGCTTAGATATTCAGGAAGGAATTTATCCTTGCACTCGAGGGAGCGAGCATTAGGCCCACGACGTCACGCACGTAGCGAATAAAAGGCCTAACAGTAGTGTACCATTGCATACCCAAGTCCGTGACGTTGAGATCGTGGTCTCTGTACCTTTCTAGCCCGTGGTCGATACCTCCAGACGGCCACCTCGACGAGGATGCTGCATTATCGTGCCATGGATGAGCCCGTCTGCCTCGTCCAACACTACAAAGGTGGGAGGAAAAGTCTGGAGCAACCCTGAGTTCTGCCCGGCATTTGTCGCTGGAAACTAAGTAACCTCAAGACATTTTCTCTCTTCCCCGCCCTGGAGGCGCTCCTGAGAAGGGGGCTGGTTTGACGGAGCGAGCATATCATTTCTCCAGTATGTAGTGCCTCTTTCTATTCCACGCTCATCACAAGATTTCTTCCAGTCTCTCATGTTCTCTCGCATGGATCCTGCATGTTCTTATATAGTTTTAATGTCCCTTGCTATCATTAAATCAGGCTCAGGTTTCGTCTTGTGAGTAATGCCATCATAATATACAATAACCTCTCGCCATCTCATACAATACAGCATGTTCCCACCCATAATGATCCTCACTCGGCCAAAGACAGCAGCCCCAGGACCACACGGGCGTCTTCCAATCCATTCGACCCCAGTCCACCGGAATCCTGCCCCGCCCTCTCATCGTCATGGGCCAATCCTACACAGCGTGTGAGTCGTGCCGTTTTCGGCCACGACCACTCTCAACTCGTGTGTTCCCTCGCCATTCCCTCCCCTCTTTTCCTTTCTGCTCTTTCCAACCCCCGTGTCCCCCTCCCCCGCCCTCTTTCACCTCGGCACGGCCTTCTCGACCCAGTACCCGGCATCGGGCGTCCTCTCGGCCTTGAGCTCCGCCGCCGTCTTGGGCCGGTCCACCTCCTCCACCCGCACGAGCTCCTTGACCTTCATGATCATGCCGGCCGACTGCGGCGACACGGCCTGGAAGACGGTCTGGCTGCGCCGGTGCAGGCCCAGGGCGGCGAGGACGTCGCGCGTCCGCCGGGGCAGGCCGATGGCGCTGCGGTGCAGGGTGATGCGGAAGAAGGACATGGCTGATTCGGGGTTTTTTTTGGGGGGGGTGGTTTCTCGTTGGTGTTTGCTTGCTTGCCAAGTCTATAAGGCAATGTCCGCGTGGTTCTGTTATGGTCTCGCAGGGAGGGTGACGCCGGGCGAGGACTTGTCGTTTCGGGTTCTGGCCGTGGTACGATGCAGCTGGGCGTGGATCGAGGGACCTCCGGAGAGTGAGTTACCGGGGCGCAATTGGGGCACACAACAAGTCAAGTCGGACCTCTTAAGAGATAATAAGACTTATTGGGGTTAGGAGGGAAGAGTATGTATGCTGTGTGAAGCGGAGCGGAGCGCCTGTGTCGCAAGCATGAGGAGTTCGAGGCTTGAATGCAATTAAAGCGAGGCTCAATGTCGGTTCAGGTCAAGCACTAGTCTTAAGATTTTCGCATCGACATGCTGATAAGGATTAGCTGCGGCCCATCTCTTATCAGCGAGTGCGACCATTCTTGGTTCCACTTCAACACTTACACTCTGTTCTCGATGAAAATGAACAATCACTGTTGACGGGGAAAAGGCAAATACTGATCGATGCATCAACATTTAATCCCTCATTTGAGCACCGGGCACGAGGAACCAGGGTAAATTCATTGCTTCAAATGGACTCCTCTTGTGGGAGTACGTGTTATTAGGGGTACTATAAACTCATGACATTTTCTTACAAGTTCAGCTGTTCGCACAAACCGCGAAAAGCGATATCGCAAGCACCCGTAGTCTAATTCATGGAAATCCTCATGTTTCATAACTCAGCAACCAGCCACTACTGGCGCTCATGGTATCTCTAGATCTGAACCTCAACACGGCCCTCAGCACCCGGCGGGCCAGCCTTCTGCAGCTGGGGCAGAAGGTAGGTGATGTCATCCCAAGGATGGCGGTAGAGACCAGTACGCAGGCGCTTCTGGTCAAGGTAGTGCGCAATCAGACCAATGCTGCGGCCCAGAACGAACAGACCGTTGAGGACGCCCATGTTCAGGTAGTCCTCGGCCTCCTCGGCGCTGAAAGCACCGCAGTTGCGCATCAGGTCGACGAAGCAGACGGCAACGCAGCCATCGACGTTGAGGATCAGGTTGTCCTTCTTGGAGGTGGTGACGGTCTCGACAGCCAGCGCATAGTCAAGCAGCTTGTGGTTGGGGAACTTGGCCTTGACGTACTCCTTGACCAGCTCAACACGCAGATCAGGGTTGTTCCTGGACTTGACACGGTGGCCAATACCAGGGATGAGCTTGTTCTGCTTGCGCATGGTGTCAACAAACTCACGAGGGCTCATGCCCTTGTCAAAAGCCTTGGTGAACTCCTCAGCGGCGCCATCCAGAGCACCGCCGAATCGCGAGCCAATGGTGAGCAGACCCGACACCAGGGCGCTGATGAGGTCCTTGCCAGCGCGGGTGGTGATGATGGTGTTCATGGCACCGGACACAGCGGGACCGTGGTCAGCCGTGAGCATAAGAACCATCTCCAAGAACTTGGAGGCGTAGTCAGGAAGACGGCGACGGAACCAAAGGAGGGACATGACACCACCGATACCGATGTCCTCCCTGAAGACATCGGAGATGGGCATGCCCGCATACAGAAGCTCCTGGCCACGGTCATCGGAGATGGTGGAGATGAAGGCGGCAGGCTTGCGGATGAGGCCCAGCTCCTGTGCCCACGAATAGTCAAGAGGGATCTTGGGAACAGGGGGCTCAGCCTGGGGCCTGATGGTGCCAGCCTTGACCAGCTTTTGGTAGACAGCAGCCAGGAGCTGGGGCAGGTCCTCGAAGGTCTCGGGGACGAAAATGCCAGCCTCCTTCATCATCTTGTTCTTCATAGCGGCGGTCTCGAGCTGCGAGTTGGCGAAAGCACCAGCGTGGCCGAACTGAACTTCAGTCTTGAACATGCTGGCGCAGGTACCGATAGCCCAGGCGACGACGGGCTTGGTGATGACACCCTGCTTGACGGCATCGATGACCTTGTACTCCTCAACGCCTCCAACCTCACCCAAAAGCAGAAGAATCTTGCAGTCAGGATCGGCCTGGTACCTCAGCAGATGGTCAATGAAGGTAGTTCCGGGGTATCTGTCACCACCAATGGCAACACCCTCGTAGACGCCGTCGGTGTTCTGGGAGACGATGTTGTTCAACTCGTTGGACATGCCGCCAGACTTGGAGACATAACCGACGGAGCCGCGGCGGTAGAGCTTGGAGGCAACGATGTTGTCCATCATACCACCAGTGTTACCAATCTTGAAGCAGCCAGGCTTGATGCCACCAACGGTAGCGGGGCCAATGATGGTGATGCCCTTCTTCTTGGCGATGTAAGCCAGCTCACGGGCGCGCTGTAATCAGCATTGTCAGCACGTAATCCGACGAAAACAGCCCATAGCGTATCCAAAGTCAACGGCAACTTACCCTCTCAGGAACACCCTCGGCGATGATAGCAATAGTCTTGACCTGAGGGAACTCCATGAGCTCCAGGGTAGAACTGTAGACACTTCGGGAGGAGGCGAAGTTGACCACAACATCGACATCGGGATGCTTCGCCATGGCCTTGTTGACCTCCTGGTAGACAGGAAGCAGAGTCTCACTGGTACCCCAGTAGAACTTGCTGACGAACTGGCCACCAAAGGTGTAGATGATACCAGCGACGGAGGGGGTGCTACGCTTGCAGATGAAGTCGAAATCCAGCATTCCCTGGACAGCGCGGTGCTGCATGCCGTAGACGAAGCATCTCGTCTTCTGGTTGAAGAGGGCGTGTGAAGGGAGGGGGCTCAGCGGGCGGCTGGGGGCGGCAAAGCGGGTGATGTTATCGTTGGCAGAGAGGCCACCGCTGCTGGTGCCGTTCACGCCGTTGGCGGCAGCGTTGGGAGCAGGCATTTTGATGGATATCGAGGCTCAGGACTGGGGGTATAATTTCGTCGAAGTGAAAGGGGAATCTGTAGTTAAGAAACCAATTGATTAGCCATCTCGCACCAAGCAAAGGTTGCAGACCATGTTTCAATGGCGAACGAATGCTTCGGTCGGCTCTCCGAAGTTCCTCCAAAAGATGGGCTTTGGAGCCACACATCGACTGTCTGAAGCTCGGCGATAGCTTACACCCGGGGTTTTGAGCAGTGTACAGCTTACGAGGGGTCCAACATTGTTGGCCTCAAGCTGCTGCCGACCGCCATCATCCCAATGATGCAGAACCAGCTCCAGCGCATCTTGCCAATGCAAAAGAAGCTTACGTACCTTGAATCTAGCCTTTCAATGACCAATCTTGGGAGAAGATGCCGAAAACAACAACAAAAGCTTGTAGGGAGAGTAGACTCGTGAGATGGAGAAGATGGTTCGCAAGAGTTGAAATTTGGAAGTGGTGGATTTTTTCCTTTGTCGCTCTCCAAGGGGGGGGGAGAGCAAAGCAGATGCGGTAGTAGGCGGCGTGTCCCAGCGACCAAAGTACCAGGAACGAAAAGCCAACGAGCTTGGTAGTAGCGTTGCTGTCCGGACTCTGCTTGGTCGGAGCGTTTTTTTTCTTTGGGTGTTGGTGGGCTGTTTGGCTTGGCTGGGCTGAAGCTGATAGCGCTGAGGTTATGGCGTGGTGGAGGGGGGTGGGCACTGCTGAGTTGGCTGCCGGGGCTGGGTGCAGGTAGCAGGTACTTTGCGCACTCGAAGCGTGACTCAAAAGATTCGCTTGGGAATTCGGGTCCCTCGTCAAAATCTGGCGTGGCTATTGTCTCGTCCAAATTGAGTCAATATCCCCACTGCCAGACAAATTCGCCGTGCTGATGGAAAAAGTCGCCAGGGACGAGGAAAAAAAGTTGGGGAAATTCCAAGTCTTGTTGATTCGTTGACCTGTTGAATGCTCAATTTCAAGGGACGGACCCCTGGTCCCCGCCTTTTAGTGCGGTGATGATCATGTACCGGTACCCCAAGGCCATCAACCGCCGAACGATGGATGCACCACCGATGACCGTTGTCCACCCTCAAAGCGGTCACGAATGTCTCCCCCCTCCTTGTCGGGTTCCGAAACGGTGGCCATGAGCGATAAAAAAAAAAGTCAGGAAATGCGAACACAGCTAGATGGGAGACCCAGTAGAGACGGGGAGACTGCCATCGGAAAAGAAGCACTAGCTTCAAATTCTAAGAGAGGCTTCCAAGGTTGGCCAGATCTCCAAGGTCCTTCAGGCGGCAAGCACTTGAAAGAAAATAACGACCGCCTGAACGGCAGCTCTGATCTGCTGAGTTTCAGGGGGGCTGCGCCGTTGGCATGACACGGAGCATTTTCTTCAAGAGCCCCATAAAAAATCACACGTAGAGAGAGCACGCACTTGACCCAAGGATAAGGTTGTTCAACAAAGAAAAATCCCCCATGGCAGGCGCTTGACGCTAGAAGACAGAGCACACACCTCTCCAGGTGCTGCTTTGGGCACACCGGATGGTCCCCAGGGAGCAGTCCGCGGAGGGCGCTCCCGATGCAAACCGGTACGACCTAGAGCACTTGCCCAGAATACCGGATACCGAGGAACAGCGCAATCAGCCGGGCCACGGTAAAGCTATGAATAGTCCGGCGAATTCGAGGGAGCAAATGACACCAGTCTGCGTGTAAGATGGGTACCTATGTAGGTAACCCGAGGGACAAGAAAATGGAGAATGGACCGGACGTCTTCTCTGGGCTTCCAGTGCAACTCGCACCAGTGTAAGCCACCAAGAGACAAGATCGGGGACTATGCCTCCCCCCCCTAAAAAGTCGGGACCCATGGCGGCGCTCAACCAAGTGATAGGTGCTTTGTAGAGGTACCTTGAGCCTCAGACCGCTAGGTCGCTAAAAAATCCCCCCAAAACTTTTAGCGTGTACCTGGTACCTGAGACTCTGCCAACCAGTGGTACCTTGTGCCAAGCCCCGGTCAGCACGCAAGCTGTTCAGTCGAAACGAGGGTCCCGGCCGCCTGTTGTTGTCTGGTGGGTGGTGGTAAGGTGGGGGAGGAACTGCCACCACCTCAAAGCTGTCTGTTTGCTGGGAAATTTTTCGAAAGGTCGACTCCAAGAGGCGGTATCCATTTCGAAAGAACTCCTGCCCTCTCTGACCTCGTCTCCATCACCACCACTTCCACTCCCAATTCCATCTCGATTTGTGTTGTCTGCTTAGACATTGCTCTTTTCTTCCGGCCTCCCGACCAGAACTTCACGAAGCTTGTAAGTCCAGCGTCAATTGCGTTGCCCTCAGGGTCCCCCCGGAGCTTTCCAGCGCTCCCTTTGGCCAGTTGCGCCAGCCAACTGGATGCTCAAATCCATGCGCAACTCTGTAGCGTTCCACTTGGGCCACGAATGGCTGACATGCTTGCCTCCTGATGCAGATTGAGAAGAGAAGAATTGAAAACAGGGAAATTGAATCTCGAAAACAAAAGAGATCACTGAAACTTTCAGTCACATACCTGAGACCGTCTTCACCATGTCTGCCAAATCCATCTTCGAGGCCGACGGCAAGGCAATCCTCAACTACCACCTGACCCGGGCACCCGTCATCAAGCCCTCGCCTCTCCCTCCCCCGACCAAGCACAACGCCCCTCCCAGGCTCGCCGCCCTCCACTTTGCCGAAGATGCCAACGTTCAGGACGTCCTCGACCAGGCCGAGGTCACCTACCCGTGGCTGCTCCAGTCCGGAGCCAAGTTTGTCGCAAAGCCCGATCAGCTGATCAAGCGGCGAGGCAAGAGCGGGCTCCTCGCTCTCAACAAGACCTGGGCTGAGGCCCGTGCCTGGGTTGCTGAGCGGGCCGGCAAGGTGCAGAAGGTCGAGCACACCGAGGGTGTCCTGAGGCAGTTCCTCGTCGAGCCTTTCGTGCCCCATCCCCAAAACACCGAGTACTACATCAACATCAACTCCGTCCGAGATGTAAGTGGTGCCAATTTCCTTCAAGTTTTCCCTGTCTGCGGGCAGACATCACGTGATGCACGAGCACCGTGGGCGAGTTTGGGGCTGTTCAGCCCAGAACAGCGGACAGATTCGTCAGGGGACGACACGCGAAAAATGAGACAAGGGGGAAAAAGCGTTATATGAACAATCAAAAGGTTGTGTGGCTGGCATTATGTGGGAGCGCAGAGCTTTTGACAGATGTGCGGGTTTTCTTTGCCTTTAGTTCTCCTTGTCGGCCGCAGAGATCCGCTGCACCGGACGAACGGAGACTAAAAATTGAGATTACCTGGTCCATCGCTTCGGCATCTGCACCCACATTCCGCACCGCAGCCCGCAGACTGGTGGTCCTAACCCCGGCTGAAGCCGTTGCACCAACCCACTCGTTTCCCCATGCATATCGACTAATACATATTGACTATAGGGCGACTGGATTCTGTTCACCCACGAGGGTGGTGTCGATGTTGGTGATGTTGATACCAAGGCTGAGAAGCTCCTGATCCCCGTCGACCTCACCGAGTACCCTTCCAACGAGGTCATCGCCAGCACCCTTCTCAAGAAGATTCCTCAGGGCCTGCACAAGGTCCTGGTCGACTTCATTACCCGTCTGTATGCTGTCTATGTCGACTGCCAGTTCACATACCTCGAGATCAACCCCTTGGTAGTCATCCCCAACGAGGATGCCACCTCTGCTTCTGTCCACTTCCTGGATCTTGCTGCCAAGCTTGACCAGACTGCTGACTTCGAGTGCGGCGTGAAGTGGGCCATTGCTCGGTCCCCCGCTGCCCTCGGCCTCACCAACATTGCTCCCCAAAGCGGCTCTGTCAACGTTGATGCTGGCCCGCCAATTGATTTCCCTGCGCCCTTCGGCCGTGAGCTCTCCAAGGAGGAGGCCTACATTGCTGAGCTTGATGCCAAGACCGGTTCTTCGCTGAAGCTCACGGTCTTGAACCCTGCTGGCCGCATCTGGACTCTGGTTGCCGGTGGTGGTGCCTCGGTCGTGTACGCCGATGCCATTGCCTCTGCTGGCTTCGCCGACGAGCTCGCCAACTACGGCGAGTATTCTGGTGCGCCCACCGAGTCTCAGACGTACCACTACGCCCGCACCGTGTTGGACCTGATGCTCCGTGCTCCCGTGAGCCCCAAGGGCAAGGTCCTCTTTATTGGTGGCGGTATTGCCAACTTCACCAACGTTGCCTCTACTTTCAAGGGTGTCATCAAGGCCCTGCGCGAGTACGCCACCGTTCTCATTGAGCACAACGTCCAGATCTGGGTCCGCCGTGCCGGTCCCAACTACCAGGAGGGTCTGAAGAACATGAAGGCCGCTACCCAAGAGCTCGGTCTCAACGCCAAGATCTTCGGCCCCGAGATGCACGTCTCGGGTATCGTGCCCCTGGCTCTGATTCCCGGCAAGTGGGAGGAGGCCAACGTGCAGGAGTTCAGCGCTTAAAACCGAAAAAGAAAAAGCCGCGGAGAGAAGATGGTGATGACAAAGCATAGAAAGAAGCCGCTACCTAAATACCCGAAGGAGTGGAAGGGCTTGGAGGGAAGAAGTGCTAGACAACAAGATGGCATGGAGAAATCATTTGCCATGTTACCCTGCATACACACACACACACCTTGACTGTACGCTGATGAATGAATGGATGGGTGGGTGATGCGGGCGGATATGATGAGCTGTTGTTATAATTAGACATCTGTAATGTGATGAATCCATTCAGTCATGAAGAAGATAACTTGTTTTCAACGGAATAATGTGACCAGAGGATGAAACGGATTGAGCAAGATGAAGTTACCGAAACCGCCAATAAGGGTCTGGGTCCTCATGGTTTCAATATAGCGGCCTTGGAGACCACCTTCTTTGGGCAAAAAGCCCCATCACTTCATGATAACGAGCATCACCGCGAGGCACATTGACAACAAGGAACCGTCGGTTTTGGATCAGAACGCTAATTCAAGTCTTCATTCCGCCTCGCTGATCTGAATTGAGTCTACAGAAATCCCCCCGGGAGCTCAAAAAACAAAACCTACAAAAGGGTAATACAACAACAATAAGGTGCGGGGGAAAAAAAGGGGAAAAAACACCAACGGAAAAATCGCTGTCATGCTGCGCGGCCCAAAGGAAACAAGAGATGCCGTCATAAGTCAAAACAAATGAGTAACCAGGAAGATGTTGTGCAACCAAGGGCAAACCCAAAGTCGGGCAACGGATCCAGTGCCCTCGAGCCACCAAAACGACAGCCAAACCATAGAGGGCACGGCTCAAGTGATATGAAAGCTCTGGCAACAGGGAATTCCACAACAGTTGCATTCCCCCTGCTGCTGCTGTGGCTGCGGTGGCTGAGGAGAAAGGTGAGAAAGAAGCTGCCCTGCTGGTAGAGCTGGACGCGGCTCTTCGATGACGAACTGTTCCATTCCGGTTTGCTTCTGGGCCCCAGCCGCTGCCTGCTCATGACGTTGATTCTCGCGTCTCTGTTGATCCCCGTCGTGGCCGTGCAGTTGCGAGTCGTCGTGCCGCCGTATCTCGTCGACGTTTCTATAATGCTCCAGATCGGGTTCCTGGCTAGCACTGACCAGTGGAATACCGTCTGGCTCCTCGGGCTCCCACCACGCATACTCGCCGTTGGGGACCCATTCTTCGCCATGCCACCACCTGTCAATGTAATCGATTGCCGAAAAAAGCTTTGTGTAGGCATGTTTAAATCCCCCCTAGGGGCACCGCCAATTCGGACAAAAATAATACTAGATTAAGAGGCCGAAGAAGGCGGCTGCGGTCAGGGCCAAAATGCCGACGCCGCTGGCAGCCATCTCTCTCTTTCCGAGAGCAGCGTTCTTCTTGGACTGGGTGGGAGAGGAGGAAGAGCCGGTCGAGGAAGCGTTGCCGTTGCCCGAGGTGCCCGAGGGGCTGTTAGAACCAGGGGTGTTGCTCTGATCATCAGCCAAGGGCTTGACGGCAAGGCCCTGAAGCTCGGTTCCATCGGGGTTCTTGACCTTGTACTTGACGGTATAGTCGTCAATCTTGATGATCTTGCCAACGGGAGCGGGCTTGACGCCGTTGTCAATGATCTCCTTGGCTCCTGGGGGAAGAACAGGGATGGTGAAGTTCTTGTCAAAGCCGGCCTCCTTGATGAGCTTAGAATCGCAGGTAGGGGGCTTGGGAGACGAGCTGGAAGGCTTGGTGGCCTGGATGGTCTTGGAGTCGATCTTGGCATACTGGTTCTTCAGCGTGTAGAAGTCGGCGAGGATATCGGCGGAGCCATCATCGTGGATGTCAACCAGACCATAGTTGTTGGGCTCCTGGGCAAACTCGTAGACAACACCGCCACTGAGAACGGGCGTCATCTTGTCGCTGTACAGGGCACCGACCTCGGTGAAGACGCGAGGCTTGACTTCGTTGCAGCCATACTCGGAGAAGAAGACGGGGACCGATGTGCCAGTGAAGTTCTTAACAAGCTGGTCATACTGGCTCTTGGTGAAATCGCTGTTTCCGCACCAGCTGTAGCTGTTGAGAGCAAACATATCACCACGGCTGGGGTCGGTGGCATCACCGTTCTCGGCGCAGGTGAAGAAGTTGAAGCTGTCCATGAGAACATCACGAACGTCAGCAGCGGAGTAACCGACAGGGATGGCGCGGTCGGCGTGCTTGGCGATGTAGTTCTTGAGATCGCGGGTGACGGCACGGATGTAGCGGGGAACAAACTCGGCGTCCTTCTCGGCGCTGATGACCTCGTTGCCAGAGAAGAAGCCCAGGAGGTTGGGGTACGACTTGAAAGCCTCGACGATGGCGAAGGTGCGGTTCAGGTAGGCAGCGTAGTACGAGGTCCACGGCTCCCAGCTGCTGATGCTCTCGCCGACAAGAGGCGAGTTGACGTCGATCAGCATATACATGCCGGCCTGTAGATGGCATGTTAACAGACTAGTCCCTCCGCCAGCGATCGCAAAACGAATTTGAGTGGTCAAGACTTACAGCGTTGAAGATACTGGCGCACGCATCGTGGTTCAAGTTGGGATCCAAGTTGTAGACACGGATGGTGTTGACACCAAGGATCTGCATCAGGGCGGCATCACGCAGGCAGTGGTCCTTGTCGCTGAGGGGGTCCTTCTTCTTGTCGGGCTGGTAGCCGGCAGAGCCACCAGGTTGGTAGGCCATACCAACGATCTGGAAGCGGTCACCAGTCTTGGGGTTGACAAAGGCATTGCCCTTGACCTCGAGGGAGGGGACGGCGGCGACGAGGCTCGCGCCGAGAGCGAGAAGCGGTAGGGAGAACTAAAGGATAGGCAGATGTTAGTTATAGTTGTCTGCGGTGCAAAAAAAAACAGCCGGTTTTGCACATCGCATCAGCCGGCGTGGTAGGTTCGGTATAGCCGGGACGGTTCCAAGTTGGTTGGTAGCTTGCTCCGAACCCAGGGTAAGGGAACGGATCTACAGGGTCCAGCCAACATTTTTCTTTTTGTTTCTCTACCCGCGCGACACGGTGATAGGGTGCTCAGGGCGACAGTGAGAGGCGCAGACTTACATGCATGATGGAGAAGAGGCAACTGGTGCGACCGAATTTCTGCTGTAGTACCAGGCAATGGGCCGTCGACAATTATATCAAATATAGGCCCGGCGATAGGTGCTGAACCAAGAAAGTGACTGGAATTTGGGGAAAAGCGCGTGGAGCAAAAGAGCGACTGGAATGTGAAAAGAGGGTTTTAAGAGCACGAGGCCGCCTTGTTGTCAGTTCATAGACGTGACAGTCAAGACGAGGACCGGAAGGAGTGACAGGAATGGGCAAGAAAACGAACTCGCAGCGGCTGCGGTGTTGCTGAGCAGAGGAGAGAGAGAGAGAGAGGCGGGCTGAGAGGAAACACGCGGAAATAGCTTCAAAATATGTTTTTTATTTCATAAGAGGGGGGGACGAGCCGGTACAACGGGTGGCTTTTCCCGTCTTTCGCGCTCCCTCACCGGCGCTCTCGCTTTCCCTACGGACATCCCCACCTTCTGCATCAAATGCTACCTACCCTAATAGGGACCCCTACTCCCACTACTCCATCATCGCTGGGCATCATCCGCCCATCCATCCCGTTCCTTCGTTCATTCATTAGATGTGCATGGACCCCTGTCTCTGCATTGACAGGCAAGTCTGTTCGGTTGTCGGGACCATATCGAAGGAAAAAACCACCAGCACGGCGTCAGAACCCCCCTGAATTCTTAACTAAGGTACCTGTAATTCTGGGGGACGATAGATCCATTCCCGTGGACTCTGCAGCTGTTTCTTGTTAGCGTCTCACCAAGGTTAGAACGCCCGCCAATCCAGGCTGCCAAGCAACCTGGTGGGTGCATTAGCGTAGCCAATGGAGTTCCCAAGAGCACAGATACGACAGTCTCGTGTCTCTCGGCCGCTGCGCTAACCCTGTTCCTGTCATATCCGCTTGCTCTTGTTACCCACTCAATTTGCCTGACAACCGAAATGGGTTGTCCGCCCAGTCAAGCCAGGGGTCTCGAGAAGTGCTGTACGACGTACGAAGAGTAACTACTTGTACAAGGTCCATTGTGATTCACCGAGACTCATGCACCACGTGGATCACGGAACGGCGGCGGCTGTCTGTGAAGACTGAAGAGACGGACCAGGCATGCAACAGCTCAACTACATTACCTACCTAGGTATGTAGGGATCTGAGCTCGTCTTCGACAACGCCTTGTTCAGTTTCAATAGCAACTGGTCACAACTGGTCACGATCTACTTGTACCAGAGCGCGTTCTTCTCTGTCTTCTGATCGGCTCTTGAGCACCAATGTCCATACCTTTGCTCTTGCGAAATGATACCAAGGCGCGGCGGGCACCTCCCAAGCCTAGCCAAGAAGCCTTCCACCCAGGACTTTGTGATTATGCCAACGCAGGCCAAGGCACCACGGCGCGTCACCAAATATCTGTCTCTCCTGCGCCTCCCTTGGCTGAGCGATCCACCCGCGTCTCGAGAGTCTCACGACAAGAGCCGCTGTTGTTATTCTAATGAAACTACGGGTAGTATCGAATTCTCGCGAGGCTGACCGCCCTAAAACATCGCTGTCGTCATAGAATTCCCCTATGCTATTCGGTGATTACGATTCACGGTCTTGGCAGGGTGTAAGTGCCGATCTCTCTGGAGTCCTGTGCCCCTCCGCCCCGGATCACCTGTATACGGTGTCGTCCATCTAACTCCCGCCCTTTGTATTTCACGTGTGCCCATGCAATCTGATGCAGGTCCCTGGGTCCTGCGAGGCTCTTCCGCTGTCATTTGGGAGTCCCGGGTCAAAGACTTGGCCATATGGACTCAACGTACCCAGCCCATGGTCTTTTTCCAAAGGCGGTCATTCTAGCTGTAGCAACGATCCCCTGCTGGCGGCCTCCCTATGCTCTACCCATTGCGTAGGAAGCTACAAGACCTAAGTCGAAGTGCCGGTAGTTAAAGTCAACGATTACCGCTATACGTGTGCGAACAACACTGTGTACTCGTCTGAGTTGCGATGCTCAGTAGTTGTCATCGCTAGCAAACATAGCAAACCTTGGCGCAGAGTGCATCTGATGGCTTGGAGAGTCCGTGTTTATGTGTATCCCCGAGATGAATTGCGAGAGGAAATGCCGGCCTAGCTTGCCTGGACTTGTCTTGATTCCACACAAGGTGTTCCCTTTCACTGCGAGAAGAAGTCTGACCAGCCGAAAATGGGGCTTTCCACCTTGTATTTTGATAACTCGGCTACTGAAGATCCGAAACTCGAGCTTTGCTATCAAGACCTCGGATTATATTGCTTCGATCCACGCCTGATTTCTTGTGCTCCTTCGCTAGTCTAGGCCATCTGCAATACTCGTCTTCCGAGTGATGGGCTAGGCTACGCGACGTCTAGTGCTTTTGCACGTCACTACCCGTCTTCTTTGCGCCATAGTTGCGGTCAAATCTCAAGAAGGATGGCACACCCTCGATAAAGCAACTGGACATCCACAGCAGCCAATCCACACTGAGCCTCTTCACGCCGGCAGGCGCCAGCCGGGTGCGGTCGAGCCACCAAGCCTCGGCGACGTGAATAGCAACGACCGGCACAAAGATGGTCTGGGTCAGCCAGGTGAACATGGCCGGCCCGCCGGGGAAGCGCACCGCCTCGAGGAGCCTCCAAGGGGCGGTGCCCGGCTGCACGAGGCCGGCGCGGACGGCACCCCAGCTGGTCCAGTAGAAGAGCACGCCGAAGAAAGAGATGAGATCGGCACCCGCGGGCCGCTTGAATCTGGCGCCGCCGCTCAACCCCAGCGCCTGGCGTGCCTCCATCGACATGTCGACAAGGCGAGTGCGTCGGTCGGTCCAGCTGGCCATGGGGGGACTGAAAGGGATGACGTGGGTGCTGCCGGAAGCCGTGGCGATGGTCATGGACCGCTCGTCAATGTCCGTCATGCGAGGGCTGTCGGCGGCGGCCGAGGAGGAGAGCCCAGAGAAGTGGCGCAGATAGAGGGAAAGGTCCTCTGTGTGCTCCTTGTTCATGTGAGCCATGGTGCGCTCTTTGGATGCTGGGTCTGAGGTCGCCATGTTGAGCAGTCTCCTTTCTTCCAAGCAGGATTAAAAGGCACGAAGCAGCCCCTTTTTTGACCTCGGTTGGTACGGCAGATTATGGTCTCGAAGACTCACCCGCAGAGCTCAAAGGGCGAAGCTTACGGGGTTAGGGTCTCTTAGAGTCGGCGACCTTGAACTGAGGGGAAATGAGAATTGAGGCGAACTCAGGTTTGATGATAGGGTTTTGATGTTTGGAGGCAATGGCATTCAGTGCAGATTGCCGGATCGATCCATCAAAATATCAAAATCGGAGCCCCCGGCATGTGGGGTCACCACGGATGGTTAACCTGGGGTGCGAACCTCTGCTCCAGGTCTTGCTCCAGCTGTTTACGACTTGATATCGAACAACCAAGTCGCGAAGCGAAAGGGCTACTACCTCTATTACCTCATTACATGACCTTGGAGCCATCGTTCTGCCTCGTGGCCATCGGTAAAGTGTCGTCTAAGGCGCACGGCATAGACACAGGTCCGCCGTTGCCCCTCGGGCTGAACGTCTCACGGCTGCATGCCTTTTTGGGAGATGCCCTATCCCTCAATTGGATATTGCTATGCTTGTATTTTCAACTGCAGCCTGGAGTTCACGTCTGAATCGATGTGTTCGCCTGGTTGTGCGAGTTATTAATGTGACATGATCAGTTGCCAACAACACCTATCGCGTCCTCAAGACTCCCAATGCACCGAAATCGGTCACTTTATGACTCATCTCGGCCTTGACTGGCAGCCCTCTCGTGAGAGGTGTGTGACTGTTCCATCCATACGGAATGGCAAGCGTTGGGGATGATGTATTGTCCTCGGAGATACTGAAAGATGGTCCGGACATTTGTTGTCACTCGCAATGTTTGTGCAGCATCAAGCTTCGGCCGTGATGTCACAGAAAGAGTCAATGGAAAAACAAGCATCATCTCCTTCTCTGTGTTCTACCTAGGTATTTCAAGAAATAGAATACCAATGCCGAGTAGTGCTTGTAGGAGTAGGTATGGGGTATCAGTGGCCGGCTGCACTGAGTAGGCACCCCAGCCGCATGGAGAGTCGACCCACTTCGGACAAAATGCGTAAATCCGAGCGTGACTTTTTCTCCCAGTTGAAAGCTCTTTTGCCGGCACCGGTGACGATGCTCATGTCAGCAATACTTCAATCGCATCTTATCAGATCCCCTCTGCTCAATTGCGCCAGTTTCGCCAGTCCAAAAGGACAAGAAAGGCTGCAGATTATGTAGTTGCTTCTTGATTGATCGCGACAAAGAGTTTTGTGGTCATCTCATCGCGCCTGTACGCACGTACGACGTACAACATGGCTATCGATAGCGAGAGCACGCCTCACGACATGTCCGAGCCGAAGACGGTCAGTGACACCACATCGCCGAACACTGACCCGACTTCCCTCGGAGACAAGGACAAGGACGAGTCTCACCCTCGGAAGCGCCAGCGCGTCCGCCTGTCCTGTCTCGAGTGCCGTCGGAGGAAGCTGTCGTGCGACCGAGGCTTCCCCTGTGAGCGATGCATCAAGTCTGGCACTCCCGAGAGATGCACCTATGAGACACGGCCCGGCCTCGCGCCTCCCGCCAAGAACGGCCTGTCCCAGGGCGCTCTCTCGGCCTTTGACTCTCGTCTGTCATTCTCAAACAGCAGCTTGGATCTTTCTCTCTATCGGAAGGATTCGACAAGGGATCATGACCGAATCCGCAGGCTCGAGCTCGAGGTAGTGCAGCTCAAGAACCTACTCGAGAAGCGTCAGGGCTCGGAGGATGGTGGCCACTTCGCCGATATGTCCACGGCTAGCCACCGGCCGCCGTCGAGAGATGTCGTCAAGGAGACGCCCATACCTCAATTCGTCCAGCAACACCAGCAAGCAGGCGCCGACGATGATGAATTGCGTTTCTTCAGAGGCAAGGAGTTCAAGACGAGGTATTTCGGACCCCATAATGCATGCATGGCCTTCAGTGAAGTAAGTTTGTCAATCACAGAAGCCCCTTGTGTCTCTTGCTTGTCTTGACTGGCTTTCTAACCGAGCATAGCTCACGGGGTTGACCCCTTTCATGAAAGAAACTGCCGAGGAATGGCTGAAGCCGCTTCACTTCAAGACCAAGGATCGTGGGAAGCGGAAGAGGGAGCGCGAGGAGAGGTTCGCGCAATCCAGTCCCGAATTGGAGGCTTTGCTCCCCACCCGGGAGGAAACCGATGCCCTGGTCTCTGTCTACCTCGACCAGTTCGAACAAGTCCACAGGATCGTCCACGTCCCGAGCTTCCGCAAGGAATATGCAAAGTTTTGGGACCCTGCTGTGCCTCGGTATGCGGCTTTCACAGCTCTTGTCCTGGCTATGATGTCCATTTCAAGCTGCTTGCACGGCAACACAACGGGCAAATACGTCGGCATGGTGTCCCACTCGCATCACATGGCTGTGAATTGGGTCAAGGCCTGTGAGGACTGGCATCAGCATCAGAGCCAGAAGCACCGAAAGCTCATCCACTACCAGATTGTCTGCATGATCTACTTGGCGAAGCGTGTCAACACCATCAAGAAGAAGAGGTTTTGGAAAGACGCAGGCGCACTCGTCCAAGACTGTGTATCTGTTGGCCTGCACCGGGATCCGAGCCACATTCATGACAACATCTCCGTGTACAACCAGGAGATGAGAAGGCGCATCTGGGCCACCATTGTCGAGTTTGACATGCAGGCTTCGTGCGACCATGGCCTGCCTTCGCTCCTCAGTTCCCTCCACACCGATGTTGAGCCGCCCAGCAACGTGGATGACGATGACTTCGACGAGGATACAACCGAGCTACCCGAGTCCAAACCGGCGGACCATTATACCTACTCTTCGTATCAGTATATCAGTCGTCAGAGCCTCCCGCTCCGACTGGAGCTGAGCCGCGTGCTGACTGGACGCCCCGACGAGCTCGATTATGAGCAGGTCATTCGATATACGAACGACATCACTCAAGAGATTGACTCGCTCCCTTCTTGGGATATTAATGCCGATAAGGACTCGGAAAGCAAGCGCAAACCGCTCCTCGCCTATACTCTTCTGCACGTCCAGTTGAGGCAGTACATCATTCCGCTGCACCAGCCCTACCTCAAACTCCGAAAGACGAACTCGAAGTACCAATACTCGGAAATCATCTACTACAACGCTGCTCGTGATATGGTCCTCTTGCATGACAAACTCACAGAGCAAGGGGTCCGCACTCTCAATTTCCTGCGCGAGGATGCGCTCACCCTGTCTATCAATCTTTGCAGTGTGACCATGTTGCAATCTAGAGGTACAGCCCCCCCATTTATCCCCAATTGCTCTTCCCATGCTAATGTAGATGCTATGCAGGATCGACAAACATGATCATGGTGAATGCGCAGCACACCATAAAACTCCTGGAGAAGTGTTTGGCGATGAAGGAGGATCGTATAATCCGCTGCGGGAACGACGAGCCCTGGGGATACTCTATCATGTGTGCGGCGTTTGGTCTCTTGGAAGCACACCTCGGCGAAAAATCACCAGAGCAAGCCAAGGCGTCTTCGGCAGAGCGCTTCATCAACCTCCACTACAGGCTTCTGGCATGGCAGGAGCCACCGAATCCGAGCCTCGGGCAGGGACAGGGCTTGGGCCCGAGCCAGGGCCCGGTCCCGCCCCCTCAATGGAACAAGGGCATAGTCGAGCCTCCTCCGGACAGACAGAAGGTATGCTTGCTCTTTTAAGAAACAAACGCACAAGCTTTCAATGCTGACTGGACGGCGTTGCAGTCCATGACTCCTCTCTTCCCTGCCTCTCAAGCTTCAATGGCCTCTAGCGACGGAGCCCTTCCTGTGCCCTGGTGGCTACCAAATGCTACCCCTGCAGCTGTACGTGTTTGATCTTGGTGACATCTGGATCGAGTTCCATGCTCGCGAATGAACGTGCTTGCTGACCAGATTTAGATTCCTCCCTCACAACCCATCAACCCCGACTTCAGCTTCGAACTTTTGGGTCTGAATTTGAACGAGCTCTGGGGAGACTACTCTTACGAGGACTTCTCCTGAACGACCTCCAGGTGATCTGGACATAATATGATTGAAAATTGCAGCAGCATGTTTGACCATGGGGATTAGTTTTGCATTTATTTTTCACTGGCTTTCAAAGTGCTTGGTGCCCCTGTCCTCAGCCCGAGACATACCTCCTCCCTCGTATTAGCATGGAATTCGTACACGCTCAGATACCCTTTTATGTTGTGCAGGAGCTTGAAGTTTAGTTTGAGTTACAACGCACCTACCAAATGCAAAAGTTCAAATTTTCGGTTAACCCGGCTGTATCTTGATGTGCCTGCCTGAATTGAGCACCGTCTGGCAAGTGCAAAGCTATGTGTTCAGAGAGAAGGTACGTTGCGACTGGCAGTTAGGATCACGGCAGGAGCTGCATGCAAGTTCCAACCAAGTTCAGTCAAGTACCACGTAAGGAGAGAGGGACATGCCGTGGTGGTGATTCTCCTCGGCTCGAATTCGCCTGTTTGCAATTCCACGTTGCGTTTACCTGTCTTCTCAAGACCAGATCCTGGTCTTGTCCATTCATTCAGTTCCTTACATGTAAGCATCTGGTCACGGCGCTGGCTAGGCTCACACTTTTACATAAGACCTATCCCCGCATCACCGGAGTATCTGGAGGCTGTCGACGTGTGTCGCCATGTCTTGGCTCTGCTGCTGTCAGCGACGGCCACAATCGCGACCGAGGACCCTCGTGGAGATCCATTCTTCGCCATGCGCCACACCTTCGGTCAAACTTGACCATGTCATCTCATTTCCAGGCGACGCACCGTTCCCTACATGTACACCAAAGACATCTTCGGTAACTCCGATACCGGGTGCGCCGAGCGAGCCACAAGAGGTCGAGGAGTTAATCGTCGACGAATCGGACGATGAACACGGTGCTCAATTCCACCTTAGCCGTCCCAAGAGCACTTCGACTCTCGAATTTGTCAAAACCAAGATTCAAAGGCATCTATCTGTCGATTCAATACGGGGCCCAAGCCTCCAAACAACGGCTTACGGGCCGGAAACAGCTGCACGCCGAGCTGAACTGAGGCGCCTCATGCATAAGAGGATATGGGATGAACTACAATCGGAGGATCACTCCAAGGCTCAGGAGGAGCAAGACGCAGGGCCCGATGCCAGTCTCTCTCAGAGGGACCTCCTTCCAGGTGGTCCCAGGGATATGGTGGAGTTCTCGATTCTCGAGCTTGTCGAAGACCCTACTCGCCGTTCAAGCGGCGTGGCGAGCCATGCCCAGCTGCGTCCTGAGTTAGAAGGCAAAGACTTCGAGAAATTATTCAACCTCACCAAGCCAGATCGTCGTGCCAGCTGTCCCGGTCGCCTTACACGAGATACCAGTCACCACATGCTATCGATTCTCGCGGGAAGGACGAGAAATGTCTCGCTTCCACAACTACCAAGGCCAGCATCGACGACTTCCCTCGAAAGTTTGGCAAGCCAGCAATCACTTGAGTCTTGGACACTGTCAATGAACCCAGATCAACTCAATACGATCTTGAGTCTTGGAGAAGACCCTTCTCGTCGGACTGAGCCATCCGCAGCTTCTATGGCACAAAAGAAGGACAGTTTCCCTTCTGCGGCTATTGAAGGAACCATCGTGCCGCATATCACTGATGATACCCCAAGTGACCGAGCCATCAGCGAAACCGGACCTATGTCGTCTCGTGACGAATCACCGGTGATTCATCCTGGCAATCATGAACAATGCCCATTGAGCACATGGCTCAGAAGTCAAGGACTCAGCTCCGGAGCTCGATCATTTGCCTTCTCCGAGGGCGACTCTCAAGATTCAAACGAGATACACGAAGCCAGACTCGTCAAAATCGGCAGACCAAACAGCATGTTCCATAACATCAACGATCGGGACGGCGAAGAGGGGCTTCGACCCCGGACGGTCCATCTATGTGACATGAATATTCCCAAGCAGTTGGAGTCACAGAGCCTGGCCACATCCACCACATCACCGGTGCGCCGAGCTGTAGGCCTCTCACACATAAGAGGGCCATCTCTACTTACTCAGGAGTCGAGGATCAGCTCTTTGAACCTCCAGCACGGAAACGCTATTGATGATTCATTAATGCATGCAGACCCTCAAACTTCTCATGTTGGACAGACTCAAAACTCCGTGTCCCGCTCGTCATCAGTATACACAGCAAGCCACTGCAGTCACATCTCTATCGCTACTTCAACTCATCAACATGCTATACTCGGAACTCACGAGAAGCTTGGTAATGAAGGTGTACTGGTCTCCAGTTCCCAAAAGCCGGATGTTGGTATGTTGCCCCCGTAAAATGTGAGCCGTGAAGCCTTCGCTGACCAACATGGACAGGTCTAGGTGCACACTTTCGACGACTGCCTGTCTTCTCAAGACGGAATTCAGCGCAACCGTATGGAAAATCATCGCGAAGATTCTCGTTACAGGCTCCACCTTCTCAATTTGAGTTGCAGCGTGGTCGAAACTCCTCGCCCATAACAGCATCAGAAACTTCCAGCTTTCGTCGTCGAGAAGCTGAATTGCAAGCGATCGAAAAACGATTTGAGAACTCTGAGTTGCGACGGCGCCCGAAAGTGTCTGTGCCCAGTAAATTCAGAGAAGAAGAGGAAATCCGTGGCAGCCCGGACAAGTATTCTGTTTTCTCCAAGATCCATTTGGCGGTCCCCCGAAAAGCACGGCTCTCGCTCAAGCACCATGGCCATACAGAGGGGGCTCAAGACCATACTACCATCTTCCAGTCTATTCGGAGGTGTTCAAGCTTAAGAAGCACCTCCAACCGAAGAGTGTACCCATCAATAGATCCCAACGTGCTAGCCGTGGTCAACTTGCGTGAAGATACAGCAAAAGACAACCTGACCGCGACCCGGCAAGGAGATGCTCGTAATACGAGCAGAAGGGCTCGTCTTAGCAAGCTCCCTCGTAAGAGCAACATTCCACAAGCAAAGAGGCTTTTGGTCAAGGACAATCCGTCAAATCTTTCAACGCTTGAACTCAAACCAGATTGCCAGTACGGATCACCTGCACCAATTACTCAGGCCCAGCTCGCGAATCCATCATCAGACGCTCAAAATACACCATTGGCAGAGATTCAACAACCTATTTGCGAGGAAATCCAGTTTCATGCTGCACCTTCGCACCTATCAGGGAGACAACCTGGGCTACGACTCAGTTCAGAGACTTCGTCCGATGTGGCCGTCGTGCTGGCCGCAAAGGGTTCTCCCGAGACCCTGTCACAATACCCATGTCCCATTCGGGACTCAATAGCTGGAATAGCTGGAACGGATGACTCTGCTCTTGTGAGAGATTATGCAAATGTCTCATCGTTGGTCCAGGATTCAAGCCAAACATTTGTCAATAACAAGCCTTTCATCCGAAGGTCTGCAAGCTCGAACACGCGAGGTTTACCAAAGAAGCTAGGGAGCGGTATTAGAAGAAGATTCGATAAGCTCATGGCCAAGAACCTGGACAGTCCTGTCAACGAAAACGTTCGAAGCTGCATGCGTAGCAGCTGCCACGATAGCGAGCCCATGGACTATCCTAGATCACGAGCCCTGGCCACGGAGGGACATGATCACGCTTTCAGTGAGGGCCAAAGTCCTGATGCTCTCGCCGACCACACAAGCCGAATAACCTCGAATACAAGCGGAAATGAGAATGCTGAGCTCATAGCAGGGGAGCCAGTTGCTTTTGAAGATACTCACAGCTCATCATCATCAGGAATTCCGGACCGAAGTCCGCAGATGCCTTGCCAACGGTGGGGGCTTTCCGAAACGTCCATCAGGGGCCACACGGCAGAATCGACAGCCGCCACTGGCAACACGGAGCGATATGCCACCCCGCTTAGCAGGATTTCGGTTTATCATGATGCTGGCTCCCGCAGATATGCTGCATCGGACACGTTCAACGCCGACTTGGAAATCGCATCGACGAAGAGTGACGCTCCCACAATGAGGAAAACCAAATCTACAACAACACTTAACAAGTGTGGTAGAGAAGACAGCATGACCAAGTTCCAGACTTGGGGTGGCCGGTCCAAAACCCAGCCTGTTTTGATGAGCAGTACTCTAGAATATGGCCAGCAGCTGGAAGAAGCGCTGCAGCAGGAAAAGGATAAAGTTCAAGAGTGGGCATTAGTCGCCGAGATGAGACATTGATCTAGCAGCTACAGTATATGGATAGATATCCATAGGGGAGGGAGATATTGCTGATCATTCTTGTCGCACACTCTATTCACATCGCTGCCGCCGACTTACACATGTAGCACAGTCTCCGGGACTAGTCCACAAAAGACTACAAGCTCGAACTTTTCTCTTCTTTTTGGAGCTTTGCTGAATATGTTGTATTCTAGCTCGGATAGTTTGTATTAGTTCTCAGGTCCTATAAGACTCTGTGGCTATGCTTTTATAATGCCAGCTAAATAAATTTCGTATTATTTGGAGAACCGACAGTGGCAAATGACCACAATTACACAGTCTCATCCTTTGAGATTATCAGTCCTGACTGTTCCATGTCAGAGCGCCTCCTCTCGCGTAGCTCTCGCCTCCGCCGTTGCTCCTCGACCTTGCGCGCCATCTCCTCCTTGCGCTCGCGCAGGGCGATGCAGAAGCGCGAGCCGGCGCGTATCCGCTCGCCCTTCCAGATGAAGGCGAAGGGGATGAGGCACATGAGCAGGCTGAGGCCGCCGAGCAGGCTGCAGCCCCCGGCGATGCCGAGGCGTGTGAACATGGGCTCGGAGGCGAGGGGCAGCACGGTGGCGAGCAGGGCGCGGCAGCCCGAGGCGGCGCCGTTGGCCGAGGCGGCAAAGATTTCGTAAGCGTCGGTGAGGTAGTTGAGGAGGGCCATGAAGATGACTGGCAGAGGGCTTTCAGTATGCACTGGCCTTGCGTGCAAAACGTTGTTGGGGGGGGGGGGAGAAACGGTGAGTGATAGGCATGTGAGTGAAGGAGGAGGAGGAGGAGACAACATACGCATGAATCCCATGCCAAACGGTACACCGGCAAGCATGGGTACGACAAAGGAGACGTCGGCCCTGGCCGACCAGCCGAGCCAGAAGAGACTGATGACGAAGAGCGGGCCGCCCAGGCAGGCGAGGGGCAGCCTCCGGTACTCCTCCTTGCGGGTCCAGGGGGCCTCGCGCTCGATGGCGCGGAGGAGGTACCAGTCCCACGCGAAGAAGATGGGGATGGAGACGAAGGCGCCGGCGCCGATGGCCAGGAAGACGAGCCCGCAGGCGCCCGGGGAGAGGCCGTATATGCCCTGGAAGACGAGCGGGAAGGCCTGGAAGGTCATGTAGAAGATGGCGTAGCAGAGCGAGACGTAGGCGCAGACGCAGCCGACGATGAGCTCGAAGGCGATCATGCGCAGGGGCCGCGTGAGGACGCGCGTGGCGAGCTGCTTGAGGTCGGGCCTCTCGAGCTCGTGCGGCGCGACGACGTTGGCGGCGGCCGTCTTGGGGTCGAGCTGCCGGCGCATGCGCGCGGCGCGCTGCTGGAGCAGGACCGGCGCGTAGGTCTCGGGCAGGAAGGCCGTGGGGACCATGACGGCGCCGGCGTAGATGAGGGCGATCCAGAAGGTCCAGCGCCAGCCGATGGTCGGCGAGGCATAGCCAGAGATGATGGGAGCCCATAGTGGACCGAGGAGCGTCGTCTGTTGTTGTTGGCGGAATGGCTGGGTTAGTAATGACAGCTGGGACGATACAAGATGGGGGGAAAGGGGTCGGGGAGGAGTCATGTTTGGGCGGAAGGTTGTCTACGTACCGCCATGAAGGCCGCCACTGCTCGCCCACGAGTAAGGGGATCGCCGAAGATGTCGGCCATGTAGCCCGTCACGACCGCGATGGGAGCGCTGGCAAAGACACCACAGAAGAGTCTGAAGAACAGAAACCCGGTCCAGCTCGGGGCCAGTGCGCAAGCCATGGTCCAGATCATGAAGACAATGTAAGTCAGCACGGAGATCCACCGGCGGCCGTACTGTTCGCTCAAGGGCGCCCAGAAAATGGGACCTGGGAGATCTCTTTAGCAATAATCCTTCTTGCTACCATGGCACCCCATGTAATCATACCGAAGACATATCCTGTGGAGAGAAGGATGGTTAACAGAGGGCAACTGACAAGTTTCCTGTCTGCAAGAGAACTCACCGATCAGATAGACCGACATGGGCAGCACCTTTTGGGGCTGGCTCTCGACATGCCACTCCTCGGCGATGAAAGGGATGGCGTTACTGGGTAGTGCGCTTCCCATGGTACTGTTAATAATTAGCATCATGGTTGTGCCAAGGATACACATCTTCTTCGTCTAGAGAAAGCCGTCAGCCCACTTGCTTGGAGGTGAGCAAGCTCTAGGAGTCCTAGCAAGCATGGTGACTCTCTTACTGTCGACCAGTTGTACGGGTTCTCGGGGTCGTTCTCCTCCCATGCTACGATGATTTGTTCGTCGTCATCTGAGCCCGTCGAAGCTGGGCTGTCAGGCTCATCGGTGACATGGTTGTCGGCGGCCTCTTCACGATATCTCAGCTCGGCATCTCTCTCGCTGATGCTGCTCACGATCTGGTAAAGTCGACTTTCACTTTCTATGGCAAGTCTCAGCAACTTGACGTGACCTTTTGGAGTCTATTCGAGCCTTAGTACTCACTTGGAACGGCAAGCCGATCGGGGTGTTCCCTGTCGCTGATTTCTTTCTCCACAGACATCCTCCTTCATTGCTATAGATATTCCTACCAGGAAAGATGTCGGTGTATGAAGATCGGTGGAAGAGGGATGTTTGGACTAAGACCACGACTCTTGGCCATCCCTCGTCTTAACGATACAGTCAGGTCAAGAGGATAATGGCGAACCAAGATCAACCAGAATGTTAAGACTAATAGAAGGTCCCGGAGGAAAACCTCAAGTGGGACAATTAGAAACAGTCACATTAAGGTGCAGAGCAGATCTACGACGAATGGGCCACACTGAGACTAGGAGCTGGAGCTATGACACCTTGAGACCTAATCGGCCTTCCAACACGGGTGCCAAAGCGAAATGGAGGCTCCGGGTGTAGTGACCAGAGGGCCTAAACCCGGAGGGCTAGACAGATCATGGGTGTGCTGTCGAAGCTTGACCGTGGAGTGTCCCCCAATGAGGAGAACGGGAATGATGGGAGATGCATGAGAGCAAACAATCGGACCAATTGCCGTCGTAGCCGGGTGACGGAGGAGGTGGAGTCTGGGGCGGATGGGGGAAATGTGGATGTCCTTAACCGACCGTTTCGGTAGGGGAGGTGGGGACCCAGCTCCGGAGACCGGAATCACGCAGTCTCGACTAGTGACAGGGGACAGAAATGACTGATGCGCCGCAGACAAGTATGGTCCGTTTCTCTCGTCGATTTACCGCTCCCCGCTGATTCAAGTCCAAACTCCAAGAATCTATTCCCAAGAATAACGACTTGGTTCTGAGGCACTGTAGAAGGGACGGGAGTGGCACTATGCCCCATGGCTGTGCCATAGTTTGGTGATCGTTCGAACAGACTGCCTGCGATATCGGGCGTCTCGCAGCCGGTGTGTCATGGGCACGCCCTTGTGGAGACAACCGAGGCGATAGAGATCCATGCGTAGACAACATTCTCATGCATGGACAAGTGCACTTCCAGAGCAGCCTCGATGCAAATGCAGAGGCACACCCTATCATGACTAATGGGTGGCTAGGATTTGGACTCGAGCAGTAACAGAGCCAAGTGCTTCACATGGAGCGGATGGGGCACGTTATGAATGATGAGTGCAGGCTTGGCATACCGACTTGATTGGCAGTGGTTTCTTTTTGGAGGTAGGAGAACCGGGTACTGACCCCCTTGCCCTATGTCTCGAGGTTGATGCTCCGGCCGAACCTGGCATACAGCTCAACCTTCAGCTGAGTCATCTCCTCGCGTATCGTGCTGAGCGTGTCTTCCAACTCTGTGATGTCCTCCTCGATTTTGGCTCCTGCTATCCCAAGCATCTCCTGGGCCTGGGGAAGCGGTACGTGGAAGAATGCGTCCCCAACTTTGTATCTGCGCAACGGGTCAGAGACGGGTTAGGCCTTGCTAGGACCACAGGGGTACTCACGGTACTACATCGTCCTCATCGGCAAGCTCGAGCTCGAGCGTGATATCGTCTATCTCCTCCTTTTCCTTCTGTAAAGAGGATTGAGTGTGAGTGCGCCTCTCGGACGAGTCGAGTAGTGAAGGACTGAGCATACGTTCTTGACCGTCAGGTCCTCTTCTATTGAGAGCTCTTTTTGATGCAGCCTGCTGAACTTGTTGATCTTATCCTGGTCTTCCCTGCGGACCTCGACCTCCTCGCCAACTGCGGCCTCATCCTCTTTCGTGAGCTGTGATCAAGTGTGAGCCCTACAGAACTGTGATGCGAGAGAGTGCCTCGAGGCCTGAAACTCACCATACGGCGCTGCATGTTGAGCCACTTGAGCCAGGCTGATGCAAGTTGGGCCTGGTGTTGGGGTCGGGGCTCAGGGGCTGGTGGTTGGGCAGGGTGGGAGCCTGGGCGGATCTTGCTTGATGAAGCTCTTTTTCAGCCAAGTGGTGAATGTCGAGATAGGTATGGGGCACAGTGTGGCCATACAGTGAATTTTGGGGCTCGATAAGGACCACTAGGTAAGAAAGAGCCCCTCCCTAACCAACAGGCAGGTAACCCCACACTGCCACTAAACCGACCTACCTAGGTACAGTACAGCGGTATCCATAATCGCACTACCATCACGCGCCAGCTTCTCAATCCATGTTGATTGTCGTCAAGAGAGCGACACTGCGCGGCCCCGGACCCAAACACGATGGCGCCTGGACAGAAGCTGTACCCTCGCGCGACAGTCCGCAAGATTGTCAAGGCGCACTCCAATTGCAACGTCAGCAAGAATGTCGACGTTATGGTCGGTGATGTCTTCTACACGCGTCGTGGACACGCAGAACGCGAGCCCCATTAACTCTTGGTTCGCAGATCTTCCTCGACTACGTCCTCTTCATGCAAACGTATGTATGAGAACTGACTCTCATCCAAAGCCCTCAACAACTATGGACGCATTTGCTGACATAGTATCAAAGCTTGGTCAAAGAGGCTGCTATTGAGTCGAAACGGGGAGGTGAGAGAGGCATCACCTCGCGAAGTGTCAAGAAGGTCACAGCGGTACGTCGCTGTCGCGTCCGAAACGAACCAGAAATGGCATGAGACAGAGTGCTAATTGCTACTGGCAGGATACTCTTGCAAAATATAAAGGATGAGTGCCGCTGCGGATGTAGATCCAAGGCATGTGAAAAGTTGGCACACTCATCGGGACAACCCTGCTTCAGGCTGAGGGCCAGCAATTACACGTTCCCAAGATGGACTTGCCAGTCCTCCGAGACGGGCATATTGGCGATCAGCAGACTACTACTGAGTCCATTCGGGAAGGAGCTCTGCGTGCAGGCAAGCGGGCAGATGCGATGCGATGCATATCAAGCCCAATGAAGCTTGCCGCTTGCTGAGGCGAAGGCTGTTCTCCGGCTGCAAATGTATCGTTTGCAGCGAGTTGGCAGGACAGACGGGGCGCCTGGCAGGCAGGAATTAGTATTACGAAGTGAATATAAACACCTGTAAAGCACCGGACAAGCAAAGAATCAAACCACAACCCTTTTTTTGTTTTTTTGGCTGGCTGCCTACTATTCGTCTTGTTAGTTTGGTGGTTTTGCAACTGTTTGCTCATTCTCTCTCCACTGCGGCCGTGCAGGCGTGACACTGATGCTGGGCCTCGTTGTTCTCAGCGCTTCTGCCAGCTTCGGCGCCAAGGGGGGGCAGACGCCGGGAGCGGCTGGTGGCCCGTGTGTGGGTGGGACGGCCCTTGTTTACTCTGGCCGGCCAGCCTATGGCGAGCTGAATTGAGCAGATTGGGGGTCGAGCCCCCGAGAATTTAGTGCACTTTGTCCAGCCTGGGAGCAGGGGTTGCCGTCATTGCTCTGAAAATTTAGCCCTTCCCCTTCTGGCCAGCCCGCACGAGGTCCCGTCATCGAGCAGAGGAAAAGAGCTTCAACCTAAAACATCACCTTTTCTTCACCATCCACCTGCCCTCAGCAAAATCACACTATCCTCACTTCCAGTGACCATCTTATCGATCAGTCATAGCCATTGGCCGTGTTGGTCTCACCTGCATCTCCGCATCCTGCATATTTCTTTTCCCCGCCTGTCTTGCCTGCCCAAGAGAGGGTCTCGTGCACACCACTACCCAACCTTTTGGACGACTCATTTGTCCTGCCTCCAACCCACAAACCCACCACCTAGACCAGACACCCGACAGTCACGATGGCTGCCTCGACCGTTCAGAACCCTCCTGCTCAGCCCGAGTCCAAGTCGGCCAAGAAGAAGAAGGCCAAGGCGGAGCGAACTGAGTCCCCGGCCCCCGCTGCTTCCGCCACCCCCGACAAGGCCGCCTCCGTTTCGGGCAACGATGCCTCGGCCGACGACTCCTCTGAGAACCCCTACATTCGCGAGCTGTCAAAGTAAGATAAAAAGATGCACAATAGCTACAGGCGCTGTCCATGGTCCTGGTCCTGGAAACTGACTGGCTTGCTTCAAGGAACATCCGCAACGTCAACAAGAAGATTGTAAGTTCTTGACAAGATCAGATACAGCCCAAGTTTACCGTCTGAGCAATTCGAAGCTAATGCGGCCTGTGTCTCTAGACCAACGCCTCCAAGACCGATGGTCTCATCGCCCAGCACAAGGGCAAGGACCTGAACGAGCTTGTCGCTCAGAAGATCATCAACGCCGACCAGAAGGCCCAGATATTGAAGAAGCCTGCCCTCCAAGCACAGCTCGCCCAGCTTGAGGAGCAGCTGGCGCAGTACAAGAAGGTCGACCTGGAGTATCGAACGCGCGCCGCATCCGAGAAGGCGCAACTCGAGAAGACTCTGGCCGAGAAGTACGAGAAGGAGAAGGCTGAAGCTATTAGCGAGCTCAAGGAGAAGGCCGAGGCCGGTTCCCAGAAGTCGCTCCATGATAGCCTTCTCGTCCTGTCGCAATTTTTGCGCCTGGCTGCCGCGCGCCGGGCCGAGGAGTTCAATGCCGAGCTTGATGAGAACCTGGCTCTCGAGGGTGTGCTGCTCCACGTCTACTCTGGAGACGAGAACGCTGTGTCCACCATCCTGAAGCTGGTCCAGGGCTCGGATGAGCAGACGAGGAGCGTTTCAGGAGACTTGCTGCAGACTACTTGTATGTATTTTCTTCCTCTGCGATGCTTTGTTCATGTTCATCACTAACTCCAGATAGTCGCCCAGGTCAAGACGGCTGCTATCGCCCACTCTGCTCCCCTTTTCCAAGCTCCAGCCGAGGCTGAGCCTGTCGAAGCCCCCGTTGAGAACGGCCATGAGCCCCAGACCGACCCTACCGTCGCTCATGCCACTCTGACCGAGATCGACACTGGTGCCGCTATCGTCCTCACCAACGGTGCGAGCGCGGAGTCACCTGCTAGCGCGCATCCTGCTAATGCCGATGTCGCTGATGGAGCCGCCAACGCTGCTGGTGAGAGCCAGTGGGACACCCCCAGCAACAACATGAGCATGTCCCAGGAGTGGGTGGAGGTCCCTCGCGACCCTGCTGAGACAGAGACTGGCCTAGCTGCCACCCCCGCCGCTCCCGTTCAGAGCCAGTCGTGGGCTGATGAGCAGCCGGAGCACCCTGCAGAGGTAACGATCCTTTTAGCCCAACGAGTTTCTTGAAGAAGACAAGGCATGAGAAGCTAACAGCACCTAGGTTCCCGCACCGGCTGACCCCAACGACGGCTTCCACCAGGTGCAGCGCAACCGCGGCCGCAACGAGCGAGAGGGTGGTCACCGCGGACGCGGTGGCTATCGCGGAAACCGAGGTTTCCGTGGCGACGGCCGTGGCGGTCGCGGCCGTGGTGGACGCGGAGGCGCCCCCTTCCGTGGCCCTCGCCGGACTGAGGAGTCGCAGTAGACTCCTATCAGGCCAGTCGGATCTGGAACCGCACAGGGTTTATTGACGCACCTCTGACCTTCTTTCTCGAAACCATCACCCCATCTCCTGGAGTGATACACTCCCTGGCCCACCGGCTTCGTTGGGCTCCTGCACTTTAATTGTCTATAGCACTTTGGCTGCGATGAGTCGTCTTTTCCTTGAATCTCGACTCGTCGTATGTCTACGATGACGACGCAAAAATTCATGTACATCACCAAAACCGAAAAGGAATTGTAATTTAGATGACAGCAACAGCGGGTTTCTGCGTGGGCGCGATTTTGGGGCATTTGTTTCCTGAAGGTTGATCTTCATGGTTATTTGAATGCATTGCTTGCGGTGAGGACCTACATACAAGACTCGGGGAGAACATTTTCCTAAGAAACAAAAGGTGCATTGAGCCGAGTTCTTTTCTCTGTTGGCTCCAGGGCATGGGAAAGGTTTACGGAAAAAGGGAAAAGAGAGTTGCAGTATACCCAACACACTCGTTTTATCTGTGACCAAGTGCTCATACGTGATGTTGTCCTCGGCACCTTGACGATTTGCGATCCTACAATGCATGAATCAAGGAGGCAACGCAGGGTGACTGTTGCTTATGTCCAAAAAGTCCCAGTTCTCTTGATAGCACGATGAAGATACAACCCAACACCAACTCTAACTCCGGATTTTGAGCAAAGTGTCGACTACTCATACTAATAAAACCGTGCAGCTAGTCTTGCACTCCCTCTCTGGTATACATAGTATCAAATTTGGTTACATGTATATAATCATTAGACGGAAAAGCAACCTCTTTCCTCCTTTCCACCTCAAACAATTTGACTCCCTCTCCCTCACACTCTCTCCACACCCTTCTCTAGACGACAATCGACCTCTACACACCTACACAAAGGCCGAGAAGGGCGTGCCGACCACCCTCCCGGAGCCGTCGAACCGGACCCCTTCCTTGCGGAGGAGCATCCTCTTCTCGTCGAGCGTGATGCCCTCGCCGTCGCGCGGCCACTGGCCCTTGAACCCGCCGAGCTTGCCCCCCGTCGCGACGCACCGGTGGCAGGGGACCCCCGGGGCGAAAGGGTTGCGGCGCATGGCGTTGCCCACGGCGCGTGGGGACGAGCCGAGGTGCGCCGACAGGAGGCCGTAGGTGCTGAACCGGCCCGCGGGGATCTGGCAGAGGAGCCGCCACACGCGCTTCTCGAAGGGCGTGCGGTTCGAGGCGTCGATGCGGCGCAGCTGGGGCCCCATGTCTGTTGTCGTTCCTTTTGCAGTCGTGGCGGTGGGGGAGGATGAGGATGAGGGCGAGGATAGAGAGGAGACCTTGCTGGGTTTTTTGGTGGTGGTGGTGATGGTGGTGGTTACCGAGGTGGGTTGTTCGGCGGCGATTTTGCGCTTGATACCTGCGGCCATCTTTGTATCTTTCGCGGGGACTGGAGAACTATGGGCTTTGAGAGCCGACGGTATGTTGTTGGAACAAGACTTTGGATCAACAGCCTCCTTACACGGGAGGATTTCCGCTCAATCTATCTCCAGTCAGAGAGGCGAGAGTAGTATGATATGAAGCTTGGATCAAAGACACAGAGGTTGGGAGAGATGTAGGAGCGAGTAGGTCACGGTTTAAAATGTTGGCCGTCTAGTAATTTCCTGCCTGATCTTAGCTTGCTCTGGAAGTCGAGATGAGTGTCGTCAAAGGGCGCGCCATTGACACGCGCAGTTGAGTCACGCAATTCACGCGGTCTCACGTGGGCTTGCTCTGGAACTTTAATGAGGGTTTACGTAAGCCAGGCACCACCATCTTCCCACACAACTATCTCCAGGGCATATGGACTGCTGAAGCTTGGCTAGTGTGCACTTCTTGATGTCGACGATTGCTGGCTGTGCTGACAGTACATTGCTGCTGTCTAGAGGAGCCGATAAAGTGACACTGCCATGATCAATCCATTCACAACAGGCAATAGTACACCAGCACGGCCGTCTTGTGAGGATTTCGCGAAACAACTGAAAGCTTAGATCCTTGCTATAAAGAGCCATCTTTTCAAGTACAGCTTCCTTTTTGCTAGATTGATCTCCAAACTCCCCATGTGAACCAGTAATGCCGTCCTGAACCTTGCCCTAAACGCCGGATATCTCAGGTAACCTTGAAAAGTATCATACAGCCAAAGAATGATGATGAAAAAGAGAAACACGCTACGCTCATGCGTCGGTCTTCTTCTTCTTCTTCTTGGGCTTCTCGCTGTCCTCGTCGCGCTTGCGCTTGCTGCTTGAGCTCTTGTCCTCCTCGGCCTTGCGCATCTTCTTGATCTCCTTCTTGCTGTGCACGACGGGGTTGCCAGCAGCGTCCAGCTCGACGTCGCCACGCTCGTACTTCCTCTTGAACTTGGAAACCGAGATACCGGCAAGGTTTGCCAGGCGTTCATAATCGGCCTCAGTTAGTTTGCCTGAAAAGGGAAAGGTCAGTAACATGTATCTTGGAATGTTCTGTGAAAACAACTTACCACTCGTTCCGTTTTGCATCGAGACGTCCTCATCCTCATCCTCAGCACCATTCTCCATCTCATCGTCAGAGTCTGCAGCCTTCTTCTTCTCCTTCTTCGACTTCTTGTCCTTCTTCGACTTGGCCTTGTCAGTGGCAGCAGGCTCGTCGCCACCCAGACCATCAGCGTCGATGTTGTACTTGCTCGCCTCCTTGACGTCCCACTTGTTTGGCGCGGCGGTGGCTTGACCGTTGGGTGCAACAGCAACACCCTTCGGCAGCAGGGGCTTGCCCTCAAGTCGTCGGAGGTTGTTCTCAAGCTTTATCCGCGAGGCCAGGCCCAATGCAGACCGCTCCTCATCATCAACATCCTCCCGATCGCCGTAGTCCTCAAGCGCGTCGACGCGGATACCGAGAGCAGCCTTGGCCGACAACTGACGAGCAATCTTGCCCTTGTTCTTGCCAGTGGCTTGTCCGACAAGAGACGAGTGGTAGATGAGACCATACTTGGGAGTAGCGTGCTTGGTCTTGAGTGCGCGGAAGAGAGCCTTCTCGGCACCAAGAATTTGGATGGTGGAACCAGGGCTCTTGGCCAGGTTCATAAGAGAGCCAGTGTGTGCGATGAGACGAGCACCAACCAGATAGCCGACAAGCTCGGTCAGGTTGGGTGCAATGGCCTTCATACGCGCATCCAGATAGCTTGACAACTGTGCTCGGTACTCAGTGTAGGCGACGACCTGCTCAGCAAGCAGGGTGATGTTCTCGAGGTCCTCCTCAGTGATCTCGGTACCCATGCTGACCTCTGCCGCAGCCTTGACGGCGGTCTCGATCTCCTCGGGCAGAATGTCCGACAGATCCGTCTCGGAGATCTTCTCACGCATGCCAACGGCGAGGATGACCCTGGCGTAGGCGAGGTTGTCGTTCAGGATCTTGCCCAGCTCTGGGAAGTGCCAGCCATACCACTCCTTGACCCTCATTGCGTAGGTGTTGAGTTCCTTGTCGAGGTCATCTAGCAGAGAAATCGCCTGAATGATCATCACATCGACCTTGTCGGCTGAGAACTTGAGCTTGTGTCGGGAGAGAGAGTGGGAGAGACCGAGGGACATGGTCTTGAAACCCTCGGGCAGGATACCAGGGATGAGCTCGGCGAGATGAGCACGGATTCCACGGTAGAGCTCGCCAGCCTCAGAGCCAGGAGCGGCGGCAACAGCGGTAATGTTGAAGCCAGGCAGTTTCTGCAGAGCAGAGCCCAGAGTCTTGTCGGCGACAGCCAATGATGCCTTCTTCTCGTCCTTGATCTTCTCCATCAGGCCCGCTAGCAGAGGCGGCACCTTGCCCTCAAGAATGCCGCTGATTTCGGCGAGAGCTGCTGCGGCACTGTCCCATTTCGCAAATTCTTTGAGCTTGAGCCTATGCGAACGGCAGGGTTAGCACAACTGTTTTGGTGGCTGGCGGTCCAGCAGGAGGAGGCGAGACTGCACGTACTCTTCGTTGATCTTCTCGGCAGTGTCCAACCTTGAAGCAAGGCCATCTCGTTCGAGGAGCTTCTTGTCCTTGGCCTTGAACAGACCGTAGCTAGTCACTGAATGTTAGCACGCGGCGGCTGGAAAAAGGCCCTGAACAGGCCTCGGAATCAAGAGGACAGAGTCGACTTACCCGGCACTGGTCTCGGCGAGAATGAAGAGAGGCATTGTGACAGCCTGGATCCGCTTTGTTCGCAATTGAGGTTTCCTCCACTGTCGAAAAGGCGAATTAGGTGGTAGGCCTTTGGTGGTGATAATTGGTTTCGATGGAGGATTTTAGAGGCAGAGGACGAAATATTTTTTTTTGGTCTGAGCAGAGCTTTGGCGGTCCCAAAGTGGGGATTGGCCAAAGTTTTGCCGCTAGACCTAAACCAGTAGCATGCTCTCTTCCCAGAACACCAGAGGAGGTACGTACCCTTCTTTTGGTACAGAGGCGTACGTGCGCCTACGATTGGCAGATGCACTGCTGGGCTGACTCCACCAAGGGTCAACCTCGTGAACGACAACGTCAAGCAAGCCAGTCCAAGCTCAACGAAGCCGATGCTGCCACGGTCTTGACGGCATTCAGCACTGCAGAAAAGCCCTCCATCGCAACCCGCGCCATTCGATCCGCCTAGTTGCCCATTATGGAAGGGCTTTTGTTCAACGTGGACAATGGGTAAATCAGCTATTGCGTCCCCTGTTGAAGACGTGGCTAACATAGATGTTGCCTGCAGCTACATTGAAGGCATTGTTCGCGGATACCGCAACGGCCTGTTGACGAGCGCCAACTATAGCAACATGGTCCAGTGCGAGACGATAGATGGTAAACATTTTCTCAGTCCCGCAGCCCCCCTGCGACCCTCATATTTCTAGTCACTTCCTCTGACATTGCTCCCCAGACCTCAAGCTTCAACTCGGCCCCTCCTATGGCGACTTCCTCGCTTCTCTCCCTCCCAACCCATCCACCTCAACGCTAGCAGCAAAGACAACCGACAAGCTTGTGTCGGAATTCAAGTATGTGCGGGCAAACGCCGTCGGGTCCCTGGCCAAGTTCATGGACTACCTCACCTACGGCTACATGATCGACAATGTTGCCCTCCTTATCACAGGCACTCTGCACGAGAGAGATACAAGGGAACTGCTGGACCGATGCCATCCTCTTGGTTGGTTTGAGACGATGCCTGTGCTCTGCGTAGCGACCAACATCGAGGAGCTGTACAACTCGGTGCTCATCGAGACTCCCCTGGCACCATACTTCAAGGGAAGCCTGAGCCATCAGGATCTGGACGAGCTGAACATCGAGATTGTGCGGAACACCCTGTACAAGAACTACCTCGAGGACTTCCACAACTTTGTCAACACACATCCTGACATGGCAGGCACACCGACCGCCGAAGTCATGTCTGAGATCCTCGAGTTTGAGGCTGACCGCCGGGCGGTCAACATCACCCTCAACTCCTTCGGCACAGAGCTGTCCAAGGCAGACCGTAAGAAGCTCTACCCCAATTTTGGACGGCTCTACCCGGAGGGCACCTTGATGCTTTCGCGTGCCGACGACTTCGAGGGCGTGCGTCTGGCCGTCGACGGCGTGGCAGACTTCAAGACCTTCTTCGAGGCTGCCGGCCTGGGCGGTGGCCCTGCCGGTCCCGGCAACATGGGTGGTGGTTCCGGTTCCGATGGTAGGAGCCTCGAGGACATGTTCTACCAGAAGGAAATGGAGATTTCCAAGAGCGCCTTCACCAGGCAATTCACCTATGCCATCGTCTACGCCTGGGTCAAACTTCGAGAGCAGGAAATCCGCAACATTACCTGGATTGCCGAGTGCATTGCTCAGAACCAGAAAGAGCGGATTGGAAACTATATCAGTGTGTTTTAAAAAATCTTTGATGTTTAAGCGGCTTCATCAAACAACTGTTCCTAATAAAGTATCGGATCCCACGCGAGTCTCTCACATCTTCACTCGCAGGAATTTCATTCTGGATGGCGTCAGGGATCTGCGGGGTCATGGAATTCATGCTTGATGCATTTGTATTGTACATAGAGAATTACAAGAGTTTTCTACAATCGTCTCGGGCATCTTCTCTTGGTTTTACAGGCTTAGAACGAGATCTGCTGCTGCCAGGTAGCTGGTGTCAGACCCAGCGTCTCGAGCATGTGTGTCCACCTCTCGCTCCCTTTCTCCTTCTTCTCCATGTATTTGAGCAACCTTTGGCGTCTGTGGCAAAGATTTCTCAGGTTTCGCTTGTTGTGTTTGTCCTTTTGGCCCTTTGGCGCATCGAGGGCTTTGGATAGGGCGCGGATCTTGGCGGTCAAAATGGCAATCTGCACCTCTGACGACCCAGTATCGGGCCCGGCCCGAGCCACTGGCTGCGCAGCTTGTTGCTGGCCAGCAGGTCCCCGCGGCCGCGGCCGGAGCGTCTGGTCTGTGTTATGGCGTCCAAAGGTCTCGATGCATCGCCGGATGTTGGCGTGGAGCCTGTCCTTGCTGCTGCCGTTCTCCAAAGCCGTGATCCGCTGGAGAGCAATGACTGCCTTTCGATGGTTCTCTTGATACTCCTGCTGTTCCTTCTCTTGAGCGACGGGGTCGATAAGGGTAGAGTTAGGGTTCTCCACCGGCTCGGCCAGCTGATACGAGGTTGCTATGGCCTCCTCGAGCTCTGACCTTGAGAGTAAATGGTTGAGGATTTCGGGGGACGTGGGTAGGTCGTGAGGCTCGCCAATGGGGACCCCGTTGCCGTCGGTCATGGGAGGGGTGCGATTGGCCTGGCCGGCCGTATCGAAAGACGCGACGAACGGGGTCGGCTTGCCATGAATCTGGTCGCCCCAGCCTGCGTCGCGTGATCGCTGTAGCTCCTCTTGCTTCTTGACATGTACGGCCTTTCGCTGTTGTATTTGAGCCCAGCGATACGGCTCCTGCTTCATGAGCCGCTTCTTCTCCTTTTGCGAGAGGTTTGCCGTTTGTGTCAGAGGTAGAAACGGAGTCGTCGAAGGTTTGGCGGCTGGGCGCAAACACACTGGAGAACATGTCTTGGTCAGAAACCGCATTCGCCATCATGGCTTCTGGGATTGATAAGTATGGAAACCACTTACAAGTTAGGCTTCTGAGCCCCTCTGGGCCAGATATCCGTGGAGGCATAGTTTCGAACGGATGCGCCCTTCCAACAATGGCGAGACCAACACCTCTGTCATCAGCTAGAAGGACGGTAGCAGCAGTAACTTCATCCCAAATTTTTGGAGCATCCCGTTCTCGAGGATCATGTCAGACTATTCCACCTTCAGACTAGCGCCAATTATTGGGGAACATAATGAGACCGTCTCCGGCGCCAGGTGATTATGTCATCACATCAATCCGCGATAAGGGCTCGAGAGAGAATAAATCAGCTTCGAGGCCAATCGCACGTGACAGTACTTCCGCCCAAGCTCGAAAACCCTGGCGGGGCAGCAGACCGGCCCACAAACAATTTTCGTAGGCGGAAGGGCCTATGCCACTTTTTTCCAGGTATCGCGAAATTCTCTGGTCGTGAACCTTTTGACAACCACCAAACTTCGGACAGGGTAAATCCTCCAACGCCATTCTTGCCAACCTCTACTCTCCTTCTCTTGAGGAAGCACATTCACAATGGCGCCCAACAACCTGCCCTCCATTTTCAATGCCACCAGCCAGGACATCGAGATGCTCCTGGCTGCGCAGTCCCACATCGGTTCCAAGAACCTTCAGGTTCACATGAACCCCTACCTGTGGAAGACCCGTGCCGATGGCGTCAACGTCATCAACGTTGGAAAGACCTGGTAAGTTACATATTGGCGACGAAAAACTCCTCTCCTCGACGGATCGAAAGTATAGAGGCTGGATCTGTCGGGCGGCGCGCAAGTTGAGCTGGTGGAGGACCGAATGGAGTCTTGTGCGCGCGGAGGCTGACAGAAGTGTTCCTGCAGGGAGAAGATCGTCCTGGCCGCCCGTATCATCGTTGCCATTGACAACCCCTCCGATGTCTGCGTTATCTCTGCCCGTCCCTACGGTCAGCGTGCCGTCCTCAAGTTCGCCGCCCACACCGGCGCCCAGGCTATTGCCGGTCGTTTCACCCCCGGTAGCTTCACCAACTACATCACCCGCTCTTTCAAGGAGCCCCGTCTGATCATCGTCACCGACCCCCGCACCGATGCCCAGGCCATCAAGGAGGCCAGCTACGTCAACATCCCCGTCATCGCTCTCTGCGACACCGACTCCCCCACCGACTTCGTCGATGTTGCCATTCCCACCAACAACAAGGGTCGTCACGCTATTGGCTGCGTCTGGTGGATGTTGGCTCGTGAGGTCCTCCGCCTCCGTGGCACCATTGCCAACCGCGAGATCCCCTGGGACGTCATGGTCGATCTGTACTTCTGTATGTGCTCACTCTCTCGCTTCGAAACACTTCTGGAGCGATTGCTAACATTCTTGGCTCAATAGACCGCGACCCTGAGGCTGAGGCCGAGGAGAAGGTTGAGGAGGAGAAGCTCCCCACCGTCGAGGAGGAGGGTGCCGCCGCTATCGAGTCTGGCTTCGCTGCCACCGGTGGCGACTGGGAGGCTGCTCCCGCTGGCTTCGCTGGTGCTGGTGCTGGTGCTGCTCAGCCTGCTGAGTGGAGCGAGGCTGCTACTGGCCAGCAGTGGGATGCCGGTACCGGTGGTGCGCAGTGGGCCGAGGATGCGCCCAAGGAGGCTTCTCAGTGGTAAACTTAGGGGGTCCCTTGTGGTGTTGAATTGAAAAAAGAAAGGTTCTGGCTCGGAAAACTTGCACACGCATCATACTGGGGAAATGGAATGGCGAAAGACTCTGCATTGGCCTGTCGTTGAAGTCACTTTCTTGGCTTAAGGGTCACACTTGGACCGCACTAATGAGGGAAAGATACTCGAACTCGGATCATATGGCCTGAGGGAGAGGGAAAGCCCTGTGTGGGATAAGAGGGGTTGGCTTAATCGCGATTCCGCCCTTGCCTAGAGACACGGATACTATGGCTTAACCAAATTAAATACCAGGAAACAATACCCACAAGGTGAATCCATGCTCTGTCGATAGCTTGCCTCGTGCGACTTGAGTAACTCCAAAGCCAAAGATGACACCCATTGGCCCTGTGTGACGGCTGTACGCCTCACCCTTTCCTGCAACAGGAGGTCACAAATCATGACACAAGACGGCGAAGACGTTCTTCTTGAAATGTGAGAAAGCAAGGAATGCTGTGCGGCTCTCTTGATTTCAATTAATGCTCCCAAGCTAGGCTCCATCGTTCAGCAAAGAGATAGCAACCCGAGTCTATGTGGAAAAAAAACATGAACAAAGACACAATATGGGGATAGTTTGGTCAAACATCGACCACACAGGAGCCCCCGATCCCCAGCCAACTCAGGCCAGCCCTCGACCTTGGAAAGCCATCGTTTCCTCATTACTCGTTTCAAGGAAGAGATCATCAACTGGTGGTCCTCGGCCTCCCTTCTGCTTCGTTGCCCCTATCCGCCCCTATCCGCCCCATCCATCCATCCGCCCAGTCCCTTCTGCATCCGCTGAGCAGACCTTGCGCCCACGCTCACAGATTCCCATCAAATATAAATATAACAGCCAAATTGAGAGGAGCGACACCACTAATAAATAGAGGAGTAACGAGAAAGATGGAACAAAAAAAGCGTGTGGGAAACCATCCTCGGATGCCTTGAGCAGAGAGCCTTGAACAATTGAAAAGAAAAAGAATAGAATCCACTCCACGGCAAGAAAAATTGCCCGGATTAACGCCCTCCAGTAGTATATCGATCTCATTCTTGCCGCCTCTGCTTCGATAGCTATAATCCTTGGGCTGAGTAATGCTCTCAAAATGCGGTGCCTGGGCGCCATTGGGTGATTGATCTATAGAGAGACCTGAAACAGCGTCCTGCTGGTGGTCCCTGTGTCATCGAAAAACTCTGTATCTCGAGACGAAATCACAACGTACAAACTTCAAGTCGCGTGTTTCAGTTGAAGTTGATGCAATGGGATATAAAGGTAAAGCTGTATATCGAATGATCTTGATGCAAAACAAACGACCGACGGGATGCAATTTAGTAGTGCACAAAGAGGATTTGCCGTCCAGGTCCATCCGGGAAACGCCTTGGGTATGCTGATTGGGGAAAGAAAAAAGAAAGGAGAAATATGAACAATGAATACAATGGAAGAGCGCCTTCCGCAGAAGCTGAAAAGCCGAACCTGGTCGAATATGGTAGCTCAGTCGCTATGGACTGCGACCTTTTTGGCAGTCTCCGTGCTGGCGATGCTGGTGTTCGTGTCTCTTCGTCTGACATTCATGGGGCCTCTCGTAGATGATGCCGCTTGGGCCTCCTTGGGTGGTCTTCTCTTGGCTTTGAACATGAGGAGGCCCTCATCGCTGTCGCTGTCATCATCCTCATCGTCCCCAAGCTTAGTCGCACGAGCGAGGGGTGAAGTGCGAGCAGCCTTCGAGGCACCCGCGTCTAGATGCACTGGGATCGCGCCACTCTCGCCCTCCTGAGGGTCTCTGAGCTCCTGGTGCTCAAGCGGGAAGCCAGCAAGAGGCTCCTTGTTGAGAGCTGGCGGTGTGAGGGACTCGGTCGTGTCTACAAGCGAGGGGCCATTGTTGACCACACCAGGGTTGCCGAGAAATTCGCCCTCGACATCAGCGGAAACCGAGCTAGCTCCACTCAGCAGAGCCGGAAGGGAGGGGTCGGACTGGAAAGCAAGCATCGAGTCCTTGACATCTCTGGCAGTGTTGGACGTATGACTGCCAATCGGGCTCATGATGTCGCTAGGGCTGGTCAACGGCGTTGCGATGGCACCGAATGAGGTTGACTTGGAAGAAACGCCGCCCGTGGCAGCAATGTCTTCTCGAGAAGAACAAACCCGTTGCATGGGGGGATGCTCATCGTCCGGAGAGGGGGGGCAGGGAATACCGGCGGGATCCTTGTTCTTTCCAAGCTCCGCTGCCTGTCGCCGCCTCGTCTTGTCTTCGTGCTCCTGCCTCTGACGACGGAATAACTGTTCCTGTGCCCGAGCGAACGAGTCCGAGTTTGACGAATTGTAGACACGAGGGGGCGGTGTCTTGCCATCAGGAATATCCTGAATACGATGCGCAGTGGAAGGCCTCTCCTCGAGTACAGTCTCTGCTCGTCGCCTTATTTGGATATTGCTTTCGGACTTCTGCTGCGCGTGCTGAGATACAGTCTTGGCCCGGGACAGGTACAAGCCGGTGCCCGCATTGAACTCCTTGCTGAGGTCAGTCGAGCGGGCCGGCCGAGGCTGCTTCGACCACAACAGATTTCCTGGGGCATGAGTCGAGCTTAGTCCCACCTTTGCTTCAGCACGTTTATCCGCATTGGCAAAGACAAGGCCGGCGCGGTCCATTGACCGCGAACGCGAGGCATCGTCAGCGGCAGCACGAGCATCCCGTGTTGTACGCAGAGACGCAATGGGGTCATCTTCTTCTAACCCGCCAAGAGGGGTAGGAGGGACCGTGGCAGATTCTTGCAGAGGTGGGGTTAGGGCGAGGAAGGCGTTGGTGATGGACCGCGCGTGGACGTGTCGTGTCAATGGGCGCTGGAAGCCGGGTTGATGCCAACTACTCGACTCTTCCCTTGCTCTCGCCTCCGGCGGGGATGCCATGTGTTTCGCAGCAAGGTCGCCGAATGATCCGGGTTGGGATTGAGAAAGGCCAACACCCTCCTCACGTGGCGAGTCGCGCGGACTCGCCGTGACACTCTGTGCCAAAGGGTGCTCAGTCGGCAGTTGTGTGATGGTAGCGAAGTAATCGTCTCCACGGAGACTTTTGCGACGCGTGTCCCGATTATATGGAGTGCCGGGAACATTGGAAGGACTACCCTCTGCAGAACTCGCTGCACTACTGGTAGCCCTCCTCCGAGAAGCACTTTCGGCACGTTCAGAACGTGAATGCATGACCTTGCCGACAGCCTTCTTCACCACAGATCTCGCACGCTCGAGGAAGGTAAGAGGTACAACGGCCCTGCCGATTTCCCTGTCGTCGACCTGAATCTTGCGGCCAGCCGTGCGCCTTGATGGGTCGGTGTCGTCGATCCAGGCAATGAGGTTGTCAATGCCCTGGACGACCCAAGGGTGGCGTTTGACTTCTCGGAGCCTGATTCTCTTTTCGGGGTTCTTTGTGAGCATCCGCTTCAGCAGATCAATGAGTAGATCATCGATCTCCTCATACACGAGATCATCATCGTCTCTGTAGGGCTCGCGATTCACGCGCTGGTAGAGAGAGGTTTGGGTGGGAACCGTGATGGGCTCCACTGGCTTCAACCGCCGAGTAGGGATGTAGACGTCCTCAGTAGCGATCTTCTTAAACATCGAAAACTCGTCCTCAGCCATGAACGGGATGCGGGCAAATATCAAGCAATAGAGCGTGACCCCCAATGACCACACATCAATCTGCTCAGACACCTTGGGCGGCTCCCTTTCCAGGTCGGTGTAGCACAGTTCGGGTGCGAAGAAGGCGGGGGTTCCGACAGTCCTTGATAGCTCACGGTCATCGTCAAAATCCCGGGCCTCTGACTCGGAGACTGTATCGTCTGGCTCGCCCTCGCGAATCGGACGGCCGAAGTAGGACACCCCAAAGTCGGATATCTTGACACGATAGTCCTTGGTCCACAGCAGATTCGCAGGCTTGATATCTCGATGGACCACGCCTTCATAGTGGAGGTACTCGAGTCCAAGCACTGTGTCTCTGAATGTGGTTCTCGCCTGTTCCATGGTAAAGCATGGAACATACGAAAAGTCGTCGGCAAAGGGGTCGTGGGCTTGGGCGTTGTAATCAACGGAGGACATGTGAGAGATGATGGAGTCAGCCATGCTCGGCGAGCGGGCCCGGAAAGCGGGATCCTCGAGTGAACCGGGGACAGACGCTTCTCCCAAGGCAGACATCGATCCCGGGTTCGAGCGGAGAGCAGAAGGAGTCTCGAGGTCGTCCTCGTCATGGAGAGAAGCCAGATCGAGGTCGGAGGACTCGGACGTGCCGGCTCGGGAAAGTGATTTGCCCGAAACGCTCCGCGATGGAGCCCGTGAGTTGTCTCTCGAACGCGCGATCTGCTGGGCGGAAGGCCGACTCCGGATAGAGAGGTCCTGTCCAAGTTGGTACGGCCGAGGGTCGAGCTCCTCGTCGTCGGTCGCGCCATACTCCAAGCTCCAGTAATCGATGTTGGACGCGGACTTTGACTTGGCCTTGGCACGCTTCAACTCCTTGATCATGAGACGATGCTCCAAAAGGCGGCCGTACTCTTCCTCCTCCTGGCTGAGCTGCTCGCCACGCATTTCCCTCTCGACCCTCCGACGCTCCCATGCACATATATGAGGAAGACCTTTCTTCCTCCAGACGATTTCGCCGAGCTCGACATGCTCCAACACCATGTAGATCTTGCGCAGCTCGGGGTCATCGATGACTTCGAGAAGGGCGACAATATTGGGATGTCGAATCTTTTTGAGAATAGCGATTTCCCGCTTCGTGTTCTGCTGCGGATCGACGGCGGAGACCCTCCCGAGTCGTCGAGACTTGGACAGTCGAGGGATGATTTTGATGGCAACGCTCTCGCCCGTCTCGAGATTGCGAGCCCGCTTGACCTTGCCATGCTGGCCCCGGCCGATCTCTTCGATCACCTCATACTGATTGATCAATTTTCGGCCAGTCGTGAAGTCCCGATCGACATTGGCCGTGTGTGTCCTGAAGAATGAGAAGAAATGTTAGTGTCTTATCTTCACAACATGCCTGTGCCCCGCTCAAGCAGCCGTTCCGTCGACTGGTCAGAGACAACGGCTGGAACGAAGTGGCGCGCGTGGCACTCGGTATGAATGAGACAGCCACAGAGCCCTTGGGCTCTCTGAACCAGAGGCTCGCTACAGAAATAGACATTCGGTGGGCAATCACTCACTCTCGGACTTTGTGCGTTTGGAGGGGGTGAAGGAACGGGCTGGGGGTCGCGCCCAAGGGTGTGGCACCCTCAGAGACGGGCTGCGAGCCAAATGACATGCTCGGCCGCATGTTGAGGGGGCTGAAGAGCCCCGGCGAGGAGATTGGGGTGCTATTGGCGGTCCGCTGCTGCAGTTGAGCTGCCGGAGGAAGAGCGGTATAGAGGTGAGGGTGCGGACGTGCGTGGTGTGGCGTTTGGGAGTCCATTGTGAGGGTTTTGAGGTAGTTGCTTGGCTTCACAGGTCGACATGCTGGCCGTTCAACCAGAGCGGTGGGCGGGGGAAGACATCGGACGTGTGCAGCGCGGGATGGCTCGAGGGGTTGACCGTCTATGGAAAATCAACCCCAGCGGTGATGGGTCGATTTGTGGTCAAAGTGAAGAGGCTCGGGCGTGGGCCGGATCGTGGATGGGCGGTATGTGTGAGTGACGCCCTCTGGATCGTGAGAGGGGTTTTGGTGGTGAAAAGTGGGATTGCCAGGCCCTCGGAGAAGTCAATACAAAGATTGGCGAACTGATAAGTCTAGCGGAGAACCAGAGGATAATGCGAGTCTGGAAGAAAGGTCGAGTTCAAAGGCGGAGGCAAGCGTCGAGGTTGTTGGGAATCGAGAAGAAAAAGTCGAGATGGAGCGGGATCAGGCGTTTGAAGGAGAGAAGGTGTTGGTGAGCAGGTCCGTAGGGCAATCAATCAATCACCTTCAGTCAGTGCGATGTGTGTGGGCGTGCGTGTGCGTGTGCGAGCGTGGTAAGGCAGGTTGAGACGGACGAGTTGAGGTGGGGGGTGGGAATGGCGGCGGATGGAGGCAGGTCAGGCAGGTTAGGTACTCTGCAGGTAGGTCAATGGAACCAGGATGAGCGATGGCGCATCGGCCATGGGCCATGGATTGATTGATTGATGGGTGGTGGTGGATGGGTGGGTGGTCCTCCAGCCAGTCCGTAGGTGGATGGCGGAGGCTTTGATGCATGCTTTTTGGTGGGTTTCCACTTCGAGGCTACCAGCCTGCCACTACTAATGTGGCTACTTGTAAATCTAACCTACAATGGACTACTAGGTCGGTACCCAGTAGCCTGTAGCCAGCCCGTTAGCGTGCCCAAGCCAGCACCAGCAGGTACATGTACAAAGAGTACAGGGCACGGAGAACGGAGTAAGTAATCCATTATGGATGTAAGGCAAATGCGAGGTTGAGGGGAGGAAACTGATGATGATGGCGATGATGATGCAGATGCATCTGCTCACTCTCTCATTTCCTACCAACCTACGGAGCACCTACTCTTCTCTTGGGTACCTACCTACACTGCTTGCCTACTTGTACAAGGCCTCACACGTCCATCCTGGTACTTACCTTACTCTACCTACTTGGCGTTCCTCTTCTCGTGCTTGACTTTCTGACAAGTAACTACCTAACCTACCTAACTCGATACAACTCGCGAAAACGAATAAGGATGGAATGGCGAGTAAGGGCGCCAAGTATTTTAGGTTCCTCCGCCTGCCGCCGCCGCCGCCGTCGCCGCAAACCACGGCACGATAACGAGTAGTGCAAAACCGTTGGTGGTACCACCGCATCTTCACCCAGCTCTTTTTTCCATTACTCTTCCAAGCTCAATCGCCTTGGTCTTCTGGTAGCACGTTACAGAGTAGGTAGGTTGGCCAACAGGTCAACAGGTTGTGGATCAATCAATCAATGCCTCTGCCACCGCAATCCAGGCACTTTTGTTGAAAAGAACCCTTGTAAGTAAGGTAGGTGGTAGGTACATCTCTCGCATCACAGCTGGGGATTGTGCGGCTCCTCTTGGCGGAAGTGCCTACATGTTGGGCAGTGAGGTACCTACCTAAGGTACCTGAGATACTTGGGCATGTACGCACGGGGACGGGGCTATTCGATTCGTATGCAGCACGACAAAAAAAAAAACAACGAGCACCACCGGCGCAAATGGTCCCTAGCATCTCGATACATCATCATGTTGATTGGTCTGACAAGACGATAATTGAGTATAAAATGTTGAGCTGCCACGAAAATGTACGCAGGGTGCCTCCGGCTTGCAGTCCCGATTGACATACGATACGGTATACCTATAGATTCGCACACTGGCTGAATGTGACGACGGGACGACGGGGACTTGTCTTCAAAACTAGAGGCCAGCAACAGGACGGCGAAGGCCAGATCTGACCTGGCCTGACCTGCTCAAGTGCTGGCACACGCACTTCTTTGTCCGTCACTCCATCATCCAGCATGGACGGGCGGCAACAACCACAGCATGGACTGGACAGAATATCCTCCTGCTTGCCGACTTGCCTACCTACGCCTACGTACAATGCACCTGGCCTGCGCATCCACATGCACATGCACATCCAGCCAGACATCCACACACACACACACCTTCTCAAGCTTATCGCGCTAACAAGGGTGCTTGCTGAACAAGCTGATTGGCCGAGCTGTTTCATTCGCTGACCCTCCTGCATACGACGGCCCCTTCAACAAGAACAAGCCGCCCCATGTCCATGTCCATTGTCCCTTGTCCCTTGTCCCATGTCCCTGTCCTTCAACGAACAAGGATGACTTGCAAATCCGGCAGGGGAGGTAGGTGGTTCGATATGTCTGGGAGCGGGGGCCCTGCGATGGCTCCGTACCTACTTGTACGTAGGACAGCAGTAATCGACTTTACCCTGACACCTCAATCTACGCCATACCTACAAGTACGTTAGGTAGGCCGTTGATCGCGGGTCTCTCCGTCCATTGTTGCTGCCGGATGGGCGCGTGCCGTCTGAGCAAGAAAAGGGTCTCAATCATCTGAGATGGGCACCAAGTTTCGAAAGCGAAGGGTGCCCTTTTCCTGCTGCTGGAGGGCAGCTTCGAGCTCATCAAGCGACGGCGAATCAGTATTTGAAATGGACAAGGCGACCCGGCAAGAACGGCATCCCACGCTGCGGACAACTCATGTTGCCAATGGCTTTGCTTATATGGTCCTGTTTCGTCCTTGTAGGTTGTTCGCAACGAAAACAAAGGCAGTCAAGGCAGTCAGGGGCCCTGTCCGAGGCCAAGACAGCGCGGCGAGGTGTGCTCTGACGGTGATCTTCATAATCAAGCACCCGAAAATGAGCACGGGCTTTTCTCAATCTACTTGTACAAGAGATCGATGTGGTGGGTCCTCGCCACGGAGCAAATGGCTCGAGCGAGACAAGGGAAAAAGGGAAAAAAGAGGCAATGTGCACCAGCCAAGGCCCCACTGGTCTAGCACAGGAGGGGACGGACGAGGTAGGTCAACATTTCAACGATGAGCTGAAGAGGATGGGAAGGTGTTGAACGGCGTTTCAGAGCCGCGGGAAGAGTCAGCCATTCCTGGGCCTTATCAAACGCCCAGAATTGGTCTCAGGAATTCATACGCCGTTTGATACATACATGTAGGTAGGTGGTCACTTGCAAGTTGTAACAACGACTCGAGGCCATCCCCTCGCGTTTCAACCCCGCAAACATCTCCTTGAATGTTGAGCATTGGTGTCGGCGAGTCGCGATCACGACCTTGTGAAAAGATGCCATCCCGCGGGTGAGTAGGTGGGATACGTAGCTACCTACTGTATGGAGTACGAGCACTTGTGTACCGCACAGCAGCCCTTCCGTCCCACCGCAGGCCGCTAGCCTGCGACAGCATCAAGAAGAGAGAAGGGAAAAAGCGAAGCTATCGCGAGGCCCGATGAGCCCCCGATCCTTGTAAGGTGCTGGTGTTGAAGCTCGTCGTGACCCTGTCCCCCCCCACACTTCCCGCATCATCTTTTGGGCTGTGGAGCAGCACCGATTCAATGTCCTGGGCTCGCTCCCCCAATTGATCGAGGGCACGACGGGTTGCCTAGCTGGGTGCATTGGATCGTGACGACAATGGATGCCGTTGCAAATTTTTTTACGTCGCACTCGGCCGGGCAGCATCTCCGCACATGCAGCCGACTGGCCTGTCCGTGACGCATCTCCGACCTGCATGCCAGCCAGGCCAATGCACGATAGAACGGGCTCTATTCGCCTCGGCTGGGAATACCAAAGTGAGAAAGCGCAAGGTCGAGGCTGGCTGGCTGGCTGGCTGGCTGGCCAAGCCGGCGGGTGTAGCGTTGTCAAAGGGCCAGTCCTTGAGGCAGTATACGAAGTAACAGATCGAACCATCGTCTACTCTCTCTGTCTCTCTCTGTCTCTTTCTCTCTCTCCCATTTCTTTTCCCTAACCCCCCCAATCCATCACACCCTGCAGGTTTTATTGCCCCTCGGACGCCCAGACCGTTCGATGCAGCATCGTGGAATGCCCCCCTCCGCCAGAATGGCCAGCCACTACATTGCGCTAGCGCACGGCCCCGGGCGGTTGGCGAGTAAGGAAGCCGAGACAAGCTGCGGCCCTGACGCGACGATGCTTTTTTCTTTCTTTTTTTCGCTCTCGAGTCGTAATGGACAGGGATCAGGTGTTATACGGCACCGATGCATCATCTCATCAGGTACCGCCTTGCGGGACGGGCGAGCTACCTTGCGTAGGTTAGGAACGATATGCCCTCACCCAATGTCCAACCCGGCCACCCGCGACATTGAAGGCATCATCGAATCAGCTTCTTGACCCATTCATTCCAGCTTTGCTTCTGTTCCAGATAAGACCAGCGCTTTGGGCTAACTAGTCCCTACTTGTACTCCGTACACATGACGACAGACAGCCACCTGGCTGCGGAGATGAAGGAGCGGTTGGACCTGCGGCTTGGGACGATGCTCTCAGCTGGCCTCCCGTGCTCCTGTCTGTGCTCCTGTCTGTCTGTCTGTCTGTCTGTCCGGCTGTCCGCCCGGCTGTCTCGTGTGCAAGAGGTCTCTTCTGCCGACGCTAGCCTTTATGTTTTCTTGGAGAGATGTGATACACAAAATGCGAATGTGATTCCTCCCGCTTGGATGCAGGTCGCACCGCGTGCCTAGACGTGCAATCCGACAGGAAGGGCCCTAAAAGCTGCAGGCTCCGTGGCCCTCTCGAACTGGATCGTCGTCAAGGCCCGCTGCTGCGCCCGTTGATGATTGGTGCTCGACCAGCCTTCCGTTGCCGGGCAAGGCCATGGTCCTGGAATCCTGGATTTCCTCGGACTGTCCATTGCGTCGAGCCACCTACAAGTAGGTACCTGCCATGCTGAGATGGTCGGGGTAGGTAGTGCACTCGTTGCTCATCGGGTCTAGCTGGCTGGGCAGAGGGAGAGCTAGCTACCCAACCCTGTCGCGTGTCCAATTACCTCTGCCCATTCCTTACCCCGGACTCTACGCTTTCTAGGTAGGTACTACCTCGTCCTCCGCTGTTGTGGGAACACAGGATGCTCACTGCTTAGAAGGAAAAAAAGACTTAACCGCCATTAGCGACCCCTGTTTCCAGCTCGAGCCAGATCAGATCAGCCTAGCCCCGTCTCGCTCAAAGGTTTACAAAGTACGGAGTATTGCACTTGTAGACATTTGGGTCTCCATCGCCAGGCCAGGCCAGGCCCAGGCCAGGCAGGGCACTCAACGCCTCGATACGGAGTAATTTCACCCCAGGGAGATGAGATGCAGCGTAGCATAGATAGAGGGAGCCGGGGACGGAGCACACTGACATCAAATCAGTCGCGCACGCGGCGGTTGCATCGAGGGCAAGATAAAGGACCCTACTCCGCCCTCACGGGTCGGGTGAAGGTCCCAGAGCGCGACCCAGCACTTGATCCATAGGGCCTATTAATCAAGGGATGCCAAAATAGGGTCCTCTCAAGCCACGCGCTCACACGGACACTCGGCTTGGCGAGATACGAGGAAAAGATAAGGAACAGTCCGTAGTGCCGTGAAGTTCAACCCCAGCTCTCCCAGTTGTTGTACTTGTAAATGTACGGAGTAGCTGGGCCGTGCAGACCAGAGCGCAATGTCAACGGCCAGGGATACCCTTCCCCAGGTCTCGATGTAGGTACGTCGTCTTCTCCAACTGATCAACCTCCCCCAGATATCGCTGATCAAGATCCGCAACGGACAAGGGTCTGTCCTGTTGCCCCCCGAGAGCCATGTGTAGCCTATTACTTGTAGGTAGGTACCTGTGGGACTTACATACATGTCCAAGAAGCCGTTGCGTTGAAGATGTTCTCAAACACGACAGGTCACATTTTCATTCACTCCTCTCCTCTCCGCACGAGCAAAACCGGTTGGTTAAATGCCATGGCGCGATGCGCTAGTTCTCGCTCAGTCAGCTTTTCATATGCCATTAGTGCCATGGGTGCAAAGAAATGGCGAGATGTTCGTCCGTCGGTGATCTTGTCAGCTTATACGCAGGACACTCTCCTGCAACCACTACAGAGCAGAGGAGAACACCAGCCACGCCGATGCCAGCCTTCACTCTCCGATCTATTGCCAGATGATCTCCGCACCCTAGACGTCATTCTCACCTTACTTTGGAAAGTAAAGGCCCGCTCCCTCGTTGCGTTTGCGGGGAACCTGCGCAGTTGCACGCGTAGGATCCACCTGGATCTTCCGGCTTCGTTCTGCAGATGCAACAAGTACGAAGAAGTTATCGAAATGCGTTCTACCTGACTCATCTGATAGCTGTGCCCACAGACTTCGTTCGTCCTTGGACTGACCAAAGGAGTGAAGAAGCCTGTCCATGTGAAAGAAGGACCTCTGTGATCCGCCCCCTCCTATCTTTCACCCCTCCCTCGATGGCCACCAACTGCTACAACTCTTCCCCGAGCTCCCTCCCTCCCTCCTCCCCCCCGGATCACACTGCCTCTCTCTGTAGATCAGTGCAACTCAACTGACGCACCCCGCCGTCCGCGGCAACGTTGAATGTCACCGTGTCTCGGGGGCGTTTGCCTTTAGCGCGCCGGGCTATTCCCGGGCGACGATCGCTCTTCGGCACGGAGACGATCAACCTAGTGTTAGCCATTTGACTGCCGGCATGTTCGTCGATCGGCATATCCCTCTATCACCAACCAACCATCCACCCACTCACTGGCGTACGAGAGTCAAGATCGTAAAGGGGAGGGGGGAAGGGGGAGGGGGCTTGATCATTATCTCCAAAGGGGAGGGGGGAATAGTGAAAACCGCTAGAGCAGTGTTGAATGAGACATCAAGATCCTAAAACACCGACCGACCCAGTCTTCAGCATCACTCGTGACGTTGCCACCCCAAACCTCGCGCCCTCCAAACACGAGCGCAGCATGCGGCGCACCGTTGCCACCAAGCTGCCTCACCCATCCACACCAGGGGGCCTCCTTCTCTGTCTAGACCTACGCAACCAAGTGTGCAACTTGCCCAACATCCAACCCCCTGTATCCTCCTCCCTGACCAACTCCCGAGACTAACACGCAGAGTGCAAGGTCCATCCAACCATCGCCCGGAAATGGCTCCGCCCACTATACCTTTCTACTACAACGTCTCTCTACCTCTGCCGCCACGAGCACACGGTCAAATCGGCCGGTACACATACCGATAGTCCGACAGGAGCTCGAGCGCCTGCTGCCGCCCCTTGGCCTCGATCAGGTGCTTGGCGTGCAGCGCGTCGAGCTTCTCGTCGGCGTTGCGCCGGCTGCGCGCGTTGGCCGCGTCCACACGGGCTTTCACCTCGGCCGGCATCTCGGCCGGCAGCGCCCAGCGGGGCAAGGGGCCCAGCTCGGGCCAGACGCCGTAGTGCCGCAGCGCCGCGTTGAGCCCGGAGCACGCGTCGTCCACGGGCCCGCCCGCGACCTCGACCGCCATGTAGTCGACGAAGCCCTTGAGGCTCAGCAGCGGCATCCCGCCGTAGGGAATGGTCCGCCTGCCCGGCGGCCCGCGCTGCACGACGCGGTGGTCGAACCGCCAGGCCTCGAGCACGGCCTTGAACTCGTAGTCGGCCTGGTCCACGGGCTCGAACATGGCCATGGGCTTGAAGTAATTCTTCCCTGTGTGGTTGTGGCTCATGTCAGCGGTTCTGCCTCTCTTTCCAGTGGATCTGTCCGTCGCCCCGTCGCCCCCCCAGGTGCGGGAGGGGAGGCAGATGATGAACCATTTGGTTTATGAGGGTATTTACTTACAAACGTTGTGCTCGGTCTGAGTCTCATTGACATCGAGCCAGCTCGAAAACACCTCGGGGGTAAGGTATCCAGTCCGCTGGGGGTCCAAGACCACAAAGAAGCTCGCCATGAGGTCTACAAACATGGCTTTCGGAGACCCATCGGGGTAGAACAGGTGTTGCCAGACACGGCCTGACTGAGGCTGCTGCTGGCCGCCTGGCGGATTCTGCGGAGGTGGAGGTGGTACTGCACCGGCACCGGGACTCGGCTGCTGAAACTGCTGGTACTGCTGCTGCGGCGGCTGCTGCTGGTACTGCTGCCGTGGCGGAGGCGGAGGCGGCGGCTGATATTGCTGCTGTGGTGGCGGTGGCGGCGGAGCCTGAGACTGATGCTGATACTGAGACTGAGACTGAGACTGTCTCTGCGAGCCCGAAGGCTGCCTCGGCGGCAGAGGCGGCCGGTCGCCAGCCGCCGATGATGACGATGACGGTGTCACCGGGATCAGGGTCTCGTATCCCGGCGGCCGAGGCGGGATCGGTGGCGCTCGATCATCCATGCCGTCCCGTGTTCTTGGCCCTTGGCGGGAGCCGTTGCGGGGTGTGGGAATTCTCCAACGAGACCGCCGATCGGATCGGTAGGGGGCGGTGGGGTTCAGGAAGCTCCGGCTTGGCTCCGTGTTAGTTCACACACAGAGTCGGTGTTCGCGTCTGATTCTCTGACGCAGCCAGATCTTTCCAATCCAAAAGACAGGACACGGAAGTGCCTTGATCATAACCACCGTTGAGATTCCACGGTGCTTATATGGCGCATCCAGCGGTGTTGGCGCCCTCCCTTCCTCAGGCAGGTCTAGACTGTTGCGGAGCTGAGCCGATGCCAAGAAGACCTGCCTCCGAAACTACGCCCAATCCGGCCGAGCTGGACTTTTGACAACTGCATTGCTGCCATTCTTTTGGCAGACACGCGCAGAAAATCTGCCCAACCCATGGTCCAAGCTGTCCACTCTCGGCTACCGTGGGCGCAGCTTCGAAGGTTAGTCCCAACTCAGTCAATTGTTGTCTCTGAAGCTGTCAGTTTCAGATATCTCGAATAGTGGGTGGCTGAGGAGGCATGCGTACATTGAAAGGAGCCTCGCCTGGTCTTCAGTCAACCAAAGCCGGCAGCTTAATCTCAGGATATCTGTTCGATGCAACAATGGGAAATGGGCAGTCTGTGTCAAAGTAATCCACATCCTCCGTGACACATAAGCACCTTATCGGACCAACACCCCTGAACCGGATCGTTGTGTGTAAAGAACATAATCTTAATCTATTGACATCATCAATTAAGGACAGCGAGAACGTTAAATGAACCGTCCTGGACCAGTACCAGGTATGGGTATCTCCGCGAACGCAGCGCGGCAAATTATGTCCGAGAAACAAGACTCCATCCTTCCAACCACGTGCTAGTCCATCATAGAATCATTACACTTGTAAGCCGTACAAGACCCTTCCGTCATATTGCATGCCCAGCCAGAGACCATGATCCATGTAGTGAATCTGCGAGTATTAAAAAACATCGAGACCATATGCATCAAAAAAGACACCAGAAAATAACGCGTTCGGTCTGTCCTCGTTCGAATGGACAGCGAACGCCGAACACCACTCAGAAGATGACGCCGGTACCGATGACTGGTGTACGAGGAGCAGATACAGACGCATTAAGCGGCAGTGAAGGTCAACGCGAGCGAATTTTTCTGTCGTGCCAAACCCTTCTCCCTCGGCAACCACGTACGCCTACATGCGATTATAGCATGATAACCGCGAGACCAGCAACTGCAAGCATGCCACCGACGGGTGCAGCAGTCATTTGAGGACCCTTCACACATGTCAGCCAAGGCATTCCAAGAGCGAGTTTCGCGACGTATAACACTTACAGCGTTGGTACCAGTCCGAGACGAAGCCTGGCTGCTCAACGCGCTGGAAGCAGATGAGCCAGTCAGATGAGAGGTGATGGTAGATGAACCGATGGTAGTAACGCCAGTTTCACCATTGGAGCCCGTCGTGGTAGAGACAATTGGCGAGGTCGTCTCCGTCACAGGAGCTGAGGTGGCGCCAACGACACCGCCGATACCAGACAGAGTGCTGGCACCGGTCGAGGTGACGGTCGAGGAGCCGCTGGTGATCACAGTCGTGAAGCTGGAAGTCGTGATGGCGGATGCGGAGCCGGTCTCAGCACCGCTGCCAGAAGCACCTGAAGACGACTCTCCATTGCCGCCAGCACCACCAGCGCCGCCGAGGATGGTGGTCGAGCCAACAGTGGACGTCAGAGTCGAGCCGTCAGTAGTGATGACGGAAACGATTGCCGAGGTGGTAATGGCGCTCGACGAGCCACCCGAGCCAGATCCGGAGCCCTGTGTCTCAAGTTAATACACTGGCTCGCCATCATAGCCTCTGGACTGACGTACACCTGCACCTCCTGCTCCACCAGCAAAGATGGTGGTCGAACCGACAGTCGTAGTGACAGCCGAGCCATCAGAGGTGATGGTCGAAACGATGGCCGAAGTAGTGACGGCGCTCGACGAGCCAGCACCACCGGCACCAGCACCAGTAGTAGCACCACCTGCAGCCTCGGTCTTACCAGGGACCAGAGACTATGTGACAGTCAGCACTTGTAGCTTTGCCATGTTAGCATGGGACGCTTACAGGGGCGCCTACAGAAGTGGGGATGGAAACGCCGGCAGCTGTGGCCTGGTCAGTATTCTGAACAAGTTTGCACTCCTCATAGGTGTGGCTTACTCTTGCAATAGTCGAGGCCGAAGGCGACAACCTTGGCAGCGGCAGCATCGTCATTGCAGGACTGGTAGGAGCAGTCGCGGACCCCATACAAGAAGTTCTGGTTCTTGCAGAGACATGCGACATCGGTGCCGCTGCAGCCGAGCTCACCAGCCTTGGCGACCATGTTCGAGACACAGACTTTCTGTGAAACGGAGGCGCGGTGTTAGTGAAGAGAAGCAAAGGTACCGGAACTGAGACGAGGGACAACACTGAGAGCAATGACTGCTAAGGACATGACTTACACCGCACTGAGGGAAATCGGCCGGGATATCCTGGGCGACAGCGGTCGCCGAGAGGGCGCCGATGATGGCGATCATCGAGTTGGCGGTGACCTTCATCTTGATCTCGAGTCTGTCTGAGAGGGTTGATCAGCTGGCGTGTTGAGTGAAACCTGACGTCTTGTATGGTCGAAGAGTGAAGGAGAGATGATATTGTAACGAAGGGCCGGGAAGCGCGCGTCTCGTCAAAAGGAAAAGACAGAGAGGAGGATGGGGACTGATGATATCAAGCCAAGGGTCTGATCGGGTGTGAAAGTGAAAGTAGTCAAGGAAAAAGAGGATGCCGGTGCAGAGCAAAAGTGTAGCTCCAAACAAGTGAACAAGAGCGAGCTCGCTGTGACGTGTTGACATACCTGATTGGATCCTGTAGAGGGGCTGGTGATGGTGACGAGAGTGAGGACTTCGGTTTGACGATTGCGAAGCTGTGAGCTCCAAGTGGATGGCACAAACAGGTATCCGAAGATGGAATGGGAGACAGGTGAGAGAAGGGTGAGGTGTGTGTGAGAGAGAAGAGAGATAGATGATCTGGGGACGAGGCAGGCTTAAAAACCAGAGGCTGGAGCAGCAGGTGGGAGTTAGTCGAGAGGCAGGTAGGCAAAGTAGGGGAAAGTAGGAAAAAGTAGGTACGACGATGGGTGGGACACGGTGAGGTAAGGCGACTTCCAGGTTTGGGGGGTGACAAGGGTCGGCCAGCAGGAAAGATGAGGCCCGGCAGGTCAGGCAGGAAACAATGACAAGTACCTACCCGCTATGCTGTGTGTCTGGTCTGGTGGTTTGGTGTCTCGATTCTCGATCCGAACTCAACGTGATTTACGGTCCCGGGTGGAGGAGCAAGCTTACGATGCTGGTGGCGGCGATGCAGTGACGACGAGGGTTGTTTACTTGGCGAGCTGGCTCCTTGTCATTGCTTCCACCTCCCTCCGCATTTCAACAACGTCACAGAGAGCAAAAGTGCCCGGCCACGACCATTCAGACCTGCCTGCTGTCCAGATGATCTCAAACAGCCCGTGTCTACCGGGGCCCGATCCCCTCTGGTACTTCCGGGCTTGGTGGACCAGAATTGACTGGCTTGTGGACAGCGGATATCCAATATCCCGCCACCGAGCCATGGCCAGTGACTACCTAGGTTACCGGTCTCTTCCTCATGGGTTGCCTCATGTCAATTGCCCCGTGCAACGAAACGAGACCACCGGCCGACGAACAGGGCATGGCCAGAAGGGAAAGGGTAAAAAGAAAAAAAGAAAAAAACGAACAAAAGTTACCAACTCAATCTGCCCTGCTTGGCCTGCGTAGACTGTGCCTCCTCCTCCACTTGTATGATGAAAGATCTGCCGCTAAAATGAAGGGCCTGGACGGCCGATGTCTCTGGCCCTGTCCGCTGTGGGTCTTCCGGGTGCAAGAAAGTACCTATCTATCGCCCGCCCACTCTTTTGGATCCTGAGCTTGTTATTACTCCTCGTTGCTGTGTTGTCTCTCCATCTTCCGTGCATGGTAGAACCTCAAGCTGTCACCCCATCAGGCGAGGCGACGTCCTTGTTGGCTGGGCCACGAAACGAGGATCGGGCTACGAAGTACCTAAGGTACAATAGAGGCGGTTAGCCTGCAGTAGTCCGATTCTCAAAAGTGGGTGTTGATGTCAAGCAAGGTCTCGCCGACTAGGTAACGCATCCCGAAGCTCGCTGGTTGCATCGTAAACTCAATCATCACCAAACCTTATGTTTTCTCCTCCTTGTCACTTGTTTCGCTATCGCTCCGGAGGCCCCTACGATGCAATCCTTGGTTTCCGGGGAAGGCTAGGGGCAAAGTCAACCGGCACCGAAGCACGACTCTCTGCCTCGTAGGAACAAATCGACGCGTCATCTTTCAGCGTGTTACTGCAGGCTCGGGGCAATCTCCTCCTTGGCCGTCCAGCTTGTTTCTGCGTCACGAACAATCAACCTGAGGTAACCGGCTTGCCCGTCGTGGCCTGTAGCCTGTGTCAAGTTGGTGCTGGGGTACCACAAGAGGCGGGCAGCCACGAAATGTGACGCCGTCCAGGAACCTACCTACAGCACCAGCACTGGCGACAAAGTACTTGGTCGAGACACCCAATCCCCGCCACGGCTCATGTATGCCGTCTCGGCGCCTCCCATCATCCATGGCAGAAATGGCCCGGAAATTCTGGTGTCACTTGTGCGAGCGACGGGACCCTTTTCCAATTCCCTCTTGTCAAATCTTGATCCCCTCGTCCGACAGAGGTCGAGAGACGGGGTGGTCGAACGAACGCAAGGACTTCTTCGTCCGTACCTACCTCATAATGATGATGTTGGAGGTTGGAGGGGCAAGCCACTTTCACTTTGGCGTCCGTCGCCCGGGCATTCGATGAAGTCAGGTTTTTGAGTGGAGAGGAGTTGATGCAAGACAGCTGAAATCTCCCTGTTGGCAGCTTCTCATTGGCCAATCAGTCCAGACTAGGAAGCTCTTTCAGCAGGGCAAGCTCTTGGGGCGACAGGGGCACCCGGCCATGCTTGCAGGGGTCAGGCAGCCCGAGAGCGGGGGAGGACGGCTTTTGCATCCATGGATGGCTGGGCGATGTCCAGATAAACCTGGAAACCCATGCATACCGCTCTCGAGGCCTGCCGTGTTGTGTCATCGACACACAGTCGCAATATCGACATCTTGGTGTTCTTGCTACCTACTCTCGACTGCTTCAGGCGGCTTTGGCTGCCATCATGTTCAGGTTGTTCTCCGACAAGAGATCAAGATTGCTTCTCCTTGGGTTGTGAATCGCCCATTAAGCGGCACTGAGGTGTGGTGCTCCGACTGCTTCCAATTTCCTATTGATCGGCACAGTGACCCGGCCTATCACACCCTCGGCAAACGCCGACTTTCCAGCACATCACCAGAGCTGATGTCATCCCACAAGGGTAATCCTGGCGAACATCCCACTGCACCTCTCGACGCTCTCTCAAAAAGAGAACCCCACAGGTGCTTGTCACTTGTGTCTAGTCCCGTAGCTTTGATGCCAACCATCACGATTTGGACCTAATTCATGGTCACGATGAGGACTTTGGAAAGCGAACGACGGCTCTACTTGTTCGTCTCCACCGGCTTGACCGCCAGTGCAATAGCCCGGCATGGTGGACCTGCAGTAGACCTGCCGACATGGAGGGTGAGCTCAGTCATGTGTGCGAACTATCTTGATTATCTTCCCTACATTTGGACGAAGCAAGTGCTCCATCTGGCAGTCGACGGGGCGACAAAAAATGACCCTCCTCGCGTTATACCTACCATCTAGCCAGATTGATAACAGGGACGGGTCTGGCGTTCTGTCAAATGGAAGCCAACCTACCCCTTGCCTGGTCGATCTCACGAGAATAGAGGCTGGGCTGTCAATCCAGCAAATGATCGACGCCACGTCCAGCGTCGGCGGTTTATCAAGGGATCTCACACTCACCTCTTTCTGGCGATTAGCCGAGATGAGCAAGACACTACCCAGAGCGTCGGGACGGACTTTCCACAAGCCATTGGCTAGCCTCAACTTTTCCTTTCACAGAGCCGAGATTCACAACTCCACGATGGGAGCAATCCCGGGCAGGGGCATAACATGGTGTGCGCTTCTGGCCCAGCCTCCCCTCCCCGGACCGAAGATCACACTTGCGCTACTAATCCCATACATCTTCTCTCATCACAATGGCCAATGCATTGTGGTCCTCGGGTTGCATGTAAATTCCATGTTCATTTCGGCCTAACTAACGCCTGGTGAATCAAACACCCGAGCAGAATGCATCACGATATAGGGCGCGCAAGCGCGGTGAGTTGTACACTGTTCTAGGGTGACCGCGTAAAGGAGATGCAGAAACAAAGGTCAAGGCGCCCCAACAATGATAACCCAAGCAGACAACGAATTCGCAAAAGGCCCGGTCCCAAATCCCAACTGTACACAAAGGAAAATACCATACCCTTTGATCCGCGATCACCAAGCCCAGCCAATGATCGCCATAATTACATCCGCGCCGTCCCTTGTCATGTACTAGTTGTCTCCTTCGTTACACATTCTCATCAGGTCCACAGCGGCAATGGGCTAGGTCCTCTAACCGCTGCACATTATGCAGGCCTCGGGGTTCTCAATGCTGCCTGTTGACGTTGTTAGCTTCTATACGATACAAGACCATCTCAGACGAGCGAGGAATTCACTTACAAGCAAGGACAGCCTCCGAGTAGATGTCCATCTCCCGCTCCTTGCTCTCCGAGTCCTGGTCCTCGGCCTCGTCGCCCTTCTTGCCGTTCAGCTTCAGCTCCTCGAGCTGGGGCTTCTCCTGGGGCTCGGTAGGCAGAGCCTTGGGGGACTCGCCCTCGTCCTGGTCAGCCTTGAAAGGGGTAGGCTTGGAGGGCGACGCGACAGGACGGGAGGGGGCAACGGCCTGAGCCGGGGGCGGGGTGGTGCTTGGAGTGGGGATGCCGTTGCTAACAGCAGACGCCGTGTTCTCCGAAGACTCCTTCTTGGCATACATGGGGCGAGGCACAGCCGAGGGCGAAGACATGTAAGAACCGCTGGGAGGAGCACGCTTCTTGATGCCACGCTCCTTGGCGACGCTCGAGTCCTGCACGCGCAGAGCCTCCTGGTCGACAGTGAACTGGATAGGCTGAGCAGCAGCCTGGGTACGGAGGTAGTACATGCCGGTCTTGAGACCAAGCTTCCAGCCAGTGAAGTGCATGGACGTGATCTTACCCATGGTAGGCTCGCGCATGTGGATGTTGAGCGACTGAGACTGGTCGATGAAGGCGCCACGGTCGGCAGCCATCTGGACGACAGTTCGCTGAGAGATCTCCCAGACAGTCTTGTACAGAGCCTTGATGTCGGCAGGAATGTTGGGGATGTTCTGGATAGATCCCTGCTCGGCAATGATGCGGTTCTTCATGGCATCAGACCACAGGCCCATGTCGACGAGGTCCTTGAGCAGCCAAGGGTTGACAACCTGGAACTCGCCAGCGAGGACGCGACGCTGGTAAATGTTGGAAGTGTAGGGCTCGAAGCACTCGTTGTTACCCAGGATCTGGGAGGTGCTGGCAGTGGGCATGGGGGCGACCAGCAGACTGTTGCGGACACCCGTCTCGGCAATCTTGGCCTTCAGAGACTCCCAGTCCCACAGGTCAGTGGGCTTGACATTCCACATGTCGTACTGGAGGATACCCTTGGACACAGGAGAGCCCTCGTAGGTCGAGTATGGGCCCTGCTCCTTGGCCAAGTCGCTCGATGCAGTCAGAGCGGCGTGGTAGATGGTCTCGAAGATCTGCTTGTTGAGCTCGCGAGCCTCGGGAGACTCGAAGGGCATACGCAGAGCGAGGAAAGCATCGGCCAGACCCTGGACACCAAGGCCGATAGGGCGGTGGCGCATGTTGCTGTTACGAGCCTCCTGGACGGGGTAGTAGTTGACATCGATGATCTTGTTCAGGTTGCGGACAACAACCTGGGTGACCTCGTGAAGCTTCTTGAAGTCGTAGACGCCCTCGTTGTAGTCAACAAAGGAGGGCAGGGCAAGGGACGCCAGGTTGCACACAGCGACCTCATCGGGAGCGCAGTACTCGATGATCTCAGTGCACAAGTTGGAGCTGCGGATGGTACCCAGGTTCTGCTGGTTGCTCTTGCGGTTGCAGTGGTCCTTGTAGAGCATGAAGGGGTTACCAGTCTCGGTCTGAGCCTCGAGAATAGCGTACCAGAGCTTCTGGGCCTTCATCGTCTTACGACCCTTGCCCTCCTTCTCGTACTTCTCGTACAGAGCCTCGAACTCGTCGCCGTAGCAGTCGGCAAGACCAGGGCACTCGTTGGGGCACATGAGGGTCCAGTCACCGTTCTTCTCGACGCGCTTCATGAAGAGGTCGGGAATCCAGAGGGCGAGGAAAAGATCACGGGCACGGACCTCCTCCTTACCGTGGTTCTTGCGCAAGTCAAGGAACTCGAAGACATCGGCGTGCCACGGCTCCAGGTAGATGGCGAAAGCACCGGGACGCTTGTTGCCACCCTGGTCAACATAGCGAGCCGTGTTGTTAAAGACACGCAGCATGGGGATGATGCCGTTGGACGTGCCGTTGGTGCCAGCAATATAGGAGCCAGTGGCACGAATGCGGTGGACGTTCAGGCCAATGCCGCCAGCCATCTTGGAGATCATGGCGCAGGTCTTGAGGGTGTCATAGATGCCCTCGATGCTGTCATCCTTCATGTCGACCAGGAAGCAGGAAGACAGCTGAGCCTGGGGCGTACCAGCGTTGAAGAGGGTAGGGGAAGCATGGGTGAAGAACTTGCTGGACATGAGATTGTAGGTCTCAATGACTCGCTCAATGTTGTCTCCCCAGATACCCACGGCAACACGCATGATCATGTGCTGGGGACGCTCAACGATCTTGCCGTTGAGCTTGAGCAGGTACGAGCGCTCCAGAGTCTTGAAGCCAAAGTACTGGTAGTTGAAGTCTCGGTCATAGACAATGGCCGAGTCCAAGTCCTCCTTGTGGCGCATGACACAGTCATACGTCTCCTGGGCAATCATGGGAGACGGCCTGCCGTTCTTGGGGTTGACATAGTGGTAGAGGTCGCTGACCACAGAAGACCACTGCTTCTTTGTCTGCTTGTGGAGGTTGGACACTGCGATACGGGCAGCGAGGATGGCATAGTCAGGGTGGGTGACCGTCATGTACGCCGCGGTCTCGGCAGCCTGGAGGGAACAATAGAAGTGAGCACTCGAGTCTGAGTTGAAACCAAGGGACATCTGAACTTACAAGATCGTCCAACTGGGCAGTGGTGACACCGCCATAGACACCCGAGATGACCTTCTGGGTGATAGCCACAGGGTCAACATGCTCCGTGTCAAGGCCATAACACAGGCGAGAGACGCGGGCTGTGATCTTGTCAAACTGGACACGCTCCTGGCGTCCGTCTGGGAGGAAACCTGTCAGTATTCTTGAGGCTTTCCAGGAGGCAATTGAGGGAGACATACCGCGCTTTCGGACGAACATGGTCGTCGATGTGGAATAGTGAAGCCGGGAAGGCGGGCAAAGATTCAACGACGAGCAGATGCAACTATCGCCAATGCGCGGCAAAAGAAAAGACTGTGATCACGAAGGCACTGCAGCGGGGTATCAAACACGTCTCTTATCGTCGTAAGAGATCAACTGCAGGTGTTCACACGCGTCTTCGTTGCGTGTTGTGGTTGAATGGAGGAGGGGAGAGGGTGAGAAGGAGAAAGGTTGCCATGGGATGCCACTTAAATGCAACGCGCTCCAGCGTGTGAATTGGGACTTTAGCGTGCAGAACGCGTCCTGCAGGTGTCAAGACGCCAGGCAGCCCTGGCCTTAAAGTGGCGCGCGAAAAACAAAGCAAGTGGGGCGCGCTGGGAAGACCGCGTAAAGAGGTTTTTGCGCTGAGGGCTCCCTGTGCCACCCTCTTGCCCCCCTGTAATCCAGGCTGTCCAGGGCGATACAGGCGGGCTTATGTAAGAAGTCCATCACCAATCCGACGTCAATTCCAACCCAAGCACTTTTCGTAATAATAAACAGCCGGCATCGCAGCTCCAGAACGAGAGATGTGACTAACACAGCTCAGCATCCACCCAACCCCCAGAGCAAAGAAAGGAGCAGGCCCATTCCAGAGGAGGTGCCGGCTGCCTAATATCGAGTCATAGAGGGAATCCGTCCTTTATATGAGCCTACATGATAGCATCTCGAAGAGCAGTGTTTCTCTGTAGAAGGCCGATCGTCTCTGGAATTCGCACTACGCCACCACGGTCACCCCTGGCCAGCTTCGTCGCCATGGCCTCGACTACAAGTGAACCATCGGCACCGGCGCCCACCGTGTCTGAGACGCAGGCTCCGACTTACTCTCCGAGGTATATCGATGTAAGTCCGGTCGGCTCGTAGCTATGCAGATCACCAAGCAACCTACCAATCTGTAATTCAGACTCGTCTGTTTTATGGACACACGAATCCGCCGTGTGATGCTTGCATATCCAGGTAAAACGCTCAGTCCGGCTGACAAAAACAAACCCCCTAAGTAACAGATTGGCATCAACCTCGCCGACCCTATTTTCAGAGGCCGTTATCATGGCAAGCAGCGGCATCCCGATGACCTGAAGGCCGTCGTGCAGCGAGCCAAGGATGTCGGCTGCACGAAAATGATAGTCACGGGCTCAAGCTTCAAGAGCTCGCGCAATGCTCTGAAACTGGCAGAGGAGTTCCGTATGTTTTGTTTTGTCATCATGCCCGTACCGTACTGTATCCATTGCATCACACCCGACTAACACCTTGCCCCCCCTTCGGCTCCTCCAACAGCCGGCACGGTCTACACAACCGCCGGCATCCACCCCTGCAACAGCGTCATCTTCACCTCGTCCCACCCGCACCACCACGAGGCCGACGACGACGAACACACGGCGGCCTGCGACCCGGACCCGGACAAGCCCATCTCGGACGAGGCCACCGTCGACGCCGCCAGGAGCGACAGCATCATCGCCGACCTCCGGGATCTCGTCGCGGAGGCCCGCTCGTCGCGCGGGCTCGTGGCCTTTGGCGAGTTCGGCCTCGACTACGACCGGCTGCACTACTGCACCAAGGCCGCGCAGCTGCACTCCTTCCGCGCGCAGCTCGGGCTCGCGGCCTCCCTCCGGCCGCAGCTGCCGCTCTTCCTGCACTCGCGCGCCTGCCACGCCGACTTCGTGGCGCTGCTGCGCGAGGCGTTCGGCGAGCGGCTCGAGCGGCTGGAGAGGGGCGGCGTCGTGCACAGCTTCACGGGCACCGCGGACGAGGCGCGCGAGCTCATGGACCTGGGCCTGCACATCGGCGTCAACGGGTGCAGCTTCAAGACGGCGGACAACTGCGCCGTCGTGCGCGAGATCCGCCTCGACAGGCTCATGATCGAGACCGATGGGCCCTGGTGCGAGGTCCGGCCCACGCACGAGGGTTGGAAATACCTGGTGGATAAGAAGCCCGAGGGTACTCCCTCGGACGGAAGCGCCGCCGCCGCTGTCACGTCAGCTGGTGCCAATGGTGCCCCTGAAGCACCCGCAAATGGCAATGCCGGTGGGAAGAAGCAAGGCAGCAGGAAGCAGCCCCAGAAGAAGGAGCCCGAGGTGCCGGAGCGCTTCAAGAGTGTTAAGAAGGAGAAGTGGGTGGAAGGCGCCATGATCAAGGGCCGCAATGAGCCATGCTCTATCGAAAGGATCGCCAAGATTGTGGCGGGCATCAAGGGAGTCACCGTCGAAGAGGTGTGCGAAGCAGCATGGGCAAACACAGTCAAGGTATTTGGCTTGGAACGAACAGAGACATAGAGTAGATACCCGAGAGCCACACCCATGCAAGACGCTGAACATAATTTCATCATAACCTCCAACCAGCCCCCAATGCATAACCAGGCCGTCCCGAAACCATACACTGAACGCCCAATTTCCCAAATAGTAGACAACTCGGCTCATAGCCAGACAGGCAAAAGCTCAAATCCCCGAGCCCTTGTGACCTCTGATCCTCCCATCTCTGACAGCGCCAATCGTTACGCCCTCTTCTCCGGTCATCCAACCGGGCATGCGCTCACCATCTATCACGCCCATTTCGACCAGTTGTCTCAACCCAGCAAACACGTGCGACCCATGGAAGGTGAGCCTGACTTCCGGCCGCCACCTTGGACCATCCTTGTCCTGTTCTGCATCGACATCCCTGGGATCCTGTGCGTCCTCTCGAGCTTCGGCCTCCTGCAAAAACTCCTTTTCGATCAAGCTGCGGCGGCCTCCAGTTGTTCTACGGTGGCCCGATGCATCGCCGTCCTGTTCATCCACAACATCGCCATCGTCCGGAGCGAGCGACGCAGCAGAAGGAAATGGGTCGTCCATCACGACATCAACCCTCTCCACACCGCTGCCGTCGTCGATCTTGGCCGAATCGCCGAACCGTGCCTGCGCCACCAGCTTTCTCCGTTTGGAGGCCTTCTCTCGATGTTGTGTTTCTGGCGACAATGCCCTTTTCCTGCTTGTCTCATCCAGTGGCGATATCGAATCCCCCTCGTCCGCTTCCGACAGTGGAGGTGTTGGAAGCACAGTGTCCAGCGGCGACTGCTTCTTCTTCTCGTCGGCATAAATGCTCCATCCACCTGCCGCTGCATTCGTCCGCCCTGGCCCTCGCCTGTGCAGCAGCTCGGCCATGTTCCTGGTGGACAGGCTGGTCGATTTAAGGGCGTACCGTTCGCGTGGCCGCGAGAGTGCCTTAGGGATGCCCTCTATCACCAGGCTCCGCAGACTCTTGGCCTCACCGGCGGTAGCCGGCCCGGCAGTCTGGGACTTGGAGATGTATACATGCGGTGACGCGTCGGGAAAGGCGATGTACACTGTCCTCGAGGACTCAAAGCCGACGGTTGATCTTTCGCCAGCCCTGCCTGGGACGGCCGGATCGGTATTGTAAGGGGAATCCAAGATGAATATGCGCAGCATCAAGAGCGGCAAGTCTTTGTGCCTGTCGAAATTGTAGTGCGCCTTGACGTCGGGTAGAACCTGGGCCTGTAGACTATGAAGAAAAGTAGAAGGGTGAAACCTGGGGATGTCGAGTGATCTGCCATCCGGCCTGAGAGGCTTCTCTGCATCGGCCTCTGTTTCCGGTAACCTCAGTGGCACGATACGGTATGCAGACCACTTCTGTGAGGTTGGGTGGTCGTAGAGGTACTGAAGATCAGCCATGGCTAGCTGATACATGGTCAGGCCATGTCTCCAATCGCCTTCGAGAATGCGATCGACGACCTCTCTTTTGGAGCCCTTGCGGGACTGCGATTCGACATAGAGCTCCCGAAGCTCACTGAGGGAGGAAGATGGGGGGTAAAAGTCGCCCGAGTCCTCATCCTCATCGTCCTCTTCGGCCCGGAGGTACGGCGCCGACAACGCTTGGTTGTCCTCATCAAGCCAGTCCAGCGCCAGGGACAAGAGGGATGGCCTGGACAGTCTATTCAGCACCTTGGCCACTACTGGATTCGAGGCATCGACGCGCAGGGAAGACGGTAGCCGGGCTGTAGTCGGAATGGTAATACGCGCCATGATTGCCACTGCATCCCGGCCGGTTGGGAGAGCAGAAGATGCGTAGGTGATTGGCGACAATAAAAGGCTTGACGATGTCTCACTTGACTTGCATCACGCAAGGGTCGTCAAGCACACACACACACATAAAGGTGAGATTAGGTAAGGCAGTCCCGCTGCATACACAAACGCTGTGGTGACGATTGAGACGCGCTTCGTTCAATGTGGAAGGACGCGTCCCATCAAAGCACTGTGTGTATAATGTGATCTTGATCTAATTCACACGGTGTGCACCCTTGCCAGTTGCCGCGTAAGGATTGCCAGCTGCAAGTCATTTTTGGCTTTTCTGCAGCAATGGCCCGTGCCCTCTGTTGTGATACCCCAAAAGCGAATCTACGACAGGACCAGGCCGAGCCGAGGTGAAGCCCGAGCCAAGATTGGCTGAGCAGAGATCCCGCCATCGGATGTTGTTCTTTGCCAGATTAAACCGCCATGCACCAGCTCTTATTCCCTTTAGGGTAACCCGAGCCGGTTAGTTGTGACTGGAACTGCATTTGATTGGGTTTCTACTTGTACTTAATAAACCTCCAGACCTGTCCCACGTTGTGAGAGAAGCTGGGGAAACAGCTGTGCGTCGTCGAGTACAAGAAGAAGGATTAAAATTTTGCCCACAACGGTCTGCGTAACAATGGCACTGGGACTGCACATGTGTGCTAGGTTTGGCTAGTGCGCTAGTGGAATCGAAGCTTACAAGTAGATGATTTATCATCAGCGTCATGCTACCTACGAGACTACGTCGATGGTGGACGCGCGATTTTCCGAGGCACGCCGAGACTCAAGTGCCCAAGACTGGAGTGGACTGGTGGGGGAGGCCATTCTAAGTTAGATCTATGCAACTCAATCGCCAGGTCGGTCTCGGGACTGGAGCAGGCAAGGCAGGGATCATGTCTCCCAGGGTCCACGGGCGGGATTTGATGCCAACTTGGGTTTGTAAGCACCAGACATAGGCAGTTTCTGTGCCGATTGACACACACACACATACACATACACATACACATACACATACACAACATATCCATGCATGCAGTTTGGCAGTGATGCATCCACCCACTCGTGAGTAGGTACAGCAATCTTGGGAGGGAACTTCATCTGCAACCTGCAAAGGTCCAGCCCGTATATTGTGTACCAGCCCTGCATGTGCGAGGCATGTTGGAAGAGTGGCTTGGAATTGTGCGGGCAGTGTGGCCAGAAACAGGTCGTGGGCTTGATTTGATTGGTGGTTAGCCAATGCATTTGGTGATGGGAAAGTGTCCATTCTTGCAGATAAGCGTGGGCGAAAGCACAGCATGCACGAGTCTGCAGCATGTGCGCCCTGCGGCCCTCATCCCTTCCCGCCTCCTGGGCGACAACAAGTACCTACCTAGGTACCTACATACTTCGAGCTCCAAGCAATCAGCAGAGAGTGTAGCGATCATAGAGCCGAAAAGTGTCGGAGCGTCTAGGGAGGGGCTGGCCTGTTTTCCATTGCAACGGGTACCTACTACTGCGAATCGTGCGGTGGGGCAGCTGTATAATTTTTCTTCAGGTACCTTTCGTCAGGCGCAATAGCCGGGGCGAGGTCGGCTCTGAGGAAGCTGGAGACAAAGAGAAAGTGACCTTGAGCCTGTCATCGATCCGAGGATGTAATGGGGAGTGGTACATGGCTAGTGCAGCGTGTAAAGGGCGCACCATCGGTACCTCCACCCACCCTCCCCAAGTCTCCCTGACTAATTCCACTTTTTCGAGCCCTGCTTTGCGGGCTGTGAGTCTCCCAAAACCCCCCCCACCCACAGCCCACGCTCACCCGATGGCCTCTAGTCGGCTCATTCTCCTCGCCAGTCAGTCTTCTTTCTCACAAAACGCCAAAACCTCAAGTCCGGTATCTTCGACTTCTTCGACGACAAACCAAGCATCTCTTTCGTCGGACGACACCGCTTTCGCTCACCGCGGTATTCTCTCATCTCGCCAGACACCCGGACGGCTCCCGTATCGACCCTCCGGCACGGTGCAGAGCGCGGGGCTGTGTGACTGTGACTGCCAGCCGCCAGGACTTCGCACGACGGCTCAACGCTCGCTACGACCGAGGCTCGACAAGAGCAGAGAACCAGACATCTAAAGTAAATATCGGAGATCGAGCACGTTTCCCACATCGCGCGCGCACAAGATGTCGGCCTACAGCCGCGACATCAACGTCTCGCAGTTCCTTCGGGACCTGCAGAACCAGGATGCGTCTCCCGAGAACCTCGAGAGCATGGACGACGACCTGTCCATGTTCACAAACACCCATTTCTACGACTACGACACGGGTCTGAACACGGATTTCCAGGCTCATCCCATCAAGCCCGAGACTGTAGACCCCAAGAAGTCAAAGGCCGACGAGGCAGCTCCCGCACAGCCGGCCGTAGGCGATTTTGCCTCTCTCGACGTCGACAACTTCCTACATGGTCAGTTGAACTTTTCTTCATATCATGTTACTGAGGAATTTCCCTTGCAACCCCCTTTGTTTTGTTCCCTTTTGTTCTCAGGAGGATTGTTGTTGAATGCATGGCTACGTACAACTTGCATTTCCATCATATTGCTGGTCTTGGTGATGAAGTCCAGTCAACAATATCTATTTTGCCCTGCACCAGACCAGTGTTGAGGCTCGTCACTTCAACAGTGAGGGCCACATAGTACACCGAAGGGGCGAGTGTCTCTGATGATCTATCTCGCTCTGCATTTGCTTCGTTTGCCTTACATAAACGGGGCGGCGCCGTGGCCTTGCACATGAGACGGCATCTATTGGGGCTGTGACTTTACGCACCTGCCATTTTAGCAGCGTGCGGACTCTCGCGGATCTGATGGATTGGGTCAATGGAACCCATTTGCAGGCCTCGGCCAGCTCTTTTATTGGGACAGATTGTTCCGTTTGCAGCGTTGCTTCCCCCGCGCGCCTTGCTGGTGGGAGATAGGGAAGGCTCCTTATGCGGGTTGGTGAAATCGTCATCCTGATTGGCGATGGTGCCATACCCCGTGACAAGTGCTCATCGCCCAAAGAGCAGCCAAACCCCAGCCTTTTTGCGTACTGTTGACCTTCCTTGCTTCACAAGCCCCCCTACCCGTCCAAATTGGCCCTCTTCGCATTCCCGGGCTCGATGCCCGGATTGCAATCATGTTTACTCCCCCCTCCCCTTCAATCCCAACCGCAGCCTGCTTCTCTGTTTCCTGGACTTAGACGGGCGGACCATGCTGACAATGTTACAATGTCCTCAGGCGACTTCAACTTCCCCGAGTTCGGCAACACCTACTCGTCCCCCACGATCCAGCAGTTCCCTGACAACCTGAACCTGCACGCCCATCCCAGCTCCCAGCCCGTCTACCCTGCTGTGCAGCACCCCCAGCCGGCCCAACAGCAGCCCGGCTATGCGCCCCAGGTCGCTCCTCGCGCCGGGGAGAAGCGCAAGGCCGATGCCCGCCCCATCAGTTTCGAGGAGCAGTCGCGCCTCGCCGCCGAGGAGGACAAGCGGAGACGCAATACCGCCGCCAGCGCCCGCTTCCGCATCAAGAAGAAGGCCCGCGAGCAGGCCCTCGAGAAGTCGGCCAAGGAGATGAACGAGAAGGTCACCGCCCTCGAGGGCCGCATCCAGCAGCTCGAGACCGAGAACAAGTGGCTCAAGAATATGGTTCTCGAGAAGAACGGCGGCAACGAGGAGTACCTCTCCAAGCTCATGGAAGACCTCAACAACAAGTCGGCTGCCGAGTTCAAGAACGGTGCCAAGGACAGGGCTGCGCCCAAAGCGGAGGCAAGAAAAAGCGTAGACCTGGCGAACGACATGAGTGGATGAGGTGTCGCATAGAACTCCAAGCATGAAGGGGTGGTTACCGGCGTTGCAGGTCTATCGGGTGGGTTAGCGATTGTGGGCTCTCGTTGTGAGGCACCTGGGGCGGTTTTGTTTTTTTTGGGGTTTCTCCCATTTCTTTTTGGATATGATACACATACACACGGAGCTTGAGTAAAGTAGAAATTATTCTTGTATATAAAGGTCTACACTACTAGGACAGGCTTGTTTCGAATAGAGACAAATGAACGGGGTAAAAAGCCGGAAACATTTGAACATTGACATCGAATTCTTACATACAAATCGCGGCGTGATGCTATGAACCTCTTATGATGCGTTGCCGCCATCGGCATTACCATTGCCTCCCGCTTGGCCCCTCAGCTGCCCGAGCCGGAGCTGGTTCCTCTTGCCCAGGACGCGGAGCGTGTTCTCGCGCTCGATCCGCGTCATCTCGCCCCAGTTGGAAATCCGCGAGGTGGTGCCGTCCTTGTGCACGACGAGCGGGCCCAGGCTGTCGAGCTTGACGGACCCCTGGCCGCCGTCCGACAGGTCGATCTTGTGCGTGTCCTCGGCGGCGGCGGCGGCGGCGGCGCTGCTGTCCTCGAGGAGCAGGGCTGGCTTCTTTTGCTCCTTGTCGCCTTCTCGCTGCCTCTCCGGGCCGGGCGGGGTGGTGGTGGCCGGCTGTTGTTGTTGTTGTTGCGAGGAGGTGGCCATTGCGCGCTGTCCGAGGGCGAGGGCGAGGGCGGGGTGGAGAGATTGCGGGTGCTGGTGCTGGTGAGCGGGACGGGAGTGGTTGCGTCCCGCGTTGGAGGAGAAGGAGCTGCTGCTGCTGCTGCTGCTGCTCAGTATACGCGCGCTTGGTGACGGCCTCGGTGCGTAGAGTGTTCTTGTGAGTTGGTGTGCGGCTGCTGCTGGTGCTGGTGCTGCCCGACGCATGAAGGGCGAGAGGTACAACGCGGTGATGAGGACGACGGGTGGCGTTTTTTTCAGAGCGGTTGGTGTATCGCCCGCCTTGAGCTGTCTATATATGAGAAAACCTCGGGATATCTTGCATTCTCGCGAGGGGTTGCAGTTGCTAGTTATGTATAGGCGGTTTGATGATGCTTTTGGGGTTTCAGATGACATGGAAATTGAGTTGAGACCGACCAGGTTCGGTTACTAGCGTCCGCGCTTCTCGATGTTTCCACAGCCTTCCGCTTGGCGCTTGTTTGCGCGATGCCGTGCCCTTGATTTGCCCATTGTTTGCATTGCAAGATCTCAAACTTCCGATAAACACATCGTTTGCTTTCAATATCTACATTGAGAAATCTGGATGTCTCATGGGGCTTCACTGGCACTGATATTGATTGCTGCATCCGTCTGCGTGCACAGGGCGGGTCAGTCATGCATGCCCCGTTGTCCATCCGGCGCTAGTGCTCCGAGCTCCGATGTCTCGAACTCGATTTGCCGACATCGACTCCGGTGTAGCAAAATTGAAACCAGAGATTAGGAGCAAGGCTGCGCAAGGGCATCGAATGTGTTATTCAGGGCAGTTTTTATAATGCAGGCAGAGCCGCCCTATCAAGCTGTTTCTTCAACACAGAAAGTACCGTTGGGCAGTGAATAAAGTCGATAGACGTGGCTCGAAGAGCTCTTTAGCATCCGCAATTGTCGGAGCAGACTTGTCGATAGATAAACATCCTCCTCCTTCCTTCTTTTGTATTTTCTGAAGTAGGTTGCTCAATTCCCGACTAGACCTTAACCCTCCTCCACTCACTGGTGGCTCTTGAACCTGTAAAGTTTCGTGTTAGTCAACTCTGGCACCAACCCCTTGACTCCCGGAAAGAATCTTGATGTAGGCGCCAGGGATCTCGCTCTCCAACTTTGTGTGACAAAACTCACTTCTTGAGCACCCGCTCGATGCCGTCGCAGCCGAGCTTGAGCGTCTCCATCTTGGGCCCGTACGAGAAGCGCACAAAGTGGTGGCAGGGGCTGTCGAACAGGTCGCGGCGGCGCGACGGGTTCAGGTCGAAGAAGATGCCCGGCACGACGATGACCTTCTCCTCGAGGCAGGCCTGGAAGAAGTTGAGCCCGTCGGCGATGGGCTCGGGCAGGCCCTCGAGGTCGAGCCACAGGTAGAAGGTCGAGTCGGGCGTGTGCTTGATGTTGAAGCCCATCTCGCGCAGGCGCTTGACCACGTAGTCGCGCTTGTCGCGGAAGTGGTGCTGCAGGGCCTTCATCTCCTCGCGCACCAGCTTCGGCTCGAGCATGGGGATGGCGGCCTCCTGGAAGGGCACGTTGGTGCCGCCGTCGAGGTAGGACCCGCAGGAGCCGATGCTGCGGACACAATGAGGGGTCAGCTTGTATTTACACAATAGTAGTCCAGAATGAAGAACTCACGCTTTGATGAACTCCTTGGGCCCGATGATCCAAGCTACACGCCAGCCTGGCAGACGGAAGCGCTTCGTGAGCCCGTCGATGATGAGGACGTCATCCTCGTCAACGTCCTCGACGTTTTCCTATTTTACAATTCAGCCATGCTCTTCTGTGGCTCCATAAGATTTTGATGGTGCTTACCGCAGCGCTGATGGTGGTTCCATCGCAGTCGCTAGTGTAGTTGTATCCCGAGTACTGGTGCTTGTCAGTCATCGAAACGGCCATCCTGGACAGCAAGAGAGAGCGATCTTGATCTTACAAACTCGTCGCTGATAAATGTGGCTCTATCCCTGCAGATGTCTTGGATCTCCGCGAGCTCTGCCCCTGCAACGACGCGGCCTGTCGGGTTCCTGGGGTTAGAGGTCAAGATCACACCGGTACCACGCTCAATCTCGGCGGCGATCTTCTCCGGGTTGATGTGATAGTTGTCCTCCTTGGACAGGGGGACAGGGATAGCGGCAAACTGTCCTGTGTGTCAGCCGCTATATGAGGGTTCCGAAAAGCTCAGGTGGCAACGCTTACGTTCTTGAAAAGGGAAAGCATCTCATTGTATGCTATCAGTGAGAGGTATTAGCATGGGTGGCACACGATGTTAGTGCGCTCGGAGATGGAAAGCCTACCGGTATAATCAGGAATGAAGAACCCGACGTAGGCATTGTTCAGCACAGCAGCAATGCGGATGAGGCCGGCACGGCCTCCGGGGACGATGGCGACGTTCTCCCAGGTGTACTTGCTGGGCTTGCCCTGGCGGTGCATCTCGTTGTAGAGGTTGGCAACGGCCTCCCGCAGGGGCTTGATGCCCGCGGTCGGACCGTACTCTCTGCTGTTGACGGAGATATCGAGCGTCTTGGGCCGCTGGAAGCAACCCTCGATGCTATCCTCAACCTGCGGCTAGTGTGAGCGAGTATGACCGGGGGGTAGGCGGTGCGTGATGACATACTTCAGGAGCACCCTGACCAAGATTCGCCCACTGGTCGGGCTCGTCCAGGAAGCCGAACTCGGCAGCTCGCTCGGTGCACCAAACCACACCGGTCGACGCCCTGGTGGCGTCGAGACCGGCGTGGGGCAGGTGCCCTTCGTGCGCGGCACGGAACTGGCGATGGATCTTGCTGCTGGCCTCTACGTGCGTCCGGTCTGTGTTAGCATACTTCTCGATCGTGTCCCGCACGATGGTAAGGGGGTCTCTCTGGCGACATCGTGCTTCGGGCGTCTACCCGGAGTTCGAGGTCCGTGAAGCGGGTCGCGCCAAGAGCAGCCTGCGGCGTGGACACTCACCGTTTGCGGTAGGCTCAGCGTTGGAGAACCGCCGGGCGGGCCGGGGCACGCCCGTGTTGCGGTTCATGCTGAACTTGCGAAAGTTGAACGCCATCGTTGCCGTATTTCCTGTCCCGAACGTGGTCTTTGCAGAGGCAGGGCAGAGTTTGAGACAATTACGAGCTCGCGATTTTTGAAAACGGGTCACAAAGAGGGACGTAGGTTTTGGTCAAGGCTGGCTGGCCCCACCGCTACTTATGACGATGTCGTGTCAGTACCCTCTTCTCTGACTGACTTCGTAGAGCAGGCTGCCTTTTTATTAGGAGGGAGCCAAGTGTACGGAGTAAGAAGGGAAGCGGATTCAAAATATGCTCAGGGTACGTGAGGCTATAGGTAAATGTTCCCCCAAAGACTTTAGTAACAAAAGCGGTATTTATGCAAAACAGGGTTTCGCTCGACTTGACAATGTGAGGAATTTAACGAACCCCGCCGTCTCGGACCCGGTCGCAAGCAATAATAGCTTTGGCTCGACTCGCGTCGCTCCAAAAGGCTTCACCGACAGATGGACAAGCATCATTGAGGGGCGGTCAAACTGTGCTGGGATTCCCACGGCCAGCCAACCAGCGCGGATCTGCTGTGGCCCAATTCTGGTTTGAGCCTGTCAACAGTCTTGGACAACTCCCACGTACATGACGTAGCCTGCGGCAGAGCTGCAAATGAGCAGCTGGGGTTGCTAGGCGTGTGTGCTGAGAGACTAGAGGCATCGTGTGCCTGCATTTGGGGCTGTCTTGTGGCCCGACCTGGCAAGGATGGGCCAGCGGCGTGTCCGGTCACTCGCCTAGTCATCACACTGTGGGTGTCATCTCAACCAGGGGTGGGCAGCTAGGTTTACACGATGCTGAGGCGGCACGATAGGAGGGCGCGATAAGTGACACGCGTCTTTCATGCAGACGATGGCCAAGCAGGGGTGAGGGAAAGGCCGGAAGGAAATACATGCAGTGCGTTTCTCTTCTTCGAGTGTGTCACCTTGCTCCTTCTGTTAATTGGCGGCACATCTAGGCGAACCGGGTTGTGTCTTCACGCGAGTACGTAGCGTTGGAACATCGACCTTGTCAGAAATTTTCCCAAAGTTTCCCTGCTGTCAAGGGTGTGCTTGTCCGGCTGAGGACGACCGCATCTTTGCAACTCTGTGTAAGACGCCGAAGAGGCGATCCCGGGGCCGCCTAGAATCGGAGCGCTGTGGATCCTCTCGGAAGAAGACCCATGTTGTCGGGCTTCCCTCCTGACCGAAGGGCCCGGACCTGATTCGGCATGGCTCTTGGCACTGAATAAGCAGCTGGGGTGTTGTTTTTGTTCTTCTCCGTCTTTAGTTCCAAGGAGTTTCATGCCGCTGTCTATATTCAGGGCGGCGCTGATGCCTTGTCTCGCCCGCCCTGTTTGGGATCAAGCACAGCCGCGACGGCCGGTCGCGACCTCTGCTACGTGTCCACCATGCTGAGGGAGGCCTGTCTTGGGCCTAATCAGCAGAACAGGTATATAAGACAAGGGCCTTTCCCACATCAGTCACAGGCTGCTTGGTCTCTGTTTGTGCCCTCTGATTCATAGCCACCTGGCACTGTCTCGTGTGTTGTGAAGCCTGTGCCCGAGTGCCGCAGCACTGGCAATGCTGGGCGGATTCTCTGCTGCGCAACAACATGCTGGCCGTGTATTCGGTCTGCACTGAGCGACATTGAACGCTGCGGTATCCCGCCGTGGGGATACAGGAGCCGCCGGGCGGGTGAGCTGGGGGTTGGCCGGCTGGCCGCGAGGCAGGAACCAACACTACCTACCTAAGGTAGGTATGCCCAGATCTGATCGAACCCCTGAGCCGCCCCCTGAGCCGAATGAATGCAGAGCGTCCCGAAACATGTGAGCGGTCCCAGCAGCGCGGTACGATTACTTGCATGAACAGGGAGGAAGGGTCAGTCAGGGGCAAGATCGCATGTCAGATCGCATGTCCGCCTTCTGTTCTGCCTCGTCGAGGCTCGTGCTGAAGTGATACAGTTACAGCATCTGGAGATTGTTGTGTGTGGGGGAAGATGGGGGCAGTGCAAGGCAAGGCGATTCGCCCCTCGTCAGCCTTATTGGGGATCCATGGATGCCAATTGTTAGTGGTTTTAGTGATTCCCAGGCTCTGGCTCGGCTGTCATACCCACCTGCACTGGGAAGATTAGCCGCCACATGGCTGTCACCCAGCACTGCCACCTCACAAGCAGGCTACCCGTCTGCCCTGACAGGCCAGGCATAGGCATACCTCAGACTGGAACTCTGCTCAGCACCAACATCGCAACTAAGCAATGCCACAATTGGGCGAACCCCTGTCTCATCCTCATCCTCATTCTGTCGTGACTAGCTCGGGCGAAGTAAATAGGTTTGCTTGGAAGCCACTGTAAATCATCATGTCCAACTCCAAGGTAATATGAAAGGCAGATTTGCCTCCTTTTCGGATCCGGTGGCCAAATTCCAAGTCGCCGGAGAATTGAGTATAATAACAATGGCCTGCTCGGTGGCTCAAGCAGTGACATGTCCCAGCGACACAGAGGTTCAAAGCAAACAACTTTCAAGAAAGGACATTGTCAAACAACAAACCTGATCAGACGAACAAGACGAAGAAAGGAAGTCACACCTACCCCTCGTCACTGGCCGACTCCCTCCTTCTGCTCTTTATTCACTCCCCCTCGAGCAACGCGCGCAAACAACTTGGAAGTATATAAACAACACACAAAGTCCTCAGCTGGGCACAACATCATGCACTCTTTCTCAACAACCACCACAACAACCTGCCCCCGAACCCAGACTGCTATGTCCACCAAGCGATCAGTATTTGGGAGCATCAAGGACAGACTGTCGAAGAAGAGCTTCGAGATGGGCTCGCCGAAATCCTCGTCGCCAATCCCTCTGGGCCGGGCGGCTCCTTCGCCAACCAGTGCATCGCCGTCTAGGGGACGCAGCCCTCTCACTAACCTATCTCCTGCCACTAGACGGCCGAGTAAGCAACTCCCTATCAAGCCCGGTATTAGAATAATGCTGACAGAACGCCCTATCACCAACAGGACAAGAGCCGCCTCCACCATCGTACAACGAGGCGATCAACACTCCTGTGGTCCAGCCTCCACAGGCTCGAGACGTATCCCCGTCACCCTCCGCGCTCTCTATCGGCAGCCTGAGCATCACCACGCCTGAGGATCCCTATGCCTTCCTCAGCAGCTTCGACACCATCTTCCTGATTGACGACTCTGGCTCCATGGCAGGCCGCTCCTGGCGCGAGGTCAAGGACGTCCTCCTCAACATTGCCCCCATCTGCACCGCTCATGACACAGATGGCGTCGATGTCTACTTCCTGAACCACACGGGAAACAGCCCTGCTGATCTGGCCAACGGCAAGGCCGCGGGTGGCTACCGCAACATCACCGACGAGCAAACGATCGAGGACCTGTTCAGACGTGTAGCCCCGACTAGGGCGACTCTGACCGGAACCGCTCTCTCGCACATTCTGGGCGCCTACATCCGCAACTACGAGGCCAGGGTTGCCGCCTGTGGCGGTGATCCCGACGGCACGGGAGTCCGCCCCATCAATGTTATCGTCATCACGGACGGAGCTCCCACGGACGACCCCGAGGCTGTCCTGCGCCGCTGGGCGGGTAAGCTCGACAAGCTCGATGCCCCGCCACACCAGGTCGGCATCCAGTTCTTCCAGGTCGGCAACGAGCCCGGAGCCACCGAGGCTCTGCGGCAGCTCGACGACGAGCTCGCCCAGGCCGGCAACGGCCGCCCCGCTGTCCGCGACATGGTCGACACCGTCACCTGGAATGCTCGCGATGGCGCCCGCCGCGTCCTCACCGCCGACGCCATCCTCAAGACCGTCCTCGGTGCCGTCGTCAAGCGCCTCGATCGCTCGACGGTAAGCGCCGAGGAGCAGCGGAGCAACAATCTCCTTTCTGTACGATAGACCGGGAATGGGATTTGCATATGCCACGGCGCAAAGGCATACATAGATAGGCTTTCACTTTGACGTTCCCCTTTTCTTTCTTTTCTTCTTTTTTGGAAGAAGCATTCTATGCTTGCGGCGTTTTGAGGGTTCATCGGAACTGGCTGGGAAAGATAGATCGCCATCATTCTCTAGAAGGCAGTGTGAAGATACCCCAGTAGATACCTCTGATTAAGTCATAATGGTATTGCATCCTTCGTTCACTCTTATCTCGGTGAAAATGCGTCGACTTTTCTACAATCTACTCCATCGAACAATGTGATTTTGTGTCCGAAATTGGTTGTCCCCAGTCCGCCCGCCCCATGCCGCTCTTCTCGGGTCAACCAAAGACGCATGTTCTGTGCTGCTCTGATCACTTTCACGCCGGTGTATGGGTGGAACGGTTCTTCAAGAGTTATATCATCATTGATAGTCTGGATTGCCTGCCGGTGCTAAAGTCATGTGCGTTACTTCCAAGCAATGTGTGTCTATCTCTAAGGGTATCATGGCCATCAAATCCGTAAACCCAGAGAAAGTAGCAAGATCCTGAAAACACCAGAAAGTGACTCCTACCGGCGCGCATTGAGACCTCCTCCACAAGTACCGCGAGGCATCCGCCAGAGAGAGCAAACCGTCAGGAAGCACCAGTAACGCCATATTTCCGTAAAAAAAGTTGTCCTTTGCATATCGCAAAGGAACGCGCGCATCTGATCCAGCCCAAAAAAAAGAAAAAATCATAAGTAAAGTAGCGAAACTCGATCTCGCCTCACAGCCAACAAGCACCCTATCCCCCTATCCACCCACTCGGACCGCAAAGAAAAGCGAGGGTGCAACCACCTCCCGCCACCGCCATCCATGCTCAGGGCATGACCAGGACCTGCGCCTTGGACAGGAACCGGGGCGTGACGCTGACGCCCGAGTCGTCGCGGTAGGTCATGCCGGGCGTGACGACGCACATGACGCGCCACTGCCGCGTCTGCAGCACCATGGGGTCCTCGTCGCTGTTGAGCGCCGCGTGCGAGCCGAAGCTGAACTTGGAGCCGCAGTCGTTGAAGACGAACTGGAACGAGTACTCGGACGCCAGGATCTGCGCCGACGCGTCCCACCCGGCCGTCGAGATGTGGTTGAGCTCGCCCGAGGCCGACTTGCGGTCCACGTTGAGCGACAGCAGCGGGCCCACGATGTCCTTGAGCCGGTTCGTGTGCGCCGTGATCTTCTGGTGCTCGTACTTGCGCCAGTCCGGGGCGCCGATGATCGACTTGATCGCGCGCGACTGGCGCTGGAGCGTCTCGTGGCGCAGCTGCGGCGGGACTGTGAACTGTGTGTCAGTGATTTTGAATAGAGGTCTTGCGTTGTCCCAAAAAATAAATAAAAAAACAAGGGGGGAAAGCGGAAAAAGAGACTTACTGCGTCCGTCGGCCAGTCTCTGCCGGCAATACTGGAGCGTCGGGGTGACGTCGTCCCGGAGACCCTCCCAGTCCTGCGTGGTCCACATCCTCTGGACTATGTACTGGATCAGGAGGCGGGCGACAAAGAAGGAGCGGACCTTGCCGTCGTTGAGCATGTAAATGGCATGGCCGTTGGCCGAAACCTGATCGCCCTGGTACGTCGCGCGGCAGATGTACTCCCACAGGCCCTGGTACTTTGAGATGAGGAGTTTCAGGCCCTCCGGGTTCGGCTCGCTGCAGTTCTCGCGCGACCAGGCGAGAACCATCTCGAAGGTCTTGAAGATGAGGTTCTTCCAGCGGGACTCTTCGGCGCGGAGGGTCGTGTCGTTGTTCGACGACAGCGGGCCTCCCCAGGGCGTCATGGCCATGCTCGGCCGGGCGTTGGAAGCCATCGCTCCGATGTTCGAGACCGAGGCAGAGGGTCCCAGCGTCGAGGCGGAGCCAAAGGACTCGTAGCCACCAGAGGAGACGGTGTCGCGACGGCCGCCGTACTGAGGAGGCGGGCCACGCGGAGTCGACGCCATCGCGGGACCTGGTCCCTGAGCGAAGTTTGGCCGTCCGCCCATATTCGGGCCGCCTTGCTGTCGGCTGGGAGTTCCATAGGCCAGGCTCGTCAGGCGACGCTGAAGGTAGGCCTCGTTGTCGTCCTGGCGGTTGTACATGGGCGACCGGCCAGCATACGAAGCGGAGCGTGGACCCGACGTGCGATCCGGTGCCACCAGCAGCGGTCGGGATGGCGTTGAAGCCTGCTGCTGGCCTGGAGACGGGCCCCAATTCTGCTCCTGCACCCAGGCTGAGGTATTGGGCGGTGTCTGGGCAAGGTGTTAGTAGTGTGCTTTTGTGGTATCAAGCGTATCGAACCTGCTTACCGGGCTAGCTTGCTCCTGCTCCCGCTCCTCAGATCTCGGGCCCGATCCCTCTCGGGCATCGCGAAGCCTAGCTCGAAGCACATCGACTTCCTGAGCCGCGGCGGTCTTCTCCGACCGAGCGAGATCCCGGTCCATGGTAGCATACTGGAGATCGTTCTCCAGCTGCGTGCGCTGGCTGTTCACGACCCGCTCGATGTGGGTGCTGGCAGCCTGAGCAGTGATGAAGCACTGTCCGATGTGCTTGAGGTCCTCAAACCACTCCTCGCGGATCGCCACAGGGATACCGCATTGGGACTGGGTTGCCTGCTGCAGCTTCAAGATGATGCTCTGAGCCTCGTGACATTTAATCCGGATATCCTATATGTGACCCCTGTCAGCTAAATTACTCCGAGGTGGTGGGCCGGGTGCAATAAGGGTGAGGACAGGGTAATTTGACTTACATCAAACGTGGCCGGAGCGGCAACCGTGGGAGCTGCGTATGGAACTAGCTGGCTATCCATGTTCTGTCTCTTGTTTGACGAGCGTGAAGCGGAACAACCGTCACTCGACTGAGGTGAGCTGTCGTAAAGGCGAGCACCACCACCGCCGGCGGCCGAAGACGAACTAGAATCTGACGAGGGCATTTCCCGTTAGTTCTGGGTAATGCGAGAGTCGAAGAGAAGCAAGACCCAAAACGCGGGGGGAAAGACGAACAGGGGCAGAGGTGACCAACAGGCGGGACCTGTCCAAGTATGGGAACTCGTTTGCCTTGACGAAGGACAGAGGTCAAGTTGGAGAGGGGGCTGAGGGAATGTATTGTCCCGAGCTTCACTTGATGGTGAGCGTGATCTTGGAAGAGAGGCGATGAGGTAAGGCACGGTATCAAAGGAGGAAGAGAGAAAGAAGAAAGTGTTGAAAAAGAGAAGACGTCCTGAAATGTAGAAGTGGGAGTGGTGTCCCGGACAGAGAGGAGCAGAAGCTTGGAGATTCCCAAGTTGGGCGGTGCTGCTCTTTGATTTGTTGTTTGGGAGGAAAGTTTGGAAGGACTTTGGCAGGAGATCGGATGGCTTTTTATATGTGATTGGGGAGGGATGGAGCAGAGTTTGGCGCCCACAGGTGAATGGGAGTTGAGTCAAGATCGGACGATTGAAGTGAGGTGAAAGTGTCTGAATCTCGCTGATGAAGAGATTAACGAGCTGCTTTGCTGGATCATCCTCACCAGTGAATGAGGAGCGGCTCAAGATGGGACGAAGCGACAGGCATCCAATGGTGGCAACATGCTGAGGTGACGTTCACAATAGACGAAGGAGCTGCACTGATGTGCATGTGGAGAGGCTATTGTTCTGGAGGAATCCTGAGATCAATGAGAAGCTGAGGCGAGGGTGGCTTGACATCGAATCCTTGTTCTTCGACTTCCTTAAGGGGGCTCTTTGGAAAGGTAGCTTTTAGGCAACCTGCATCAACAAGAGGCCTTGCCGAGGTGGTGAAGATGGTGAAAACAATGTCTGAAGGATATCCGAGCATTTGGGGCTTCAGGCTTCCATACTACAATGCCCGCAGAGAGACCTGATCTTGAATAGGAGGAGGTTGAGTAAAACCCAGTCAGCTCGTCTGGACGCGCTCGGCTGCGTAAGAAACTCGTTCCTGGTGATGAGGAAAGTGAGTAAATAGGTGCCCGACCAGGTGTATAGGTACCATGGGAAGCCTTGAGAGCCAGATGAGGAGGTTAGAATATATATACATATATAAAGTAACATGAATGGTACTTAACCATACATTGGAATGTACTTTGCCGGCTTGAAAAGTCGAATCGAGAGACGATCTGACTTGTCTGGCAGATACTACCAGATATATGTCCTTCCAGTGCCATGGTGTTAATCGAGAGCGTTCAACGTGCAAACACGGAAAGAATGAAGCCAACTCTAGTACGAAGCGAGGCACATGGCCAGATCGTGGCTGCATCTAGAGAACCAGACTCTACGAGGTTGGACGGGGATGCCCAGAGGTTGCTGCAAGGTCGTACTGTGTGGTATGGACGGCAGCAAACTGAAGCACTGTGTCTCAAAGCCTAGCAGATATGCAACAGGGCAGGGCAGTACGGATCATCAGCAAATAGTCTATATTGAACAATGTACAATGCAACGCTACTAGAATCAAACAAGTGAACATGGCAAAAGCGCCGCATTGCGCAACCGAGTGCCCCCAATGACTAGGCGGACTCGGGGGTTGTCCTAGGGTATATATATATATCAGCATGGTCAATGCCATCAACCGGGGTTCATTCGCAAGCGCGATGACCAAACCCAAGATATCCGTGTGTCGAGCGTGACAGCCACCTTCGATCACAGGGTTCGCTGCATTGACGGTGGTCTTGCAAAGTCGACACTAGTCGGACGCAGACATGAGCCTGCAAGTGGACCTGAGACAAGCCGCGCCGTGCCGTAACACCCAATATGGCGACATCATTCCTTGGGACATGACGGTGCCTAGCCGTCATCGCCTTGCCGCGTAGATCGGTGATGGGCGGCAATTTGGTAACACAAAGTCCTATAAGCGAGATACTGGAAGTCGGTCAGTACATATGGCAAATTGGGAGGAAGTAAGGGCGGCGGCTTACATTCAAAGGCAAAGCCTCGTGCCGGTCTGTTCGGGCCGTGATTAGCTTCTCAGATAGCCTTGGTTCGCGAGAACAAACTGCTGTAGACTGCGTCGACAACAGGTGCAGCAGTGATCATCCGGCCACCGAAGTAGCGGCCATTGAGTCCTTTGATGGCGTTCTCACCGCCTTGAACCTTGTCGAACTTGAGGTAGATGTCTCCCGGCGAGTTGGGATCCAGAGAAATATGGACAACATGACCATATTTCTCCTCGGCTTCCTGGCGAACGTCATCCTCGAGTTCTTTCACCCAGTCTTCACCTTCCTCCCTGTATGTCTAGCGTGTCAGTAACATAGTGCGAGATGGAGGCTAGGGAGGGGGGAGAAACGTACTCGGCGGGATCAAACATATTGTGAAGTACTACACAGCGACTAGCCATGTTGACATTGACGGGCAAAGGTTTCGCCTCTGTCTTGGGCTTGAGGACCTGTCGCTCAGGCTGGCCATTGGAGGCCTCGTCAGTTCTTGCAAGCTTTCGCATCAGGGCGTCTCGGCTGTAGTTGTTAAAGTTGACACCTGCGACATCGGTATCGTCCAGAGCGCTCGCGCCGCCGCCTTTCTCGTTGTCTCGGCCTCCGGCACGGTCGAAGTTGGAAGACGGGGGCCCGCGTCCACCCGCACCAGAGAAAGCAGAGCCCTGGTACTGTTGTTGGTTCTGGCCTTGGAATCTCTGCAACAGGTTGGCAGTTGATTCGGGGGTAAACTTATCGTTTCCAAGTCCAACCCGAATGGCACGACCAGCAAGATCAAAGCCGTTCATCTTCTCCAGAGCCTCACGTGCCTGGCCAGCGTCTCGGAACCTATGGGATGTTCGTTAGCCCCGACTCATTATGTGAAGGGGAGGAGTGCAAGCAGGGGCAACATACTGTACAAATCCGTAGCCACGGCTACGGCCCGAGTCGTCTTTCTGCAGCTGGACGAATTCGAGCTCGCCAAACGGCTCGAAAACATTCTGGAGATCCTGCTCAGTGATGCTGAAGTGGATATTACCAACATACAGGCGGTGGAAGGGGATGGAGTTGGGGTGGCCACCGGACGACTCCGTGTTGCGAACTTGGCGATTCTTCTCAGCTTCGGTGAGCTGGACAATGACGGGAATACCTAGGAGCTTCTGGCCGGTGAGCTGGAGCGCAGCCTGAACAGACTCTTCGGTCTTGAACTCAACATAGCCAACACTGTTCGTGTCAGAGATTGTTAGTTGACGCCAGCAAAACGAGATGAAGGGAACAGTAGAGTACATACCCTTTGGATCGGTTGCTGACCCTGTCCTTGACTATTTGAGCTTCAGCCACGGGTCCCACCTTCTCAAAGAACTCCTTGAGCTCCCGCGTGCGCAGACGAGCAGCAAGCTGCTGCACGAAGACGGTGCGTCGATCGCGCTCATCCTCGGTCAGAGGTGGGGGGGATGCATCCCTGGAGCGAGGCGTGTTTCCGCCGCGTCGGCGATCGTCGTCCCTACCGCGGCGAGAGCTTCGGTCATCGTCGCGGTCACGACGGCTATCTCGAGGGCGATAGTAGCGGTTGGGAGAGCGAGAACGAGAGCGGCCGCCGCGTCCGTTGCGATAGTAGTCTCCATCTGCTCCTCTATGACGACGTGAGTGTCGGCCTCCATGGTCACGGCTCCGGCTTCTGCGCCTACTTCTGTGACTTCCCGTATCGCTCCTGGGCGTCCTGTCAGCGTCGCTCCTGGGGCTGTAGCTGCGCCGATCCTTGCGCTTGCGATCCCGAGAGCCGTCTCTCGGGGTTCTCTCACGATCGCGCCGGCTTCGCTCTCCGTCGTGGTCCCGGTCCCGACTGCGGTCTCGTTCGCGATCGTGGTCGCGGTCGCGGTCGCCGTTGGCGTGGTTGCCGTTGGTCTCGGCCTGCTTATCCTGGGGGGCGTCGGCATTTGCAGCCGCGTCCAGGAGGGCTTCTACGTCATAATGTGACATGTTTCTGTCAGCATGCGCCAGTGGGATGGTGGTCGATTTTGTTTATTCCGAGGACTAGTATGTCCGATGATGATGATGATGATTCTGAAACAGTATCGACTGGCAGCTGGGGTTGAAGGCAGGCGAGGAATGGAATGGGGCGTGGGGAATTGAGGAGATGGGCGGCGGAATCAAGGTATGTCAGCCTAAAACTTGAAATATTTTGAGCCCATCACGTGACCTGTTTTTTTTTCCATCTTGAGATAGGGGATGTATCTTGGCGCGGTCTGGAAGCATCAATATTGAATGACTCAGGTCTCAGCTTGGTGTAAATGTATTTAAACCTGGCAAGACAAGGCAAAGCAAGGCGAAGTTCACTCATCTGTGTTCACAGCGATCTCGTTGCCAATCCATATCACCACAGCAAAACATGAATCAATCGTGTCCGAGATATCTATCAATTAATTATTATTAGATTTACTGGGTCAATCTGAAGAGAGGCATGGGGGTTCCTTGAAAGAAAAGCATGCGCGCCTAGACTCCATGCCCGTAGAACTCCATTTCCCAAATCCATTCCCATTACCCAGACTGGTTTGACAGTGCCCAGCCTGATTGCGTACAACAAAGTAACTGTGCTTCGCTCATCATCATATCTTGGCATATCTGCGCACCGGACTATTTGGACTTGACAACGGGGTTCGTCACCAGCTCGGTGCCGAAGCACCGGTCCCAGAATTTGCTCGTGACGCCAAAAGCCAGCTCATAGTCGAGGAAGTGGTGCGCCAGGTGGTACTTCTTGAGCTCCTTGTACCAGAGAGGGAGGTTGTTGTGATGCAGGAAGTAATGCGTCAGGTCATAGCAGATGTAGCCGAAGATGCCACCACAGTAGATGTTGGTCGCGAGGGACCAGTCCCAGAAGAACAGGGTATGGGCCAGCTTCCAGAAGGGGAGTGCAAGCACGATGAACAGTGTCGGTGGCATGACCAGCCGGTACTTGTCCATGGGCAGATAGTGATGAATGCCGTGGAGCAGGAAGTGGAGTGTGAGGCCGACACGATTGTCGGGGAGGTAGCTACAGGGGCCGTGTCAGTCATGCACCAAGATCATAACGGCATCCGGTTGAGGCGACTTACTAGTCCAGATGAAACAGGAAACGATGCATCAGATACTCAATCAGACTCCAGAGACCAAATCCTCCAACCCAAGTGGCGACTTGCACCAAGACGTGACTGAAGCCTTCTCGGGCGAGGAAGGTGCCGTACATCATGGGAGGCATCCAGACCAGGGGAACCACCCACCAGGGAGTCTTGGTCAGGGGTTCGAGGAAGTTTCCAAAGAGCGGCGCGGACTGGCCTCCCTTGTAATGCCGGGGCCTGTGGATTTGGTCGAGGTAGAACTCCTTGGTGAAGCCGCCGAACCAGATCTGGGGGAACAAGGGCCTGCTCAGGTCCAGGAACTTGTGCTTCTTGAAGTCCTCAGCAGTGTCGGTATCCTTGCTGAGATCTTCCTCGCACGACATGCCAGTCCTCGGGTGGATGACCCGCCCTTGGCTGTCGGTCTGCGGCTGTTCGAGGGCGGTGCTGTGCGCCGTGCCATTTGCAGCCGCCTTGCCGTTCGAAGCCTTGCCTTCCGGAAGGGTGAACCCAACCAACGACTCGTCGAGGACCTCGTAGGCTGCTTCAGAGTGGGTGTGCGATGCCTCGTCCTTGAGGATCTTCTCGATATCCTTGCCGGCGTACTCGAGGACCAAGTCAGCCCCGCCGGGGTGAGAGTCGAGAAAGTCGGTCACGTCGTAGACATTGGACCCGATAGTCACGTAGCAGGACTTTGCCGAATTGTGCGACTCGACTTCGGCGCGGGTGAAAGTTGGGAGCACTCTTGCAGGCATCGTGGGCGTGCTGTGCAAGGTCAGGTCGAGGATGGGATGATCGGAAGGGCCGGGGTGGCGATATCTCGAGATTGGGATCTCGACTGCAGAATGAGTCTAAAGGGATGCGCGACGACAGCCAGCAGGTGAAAAAGAGGCAGGTAACAAGGAATGCGGGACACGAGGTCTGTCGGCGACAATGAAGGAACGAAAAGTCACGACGAGGAGAGACCAAAGGGAACTCGAGGAGGGTTGGAACTTGGCCGTTGAACGATCTTAATATTCTGCCTCGATATCTCTCCCCTGATCCAATCTCCCTAAAATGCATCGACTAGGTAGCAATTTTTCGGGGTTTGGCCCACTACTTACAGGAAGAACGCGCGAGGCCAGGCCGTGGCCCCATAAAACAGCCTGCGTCTCCCACGGGATTTGGGGCCTCTGGCATGTGCGCGTGCGGTTTTATTAGTGGCCGGGACTCCTGGATCGACCAGTGGCGTTGTTTTTGGGTCATGTCACCCGGCCTGCCAAACATCCGAGCATGGTGCCAGCAGCGAAATTATCCCATCGCCTCCGGTCTCTGAGGCCGCGGGTCCCGTCTGGTCCGCGAGACTGAATGCTTGTGAACTGGAAATGGTTCAAGGTTGGCTGATTTGCAGATCAATGAGACAGACAACTATAACAACCTTAAGTCATCATCAACACTGCGAGACTGCTTGGTCACCCGCTCTCATCTAATGCGCCATCAAACACAAGCCACTCTCTTATTTCATACAATACCCTAACTTCCAAAGTCTTGCCAAAACTCACTCCAAGTTCTGAGTGGTATGTATGTACGGTCAAGAGGGTCAGAGCAGTTTGATTGAGCATCACTTGACGATGTACCCCATATCCGACATGGCTTGTCTGTGGACTTGAAAATAATTGGCCATCCAGCCTACAGGTAGTTAGTATTGGGCTGCCTCACTCGCCCATGCTTAGCTGCCGGGGCTACGTAAGACTGGAAATTCATGTGAAGCAAGAATATACAAGTAGTGAGAGCCTGGAGGCCTACCCAAACCACAAGTTGCCTAGTTGCTCAACTTTACTCACATATGGTACCGACTACCGAGTGGCGTCCAACGTCACAGCCCACTTACTCTTTCAGCTGAACTCGACAAGGGTCATGCGAGCGCATGTGAGGGGCAACTGAGCTACTTGTACAATGCAAGCTCCCTCACTTTATCTCAGCCTTACAAGACGGGGAGATTACCTTGCTTCATAACCTAATCCGCCTCTACATGTTGTGACGTGTGCATCCGATTGTGAGGATCTGTTCACTATCTCCCATTTGCATTGAAGAAAGCCATCCACCAACGAGCAGTTCAGGTTTCAATTCTTGCCAAGCCTCCAGGTGTGAGCTTATTAGCAGCTCTGTCACCATCCTACTAAGCAGCTCCAGCATTCCACCTCCCCCACCTACTTGGCTTTTGCCCAACTTGTGATATCATCCACCCTCCTCTCTCAACTACAGCGCAAACAACAAGAGCACGCCTCTGATCGCAACCCTTTCCACCACAACATGGCAGGCCTCCAGATGAGATGGAGCTCTATGCTCCTCGTCGTCTTTGTAGTCCTGGTATGCATGCCAGGCAAGGCTGCAGCTTTCGGAGCCGGCAACATCCCCTCGATCGCCCAGGTTGAGGGCCACAACTGGCGACATGGAGGTCCGTACGACCCAGAACCCCTTCCATCCGTCAGAGCTGACCACTGTGCAACAGACATCGAGGACATGCTCAAGACCCTCACCTTCCTCCACGGCAAGAAATGGACCACCATGATGGTCTCCAGAGTCTACTTTGGCAACTGGCTCAGAGACTACTCCCAGGCCGTCGACGTCGGCAGTCTCAAGGGCGTCAACGCCGCCACCATCCGCATCCTCGTCTGGGTCCTCTCCTTCATGGCCCACGGCTACGCCACCGACGAGTTCGAGGTCACCGAAGAACGCCTCGGCGTTTATCGAGCCGAGGAACATATTGATAACCCTTTGGGTTATGCTGATGGGGCTGACGCGCGCAAGTTTGACCCGAGACTGCGCGGGCCCGTGGATCCGAGGGAGACGGAGATCGACATGCGGACCGGGATGAAGAACTACATCGCGAACGAGGAGGGCGGATGGGCCACGAGCTCCGGATACCTGCGCTTCAGCTTTGGGCGCAGCATCCACTTTGGGCGGGTCTACACCCACGGTGCCTCCAGCAAGGGCAAGGAGGAGGATCTGTGCGAGGCGCTGCGCTGCCTTGGCCAGGCGCTGCACACCATGGAGGACTTCAGCGCCCACAGCAACTACTGCGAGCTGGCTCTGCGCGAGCTCGGGTTCCACGAGGTCTTCCCCCACTGCGGCACGCAGGCCGAGATCAATCTCCACGGGAAGAGGGTGTACCCGATTGTCACCGGGACTTTTGGTGCCGTCGATTTCCTGCACTCTGTTTTGGGCGAGGCGACCGACCACTTCACCCAGTCCGAGGTTGATGAGGTCGACATCGCGCTCAAGACCGCCGAGCAACAGAGGTCTGGCGGTGGTGGTGGTGGAGACGGCTCCCGTGGCTTCTTCGGCACCTCGCCGGGCGGTGGCGGCGATTTCATCTCGCTCGTCTCTCAGCTCCCTGGGATCGGTGGTGGGTTTGCCTCCGAGGCGCGGGACCTCAAGGCCATGTCCGATGCCCAGGAGCAGGCCAACAGGTCGCAAGGAGTCATGACCAGGGACAACCAGAACATTGTGCCGGGCATGAGCACCAGCTTTGACCCCGTGGAGACGGCGCGCAAGATCTATCCGATCCTCCAGTTCCGCGACAAGATCGTAAGGGCGATCAACAACACGATCTCCAAGATCCCTGGTCTGGAGAAACTGCTCGAGCACATCAGCGAGACGCTGACCGCCTTTGTTCTCGGCCTCCTTGCTCCCTTCATCAGGCCCATCATCAACCAGGTCTCCAAGGTTCTCAAGGATGGATCCTCGGGCGTCATCAACGCCAGCTCCAACTCTCAGCTCGAGCCGTGGAAGAACCCGCGCTGCAGCGACCCGACCCACTCGATGCTGTCCAAGGACCACTTCACTAACGTCCTGAACTCGTGTGCCGGTCGCGTGTCTGTGACTATCCTGCAATATGTCGTCCCGTAAGATTTCCACCTGCGTCCATTCGTTTAATCGCACACAATGCTAAATACACATACGTTCCTAGTCGCATTCTCTACGCCTGGGAGAACCCCGGCGTGCCCGTCGACGAGGTCGTCAACGACGTCCTGCGCGCCTTCCACCACCCGGCCATCCGCGACGAGCGCATCCAGATCCAGCGCGACATGTTCGAGACGGTCCGCAAGTGGTCCCAGGAGACCAAGCACCGCCACGAGCTCAACCGCCTCCTGTCCTCCGAGTCGGTCAAGAACGGCAAGAACCACATCCTCTCGGGCCAGCAGGCCAACAAGTCCCACTCCCACGGTGGTGGCGGCGGCGGCGGCCACTCCCACGGCAGTGCCTGGCAGGACGCCATCCTCGGCGGTGCCGGCCACGGCAAGGTCGCCGGGTCGCTCTGGTCGCAGATCAAGACGCGGGATCTCAACGCCATGGGCGGTGGCGACAGCGGTGGCTTTGCTGGCCAGAGTGCTGGCGCTGGTGCTGGTGCCGGCGCTGGCGGCGGCAACGCTGCTACAAGCTACGAACAGCCACCTACGGGAGGCGCTGCCGAGGGGTACTACCAGTCGGCCTCCTCCTCCAACCGCCCGAGCTCGGGCTACAGCGCTCCCGCGCCGGCCCCCTACCCACCGCAGGGTGGCTATGGCGGACCACCACCCCCACAGCAAGGAGGATATGGCCAGCCGTACCCCCAGCAAGGAGGCTACCCTCCCCAGGGCCCTCCTCCTCCCGGTCAATGGGGCCAGCAACCTCCACCACCACACGGCGGCTACGGAGGTCAGCCGTACCCGCCGCAGGGTTACCAGCAGCCGCCGCCGAACCAGGGCTGGGGTCAGTATCCCGGACAACAAGGGCGGTACTAGGTGGAGCGAGTGCATGACTATTAGTGCATGGGAAGGAAGGATGGGGTTCAACTACGTCAATGCTGGCCAGCGTTGCACACGGAAAGGAGGTAGGGGGGGAAAAGTGTTTAGTTTGATGTTCATCTCCATCGTAATGCTCATTGTAGTCTAATGCAATGCCCATGTACATGATGCAACGGCGGTGTTGTTGCCATGTTTATCGTAACAAGCGTCTTCTTCTTTCCGAATGCTCTTTGTGAATGCTAATGCTGGTTCATGCTTCTGAAAATGCAAGCCCCTCTCTCCTCCCCTTTCCCTTCTGTCTACCTTGTATCGATGCAGGATCACCTTCTTTCGCTCTCTCATCATCGTCTGCCGCGCCTCGGGTCCAGCGCCTCGGCCCTCCTCGCATCGCGGATCTCCTTGGTGCCCAGGCTGCCGAGGCCGCCCTCGCTGCGGCGCTCCCAGCCGCCCAGCCGGACGACGAGGCAGGTGGCGTTGTCGCCGTCGGACGAGATCTCGGTCGCGTAGTCGACGACGTCCTTGGCGCCCTGCTCGGGCGTGCGGGCCTCCTTGATGACGTCGACGATCTCCTGGTCGCTCAGCGTGCCCGACACGCCGTCCGACATGAGCACGAGGAACGAGTACTCGGCGGGGCCGAGCTCGGTGCGCGTCGTCTCGGGCTCGGCCGACACGCCGATGCGCTTGGACTGCATGTCGCCAAAGGCGCGGCTGTTGGCGAGCCCCGAGATGCGCTCCTCGCCGAACGAGTCGGTGATGAGCGACTCGGCGAAGCGGCGCAGGCGGCGCGACTCGGTCGGCGACGACGGGTGGTGGTCGCTCGTGAGCGGCCGCGCGAGGCCCGTCGCCGTCTCGCAGAGCAGGATGCGCGTGTCGCCCACGTGCGCGACGAGCAGGGTGCTGCGCGCCGACGGGTGCCAGAAGGGCGCGGGCGTCGGCGTCGAGATGAGGGCGATCGAGGCGGTCGAGCCTCCCTTGAAGCGCGCCGGGCCGCCGATGCCCTGTCCCGAGGGCGGCAGGTGCGGGGACCCGAGGACCTCGTCCTGGTTAAGGGGGAAGTCCGCGACGTACGGGTCGTCCGGGTCGGGCTTGCGCGCCTGCGCCGTGATGAAGTCGAGGTCGGCGCGCAGGAACGCGTAGTTGAGGATCGTCTCGGCGCTGACCTGAGTCTCGTTGAACGAGTTCTCGCCCAGGTGAAAATGGGCCGGCTTGAATCGTCGAAAGTACCCGCCGACCGTGTCCTTGTACTGCTTGATAAGCTCGCGCTGGAGTTGCAGAGCCCGGGGTACGTTCGCATTGACGTGGACGGGCTTGTCCGACTTGATCGATTCCATGCGCGCGACCTCCTCCGATACGCCGCCTTCGTTCTGCTCTGGCAGCTCCATTTCTGCCATGACCTCCTGCCCGCTCTTCATTTTGACATCTTTCGTGCTTCCATTTTTTGAGCCGCTCCCTGCGCCAGACGCCTCCAAATTGACCGGCTGCCGGTCTCCATCCGCCTCATGTCCCTTTTGTTCGCTGTCCCGCCTCAAGCTACTCTGCAGTTCAAAGTCCGAAGCAGCCTGCTCGATGTAGCCATGCAATTCGTCCCTCAGAAAGTTGGAACACTCGACGCCGCCATGGCCATCAAACACTGCAAAGTAGAAGATCTGCGGGTCGCCCTTTGAGCTATCTGCATTGATGCCCTCGCCGAGGTTCTTGCTGTCCGACATGGCAGACCGCACCAGCGACATGGGCGCGCGCTTAGCAAACGCCGGCATGTCGATCGTGCCCGCCTGGTTGGTGTCCTCGTTGTACGACCGCGAGCCGCGGGAGTTGTAGGCGCCGAAGTGGTGCTTGGCGCTCCGCAGGGGGATTCTCACGACGGTCAGGTCGCGCATGGGCATGTTGGGCGGGCGGACCGCGGGGCTCGACTCGGGAGTCGGCGTGTGCGGCGTCGATGCCGACCGAGGGAGTTTGTGATGGGTGCCGGGCTTGATGCGAGAGTCCGGGTGCACCGATGACGAGGGCAGGTGTGTCACAAAATAGTTGTGGAAAGTCCTCCGCTGGGTGCTCGTAGAGTAACGTGAGGTTGTTTGCCATGCGGGCGAGCGCATCGCGGCCTGTCGGGAAGGGGCCAGAGCCCGTTTCAGGCGCCCGTTGGACTGCAGCGCAGATGATCCTCCATTCTGGTGTCGGGGCGCGCCGTGAAAGAACGTCGCTACGTAGGCCAGCAAAGCATCGAGGGCGGCATCCGCGTCGCGATTCAGCCCGACGGGGTTCGTCGGATATCGGGGGAGGCGAGCCATTGCCGGGAGCAGAACCGCAGAGGGGCTTCAAAGCCCACCGGCCTCTATTCTCTAGGCTTCGTTAAGATCAAGGACGGTGCCGACGAGAAGAGAGAGGTCCATCAAGCGAGCGTAGATGTGGAAGATCGAGAAGAAGCAAAAATCGAGGCAGCGCGCGGTGATTGCGGCAGGGCTGTGACGTAGGCTCCTGGATCTTCCCGAGGTCACAGTCGGCTAGCTTTCCAGGTAGGGGAGAGTTGGGCAATGTGACAGAGCCTCTTGAGGACTGCCGGTCAAGGAATTGATGTGAAATATGTGAAAGTGTTTTGTATAAAGTCCGCTCCTTGTTTCCAAACATGCCCTAGAAGGGAAGGTTACAGAAAGGGGGCTTTGTAGGGAAAGCGTGATAGTTTGTCGGGATCCGAACGTCGCCGGTTCGTGCCGTAAGGCGTAAGGGCAGCCCCAGTTGTCGAGGGTTCCAAGGCTCCCTCCAGGGGACCATTAGCGGGCAAGAGTAGTTCCCGTGCCCTGAATGACAGGGCGTGCACCCACCCATCATAGGTGAAATGGCTGGCTTAGCCCCCCATTGGATCGAACGGATCTCACTCACCAACCCACTCTTCGGGCTAATCCTGGAACCACACTAGAGCGACGTCACTTCGGTCCAGAATTTTGTCGATTCTGGGCTGACACAGGCCTAGTGCTGGACAAATTTCAAGCAAGGACGCATCTACGAGTACGTGGTTAGGTGAGAATCCATATCAAATAGGTGCCTTTGCCTGTCTTGCCCAGAGAGACTCCACCTCACGCAAGGCGACCACCGCAGGCTTCTATCTGCTCGACACCGTGGGCAATGCAGCGCTGCCCTTGGAGATCACATTGGTGCCATGGATGGTTCACTCCCAGACGATGAACCGCTGCCAGAGGTTATTGTGATTGCATCCGACGGGGATGCTATCCTTGACGTTGTATTCGAGTCGTCTCGCGAGACTCTGACAGCTGCACGCAAGGCTGCCCAGGTCCGGCCAACTCTGCGCGCTCGGGATGGCGCCGCCAAGGCCGTGCCAAAGGCCAGGACGAGGGTGGCGTATAGAGTCAAGGTCGACGCGCTGAGAAAGCACTCCAAATACTTTGATAACCTCTTGGGCGACACCCGTTTCCAAGAGGCAAAGACCATAGTGGATGCTTTCAAGAACATGTCTCTGAGGGGTGTCGAGCCCGCCGAGCTGGAGGATAGAGAGCTCCCTCGAATTCCACTCGGAGACGATGATGAAGCCACGAGATCGGTCGGCAGAGACGTCGTCTTTGCCGAGCTCCTCCGGATCCTTCACCGCAAGGAGACCGTCAAGACGATGAAAAACCCTCCGACCCTGCTGCAACTTAGCATGCTGGCCGTGCTGGCTGATCGTTTTGACTGCAAAGCGCCGGTGTCTGCGTATATGCGCGGCCTGCGGTTCAAATTTCCACAACCGCGCACTCGGGTCCTGCAAGATGAAGGGGGACCTCCAGTCTTGGCTAACGAGGACTCGATAAGGCAGAAGATCCTGACGTCTTGGTTGCTAAACGAGCCAGCCAGGTTCCAGACGGGAACCAAAGAGCTAATCCTCTTTGGCTCTCGCAACTGGAGCCTCTATCGCGAGGATGAGGAATCACAGACTGCCCTTTGGTGGGACTTACCGGACGGGCTTGAAAGTAAGCAAGCCGCGACTTGACCGAGCCGTTCGCTCAGCTTGTTGACTATGGGACAGGAGAGTTGCAGTATCGACGCGAGTGTATTCTGAACTGCATAGCTTCTATCCAGAGCCACTTTCTCGGGCTATACACCTCCCGCACGCGGCAGTGCAAGCTCGGTTATAGCTCAAGCGTCGCCTGCGACTCCTTCCAGCTCGGGGAGATGGTCAGGTTCTTGTCCAACAAGGAGCTCATGTTTCTCGTTGATTTTTCACCTGCGTCCGTAGACCAGGTGTCTGACTGCTCAACTACCGACATATATCACATCCTCTCGACGTTGAAACAATGTCCGAGCTACCAGATTGACAACAACCACACCAACTGTGGGCTCAGAACAAGGATCTTGCCCATCCTTGAGTATATTCACTCCATGCTCTCTTCCAGCATCGTGGCGATCTCACGAAACGCGTGGGAAAAGGACCGGGAAGGCACAAGTTGGGCACCCCGTGGAGATGGCGATGATGGGCATGCCAAAGTCTTCAAATTCACACGGTCCTTGTCCGGTGACCAGCGGCTCCGCTTCGAAGGTGCAATGGCTGCCGACCGTATGGCACGAGAACTGTTCACATCTACAGAGTGGGATTGGACTCCTGAGACGTAACTCCAGGGGTTAGAGGGATATATCAGGTTTCCCGTCTTCGGAGCTGAGCTGGCAAACACCGGGAAAGCAATCCAGTAACGGTAGACCGTTCTTCCTAGAATGACTCCTCCTGTCCTTGACATGTAATAGAACAGGGATCTAGATAGAATAGATGCAATTAGTGAGAAACTCATGCGTCACAGGTTGCCAACGTTCGTCGTTGCTAACTGCTGTGGTGCTGCTGACCAAACCTATGGGTTCCTGCCTCCTTCCGACAGTGCCGAACCGCCGGGTCACCACGTGGAAAATTAAGCTTAAAAATCGGGACCACGAAGCTGCCTCAGTACTGAACCTCGATGTAAGCTGCAAACAGGGAGGATGCCTCTTTTTTTTTTCACTTCATGGGTTTTGACACTTTGATGGGACGTCGTCTAAGGGTAGAAGAGAATCTGAAACAAGCTCAATACGGATACTCAAAGGGTATAGACTCTGCAATTTTCACTCTCCCCATCGGTCTCGACACTGGTCGGGATGACTGAGGCACTTTTCATTATATACACTCCAAGTCAAACATTTTAAGCACGAGCGCTCCCCGAATTACCTCCTGTAGTAGCAGGCACCTCTTGGTTCTCCACCGGGCTGTCTCGGTACTCCTCCGCAGGGGCCGAGTCAGTCTCGGTCACTCCACCGAAGCCACGGAAGGCTGAATCCTTGGGAACCTCAGCAAGGCCGTACCAGGCGACGACGGCGACTCCCAAGATACCGCTGATGCAGCTGAATACCAGAGCAACAATGCCGCGGGCAGTAAACCTATGGTAGCACACAAAGTCAGCCTAAATCTTTGCCACCAGAATAGATAAAAACGGGCAAGTGAGACTTACCCTGCTGGAAGGGGTTGAGGAGGCTCAGGCTGCCCATCGAGATTGAGATAGTCAAGCTGATTGGCAGCAGCATTACCCGTAGTGGAAACGCCAGCCTTCTTGCAGGCATCCAAATGGTCGTCGGGGATGGTGATGTTCTGGAGCGAGAGGGGATCCGTGATAAAGGTCATCATGAGGCCACTGGTCATGTGGAATTCGATGTGGCAATGCATGATCCACACGCCGGCGTGGTCTGCCTTGAACCGGAAGATGAGGAAGGCGTTGGCTTCGACGAGGACGGTGTCGCGACGCATCGGAGTGGGATAGAAATCAGCGGCAGTGAAATTCGAGTCCTCGTAGTAGACGCCGGCTTCATCCGAGCGGTAGATGAGCTGGAAGGCGTGGCCGTGAAGGTGGAAAGGGTGTCTGCCCTTGTCGAGGTTGTTGATCACGACATCCACAATCTCGTCCTTCTCCAGGACGAAGGAATGAGTGTAGGTTCCATATACCTCGGGGTTCGTTGCAAGCTGCCCTGCCGAACGCGCCGTGTAAAGAGTAGGGACTTTGGGTGACTTGTAGGTAATGTTGTTGAAGAAGGCACTGGACACAGTTAGCATTCCGGATGCGCAGAACTACCGAGCACAAGACCACTGACTAGTTGGCACCATCTCCGAGATTCGCCATGATGACATCGAGCTTGATGGTCTGAGCCGGTGTCGGCAGAATGGTCATGTTATCATAAGGGGTCAGAGTTGCATCGTCGAAGGCATCGAGATCATCCAGAGGCGTGTAGTCCGGCAGCTCTTTCTTCTGGTCATACACCAGCCAGCCGGTCACGTTCCAGTTAAGACCAGCAGGCATCGAGTCGAACAAACCCGTGTCCATGCTCGCAACGAACGGGAAGTTCGCCGATGTGTCATTCTTCGTAGTCAGCAAGAAGCCGACTCGCTGCGCTGGTGTGACGTAGATCATATCGGTTTCGGCAGGGTTGTGGTAGACACCGTCGACCTCGATGATGGTCATGTTGTGGCCCTCGAACCAGATGTACATGGCCGCGAAGGCCGCGACGTTGACCAGACGAACAAAGTAGGTCTTTCCCGGCTGGACGGGCACGGTGAGGTTCTGAGTGTCGTTCCACAGCGCCGAATTGGGAACGGGCTCAGCGCCGGTGGGGTTACCCTTGGATATGAATGTTTTCAGGAGGTCCGGCATCTGGTCGTGATACCAGTCGGAGACGGAAAGTACGATCTCCTCATCATACTTGCCCTTGAAGGGGGTCTTCGGGTCGTTGATGACAAGGGGCGCCCTCAGACCATCCGGATATTGGCCTCGAGAATGAGAGTGGTACCAATACGTGCCTTGATAGGACCAACGTCAGCACCCGGGACTCTGAGGATGTCGAGGATTCCTGCTCACCTGGCTGGTTGACTGTGAAGTTGTACTTGATCGTGGAGCCGGGAGGCACGTCGCACTGGGTGACCTGAACGGGCCCGTCCATCTGCGGAGTGCCGACTTGGTAGAGACCGTGGAAATGCGCAGAAGTCGACTGGTTTCCCAGTTGGTTGTCAAGGTTGACGACAATGTTGTCGCCTACATCAGCCCTGATAATCGGCGGCGGCCACTGTCCGTTGACACCGATCACTGGCCGTTCTTGCATGCCATCTGGGTTGGCTGTCACCCACTCGACTTTCATGTCGTAGGTGACAGTCGCAGCATGCGCAGAGGCAACAAAGGCTGCCGCAGAGGCAGCGTAAAGCAAGTGTCTCGCCATGATGCTCTCGACCAGCAATGCTGCGGGTTGTGGGAAGGAAGATGGGTGAGTTTACGGAGCCGCGAGCCACACAGCGGCGATGATGGAACGCGCGAGGTTTTCAGTAATGGACTACGAGCTCTGCTCCCACCCTCGGATCGAGTCGCCAACAGGTCTTCCTGATCCAAGCAAGGCTCTAGGACGGCAAGAAGCGGAATGCAGCTTGGATCGCCTGATCAGCCCTCTGAAATGGTCTTTGTGGCTTGCCGAACTCGGCTCGACTAGAGAGAGAAAAAGCCAGGACCGAGGGCGCATGGGAGGGGCGAAGAGTGGAGAGTCGTTTCACTCCACCACAGCACGCACTTTCACTACCTAACACACTCGAGAGAGTCACTAACACGAAAATTATCTTATCAATCTAACTAGGTGCGAGGTGGGACGGAAGCTGAGGCGCTAAAGCGGCAAGGGTTGCAACCAGCACGGGCTGTTCCCTTCTCTGGTAGGCCTGAACACTGTCGATCGACCTGGGTGAGTGACTAGGGTCGTGTCGGAACGTGCATGAGCGAGGTGGTGGGCCGACTTATCTGATCCGAATTCTCTGAGCAACACCCGACTCCCCGCCTTCTGTACGGCACCCCGAGCTGTTCTCATCGTCCCACCATTGAACGCGGCGCCTCCTCACAAGAACAAGACCGATTCCCTCAGTGGATAGGTAGAAGCTACTGTCTGCCCATTGACTGCCGATTACTTGGCGGAATCCAGATATACCCGTCCCCGAGCTGTCAAGCAGTTGACGTTGGAAGTTCATCCTCACTACCTATACTGCCAAGCCAAGAGGCGGGGGGGCCGTTTTGAGCCCTTGGCTATGTGCCTGAAGTATGGATGGAGTATGAAGTAAAGCAGCAAAGACCAGAACAACCTCCTGGGCCCGGCGCTAGAAAGCTTGTCGAATCCTCCCAGGTCCCCGCATGAGGACCAGCGTGGTGAGGGATGATCGTCCTGAGCGACCACTAGCATAACTCAGGAAGCGAAGAGTTTGTCATGGCTGGGCTCGACGACGGCCACTACGCGCGCCAGAAGCCTCGCCCGATCGGCATGTCCTTCCCGACTCCTGTGAGTACATATCCTTTCACTCGCGAAAAGCACGAGGCGAGACTTCACTTGCATCGAGACCGACAGTAGGTCAATCCGGGCATGACATGCATGATCCCACGGCCTCGGGCGAATCGCTGCCCTCAAGAGCAATCAATATGGTGTACGAAACTCTTGGATCATAGGACGGGCTCCTTTATCCTAGATCTTTTTCTTACAGGTGGGTCGGGCGTTGGAACTGTCTCGCCACTGCCTGCCCATCCACATCTCCAGAAACGTGGCAGACGGCTCAAGCATTGAGTATTGAGTGCTTATCCTGTTAGCACCTACTCAATTGCAAATATGCATGGCCCTTTTCTTTATTCTTTTTTCGAATAAAGTGTCAGACATGGGGCGGGAACCCGAATCTTGTCTTGTGCAGCGAGCACATGCAGGCACCGTCTGTTCCCCTCGGTCCAACCCAAGCAGTTTCGCCCCATTCCTCTCTCTCTGTAACTTGGCTGTGTGAGCCGAGCCATTCCAGCATGCTGCGGGATTTTCTTGATCTGATAAGATGCATGGATAAACTTGCCTACTTCGTAGAATCAGCCCGCAACCCTTACCGAAACTGTAAACCAATGAGTACCGAACCTAGTGGCGGTCTGATGACATGTCATGCAGGCTCAAGCTCCTGGCACCTAGTTCCCATTGGCATCGTATTCAGTCACTTTGACAGAGTACTGGTGGCTGGACCAGGCTGGACTAGTCGGAACCGCCGTTTTCTAGTTTTGGTTTTTGCCGCGTGAACCCTGCGATAATGGTGGATAGCGCTGCAAGGGTTGTCTTTCAAAGCTCCCAGTCCGGACGAAACGAGGCACAAATGGCTCATTAGAACAATGGCTGGCCGCAGACTCGAAAATTCCACCGAAAACGTGCACCACCAGAGAGACATCGGTAACGACAGACAAACAAACAAACAAACGCGGTACTGTGGTATTGTGATCTCAATATGGAATCCCCATCGCGGCGGATGGGGAGCACTGCAGCTATCCCTCCTCCCTCGTGACGGGTAACAGGGGAAACAGGGAGGGGAATGAATGTCAAAGAGCTTGTTCCAAGTCAAGCAACAGACCCTGTTTCTTGGCATCGACCAGCTCCACTCGCAATGCTTGTTTATTGAGAAGTGGGCAGGTCCGGCAGATTCGAAAGTCTAGATCGACAGCACTAGACGACCTGGGACAGGAATCGAACGAGCTATGCCTGCACCAGACCTGTGTCTGGTCTAGCAGCATGCATCCTCGTTTTGGCTGTCTGCTCGCCGTGCCTTCGTTGCTCGAACTCGAGCATCATACCACCTGCAGAGTTTTTTTCAGCCGTTCCAGCGGAGAGCTGAGGAGGTACCAACATCCCAAGCATCCTTGCCGCGAGAAGATGGCCGCGAGCCGTGCCACATGTCTTCCGTTTCAAGAGGAGCCCGTGCGAGTCATTGGGGAGAGTCTCTTGTGTTTTCAAAGCTGCTCCCCACCCTTTGTGATGGACCAGCATGTCCATCTTGAGTAACGTCCTGTTCTCACTCCACATGGCTCTGCAAAATGCCTCTAGAGAAGAGTGACCCCAGTATCGAAATAGTGACCCACGCGGTCGCAAGTTCACAAATTTTGAACACGCCCTGTACGGAGTATGGAGTTCGTAGTTCGTCTCGCTTGTTCAGGAAGCTCATTTGTCGAGTGGCCTTCCGCGACCGGAGCAAGGGTGCGGTGGTGGATGGCACCCCGGCCGTGTCCCAACCTCGGAAGTTCACAAGTTCAGAAGTTCCCCCCCACCCCTCGTGGTATTCGCCTAATTATCTGATCATCGTTATCTGATGGATCGATAATCTTTCCCGCCCTTTTGGGAGGTGCCGGGCTCAGGCTGTTGCATAAGAGGGGGTGGCTCAACAATTTACCCTTCTTACACTCTTCTCTGCTCCTCGTGACATTTTTGATTATTGTTTTTATCGTAGACAAGCTAGATAGGCAGCTTTGGAGGCACACGCTGTCATCGTCTGTTGAACCATCCTCAACTGAAAGCATTGTCTCGTCTAGCACCATGGCCGTCGACGTCTTTTCAGTCCCGGTCTTCCTCATCGTCTTTCGAGAGTCGCTCGAGACTGTGATCATCGTCGCAGTTCTTCTAGCGTTCTTGAAGCAGACCTTGGACGGCCCCAACCAAGACAAGCAAGTATACAAGAAACTTGTTCGCCAGGTAAGTAAGACTGCTATTGTCTTTCCCAGTCGACGCCCATACCTGGACTGAACACCGACGAGCTAACCCGCGGTCAAGGTATGGTTTGGAGTCGGGGCTGGTCTGTTCATTTGCCTGGTCGTCGCTGGCGGTCTCATTGGCGCCTTCTACACCGTCGGCGTCAACAACTGGGAATCAACTGAGATGAACTACGAAGGAGCTTTCAGTCTGATCGCCAGCGTCATCATCTCGGTCGTCGGCGCTGCGCTGCTTCGCATCGGCAAAATGCAAGAGAAGTGGCGTGTCAAGCTGGCCGAAGCTCTCGAGGCTCCTGTCGGCAAGAAGATCGGCAAGATCGCCTGGGTGAGGCGCATTCTCGAGAAATACGCCATCTTCATCCTGCCCTTCATCACCGTCCTGCGAGAAGGCATCGAGGCAATCATCTTCGTTGCCGGAGTCACATTCGGAGTCTCGGCCAAGTCCGTACCGCTGCCGGTCGTGGTCGGACTCATCTTTGGCATCTTTGTCGGCTATCTGCTCTACAAGTACGTCGTTGACCAGAGACTTTTGACAATATTCCCGGCGACTAACTTGCTACTACAGGGGTGGTGCCACCGCCAAGCTCCAGTGGTTCCTGGTCTTCTCGACCTGCCTTTTGTACCTTGTCGGTGCCGGCCTGTTCTCTCGCTCGGTGTGGTACTTCGAGCAGCAGAAGTGGAACGACGTCATTGGCGGCGACGCTGCCGAGCTGGGCAATGGACCAGGATCGTATGACATCAGCAAGAGCGTCTGGCACGTCAACGTAAGTCCCTGAGCCCACACTCCCCCTCGACCAGAGCGAGACTGACCATTCCCAGTGCTGCAGCCCGGAGCTCAACGGCGGACAGGGAGGTTGGGGAATCTTCAACGCGATTCTCGGCTGGCAGAACTCGGCCACCTATGGCTCCGTCATCTCGTACAATGTGTACTGGATTGTCGTCATCAGTGGCTTCGTCTTGATGCGTTTCAAGGAGGTCAAGGGCCACTACCCCTTCATGGCCCCGAAGAACGGAGTGCAGAGACAAAAGTCGCCCAGCAATGACAGTGCGAACAGTGCTGGTGGCGTACAAACTAAGAATGGCGTGGCAGAGAAGACTGTCACGGCGTAGTTCGAGCCAGCCCAATCAGGTTCGACGACGGGCTTCAAAGAGCATCATTCTTGATGGTGCACATAACAGTGTAACAAGCTGAGGGTTCGAACAGATGCAAACCAAGCATGACGGGTCGGATCAAACCAAAAAATGGTGGACTTGGGCAAGTGAGTTGTAATCTAGATGACTATCTTCAGCATTGAAAATTGAAGGGTTTCTATACATTTCATCACATGTCAGATGGCGTCTACTTATTTGATCACGACCATGAAGCAATTAAACTACGCCCTATCGAAGGACTTGATCCCATATGTAGAGTTGAGAATGAGGTCTCCCTTTGAAATATTCGGGGAGAAAGGGGGTAGTACCGAAGATATATAACAAGAAGTAAAATTGAGCGTTCAATTCAGGGAATTGCTGTTGATTAACTGTAGCACTGTAAAAGGACTTTCGTTGCTCGATACTTTTGACGGGTGATCTGAATAGAGGTTGTAGTCTATCATGTCCTATTTCTCTTAAGGAAGATGACCCTAACCATGAAATCAGACAATACTGTCAAGGCTTTCTAGTGGATGACCCCCTTTCCTCTTGTACCCTGACCAGCCACATAACAAGGCCAACAAGATGAAGACTGCCCGCCCCTAGCCAGAACGTGGTAATGAACATTCGGTCTAACTTCAAGCCGACATCTCTGCAACCTACATAGAGGTTGACGCCACGCCCAGCAAAGTTCAGGGTTATGTTGCTTCTTCGTCCCTGCTTGATAGCGATAAACCGATGCCCTCGCAAATCCTGCCCTTGTTAAACCACTTGACGTGAGGCAGCATCTCTGTCGTAACCCATCGTGCGGTGGTAGTGTGAGTGCTTCCTTCACCAAAGGGATCGAGCCCTTTGTCTCTTCTCAACCTCTCGCTCGGCCCATCTCCCAGATGAAGCCCCTCAACATCTTCCTCCAGCGACTCACCATCCTCATTTCGTACGAAACTGGTCCTTCCGTCTGCAAGAGCCTGGAAGACCACAAGCTGGTCCTGCAGGAACTCGTCTACCGTGCCCCGTAGGTCGACCTCCCGTGCCAGGTCCCGCGTCACCCTCCGGGCGATCGCCTCACCGAGCGCTGTTCTCGACATCTTCTTCCGCGGGCCGTCCCACAGGACGTCCCGGCCCCAGCGCAGGCCGCCCGACGACTTGGCCACGCAGAGGACGTACATGCGCGAGTCGTGGCCGCTCTCCTCGAGCGCCACGAAGCTGAGCTCGGCGTCGGGGAACAGCGCGCCGAGCCGATCCGCCAGCTGGGCCGTCAGATGCGTGTGCATGTCGCTCGGCGTGATGATGGATATGTCGACGGTCTTGATCTCAAAATCCTTAGATGTCGGCACGGCCTTCGGCGCCGGGTCTCGTAGCTTGAGCATCTGTCCCGGCCGCAGAGGGTGGATCTTGAACCAGACGTGGCCTCTCGTCTGCGGGCCTTGGGAGAACCCGCGCTTCAGCAGACGCCTCTCCACGCGGATGCCGAACTGGTCCTCAAGCACCGGCATGAGAACCTGGTCGAGATACTCGTAACTCAGGGAGAAGGACACATTGGTGCCCCCGCTGATGTCCACCTCGATCGGCTCGCCCTCGTCGTTCCCTGCGAAGAGTAGGAACGGGAAGATGGCCTGGAAGATGAGCAGCGTGCTGGCGGCGCCCGAGTCTGCAGAAATGCTGATCTTGCGGTCTTTCAGGTCGCATGGCCGGAGCCGCGGCCGGAAGTCGATTGTGCTGCTCCCGACGGAGAGGCCGTCGTGATCGGCCTGGGTGACCTTGGCGAGCCACGCAAGTGAGGTGACATGCTGTGACTTCAGGCCTAGAAATTATTTCTCCTTGCGTAAGCGAACTAAAGATTTAGAGGTGGTCTTGATGTGCAAGGTGTCATACCTCCCCCGCGAGGGCCTGCGCGGTTGCCTCTGACGTGAACAATGCGGAATGGCTGAGATGTGACGGACGAGAGGGCCGCCGCAATCCGGACCACTTGGCCTCCTCCTTCTCCGGTCCGGCCATCCAGTTCAACTGGCTTTACTTGTTTCATCTCGCGTTATAGCCAATTCGTAAACATGTATGTGCTGACGAGGGACAGTTGAGCAACACCTTATGGCTGTTCAGCAGAGAATAGGGTGGTTATGAAGTATTGATGATCTCGCAGATGTGAACTGACAAAGCTGATTTCACTCGTTGCTTGGCCTGCCGGCGCCTGGTATATAGCTACAAAAGCTGTGTGGCCAATCAGTGCCTATGCGTTACTACTGGGTGAGAGGCAAGTTGGTGATCGTAAATGCGAGGTTCGGCGCACTCTAGGCCCGGCTTTCAGGCGCTCGTCTCCGTCTCGGCAATACGAGCTGCAAAACAAAAAGAATCGGTGTTGTATTTCCCGGAAGTTCGTAATTTCGCCCTGAATATTTCAACATCGAGTCTTGTGAAATTCGGAGCCCTTTGAGCGATGCACTTTAGGTGGCGAAGTAAACAGATCAAGTTCCGGCGTGACTCACTAAAGGTCGCTGTGACAATTCCCGTCCAGCCTCAGCCTCACAGCAAAGCAACTACAGAACTTGTCTAGAAGATCAGGATGTCAGCAGTCAATCTCACAGGCAAGTCCCATTATCTTCAATTTAATCATTTCTGAATGCCACTCTCGCTGCACACTCAGCTTGTCGCGAAACGAAAAAACATGGGCAGAACGATGATCACTTAGACTCTTTTGTCCCCGCTCCAGAGTTTCAAAGCAGATTGGAAGATAGACTTCTCACTTGATATTCTGATTTGCTATCTCTTAGTGCATGCTGATTCGATTGATTCGATTGCATACATGTTGGCCATTATAGACACCTGAAAAAGCCATCAGGACCAGGTCAGAGATCATAAAGTATCCAAGAAATAGAGACTAGCGAGCAGGTTCGTCTACAATGTGTCTCTCACTACGCCAGCAGTGAATATGCCGTGGACGACTGGGTGATTCCATGTCCTGCTCCGCCATCAGTAGTAGTTTCACCTATATTTCTCAAAGGCCTCGGCCTCTTTGAGCCGGCGCTCGACGCGTTCTATAGTCTCTGCATCGTACAAGTCTTCCAATGACTTGCTGCCTAGCAGAACCTCCTTGAGGTGGATCACCGCCTCGTTCTTGGTCATGCAGACCAGATCCGACAGCCGGAGCTTGGCCGACTTTTGCTCGTCGGCGCCCTCGCCCAGCCGCAGCAGCATGGCCTCCCGCGGCCGGCTCCACCTTATCAGGCTCAGGCGCGTGGGGATGTGCGTGATGGCGCTCCGGCCCTGGAAGATGTCCTCGGCCAGAAAGGCGACGTCGCCGGCCGTGATGGGCACCTTGAGGCCGACGGCGACATCGGGGTCATCGGGGTTCTGGGCGCGGGCAATCTTCTGCTCGGTGCTCTGGACGCCGGCGAGGAGCTGGTCATAGAGCTTCTCACGGCCCTTGCCCGCGGCGTAGTCGAGCGGGTAGCCCGTGACGCTGAGGATGACGTGGTTGGCGGCCACGTAGCCAAAGACGGCGGGCATGGTGCCCAGCACGGGGAGGATGCGCACCCGGAAGTCGGCCAGGGGGCCGAGCTCCCCAATCTTGCCCTTCTGGAACTGCTCCTCGGGCAGCGGCAGCAGCTCGGCCTTGCCCTCGCCCGTCTTCTCGGTCGAGAAGACCGTGGGGATGCCGCTCGTGACCCCCAGTAGCTTCAGCCGCCTCCGGGTCGCCCTCGAAAGTGAGTCGTCGGTGCCGACGCTGATGTCGCCGACTGTGACCTTTGTAGGGTCGCTCTTGGTGCCCGCGCCCATGGCCGAGATGACGGGCACCTTGTTGTCGTGGCAGTACTTGAGCAGCGCCACCTTGGTGTCGATGTTGTCGATGGCGTCCACGACGAAGTCGGGCTTCTGCCCGTCAGACCAGGGCCCGAGGAGGCCCTCGGCGCTGGCGCCGTCGAACTTGTGTATCCGCATGTCAAAGTGCACCCAGGGCGCCACGGCGAGCAGGCGCTTCTGCAGGCACTGCACCTTGGGCGAGCCGACGTCGGCCAGCGTGGCGACGGCATGCCGGTTGAGCGAGCTGAGCGAGACCTGGTCAAAGTCGATGAGGCGCAGCCGCGAGACGCCAGACCGCGCGAGCGCCGTAGTGCAGTGCGAGCCGACGCCGCCGCAGCCCACGACGATGATGAAGGCCTTGCGGAGCTTGTCCAGGCCCTCGGGCTTCAGGAAGACCCTGTTCCGCGCCAGCTGCTCCAGTATCAGATCGTCATCGTAGTCGCCGGCCTGCGCACGCTTCGCGAGGGCCTCGTCCCGCTGGTCTTCGTCGGTCGGCGGTACGAGGGTGCCGAAGCTTGTAAGCTGTACGTTGGCTACAATGTCAGTCACGGAAGGAAACGGGGTGACGGCTAGCAAAACGGAAAAGATGGGCTGACCTGTGCGCTGTTCCTGTCGTCCTCCAGAGCAGGGATTGAGCTCTTCAGGCGCGACACCCGCTCCTCCCGCGCCAGCTGCTGGTAGCCGATGATTGCGCCGGCGACCACGGCGCCGGACACGAGAGCTGTGGCTGCGAACTGAGCGTGGGTGCTGGATGCGGCCCGCGACAGGAACGACTGCGCCATGGTCGGAGAAAGTAATTGAGACTGCCCAGCCGCGTCTGAGTTCCTTCCCCGAGCCCTGCTCTCGTCTTGTACTACAGCTCGCTAAGGTCAATGGCCGCTGCCAATGCAAGAATCCATGGATGCATCACAAATTCATTGCCAATCGCCAAATCGTATTTTGCCCATAAAAGTCATCCAGCGACTTGGAAAGTGGGTCTTTGTACTAGAACGGACCCCCAGCACGTCTTTCGGGGTCCGTTTCCAACCAAATCATAGTCCGGAATACACAACGGAGTGTCTCGCCCCACAAAGGTGGAAGAGGCCGATCAGAAGACGTTGGCCGTGCAAGCTGATGGCTGAAGGCGGCGTACTTGATCATATATCTTTCAATGAAACTATCTATTGATATTGCCAACTTGTATTACGCAGATCAACCTATCACTTACCGCTTGGATAAAATTATACGTCTCTAATCTGGAGTATTGCTTGGAGCTTGGATTAATGATCGTCAAACTATAATAAGTCTTACTCTCCTACCTTAAGGTCATTATACCTACTTGTATTCAATAATACCTTGGTGCTTACTCAACCTGTCGGGTACAAGCCGAGTTACACTGTATATTAGGCATAGTTGAAGAGACACAGTGAACACAATACCCGTGTTCCAGAGACACTATGACGGCTACCAGTGATAAGGCTATTATAAACAACAATAAAACCAGCATCATACTACTTGGTATCTACGACAATGAGGACCAAACAATGACAGATGTTATTTCTGTCTTGTCTCATAAGAACTGACACTGGTTGCTCCCCGCGATGTGCACATCCACAGAGCTGGACCGACAAAACGAAACATCACTCAATTTCTATGTTGGATATGGCATTGATTTGAAGAATAACATCGTCATATCACATGCGAGACTTCCCCTCATCAATTGCCCCCCTTGCGCACAAGGGGTGAGCTGATGTGGTCTTAGCCTAACTACTATGTATCCCAAGGTGTCCGCATACAGCATGTCACTAGCTAGTTCCAACACAACGTAGTAGTCCAGCCAGAGACTGGCACAGGGGTTCTGGGAGGAGTATTCGGGGTATGCAGACTATATAGTGTGACATCTATAACCCTATGCAATCTTGAGAACCATTAGCTTAGATCAGATCTAACTTGATGTGAGTTTTCTTACTTATCTTTGCCGACTATAGGGTTCCAGCTCTGGCTCTAATAAAGGTAAGCTTCAAGATACGGCGTTGAAAGAGTGACTGGGCAATCCCAACTCATTGTGCCAACCTGAAGGTACTATACTTGTCCACGATCCGTTGAAGAGTATCACGGCTACTCACAAGATGATGCCGTTGACCAAGTCAAGTCATGTTCGAGAGTATAGTAGTAGCTGGACATGCCTGCCCCGTTGTTCTCGGAAACGAGAATCCAGAGGGCTCAAAAACGGTGCTACAAGACAAGATCGATGTTGAGCTTGGCATCAATCTCGGTTGTCCATAGTGCTACCAAGACGCGCTGCAAATACTGGACCGCTTTTTATGCATGTCATCGCTGGCTCTGTGCAAATCGCACCCTTTCCTCGCTTCATTCCAAAGCTTCGCGGCCAATATCAATCCAGTCAGCGTAAAGAGGGGCACGATCTAGAAGTGTCGCGCGAACAGCGCGCAGGCACTCCTCTTTGCGGTACCGATCGATGTCTGGCCATCCATGCTCACGATAGATACCCGGCAGCACGTCGAGCATCTCTCCGACACCCGGAGGGGCCCGCAGCCAGACATCACGGACTGTCCAAGGAGTAAAGGGTACAAAATTCAACTGACGATACTGATCCTTGAGCATCTCGAAGAAGTCGAGGATGGCCCAAGCAGCCGAGGCGTACCGCCATGTCTCATTGTCAGGTGCCCAATCAAGCATATCGTCTTGCACCATCTCCTGTGACGAAGTCTCCCGGATCTTGTCCCAGCACTCGTACCAGTGCACTATCCCGGCCTCGACATCGAGGAAGATGTAGGGCCGCTCGACTCCACCAACAGTCAGCCCCACAACGTGAGATGGGATATCTTCGCTGAAATCTAGCCCCTCACTCTGAGTAGCATGCTTCACGTCTTCTCCGTCCCAGTGGCCGGCGACGATTCCGTTGCAAAGCTCCTGCCAATTCGCAAAAGCGGCCCCGGTGATACACTGCGGCCTCTCTGGGCGGTGCGACAGGGAGCGGACGTACGGGAGGTAGCGAAGAAGCTCGACGACCTCGGCTGACTTGCATGTTTTCCGCCGTGATGGCAGGCCAGCCATCCTGGGGCGGCTCGACCGCTTCCGACTGGTGTAGGTACAAAGCAGCCAGGAAGTGGTAGTAGTCGCGGAAGACGGCGATGGTCGCTTGGCGATCGTAGCTGATATCCTTGAGCCAAGGCATGGTGACATGGCGGGTGGAAGCTGCAAACCAATGCGGAGATCGCAGTGAACCGGCAGCCGTACATCACCATCACCGCTCACGCGCACGCGGCTGACCCGCTACCGGAACACGGGGCACGGGCGAACCCATGCCGGCCAAGTGCGATTGCTCCTGCGGGCCCGGCTTTTGGATACATTGAGGACATACTGCGGCGGATCTTTCTTTCCCATCGGTAGGTTTTGCGACCACTTTGTGACCGTGGCATGGCAAGATGAGCGAGAACGTGAATGTGGGCAAGGGAGCCAGCATGCCAAGTGCTGATAGGCGCGGGATTTGAAGATAAGACAGCGTGGAGAAAGGTTGTTGGATCACTGCAGAGAATCCAACCTGGCGAAGCTACGTAGAAGCCAAACTCCCCAATCACCCCAACCAGCCTGCCTTGAGAGATCGCATGCAAGGGTTGCCCAACGCGCTGGGAGAGCGGGTGTTGATCCTTTACATTCTCGGTGCCTTGTGCAGACAGCCGGAGGTCGGAGGTGAATCGATTTGCGGGACTGGACAACGCAACCCGCCACCCACCTGACTGACCTGCGGGCGATCAATCATGAATGGCAAGTCCTCGATCAGGCCGCCAACGGTGAGGAGGAGCGGGAATCCCTTAGAGAGCAGCGTCGGGGCAGTACCCTCGGAATGGCACGAGCATGGTGTGGGTTTTGGCTTAAGAGGGATAGTTGTGAGGGCAGCTCAACACCAACGGGTCTTTTTCCTGATCTTTCTTCTGCTATCTCTCGCGATGCCAGGGCATGCATAGCTAACCCTCATACAGTGTCTTGATGTGCTGTATTTGGCCACGACTGACAGGACTTGATCTTTGGGGCATGTGAATAGACCGAGGTTTGGTCGAACATCTCATCCAGATGATCATATTCATATCTGGTAACGCATCCAGAAGCTAACAAACGCACCAAGCCGATCGCACAGAAACGTATCCGAGGAGTCCGCAGCAACTCTGCGCTTTTGGCGTCATCCAACTCGGAGGGCAGATGGTTGACGCAGCTTGCGGAGCTTGCGAGCTTATATGTGAAGTTGGCGAGTCGGTAAGATGCCGCTCAATCCCTCGAGGTTGGCAGTACGCAGTCTCGTCCAACCCTATTCTGACTGTCAAATCTGGACCCGTTGAGTATTTGGTATTCCACTTGAGTAGAAGATGGGGGAGTCTCCATAGCGAGCGGCGAGGCGGAGCGAGCTGAGGATACTGGGCCCCCGCCGCGTCACCTATCATAATAATGATAGACACTTGTGAATGCAGATCATTCACGCTTTTCGACGGTGAGTCTGGATGGAACAGCGGGCTCTCCCAGGATGCTACCCCGTTTCACAATCAAGCCTCTACATAGGTAGGGAGAGAGACAGATCTCGTCAATCTCGACAAGAAACGACCCCTGGATTCCAGATCTGAACACGCGCAACTGCCCGTGAAGATATGTACAAAGTCGTTCACAAGCCGTACGCAGTAATGACCTACATTCCTCCAGTGCGTCACAAGGGAAGACCGCTTCGAGTGGAGCTGGTGTGTGGATTCGATGATGACCAAACCGGGCACAGAATGGGGCTTTGGAGATCCAAGATCGTGTTTCGGTCCGGTGCACTATCCTCTTTCTGTCCTCGAGCTACAAGTAGATTGCAAAAGACTCTTCTCCAAGGAAGCCATCTCGGACCTTCTATCGTGGCCCTGGCCCTGGCCCTGGCCCTGTAAGGCCAGGCGAGGCGAGGCGAGGTTGCTTTCAACAAAACAGAAATTTTCAGCGCCTACGATAAAAATAGGCCAAGCGGCCTGCCATGACGCGGTGGAACACATTCCGCGCTTCAGTGGCTCGACTAGTAGCCGCCACGGTGAAGAAAATCCAGGAACAGGCGTTGTGTGGCGACGAGACTATTGAGAGAGAGACGTGTTGAGAGGTCAGGAGAGGGCTTGTTGAGTGCATCTTGCGCCATCTGGTCCAACCACATTGCGCATCGCTAGGACTACAAGTAGTTACCTTCTTCGCAAGGTGATCAGCAACGCCATCCATCATCTCGTACCTGCACACCGTGTGCAGTTTTTTTTTTTTTTTTTTTTTTTTTTTTTTTTTTTTTTTTTTTTTTTTTTTTTTTTTTTTTTTTTTTTTTTTTTTTTTTTTTTTTTAATTTTTCCTTCTCTTCTCTCGATCCCTGTGGAAGACTATGGCGTAACGGAGTGGATGCCGGTGGAACTCTTCAGTGGGGTCCGGATGGGGAGGAGGGAAAGCCGGGAGTGGTGGGCTGGTGTGCGCTTGTTCGTATGTTACGTCGATGGACATTCAAGGGGCCGCGATCGAGGCTCTGGCAGCCAATCCATGGATCTATGGATGCATTTTGTGGGCAGCCCGACCCTGAGCCCGGCAGTGGGGCCCGCCTGACGCAGGGGTTGGGGCTTGGTGAAACACCCACAAGAGGGATTCCGTACACGCTGGGAGGCACTGGAGGGTCCGTCTCTCAAGGAAGGTCTCCCAGCTGGACCAAGCAGTTCCAAGCTTTAAGCCATTTCATCCACTCACCCATGGATGGGAACCCGTCACGGGTCCGCGGTCCCTGACTGCCTGGCTGGCTGACGCGCCTGTCAGTGTTGAACTTGTCCCCGGTCTTTGGTCTTGGTCATTCATGGCATTGCCGCCTCTCTGTTCCAAGAAGCATGTACGTACCCAATGGTACCCTACCTAGGTACTTGTACTACTGACCCCTGAAAATGAACAACAGCCGCAGGCGGCATGGATCCAGGCATGGATGATGGATGGATGGATGGATGGATGGACGGTTCAGGGACCAACGGCGTGCCTCACCTGCAGCGGCCTATCCATAGCTCAACCGGGCTTTTCGTCCACTGGAATCCAGCTTGCGAGGTCCCTTCATTTCGCTGCCGCCCCTCCATCGCGAGAGGACCGGGCAGGATCTCACGATGGAAGTACAAGTAAAGTAGGTAGGTACCATGTGCCTGGGTGCTGAGCTTGATACGGCCTGGTTGTCGGGAACGTATCTGGATGGAGAGTAGTCTTGCAAGTCTCGATTTGGCGTTCCCAATTCCACTCCACTAGTTAGTGGCTCCTCCAAAAGAAGAGAGATCCTCCAGAGGAAGAAAAGCAATGCAGAATTCAACTTGAAGATCAGATCTTCCCACTCTTGCGCTGCCGTGCCTGTGAGTCTCCACTCCCGACACGAAAGGACCCCGAACTACATTTTGTACTAATTCCAGCTACAACCCCCGCCGCCTCACTGGTCTTCCAGAAAGAACCTCCTCTCGTTTCATCATCTTTGTGTCTATTTTTTCCTCCCTATTTTCTCACTTGTCTTCCATCATCCAGTCGCTCGCTCACCCTCACCGTCACCCTTCTTCTCGATCGCGGGTCTGACGAGTAGTAATCAGCTCTGCCTCTGCCTTTTTTCTCTCTTTCCTCCTCCAGTGCTCTCAGAGACCAGCCACACAGCCGGTTGCGTCACTGGTCTCTCACAGTAGAAACCTCGAAACGAACAAAAGGAGGTCCCTTGTTACTCCTTTATCGCGGTTTCACGATACGACACTCAAGGTTTACGCGTATTTCCTTTGTGCGGACCACACACCCCTTTCCGGATCTGGGTGAGGGATCTGAGATCCTCCCCGTCCAAGGCCACCACGCCTTTTTTTCGGTGCATATTGGTGCAACACCTGGCACCTCCTGAAACGCTCCACATTCGATTGTGGTGAGAGCTCTCACCACGCCCAGCGAGGCCACGCTCGCGTCTAGCACCGACGCAGTCTGTCCTCGATCCCTTCCCGAGCGCCATTTCAACGGCTTCAAATCAATGAGCTCGCCTCGCTTCCCGCAAAGCATGGGCTTTATGCAGCTCCACAACCGCCAGGGCGACGGGCCCGAAGGCGATATCCCTCTGACCAAGGTCAAGTCCAGCGCCAGCTCCACCGGCGCCCGGAGGCCCAACCAGGCTCTCGAGTCGCCCGTGACCAGCATGGACGGCGACGAGAAGCAGGCCATGTTCCGCCGGAGAGGCCCGGCCGGTCGCCGGAGGGCCAGGCAGGACGAGCCCCTCCACCGCCGCGACAGCGGCGAGGCCAGGCTGAACCTCATGGGCCGCCTCTACAACAAGGTCGTCTCTTTCTCCCCCATCACCCGCTACCTAGTCTACGTCTTCCCCGTCGCCATCCTCCTTGCCGCCCCCATCGTGGTCCTGGCCGTCACCGGCAACACGCAGACCATTCCTCTCAACCACATCATTGTCAAGAACGGTGACACCGAGCAGCGTATCGACGGAAAGCCCCTGTTCTATCTGTTCGTGTGGATCGAAGTGTCGTGGCTCAGTGTTTGGGGCGGCAAGATCATTGCCTACCTTCTTCCCTCCGTCTTCATGTTCTTGATCGGCGTCGTCAGCTCGGGCACCCGCAAGTACGCCACCGTCCTCCGCGCTCTCGAGATCCCCGTCTCCCTATTAATCTGGGCCGTTGTCTCCTACCTGGTCTTCCGTGTCTTCTTCCCCGACCAGCGCTTCGAGTGGATTGACGTCCTCACCAAGATCCTCGGCGCTCTGATGGTGTCGTCCATCGTCTTCCTCGTCGAGAAGGCCTTCGTCCAGCTCATCAGCATCAGCTACCACCAGAGGTCTTTCGCCAACCGCATCAAGGATTCCAAGCACGAGGTGTACCTGCTGGGTCTCCTGTACGATGCCTCCCGCGCCCTCTTCCCCATGTATTGCCCAGAGTTTGCCGAGGAGGACTATGCCATCAACGATAGCATCGACATGAGGCTAGGAATCAAGCGCGGCCACAAGAAGTCTGGGTCGGTCACTCCCATGGCGCTCATCGGCAATGTGGGCGCCGGCGTCGGTCGCTTGGGCGACAAGGTCACCTCGGTCTTTGGAAACATCGCCTCCGAGATCACCGGAAAGCAGGTCTTCAACCCCAACTCGGCCCACTCGGTCGTCGTCGAGGCCCTCGAGAAGGTCCGGACTTCCGAGGCACTGGCCCGCCGTATTTGGATGTCCTTCGTCGTGGAGGGCAATGACTCCCTGTCCCAGGACGACATCGAGGAAGTTCTGGGCCCTGCCCACCGCGAAGAAGCCGAGGAGTGCTTCATTGCTATCGACGCCGACCAGAACGGCGACATCAGCTTGGACGAGATGATCCGCAAGGTCGTCGAGATTGGCAAGGAGAGGAAGGCCATTACCCACAGCATGAAGGACATTAGTCAGGCCCTCGCTGTCTTTGACAAGGTGCTCCTCTTTGTCGTCCTCCTTCTCGTCATCTTCATCTTCCGTAAGCAAAGATCGCCCCTCCTGCTTCATACTGTGCACCGCGGCTAACATGGACGACAGTCACTTTCTTCCAGAGCAGCTTTCTCACCACGGTCGCCACCGCCGGTACTGCGCTGCTGTCCCTGTCCTTCGTGTTTGCTGTCACCACCCAGGAGTTCCTTGGCTCGTGCATCTTCCTCTTCGTCAAGCACCCCTACGATGTCGGCGACCGGGTTGACATTGTGGGCCCCGAGAAGGAGCAGCTCATCGTGGACAAGATCTCGCTTCTCTACACCGTCTTCCGCCGCATCGACAAGATGCAGGTGGTGCAGGTCCCCAACATCGTGCTGAACAACCTGTGGATCGAGAACGTGACCCGCAGCCAGGCCCAGACCGAGGTGATTGACGTCAACATCTCGTTCGATACCTCGTTCGAGGACATCGAGCTCCTGCGCACCGAGATGGAGAATTTCGTGCGCCACCCGGACAACTCGCGCGACTTCTTCCCCGACTTCTCCATCGGCGTCTACGGCATGGGCGACCTGGACAAGCTGCAGCTCAAGGTGGCCATGAAGCACAAGTCCAACTGGCACAACGACTCCATCCGGGCCACTCGCCGCTCCAAGTTCATGTGCGCCCTCATTCTCGCTCTGAAGAAGGTCCCCATCTACCCGCCTGGAGGCGGTGGCGAGCCTCTCGGCGGCCCCTTCAACCCCACCTACTCTGTTGCCGTCTCCGACGAAGTCGCCGCGGCGTCGCGCGACAAGGCCGCCGCCAACAAGGAGGCGCTGCGCATGGTCCCGACCAAGCCGGCGGAGCCCGAGGCCGGCCCCGGCGGCATCGAGAACGAGAAGCGAGCCGCCGACGCGCTCAACACGCGCGACCCGGCGGCCCAGGCGGCCAGCGCGTGGGGCCCGACCCTCGACGACAGGACGCTCGGCTCGCGAGACGACTCGCTTGAGCGCAAGCGGTCCCACGACATCGAGACGGTCCGCCAGGAGCTGCTGTCCAAGACGCAGAGCCAGCGCGGCCGCCGGCAGGCCGGCCAGGGCCTGCCCCCCAACGCCGCCCTGGGGTCGACGCCCTCGGTCCGCGTCCAGCGGCACGCCTCGAAGCGCGACAACGACAACGGCAGCTTCGACGTCGAGTCACAGACGGGCGGCCCGGCCGGCTTCGGCGCCAACCCGTACGGCAACATGACCACCACGGTCGCGGGCGGGGCCGCCGCCGCCGCCACCACCACCTCGCCGTACTCGGCGTACGGCGCGGGCGCGGGCCAGTCGTCCCTGGCGCCCCAGATGTCGAACAACAGCAACAACGGCGGCGGCGGCAGCAGCAGCTTTGCCGGCATGCACGGGGTCGCCTCCGCGCCGCCGCCTCTGCAGACGGCCGTCTCGGGCGCGGGCCGGGACATCACGGGCAACTCGCGCCCGCCGCAGGCCGGGCCCTCGAGCCAGCAGCCCCCGCAGTTCCGCGGTCAGCAGCCGTTTTAGGAAGGGCGGGCCCGACCACTTTCCTTGCATCGACAGAGTCTTGCTTTGCGGCGTTTCGCGAGGTCCGAGGGGGGTAGCAGTCCCACCAGCAGCAGCGCTCGGGACCGTAATTTCGTGTTTGAAAAGGAGTCGAGATTGCAGCATTACCACAGCTTTTACTAGGTTTTCCATGAATTGACGGCCCCCGTTAGTGGTTTCCCTCCCCCTTCCCACACACACCGTTTGCATATAGACAAGAGAATGAAATGAATGGTATCGTCTTTTAGAAAGAAAAGGAAAGGAAAGAGGTGGTTGCATGATAAGGGGGGTGGGGATCTTTGTAGTGTTTAGACTCTAGTATTCGCCATCATGGCTCTGAAGGGCCAGCATGTGAGCTTTGCCCTTCCAAATTATATTCATATCTTTGTTTTATCATCCTGGTTTTCAGTACTCGCATGTCTTCTATGTAACCAACCACACTGTGCGTGCTTGCCCCAATCGCATGACCGGTGCCTCTCTCTCTCTCAACCGGTCAGTCAATCCAGCAGATAGATCTAGCAGACATGCTCCAGCGGCTTGGCGACCTCCTCGCGGGGGCCCAGGTCCTCCTTGAGCACGCGGGTGAAGAGCTCGAGCAGGATCTCGAAGCAGATCCTGGTGACGGGCGGGTCGTAGCGGCCCTTGCTCAGCTCGTCGCGGATGAAGGCGTGCTGCGCCCAGGGGAACTCGTAGAAGCCGGCGGCGACGCCGGCGGCGCGCAGCTTGGCGCGGACGAGGTCGCGCCCGGGCCCGGGCACGTGCGTGTCCCGCGCGCCGAAGAGCATGGCGACCTCGCCGCGGACCTCGGGCAGGCGGTCGATGGTGTGGTTGCTGTCGCGGGGGCCCTCGGCGGACGTGTCGGCGGCGGCGTGGGGGCCGAGGGTCCGCGTGTGCACGTCGGTGGCGAAGTAGGCCACCGTGGCGGAGACGCGGGGGTCGAGCTGTTGGGGAGGTTGGCGCGTGCGCGAGAGGTTTAGGGCTCTGGACGGGACGCTTTGGGATGGAGGGTTTGCGATGCATGTAATGTGTGTGTGTGTATATGTATGTATGAATGTGTATTGCGTAGAGATCATAGTGACGGCGGAAAAGGGTACATAGGTAGCAGTGTTGTTCAAGGGCGAGGGGCTCGGGTCCGCAGGGGAGACAGAGAGAGAGAGAGAGAATGGTCATACGTACCGCAGATCGGAGCGCCAGGTGGCCGCCGAGACACATGCCGGTGCTGCCGATGCGGCCGGTGCAGGTCGGCAGGCCGAGGAGGTAGTCCACGGCGGCCTTGGTGTCGGCGTCGTAGGACTCGAGCGTCTGCCGAGGCACACGGCGAGGTTGGGTGCCATCGGTGAGCAACCAATCCAGAGGGGGCAGAGGGGGAGGGGGTGAGGGGGCGCTGCCGGCGGCTTACCTTTTCGACCTTCCACGCGTTGCCCTGGTCGGTGCCGGGCCCGTCGTAGGCCAGCGGCTCGGGGCCGGTGAAGTCGTGGTAGCTGCTGACGGCGGCGACGATGTAGCCGTGGCCGGCGATCTGGCGGGCGAACCGGGCGACGGGCCCGGTGACTACATAGACGCGGCTGTCAGTGGCGACCGGAGAAGAAGGGAGGGGGGTGTGGTGAGGGGAGCCGCGGTGGTCATGAGAGAGGCCCACCCTGGTAGATCTCGGTGTAGACGACAACTCCGGGGAAACGGCTGCGGAGGGGCCTGTGTCAGCGCCTGTCTCTCGTTTGGGGAGGCCATGCATTCCGGGCCAATGTCCAAGAGGGCCTCACGCTTTGGGGTACTGGGGGACTGTGGGCGAGAAGAGGAACAGCCCTGGATGATGGGTGCGATATAGTCAGTCTCGAGGCCTTTGCGTCTTCTTTGTTGTCTGAGCCAAGTCAGCTGCGGACTCGGCCTTACTCATTGTCCCGTCGACGCCATTGGCATGCGTCCTGACATCGGCGTGGCTCTCGGTGATGAGCATTCTGGCAGTCGGCCCTTGGGCTCTTGAGGTGCTCTGGATTGCGACTGGGTAGGCAATGTCTTGTGTGCTGAGAGAAGAGAGGGAGAGGGGAGAGAAAAGAAGAGAGAGTAGGTACCAACTTTGAACCGGGAAGGGTTTGCCCCACCACCTCCTCCTCCTGATCTGCCTATTACAACGGCTTCTGCCTTCCAACACTCAACGATGCTGGGGGCTTCAAATTACCAAGTTCCGACACAGATATTCTCGAGGATATTTCCTATGGGAACATGCACCACCAGCCGCTATTCTGAGCTCTGGGGGCCGAGCCACTGGAGCTTCGGTGAGCGGTGGTCTCTTGGCAGCAGTATCCCGGGAACAGAAAGGATCCAGTCTCAGTTCGCCCTGCCCGGGCCCCGGCACGGCTTGTTACATTTGTATGAGGACACAAAGATTCCGTTGGCTTTCAAATCATAATGGAATATCCTCTACCGCTGCTCGTCGTCCTGTGCTCTGCCAGCACCGCCAGCATGGGGCCTGTCGTGATGCCGATGCGCGCAGAAGGGACAGGGGCATCCGAGACCTCTCTTGCGCAGGTTTCCAAGCCCCTGCCCCTTTTCCAAGGTTACCAGCCCTGGCAGCTCAATCAATGGGTCACTCAATTGTCCTGATGGTGCTGTGCTGGGTTGTCCAATGAGCCGCGAGTCATTGCCCAGCGCCGCATGTGATTCAGGTGTTAGTTTGTTTGCCTCCTTCTCTCTGCTCCCCAAACGGAACGAGGCCGAAGACAAAGGCTGTAAGCCGTACTACTTGATCCCGGATACGGCACAGTCAATGGCACCGTCAGAAGCCCTGCGACTAAGTATCTGCTAGTGTGTGTGTTGTATAGTCGAAGTCCATGGCTGCCGATACTTTCGACCCCGTGTTCAGCAACAGTCTGCAACCCTTTGATGATCTACAGGCACCACCATGAGTGATGGCTACCTAGGCAGCCCGACACACAGGCGTCAGGCCAACCATGTAAGCACATCCAGCCCCAGCGATGGCTCACATGGGCTGGGTCCGTCCATAGCCGACGCAGTCGTTGCTCTCCCGGTACGGGCAATGTACCCGCTCCATGTTATCAGAGGACCTGCACTGCCCAAGGGCTTTGTGTCCTTCGACAGCCGGGTAGCCCTCAAGAAGCTCAATACAACTGTCCCTGCTCTCTTTCCTTGTGGATGTCAGTCTGATAGCTTTGCCTAATCTCAGGGCCGTCCCTTGCTAACAGAGGTGACAAGAGGCTCAGGGGCATGGCGGTAGTGCCCCCAGCCCCGATGGAAGGAAGGGGGGAGAGAGGAAGAGCCCCTATCGGCCCCTGGAAGGCGCCGGCATCGCACTGAAGATGGTGCTGCCGTCAGTTCGATCTGATATAGTGGTGACCTTGTCAGAGAGTACCCTTTGCTATGGCGGTACATTGGGCTCTGGAACCTTCGAGACCAGGGGTGGATGGTCCTGTCAAGACTATAAAAGGGCCGCAAGATTCCCTCCTATCCTTTCCTTCTTGCCTCTTCTCCATAGCAAAACATCCTGCACACAAACTCATCAGCCACGATCACTTACACTCGACACGCTGTCCTTGGTAGATCAACCTGCCGTCAGACTCATCTCTCCACCGCGACCCGAGACACAGCAGTGTCCGAACAACAAACACATCAATCACTGACCCACAGGCCCGGCATCTCAGCAAGGCTTCCCACTCGGCAACCATCCAACGACAACATGGCTTCACTCCCTTCTCAGACCAACGCTGTCGAACCAGAGGAGGCCACTAGAATGGGTGGAGACCACACCTCAGCCGAGCACGCGGCCGACGACTGCAAAGACACGCCTGTGGACGAGGATTATGTCTTCAAGGACAAGAAAGACATCCAAAAAAAAGCTAAGAATGATCTGCTATCACCCGTAACACTTGTGTCTGTCCTGATGGCTCGCCTGAGGGAGGGCAAGGATCCTTATGCGGGTCAGGATCCTTATACCCCGGCCGAGTATCCCCTCGACCTTTCTGCAATTCCCTGGTACAAATATGAATCCCTTCTGGGACCTGCGATTGTCCCGCACCCTGGACCCCCTCCGGTGCCCCCCTATGATGATATCCAGGGGGCATTGCAGTGGCTTGCAAGGGCTCGTGTCCTGAATGCCTACACAGCTTATGACCTGTATAAATCCCACCTGAGAAAAACAGATCCGGAGGTACTCGACAAGTGGAAGGAGGAAGAAGAGAAAGCTAGGAAGGAATTGGGCCTCGAGTGCCTTAGGTCAGTCTTTTTCTGGCTGGGTTGTGGTAGGTATCATGTGGAGTATGAGACTTTCGGGATTTTGCTGCGCCATATGAGGATATTGGAGTTGTGCAAAATCGCGGGGACCTATGAAGAAGAAAAGACCGTCGCGACCGCGATTCTCGAGGCTATCGATGCCAAAGTCCTCTTGAAGCTTCTGGTGGATTCCGAGACAATCTCCGAGAGTGCAGCTCAGATGCTGCTAGGGCTAATCGAGAGGGTGGAGGCAACCCAGGCGGATCATCCCTACCACGACCCGCCGCTCCTTATGTACAGGACGGTGAGGGCAGGCGTGCCTGAGGAGAAGTGGTGGGGTGGAGAGTATGCCGATTGGACAGTCGAGGAACGAGACGTGCACTCGTGTTACTTACTTGAGGAAGAGATCGGGGTAGATACTTGGTGTTTTGAGTACTAGGTAGTTTCCGGGGCCCTAGGGGACGGCGAGAGTCCCCTAGAGAGGGATTTTGGTCGTGGAATCCAGAGACCTCAGGTCTCTTAGGGTTGTAGAGACTGCAAGTACCTCTCGAATAGAGAGGTTATATGTTATTGGTCGGCCTCGACTTGCTCGTCCTCAATTCTCGCCCGACACTTGCATGGCACACAACGCCGGTAACGACAGAACGATATTCTTACAAAGGCTACAATTCAAGTACTTAAACTCTTGCCAAGGGGAGGCGAATCATCTGTGCCAATATACAGTGAAGTATTCACAGCTACAAAAAGGCTCTATCTACTACCGTGACCCCCCGCATATCAGAACCCCTTGTCCACCAACGCTCTGCAAGTCCAACTGCGTCATACCCAGTGATAGTACTTGGCATCAGTACACCGAAGCTGCAATGCAGCCACCTCATCTCACTGAGGACGCCCTGTACCAAGAGTCGGAGCCAGTCGCCTGCGATGCTGCGTCACAGAGCACAGGACTGCCTGCCGTTTCGTTTCGTCTGGGGTGTCGGGCCCTACTTGACCTCGGGAGGCTCCACCTGAGGGAGGCAATCCAAGCATTCATTGCAAGCCTTCCACAGGGCTTGATGAGTGCTTTGGAGGTCTGCGTCCCATTGGGTAGCTCCATACGGACCTCCATGGTCTTTGACGAAGTTGTTGAAGACCTGATGGCATTGAGCCTCAGCCGCAGGGCTTGACTCCTGTCCCTTTCTCCAAACTATCGTCGTAACCGACTCGTGCCCCTTGTCTTCTGTGAGAAGCTTGAGCTTTGCTTCATTCTTCGTGGCGAATTTCCATTCCATCTTGGAGCGGTAGGTCAGCAGATCGTTTCCCACGGACCTGATGTTGAATGTGTTGTTAGTAACTGCTCTTGAACCACTCCGTGTCGCGCCGGGAAATAAGGTGCGGTCTTACCGGAACAGAACAACCAGCTTGGGATTGGCTGCAAAGTCCTGGAGACACCTAATCATTCCTCCTCTTGGTTCTAGGGGCTTGTCTGATGAGTGATGAACGGTCTGTTGACATCAATTAGTAAATATTCACCAACACAGCTCTCACAGGATATGGGAAGCGACTTGCCTTTCCCTTGCTGTCCTCCCTCATAGTCTCGATCTTTGTGCCGTTCTCGCTAACCTTGCACTGTTTATCACTGCCTGGATGTCCTATCCATTCATTGCCACGCGACAGAACAGAGCCTTCTGGGAAGCTTGAGTCGATAATGACGCCCGTTTTCGTGCAATACATGATGCGATGGTTGCCGAGACTGAAGAGGACGAAGGCAAACCTCCCTGGAAAGAGGACTTCTAGGAGATTGGCGATCTGGATTTCCACAGCGGTACATCTGCCAACCACCCCAAACCCCCAGAGCTTCGGTATATCGGTGTCGTTTTCGATTCCTTTGAGTGCCGGTTCGAGACACTTCTTATCATCAGGGTAGGCGAGAATAAAGTCGTTAATGCTCTTCCCCGATCTGTTTAGAAGTAACGTGAATTGCGAGAAGGATGAGCAGGCGGTCTGGTTCATGCAGGTCTCGATTGCTTGGTTGGCGATCTTTGTGTCACAGTCGGACTTTGGTACAAGGTCGGACATTGTCGATGACAGCGGAGTAGTCTTTTGGATGGGAATGGCAATTCTGAAGGCGAGCGATGGTCGATTTTGTCAAATATGAGAGACAACAACTTGGAGATGCGTGGGAGACATGATACTCTCCATTTTATATCTAGACAGTCCTCCATTCTCGGTATCGAGCTCAAAGACATTCTGGTGAGTTGCTGCAAAACTGGCTACAGGGCAAAAAGCAGTTGTTCTCGCACACAGGGCGACTCGCCGAAAGAGCTGCTTGAGTATCGGTGAATATGGGATACCGACTAGTGGGACTAAAGCGGATGTACTTGGGAGACTATGAGTAAACAAGTCACTATCATCGAGTGGTGAATGAGGGCCTACAACCCTTGTTACGATTGCAGAGTCCAGGATGTGATCTTTGATGGCTGAACAAGTGGGCTTTGTTCGACGAGAGAGTGTTGTTCCTGAACAATGATGGGACATGATATGCTTGGGCAAACTCGTCTGTAACTGTTGCTCATCTTGCAATGGCAACAGCGCTCTGAGAACAGCGAACTGAAAACAGCGAACTGAGTTGACTGGGAGCTATTGTTTCTGAGTGACCAAGTTCCGGAGTCATTGCGCGCGCATTGCAACAGTGAACATGCCAGACGATGTTAGTCACATCCCTGCCAAAAGCTAGGTAAATAAAAATGTATGGCACATGGGAAATAGCGACTTGTTTTGTGTGTAGAACTGCCTGCCTCGCCTGAGCCTCAAGGGTTGCCTCGGACTCAATGGTCGAGGCGACAGCACCTGATTGGAGCACTGGGCCAGGACCACTGCATACATGAGGAAGATAGCTTGTTAAGCTCTACTCTATGGAACATAGGGAAAGTCGCCTACTGTGGCAGCAATTGTACTTATTCCATATACCAGATGTGCAATCTAGCGACAAGCGGAGACTCGACAAGAGGCAACACGCTACCGCCCCTATCCCTCCCCAATCTTGGAGTATCGTTGAGCCTTGACTGGGCTCGACAATACATTCCATGGGCTGGCTAACTGGTATACTTGATACGACATAGATGGCTGTTCAAAATATCCCGAGAAGGTGACACAAACAGGATGGTGCTGCTGGATGGACCTGACCTTGTGCATGGGCAGGGACAGGAGGGAGAGGCATGAGGAGGACCCCAGCCATAAGTCAGCTCTGGTCGGCCGGGCTATCTGGGGGCCTTTGACAAGTTACGGCGAAATAAATATACTACTCCCCTCCCGGTCTACCCAGCTGCGACATTATGCAGATATGGCACAGATCCGCAGAGTGTCGTGGACTTGAGGAGGAGAAGAAGCTGCTTACTAGCTCCAAAGGTGCGTCGCGGTATCACATACAAAGAAGAAACAGATGGAGAGAAATCAGGTGGTATTGGACGAGTCACGGTCATGAGCAGATGGATTTTTCTATCTATCGTGGGCCGGGAGCGTGGGCAGTTCAAGGAGCACCGAGGGATAAAGGAAAGTCTGTGTTCACATGGGCTCTGGGTCAACAGGGCCTGTCGCAAGCAAGGGACAACGGAGGCAGCAAGGCTCAGATTTGTCTAGATTGTCCCATTTTTGAGCCAACTCTCTTGACAGGTTTGACAGGGGAAAAGCGATGGACCTCGCAGACTGAGCCTCGTGAGAGCAAGGCTCCAGCTGAGGAAGAGATGTAGTTCGAATCCGGCAATCGGGTGGGTGGTGGCCCGTGCGGAGCTTGAATTTTTGGTGTGTGGTGTGTGTGTGGTGTGGTACGGAGTACGTACCTACCTATGCGATGTGATGCGATGCGGCTCAAGTGTAAGCAACATCAAGCAGGGTCAAGATAGCCAGGACATCTAGCCTACAAAAGCACCTCGACATGCTGGATTGACGAAGCACAGACGTCTGTTTGCAAGGCCCGGCCCATCACATTGTCAAAAGCAGGTCGAATCCACATGCCATCAGAGCAGAACCGGATGATGCCCATACCTAGAAACCCAGTCTCTTCTACAAGTACAAGTACAAGGTCGAGTCAGGTACAAGTACATACTTACCTATCTGGGTTCTTACTCATTTGCGGGGCTCACATCATGAGATACTATCTCTAGGGATGGATTCAACAGTCCATCAGTTCATGGTTGGAGTGACAGGCTGACGTCAAATGCCATTGCCTGATGCAAGTACAGTAGGTAGGTAGAACGCCAAAACGCCTCCCTCGAAGGCTCTGGTGGTCAATGTGGGTAATGGTCTGTACAAGTAGGTACCCCACAGAGTGCTTGAGAAGGCCTCAGAATCTACAAGTACAAGGAGCCTCTGGAAGTGCCCCAAAGGCGAAAATACAGTATCCCTAGGTGGGTATGTGAGGTAGGTACCTTGCGTAGCAGGAGGGGCAGAGCGACATCAACCAGCACACAGCAAGCCGCTCTACTCGGTAGGCTGTCGGATTGGCATTTTACCGCTTCGAGTCTACAGACACTCCCAAGCTCGATTCACTTTTTACCTTATTGAAGAAAAGCAAACAGAAAGCAAACAGAGAGAAATTCTGCCTTGGACCAAAACGCACAAAGGCGGTCACAGCCCAGAACGGAGGAGGTGCAAGTAGTTAGAACCTGCGCTCGCCGCAAAAGAAAAAAAAAAAGTCAGTGAGTCGTGAGGAGGGGTCGCAGTCGCAGCCACAGTAAGGTAGGTAGCTCCCAAAAAGCTAAGCTGCGTCATTGAGTTTGAGGAGGGCGTGCGCCAAGAGACAGTCCTTAGGGGGGCGTGCGTGAACAAAGACCTGCCAGGCGCTGATTGGCGCTGTGCCTGGCAGCCACTGCGAAGCCAGCGCCTGCGCACAGGGCACCTGCTAGAACAACCCCGCTGCAGCCTGCCGATTCCAGGCTATTCGAGCAGCTTCTGGTGGGGCAGGATTCTCTCTCTTTCGAGAATCTTCTTCTGCTCGTCCTGCGCTCTGCCCCGCCAACGCACCTTCCCAGTCCTCACCCTCCCACCACCTGCCTGGAGCCTACATAAAACCACTTTCTTCTCGCCTTTCCTCCTCGCACAATCTCTTCTCTCTACACACACTCTTCTTTCCAAAAGAAAACCCCCCATCCCATCTCACCCTTATACCCCTCCCCTTCCACATCAGAACAACAGAAGAGAGAATCATCCACCATGGCTCCCGCTGTTGGTATTGATCTGGGCACCACCTACTCGTGTGTCGGCGTCTTCCGGGACGACCGCATCGAGATCATCGCCAACGACCAGGGCAACCGCACCACCCCGTCCTTCGTTGCCTTCACCGACACCGAGCGTCTGATCGGAGATGCTGCCAAGAACCAGGTCGCCATGAACCCCCACAACACCGTCTTCGACGCCAAGCGCCTCATCGGCCGCAAGTTTGCCGACGCCGAGGTCCAGGCCGACATGAAGCACTTCCCCTTCAAGGTTGTCGACAAGGGCGGCAAGCCCGTTGTCGAGGTCGAGTTCAAGGGCGAGAAGAAGAACTTCACCCCCGAGGAGATCTCGTCGATGGTTCTGACCAAGATGCGAGAGACGGCTGAGTCGTACCTCGGCGGCACTGTCAACAATGCCGTCGTCACCGTCCCTGCCTACTTCAACGACTCCCAGCGCCAGGCCACCAAGGACGCCGGTCTCATCGCCGGCCTCAACGTTCTGCGCATCATCAACGAGCCTACCGCCGCTGCCATTGCCTACGGCCTCGACAAGAAGGTCGAGGGTGAGCGCAACGTTCTCATCTTCGATCTCGGTGGCGGTACTTTTGATGTCTCGCTCCTGACCATCGAGGAGGGTATCTTCGAGGTCAAGTCCACCGCCGGTGACACTCACCTGGGTGGTGAGGACTTCGACAACCGCCTCGTCAACCACTTCGTTAACGAGTTCAAACGCAAGCATAAGAAGGACTTGAGCACCAATGCCCGTGCTCTTCGCCGTCTTCGTACCGCTTGCGAGCGTGCCAAGCGTACCCTGTCTTCGTCTGCCCAGACGTCCATCGAGATCGACTCCCTGTTTGAGGGTATCGACTTCTACACCTCGATCACGCGTGCTCGTTTCGAGGAGCTCTGCCAGGATCTCTTCCGATCCACCCTTCAGCCCGTCGACCGGGTCCTGACTGACGCCAAGATCGACAAGTCTCAGGTCCACGAGATTGTCCTCGTCGGTGGCTCCACTCGCATTCCCCGCGTTCAGAAGCTTATCACCGACTACTTCAACGGCAAGGAGCCCAACAAGTCCATCAACCCCGATGAGGCTGTTGCCTACGGTGCTGCCGTCCAGGCCGCCATTCTCAGCGGTGACACCAGCTCCAAGTCGACCAACGAGATCCTCCTTCTCGACGTTGCGCCCCTGTCTCTGGGTATCGAGACTGCTGGTGGCATGATGACCAAGCTCATCCCCCGCAACACCACCATTCCCACCAAGAAGTCCGAGGTCTTCTCTACCTTCTCTGACAACCAGCCTGGTGTCTTGATTCAGGTCTACGAGGGTGAGCGCCAGCGCACCAAGGACAACAACCTGATGGGCAAGTTCGAGCTCACCGGCATTCCTCCTGCGCCCCGTGGTGTCCCGCAGATCGAGGTTACCTTCGATCTCGATGCCAACGGAATCATGAACGTCTCGGCCCTTGAGAAGGGCACCGGCAAGACCAACCACATCGTCATCACCAACGACAAGGGTCGCCTGTCCAAGGAGGAGATCGAGCGCATGCTTGCTGACGCCGAGAAGTACAAGGAGGAGGACGAGGCCGAGGCTCAGCGTGTCTCTGCCAAGAACGGCCTCGAGTCGTACGCCTACTCTCTGCGCAACACCCTGAGCGACTCCAAGGTCGACGAGAAGCTCGAGGCTGGTGACAAGGAGAAGCTCCAGGGCGAGATTGACAAGATTGTCACCTGGCTCGACGAGAACCAGCAGGCCACTCGCGAGGAGTACGAGGAGCACCAGAAGGAGCTCGAGGCCGTCGCCAACCCCATCATGATGAAGTTCTATGGTGCTGCCGGCGGTGCTCCTGGCGGTATGCCCGGTGGCATGCCCGGTGGCGCCCCTGGTGGCTTCCCCGGCGGTGCTCCTGGCGGTGCCGGCCACGACGACGGCCCCACTGTGGAGGAGGTTGACTAAATTGTCTCTGCATTTGAGCGAAGAGGTGCTTTCTCTTAGATCGGCTATCTGAGGGCGAGGTTGCAGTGCGCGCTCGCCTGCAGTAGTCGTTGTTTCTGGGATTGTTCATGGCATCACAAGGGTTTAGACTTTGCGCGTTATCATGATTATTACGACAGGGGACAAAAGTTTCCGGGGCAAAACTTTGGCATGGTTGTATTTTAATAGTTGAGATTCCCATATGAATTCAAAACAAGATTCATAACCATGTGCAGTTTCCATCTTGTGTGATGTGACATGATATTGAAGCCTCGTCCTTTTAGGCAGTGGGATAATCAATCCCATGGATGGTCTCTGTCTTGTCCTTGTGCTGTTCTTTTCTTTCTCTCCTTGTCATCTCGTCCCTATCCACTTGTTACTCTGTGTCGATCTGACAGCCTTTCTTCACACTCGAATTCGGAGAAGGGTGTGGTATTAAGTCAAGCAGGACAAAACAACAGATGGATTACATCGATATCAACAGGACAGAGGGAGAGGTGCGAGGCTTGCGTGACTTGAGAGTTGTATTCTTCCAGCAAAGATGAGATAGCTGCCAATGTATAATGTATGATGAACGCATACTATGCTAAGCCTCCTTGGGCGCGCCGGCCGCGGCCAACGACTCCTGCACCATCTTCCTCCTCTGCATCTGCGCCAGCGAGAGCTCGGCGTCGCTGAGGGCGCCGTCGTCGTCCTCGAGCGCGACGCTGAAGGCGGAGCCCCTGTCGACGAGGCGGTCGCGGCTCTGCCAGACGTCCTCGGAGCTGGGGCGGCCCGGGCCGTACTTGCGCAGCTCTTTGGCGCGGTAGTGGGCGCGGACGGCGGCCTGCTTGGCCTCGCGGCCGTACGACTTGACGCGCATGCAGAACCAGAAGTCGTCCCAGTGCTCCGAGCACGGCTTGACGGCGCCGTAGCGGTAGATGGCGTTCCACTGGCCCACGGGGGACTGGCAGCCCCAGGCCAGGTCGAAGGCCTGCCGGCAGGACATCTCGGTCGGGAGGAGGGAGTCGCGGAGGGCGTCGGCCGGCGTGGGCGGCGGCGGCTGCTGCTGCTCCTGCTGCTGCGGTTGTTGGGTGCTAGTGGTCGGGGCAGCGGGGGGTTCACTCTGTTGCGCTGGCGAGGAGGAGCTGCGCCATGAGAGCCAGGAGGGTGTGGATGATGATTGCGGTGGTGATGACGCTGACGAGGAGGACTCGGAGGAGGGTGCCGAGGCACTGTTTTGTTGTTGACGTTCTTGGCTCTGTGGCCGCTGCTGCTGGGCCGAATCGATGGCCTTGGTCTCTTCTTGGAAGAAGGAGAGGAACTTTTGGATCTCCGGGTCCGTCTCGGGATCGGACTGTTGCTGGTATGGCGAGGATGCTGGGGGAGCCCGCGTCGGAGGAGGCGTCGAGGGCTTCGACTGCGGCGGGGTGTTCCAGAACCAGCCCATGGTTGTTGCTTTGGCTGTTCTTCGTCCGCTATGAGAGTGTTGAGCTTTGGTTGGTGGTGTCTTTGGTGTGTGTGTGTCGACAATGCCTCTCCGGCGAGTCTGTTGTCCTTGCTGGGGAGGATAGATATCGCCAAGCGGGTCGGCCGTGAGCTAGACAAGCGGAAGAAGGAAGAGCCCGTGAAGAGAGGCAGGTCAAGCAGAAATAAGACGCTGAGTGTGGGCGGGTGTTGGGTGTGATGGAAGAGGGGTCGTATGGCAAAGGTCGGTCGTTCGTCTGTCTTCCTGCACCACCCCCGTGATCATCGCCGTTGCGCCAGTCCGAGATGGGCCAAATCTGCATGCCGTGGAAATTTGCATGGCTCCAGGTGCTGTGGCGTTGGCCGGCTGGGCTGTGATTGGACGGCGCCCGCCAAAGGGTGGAGGGTGGAGAAGCGTCCCCAATTGATGACCTCACTGGCACATTTCACGGCTCCCACAGCTGGTCCACCCACAGGCACGAGCTTTATTAGGAGCCTCCCCGAGCTCCTTTGGATACCATCACTGCCAACTTTCTTCTCTCTCATCTTCTCTGCGTGCGCGAGAGGGGCGTAGCTGCGTCCTTGGGATTCAGTCAGTTTCATGGTAGTAGACATACCTCTCATCACGCCACCTCATCCTGCTGCTCGATCATGAGGCAATGATTCCGCAAAGGCCCTTGTTTCGACCTGCGCTCCGGCGTGAGCTGCTGCGCTGCCACACAGCTACGCGCCCGCCCTTCTTTGCCCCGGCACTCCTGGCAGCATATGCTCGGGTTCAGAACCGGCTGCCCGTGTCGCCCAGGCGGTGGGAGACCACCGGCGACGAGAAGACTGGGCATATCAAAGCTGCGGCCGATGAGTCGATCTTGTTCTTTGACAGTAAGTCAAGGGCGCCTGCCGTTGTCGACGAGAGTCACGACTGACCTGGTTATTCTCTGCTTGTCCAGACCTCTTCCCCTTGAAGCTCAGCAGCTTCCTCAGCCGGCCATGGAGGACCGACCAGGACCTGACCGAGCTCCTGAGGAGATTTGAGAGCTCGACACTAGGCATGATGAATCCGATCAACATGGTCAAGCGCGCTATCCCGGGTGACCTACCCATCAAAGTCACCGAGATCGTCCCCAGGCTCAAAGACGGCGGCGCTTTTGTCAAATTCAACCATCCTGCCGACGTCACAGCAGCCGAGATCGAAAGCAACTTGTCCCAGAGGCTCAGAGAAAAGCCACTGAAACCCTGGTTCAGCCCCTTCCGAGGTGTGCAGGCCGGGCTCGTAAACGGCGTGCCATGGCTCGAGGATCTCTACCGCTTTCCCAAGAGCCGGGTCAAGGTGGAGTTCGTCCCGTCAGAGCCCGGGAACGACGCCGTCGAGCTGTCACAGGAGGGCCTCTACAGCATGTTCCGCAAGTACGGCATGATTGGCGAGATCATCTCACAGCCCTTCGACTCCAAGGCCGTACCCCGGTACGCCTACCTCGACTTTGTTCTTGTTCGCGACGCTATCATGGCCAGGAACTGCATGCATGGGTTCGTCGTCCCTGAAAGCCTCGGCGGCGGCAAGAACGGGACCAAATTGCGGCTGTCCTACGAACAAAGAGTCAAGCCGCACCACATCTGGGAGTGGCTCACTAGCCACCCCCGGATTGTCATCCCCATCATCGCCGCCCTTCTCGCAACCGTCACGGTGGCCATCTTTGATCCGATCCGCGAGTTCTTCATCAAGGCTCACGTCCAGCACTCGTTCAGGCTGAACAACTACCGAGTCTACCGCTGGTTCAAGAAGCAGACGTCGGACATACTCGCGTTTGCGCGCAGGAAGGGCGAGGCGGCAGGCCTGAATGCCTTGTGGACCCATCGTAAAGACATCATCGACTCGGTCCAGGCATGGCTTCTTGAAACGACCGACACCTTCATTGTCGTCCAAGGTCCACGGGGCTCCGGGAAGAAGGAGCTCATTGTGGATCAGGCCTTGAAGGGCCGGCATAATGTCCTGGTCATTGACTGCAAGCCTATCGTGGAAGCTAGGGGTGAAAGCGGTACGATCAAGAACCTGGCCCAGGCCGTCGGCTACCGACCCATCTTTTCCTGGGCCAACAACTTGAGCAGTATGATTGATCTTGCTGTTCAGTCAACCACGGGTGTCAAGGCTGGCTTCTCCGAGACTCTCGAGTCGCAGATCTCAAAGATCTTGCAGACCACGGCAGTCGCTCTCACAGACCTGGCGCTCTCCAGCCGCAAGAAGGACGACAAGGACGCGGGCATGTCAGGAGACGCTTATCTCGAGGCGCATCCCGAGCGGAGGCCTGTCATCGTCATCGATAATTTCCTACACAAGAATGAGGAGACCAGTCTCGTGTACGACAAGATCACGGACTGGGCTGCCACGCTTGTGACGAACAACATCGCTCATGTCATATTCTTGACCAACGACAGCTCCTACTCCAAATCACTCTCCAAGTCCCTGCCGGACCGCGTGTTCCGCCAAGTTGCCTTGGGAGACCTGTCGCCGGCCGTCGCCAAGAAGTACGTCTTGAGTCATCTGGACGGCCTTGACAAGGAAGAGCTCGCAAAGGCACAGGCCGAAGGCGACGAGGCTGAGGAGGAGGGCGCGGCCGAGAAGCAGCTACCGCTGCGCACGCCGGAGCAGCGGCGCAGCGACCTGAGAGAGCTGGACGACTGCATCGACACCCTCGGCGGCCGCCTGACCGACCTGGAGTTCCTCGCCCGCCGCCTCAAGACTGGCCAGACGCCCAAGCGCGCCGTCGCCGAGATCGTGGAGCAGTCCTCGTCCGAGATCATCAAGATGTTCCTGCTGATCGGCAACAGGAGCGCGGGCGGCAGCGGCGCGGACCGCAAGTGGTCCCCCGAGCAGGCCTGGTACCTGATCAAGGAGCTCGCGGACAAGGAGTCGCTGCGGTACAACGAGGTCCTCCTGTCCAACACGTTCGCGTCGTCGACCACGGCCGCGGCCGCCGACGGCGAGCTCGCGCTCGAGTCGCTCGCCAACGCCGAGCTCATCAGCATCCGGTCGCACCGCGGGCGGCCCATGACCATCGGCGCCGGCAAGCCCGTCTACCAGGCCGCCTTTGGCCAGCTGCGCGGCGACGCCGTGCTGCGCGCCCGCATGGAGCTCGCCCTGCTGGCCGAGCTGGCCAAGGTCGAGGCCAAGACCATCGACAAGGCCGAGGCCGAGCTCGCCCTCCTGGGCGCCCTGCCGCGGCAGCCCGCGCAGGCCGCCGAGCGCGTCGGCTACCTGCTCGCCAAGCTGCAGGGGAGCCAGGCCAAGATTGCGGCCTACGAGCTCGAGATGGCCGGCATGAAGGAGATCTTGACAAAGGAGGCGTGAAAATACATCTTTTTTTTGTTGTTGTTGTGCAGGGTATGTATGATCATTTTCGGTGTGGGGGACAAAAGAGGATGATAGATCAAGGCAAACATGGCATCCCGGCATGATCCTAGGAGGTCTTGGGAACATTGCGGTTATGGGGGTTGGTGGACGATACCCTTCTCACTTGGTTCAGATCAGAAGAGAGTCAATAAGTGTAATATAAGGAGGTGGTTTGCTCCTGTCAATTGAAAAGGCGTGCCTTTGCGTTCATAACTCGTTCGATCCAACAAACACCTTCGGCCCGCTCTTGTTGCCGTTTCAACATCAGAAAATACCGTGGCACAAAGAACCGCCAGCCCTCCCTGGGGGGCTCCAAGCCTCCTAAATACAAATGGGCTCATGACAAGCCAGCATACGGAATCACATAGTCCAAGCTGGGCAGCAGCAAGGAACCCAATCTTCAACATAGAAAACGAACAAAAGCCACGCCATGCCCCGCGGGTCATTGTGTTCCAGAACTCCGGTCAGATGCAGCTTCATCCCCGACGGGCTGCCCCTCCCCAGCAGCAGGAGCAGCAGCAGCAGCAGCAGCAGGCTGGCCAGTCTCCTACACTGGCATAGACTCGTCTGCATTCACGACCGCCTGGGTCTCGCAGCCCTGCGCGAAGAATATCCTTGCGGGCTGGTCGTAGTCATTCTCAATACTGTAGAAATTGCCTGTCCAACGCGTCAGCGAAAATCCGGGCACCCCACCCCTTTTGCGCCGCGGAAGGAAAGGTGGTGAAAAGACCCCGATGATGAAGCAAAAAAAAAAAAACAAAAAAAAAAGGGAAAGACACTACTGACCTCTGGGCACAAACCACATGCCCCCCTTGCTGATGCGGAACTGCGTCTCGTTGACCGTGACCTGGACGCGGCCGGTGAAGACGAAAAAGGTCATGTGCATCTTGCGCGAGTTCTTGGGCCGCTTGAGGCTGCCGGGCGGCATGTCGACGACGCCCGCGCCAAAGTAAGGGGTGCTGAGCGTCTTGGCGAAGCGGAAGTCCCCGTTACGGACGTCGCGCGTCTGCACCGCCGCGCTCGACAGCGCGACCTGCTCGTCGGTGACCTCGAGCTCGTCGTCGAGCGACGGCGGGTTGGCCTCGTGCTCGGCCCGCCACACGACCACCTCGCCGACCACCTCGCCCGGGTCCTCCTCCCAGGGCTCGGCGGGCTCGTCGCCTTCGCCGTCGTCGTCCCCGGCCGCCCGCCGCCTCTTCGATGCACCGCCGCTCGCGGCCGGCCTCCGCCTGCTCGACTTGGCCTTGTGCGGCGCGACCTCCTCCTCGACCCGGTGCACCTCCTTGATGGCGGGCAGCACGAAGCGGCTGGTGCCCTTGCCGCGGCCGAAGCGGTCCTCGAGGACTTCGGACTGGTCGAACTCGACGTGCTCGTTGCGCCAGAAGGCCAAGGGCTTGAACGAGTTGCGCCCGGAGCGCGTCCTGACCATGCCGGCCTCGCCGGGCACCTCGCGGCGGCTGATGACCAGGCCGCGGGCCTTTGGCAGGGGCGGGCCGCGGGTGATGACGACGGACTCGTCGCCGACGTTGGACGACTTGCGCTTGCGGCCGCGTTTGGCCTTTGGCGGCGCGTCGGCTTGCCTGGAGGAAGACTCGCCCTCGTCTGCCGTCCCGGGAGCGGCTAGCTTGGCGGGTTTCCTGCCTCTGCCTCTGCCCTTGCTCTGCATCTCCACCCCTTGAGGCTTGGGCAGTGTTGCTTCATTCTGGGCTTCTTGATCCTCGTTGAGTGAACTGCGCCCGGGCTTCCTCCGCTTGGGTGCCGGTTCTGACACATCTTCTGAGTCTTCAGGTACTGCCCTGCTTTTGGCCGGGCGTCCTCGTCTTTTCGTCGGCTTGATGGGTGCCTCGTCCTCTTCGGAAGCCGGCTCGGCTTCCTCGTGCGGTGGTGCATCCTCGTCTTCGTCTTGCTCCTCCTCCGGCTCGGCGTCGGGTTCGTCATAGTCTCCAGGCGCATCGAGCATCTGCATCGAGTCGTCACCGTCCGCAGCGGCCGCGGAGCCCTGGTTCCCGTGCAAAATCTCCTCTTCGTCGTCTTCATCTTCGGAGCGGTTCTCGCTGAATCGGCTGCTCGCGCCGTTCGTCCTGGCGCCGTTGGCCATGGGCCTGGGCAGGTGGCGCGCTTCCGCACCAAAGTTGAGGCGTCTGTTCACCGCCTTCATCTGGCCAGGGTCGTTCTCTCTGTTGGGCGACGACGACCCCGCCGGATTTCTAATCGCGGGGGATTGCAGAAACGTCTTGATTGGCGACCGGGCGCGCGGGATGGGAAGGCGGTTGCCATTCTGGCCGTTGATGAGGGTTGCCGGGTCCGGACCGGAGGCTAGGGATGCGGGAAAGAGTCCTTTGTTAGCAGGGCGGGTGCTTTGCTTGCGCGACCGCACTTATTGATGTCCTTGTTCTTACCGGTAGTCAGGTCCATATCTGCTTCGCCATCGTCCGAGTCGTTCCCGCCCTTCTCCGGCGACGAGAAGATGTCGTCGATTGGCTGCATGCCATACTCGTCGCGCACCCCGGTGTCCTTGAGCGTGACGCCGGTTTTCCTGCGCAAGCGCAACACACGCACACGGGTCAGCCACAGGTGTCCGGAGTGGAAGGTTTCGCGACTGGGATCCGGACATACCGTCCCCTCTCACCAAGGGCGTAGACATGCTCGTTTGGCGCATTGCTGCGCCGTTGGCTCCCCTGAAGGCGAGCCATGTCGCGTGTATTGAACCCTTCTTCTTTGGTGTTTCAAGTCGTCGCCGCGCGTTCAGGAGAGAGCGGCCGCGTCAAAAGGCACAGTACAAGTCTCGTCGCAGAGGTTCGAAAAGAAGCGTCGCCGATCAAAAAGCAATTATGACCCTGGAGGACAGACGCAACAGTTGTTCATCGTTGTTTGTTGGGCGTCGTGGAGGTGGTGGTGGTGCTTAATTTTGGCCCTGGGCGCTCGCAAGCGCGCGTGTCGCGATTGATTGGCTGCATTTGCTGCATTTGCGGGCGAGGTGGGAAAGCGGGAAAGCGCCGAAAGTGGGAAAACGCGTCTCCTCGACGCGTCTCAATTGGCAAGAATCCCTGGCCATCCCCCCCACCTTGGAGGTTCTACCTATCAGAAAGATGCGACGACACAACTCGTTCAAAGAGAGACTCATCACAGACCAGACCAGACCAAGACTGTACCGATGTTTAATCGTGTGTATTGGTTTCCGGCTTTGGGATAAATACAGAAACCCTTTGGACACCTTGAATTGAGACTTGCCTGTCTTGCTCTGTAATTCGAGCTTCTCCCGCAACCGTCACAGGTTAGAGAGGTTATCATCTGTCGCTCCCTCGCCGCCCGCCCGCCGACGCCGACCCGATGGAAGGAGACCCTCAGCCCTCCGAGGAGACCATCGCCCTCGAGGCACCCGCAGACGGCGTCTTTGTGCCGCCCTCCATCGACGAGCCCGCCCTCCTCGCCGGCGACACATACACATACTACTGCCCCGTCCCGCCCAGCCTGCTGGCCCCCTCCTCCTCCTCCTCCACCTCATCATCGCCGCCGTCGCAGTCCACGTCACAACAACAGCAACCAGCCGACGACACCAACCCGGCCCCCGCCCCCGCCGCCGGCGGCCCGCCCTGCGTCCTCGGCGTCGACGAGGCCGGCCGCGGGCCCGTCCTAGGCCCCATGGTCTACGGCGTCTTCTACCTGCCCGCCCCGCTGTCCGACCCCCTCCTGCGGACGGCGCACCACTTCGACGACTCCAAGGTCCTCACGCCCGCCGTCCGCTCCGCGCTGATGCAGGCCCTCTGCGACCCCGGGTCGGACCTGCACTCCTCCTGCGGCTGGGCCGTCTCGGCCCTGTCGGCCCGCGACATCGGCGCCGGCATGCTGCGCGGCACCGGCGGCACCGGCGCCGCGACCTACAACCTCAACGCCCAGGCCTTCGACGCCACCGTCGCCCTGATCCGCGGCGTCATGGCCCGCGGCGTCAACGTCCGCGAGATCTACGTCGACACCGTCGGGCCCCCGAAGCCCTACCAGGCCCGCCTCGAGCGCGTCTTCCCCACGGCCCGCATCACCGTCGCCTCCAAGGCCGACAGCCTGTACCCGTGCGTCAGCGCCGCGAGCGTCTGCGCCAAGGTCACGAGGGACGTCGCCCTCGAGGTGCAGTACGGCATCCATGCGCGGGCCGCCGTTGCGACGAAGGCGGATGGCGAGGGGGCGATGGATGTCGACGACGACGGGGGCGGCAAGGCGGAGGAGGAGGAAGTGGCGGAAGAGGGCTGGGGCTCCGGGTACCCCTCCGACGCGAGGTGCACCGCCTGGCTCAGGAGGAATATGCACCCCGTCTTTGGCTGGGGCCCCGAGTGCCGATTCAGCTGGGGCACGGTCAAGGACATGCTCGAGTCAAACAAGGGCAACGCCGTCAGGGTGGAGTGGCCTGTCGACGACGACGGCGAGAGCACCAAGATGACCGACTTCTTCGTCTCCGATGGCGACCGCGACAAGGACTCGGACGAGCTAGGGGCCTGGTTCGGCACCCCTGTCGGGCTCGAGGCCTTCTAGATCACAAATGCATAGCATGGAAACTGGAGCTTGGGAGTTTTTTCCTTCTGTCCTTGGGGTTAAATTATATCCATTAGCAGTCTGCTAAACCACCCGAAACACCATCGCCGGAGCAATGAGGTCTCGCGCCGCACATTACCGTCCAGTCGTTACCTGCGTCACCCTGCGTATCCATACTTTGTAAAGTTGTATTATGTATCATGAATGGCCCCCCCGGTCTAGATCTCGTCGTCGTCGTCGGCCGCCTCGGCCTTCTTCTTGCCCCTGCTATCCAAAGTGTCCATGCTCGCAGAGCTGTTTTCCCTGGCGGGCATGGCCAGCGCCTGTCGCGCCGTGTCATTGTTCTCCAGGAAGTCTCGGAGCTTTGCCTTGCCGATCTCCACGGCCTGGTTGGACGCGGCGTTGGCCATCTGCATCATGGGGCCCAGCAGGTTGAGCGTGTATGCCACGTAGGTGCCTCCTGCGGTGATGAGGATGAGGAGGAAAAGGAAAGGATTGCGCAAGACTGCGCGGGAACAAGGTTAGCGTGTCGACCAGAAACCATGCGATGCAAGACTGTAGACCTACCCATGACGATCTCGTTCCATCCGAGCACCAACAGGATGATGTAGAAATACAACGGCACCTGCGTGATGCCGCCAAGGGCGCTACGCTTGGCCTCGACGTACACTCCGTCAGCGGTCTTCTTGAATCGGATGACGAGATCCTGCCGCTTGCTCTCGCTGAGCACCGTCATCTCCTCTTCGAGGCTCTTCCCTTCCTCTTCATCCACGCCGCCGATGGGAGGGAGATCCTCCTCGTCCTCGAGCTCCACGCCATGCGGTTGCGGCCCGACCCAAGCCGGGAGATCTGGGGGGGCGATAGTCTCGGCGAGCCTGAATCTTGAGAGAAGCGGAATGAGCCCAAGGGTAGACTCCCGGGCACGGGTGTAGATCCCCTCGATGTCATCGCTGGGCCGCCAGATCCGGGGCACGCCCGCCTCGTCATAGCGGAATTTGTCCTCGAAATTCTCACGCAGCTTGAGAAGAATGTTGCCCTCCATGACCTCCTCCTCGATCTTCTCGCGCAAAGCGATCCAGCTCTTGCGACGCAGGCGCCACAGGCCGATCTCTACCTCGTCCTCGCTGGCCTCGAAGCTCTTGGCCCGCTCGGTAAAGCGTTCTTGTGCCTCCTTGACGATGGCAACAAAGACGTTCCAAATGCGGTCCCAAAGATCCTTCTCGCTCGCTGGCTTCTCGCCGAGTTCCGGTGCGCCAGCTCCGGCACGACCAGAGCCTAGCTTGTTGAACTCCAGGCCCACCGCATCGCCAAGCCGCGACCTGACCCAGCGTTCGACCCTTGTAGCCAACCGGCGCATCTCCTCCTTCCTGAGGCGCGCACTGACCTCATCCAGTTCCTTCTCAAACAGGAGATACTGAGGCTTGAAGTTGGTCCAGGCCACGCCCTCGATCAGGAGACTCTGAGCTTCTTGCTTGAAGATGTCGAGCGTTTTTCTCTTCTGCTTCTCGACAATCTCGGCAAAGTCATAAGCACCGCCCGACTTCTGCCCGGCCTTGACTGCGCCGCTGACCGCATCGCTGAAGGCTGTGACACCGGCCTTGTGAGCAGCAGAAAGCTGTCCCTGGTACAGGACCTTGAGCCGCGTGTCAATCTTGCTCTCCAACTCGGCACGCTTCGTAGTATAGACACCCTTGTGGTACCTGCTAGCCTGGGTTCCGAACGCTGCCAGGCACTTGGTCCTCGCCTCGCTACCTGTGGCCCCAAGAACGGGAAGCACAAAGGGCTTCCCGGACCGAGTGGCATCGGCCTGGTTCTCCTCGAGGGGCGCTATCACCGTGTCGAATGCGAGCAGCACCTCTCGCGAGATCTCGTCGCAACGGAATTGTGCGAGCAGCTCCTGCTGAGTGGGCAGATCGAGATCCTTGTTATGGACAATCTTGTCCCAGATGCCCTCGGCATAGACGGAGAAGCCGTCAGCAGGTATCCTGCGGTGGTACTCGGGGAGGAAGACGCCTCCGACAAACTCCTGGTCCTTCGTGGAGCGGTGGCCGGCGACGAATCTGGTGCCAAGATTTTGTACCTCGGTCACGAATTTATCGGGTTGGAGGATCTTGTGGGGGAGTGCAGCAAAGGCGAAATCGAAGTAGTCCTCGATCTTTGAGTTCTCCAGCCCTGGTGGCTTGGAGATCGATTGCCAGATCTTGGTCAGGTCTTGGATCAGCGTGTTCCGCAAGTTGGCAAGCGGCGTGTTGCCTATGTGGTCGCGAATGACGAAGAATAGGAGGGATCGAGGCGTAGATCTATGCAAACCGCTCGTTAGCACATCCACAACAGGTCCCTTCCAGAAGCAATCTCGCGGCCTACTCTTTGTCTTTCAGGAACAGTTGGAGGTTGACCTCAAAGACGGTCTTCAGGAGACCCATGTTGGCCCCCTGGTAGAGACCGACCTGGTGCTCCCAAATGTTGACGATGAGGACCTCGCTCGTGGCAAGCGCAAAGAGGGCGCTCTTCCTTTCAAAGTCCTGGTCTTCGCCGCGCTCGCGACCATCTGTGCCCTCGACATCCATGACCAGAATGTTCTCCGCCAGGTCGACGGAGCCTGCGGTGGCATTCTTGTTCTTGGACATCCAAATACCCTTGGTTGTCTGGCGGCGCTCGGCCTCGGACATGACGTTGAACTCGGTGCCGAAGAGGTGGTTCAGCAGGGTCGACTTGCCGGTGGACTGCGAGCCAAATACGGAGATGAGGTGATAGTTGAAGCCGGCCTGGGCGACGCTGGTCTCTTGGAGGTAGGCATTGACGTTGGCGCTGCGACGCATGTCTGTGAGCGATGTTGTCCATTGCGATGGTGCGTGGTGGGCGGGAGGGACTATGCGACCGAGCACAGGCTTACTTGAACTCCTTTTCCTCATCGATGACCTGGATGCCATGCTCGTACTCCTGGGCGGTGGCGTCCGCGCCGACCGCAGAGAAATGGCCGTTCATCTTGGAGGAGGGCACCACAGCAGTAGACCGTGTGTTTGTGTGTCGGACGGAAGAAGCAGGTTGGGAAGAAGGGGAGAGGGGTCTTTTTCCCTTCGTCTCTGTTGCGCCGACTTGAGGGTTCGTGGATAGGGCGATCGGTGGAGGCGGAAATGGCAATGCAGCAGGAAAATTAATGGGCTTGTGACATCAACCCTTGTCTTCTCGAACTGGCCACCGTTGTCGCTGGTGATTGGCGAGGTGGTCTGTACAAAGCTCCAATTATGATCGGGTGGTGACAGGGATGAGCTCCCGGTTGATCACTTGTTCCGACCGGGTTGGGTCTCGGTGGTGCAATTGGCTCAGGTGCTGGGGCCGCGGGTGCAGGTGGCTTACCTCCTGTGGGGGTCCCCCGTGTGTTCTCCAGCAGTGCATGTGGCCCCTGAAATCGAGACTCGATTAGCGCTCCCGCATTAGGGGTTGATGTCGTGACCTCCACTGGTGTCCGCCAGGCATTTCTCGCTGAATATCGACTCGTGATTTGTGCGCATGCGTTCTCTTCTTTAACTACCTATACGTCTTAGGCATTACACTATAGTCTCACTCAGTCCAAGGATTCAATAAAAGATTAATTCAACCTCATTAAGAAGAACGACCGGGTTGTTGAGCCCTGGTGCCAGCCTTCGCCTCGAGAGGGCACCCATCCGGTCAAGAATTGAGAAAACCCAGGGGATAATCTACCCGTACTTGTCTATCAGCCTCTTCATGATGCTCATCGCCGAATTTTTGTAGCCAGAGCCAAACAGAGCCCAGTGGTTGAGTTGGTGGTATCTAGAATCACAGTCAATCTCAATAGACCGAGAGGAACAGAATACGACGAAATAAATGAAAGCAAACACCCACAGTTCATACAGCTCGAGCCGGTCCTCCCACTCATCCCTGGGCTCCGCCTTGGGCACAAGCTCCAGGTACTCCGTCCAGAAGCCGCCCCCGAACCCGCCAAACATGCGCATGATGCCGAGCTCGTACTCGGAGTGCCCGTAGACGCACGACGGGTCGAACACGACCTCCTCGGCGCCTCCCCGGCCCGCGATCCGGCCCCGCCCGTGGTTCCCGCTCCACAGGTCCCCGTGCACCACGACGGGCCGCACGCCCTGCACCCGGCCCAGCAGCCGCGGCACCACGACCGCGGCCGTGCGCTCCACCGCCTCGGCGAGCTGCGCTGCGCCGTCGGCGCCCTGGCTCGCCCGCCCCTGGCGCAGGATGTGCCGCAGGCGGCAGTCGGCGAAGAACTCGGGCCACGAGGCGCGCCACGAGTTGTCCTGCTCCGTGGCGCCGCAGCACGTCGGCACGGGGAAGCCAAAGGCCGGCTCGTCGCGGCCCTCGGGCAGGGGAGCGGGCGTCGTGTGCAGCCTCGCGAGCTTGGTGGCGAGGGACTCGCCCGACCCGCCGGGCGCCGAGGAGCCCAGCTCGAGGAAGTCGGTGGCGAGGAAGAACTTGTTCGGGGAGGAGCTCATCGCGCCGTGGGCGTGGGACTTGGGGCAGAAGTTTGGCACGACGCCGTGGATGGCGTTGAGCGACGCATGTTCGCCTTGTGTCCTGTATGTCAGTTCATGGTTCGGCACATATGAGACATTGTGAGTCCGTGAAGTGTCACCTCTAAACATCACCTCGGCATCTTTGCCTGTCCCAGTCTTGACAAAGTAATTCTTTTCCTCGCCGTCGACGACGCTTGACAGCTTGAACGTGGATGCGAAGCCGGAGCCGCCGTGGGAGACGATCTTGGTGGAGGCGGGGTCCAGGCCAAGCGCTTCCACGATGGCCGGGTCTACGCTGGGTGCCATTACGCAAAAGTGAAGAGAATGAGCCGATATCTCAAGTATGGCGAAGCTCTGCCTAGCATGCAATGTACAATGAGGCTTGAAACAGCCCGAGTCTTAACTCACCATCTTGGTCAAGGAAGGAGTTGCACATTCCATAGAAATCATAGAAATGGAAAGAGCCCACCACGGTGGTGTGACGTCAAATGGTATCAATCAAATACATGCAGTGCTCCAGTGTAACTCACATCATTGCTGCACGACATGCGCATGTCAACGCCACGCCCAACAAGCACGATGCCGGCACAGTCACCCAACGTTTGGGCCCTGAGTTGGATAAAAGAGGCAAGTCTCTATTTCAAAAAGGCGATTTTTATCGAGACAGGCTAGGGTATCTAAAGTAAGTGACAAAACGGAGAAGTGTTTCCCGAAGCCGCGGGACAAGCCATGGCAATCATTCATCCCAAACCCACGGGACTGTTCCCACGAAGCGCATACACTATCACAAGAAATCCTTGCAGGAATACCTAGGCGCCGCATCCCGCAACTATAATCAGCAGCCCGGATGTTTTCCCGCCCTTGACCGTTATGAGGCATATCCGGACCGGAGCACACTCACGGCTCTGGTCCCGACGCCAAGGAAGCGCGACCCCGATGAATCATTGGTGACAGGGCAAGGATGCGCCAAGTTCAGCGCCTAACCTGCGCCATGGACTGGGAACGGCGCTAGTCCCACCCGCCAATGCCCTGACACATGGGATTCCCTCTGGGCGTGTCCACCCCGTAAGCCCTCCCCCGCCTTCCACGGTCGTCGAATTCTGGGCGTCTTGGGCGTAACTCTTCCCAGAAGAAGGCCCCCCTAGTCTCTTGAGTTAAATCACTCGCTTTCTGTCTCCTGTGTCGTGCTAGCGTGCCTGTCGGCCGCAGAGGAAAAGAACATCCATGCAGGGTCCGTGGGCGCCAAATGTATGCACCGCCGATAACCGGGGGTTGTTCACCCAAAGGTTGTCTGTCGCCGGATTCCGGGTTCGCTGTCGTCGCAAATAGTAATGGGGGTCTCCAGAGGATCTCTCTCCTCTCGCATGCCATTAATAAGGTATATGTGATGTAACGTGTGTGGGTTTTACTGTTGCGTGTCGGAAATGTCTCTTCGGGGGAGTGGCTTTCACTCCGGGGCGGGGGATCGGTGGTGAACTGGCGTGTAAGTGTCTGGGCGATAAGAAACGGGCGTGTGAAGTGTTAGCCGACAACCGGCGAAAGCTGCGTCCATTCTCAACTCGGGTGGAAGACCAAGGGCTACCCAGTCCTTATTTTGAATCCGAATCGAAAAGAACCGTCGCCAAATCTTTCGAAGAGCTGTCCGGCAGTAGTCGTGCTCGTGCTCGTGCTCAATATTTCTCAAAGCTATAGACACTGTCCGTGTCGGAGCCATTGGTGCGCACGGGCTCGATGGCCTGTGTAAGTGGCTTCATGGAGGACATGCTCTCCACGCTGCCCTTGCGGCTCAGCTTGCCGGTGAGCACTTGCTTTTTCCACAACGAAGAAGTCGAGGAAGACGAGGTCGTCTTCTTGGCCGGTGCCGCCTTGGGAGCCTTGGCGTGCGGCGAGGGAGACCCGATGGGCGCATTCCAGCAGGCGTTGCAGGGGCACATAGGCGCCTTGTTGATTTGCTGACCCATGGGGAGGGTACTGGGATGTGGGCTCGCGTAGAAGAGCTCACGCGGCCAGAAAGACTTGGACGGCATCTTTATGGGAAGCTGTTGTGTATATAGTGTTTGTTCTGGGTATGAGCAGTTTTCGAGGTTTGGTTGTTTGCGTCGTTGTGTAATGGTAGTTTTAAAGGTCGTTAGAGGCGAGGCTTGATGGAGATCTTTGGCATGCAGGTTGGAAAATAGAAAAGATTGCCAGGTTCGACTCTTTTAAGAACTGGTCGAAAGGAGTTCAAGATGGCAGGCAAGACTACCCCTTGAAAGAGTGAGTACAAGAACATAAAAGGGGGGGACAATGAATACTCTTATACAAGATCCCGAGCTGGCACCGACTTGCCCGCACCCTCCTTCACCTTGACCTCGACGGCAAGTGATTGAAGTGGGCTACCTAGCTCCCGAGGGCCCACCGGTATCTCAGCGCTGGAAGCCCACCGCCACCATCTCCGGTTATCAACAACACCCTCAGACGCCCCGTGTAGGTAGGTACTCAACTTTCGTTGCCGAACTAGCGCCAATTTTCAACATGTCCCCCGGAAAAGGAATCACTGCCAAACGCCCTGGCCCTTTGTCGCTTGCCCGGGTGACTTGATCCAGGGCGAGCAAGGTCTCCCCTCAAGAAGAGAAGAGAAAAGATGCAGGGCGAGCGATGGCGGACGCATGGCGCAAACCTTGGAAGCTGCCGTCCTGCAGCACCCATCCTCGACACCAATCAGCCCTACCTACACCTCTTACACATGGCCCACCCAACACGCTGGTTACGCCTAATTACCGGGAGTGAAGTACAGTACCTTAGGTACCAGGTAGGTAGGAAATACCGCCAGCTCCCAATAGTGAACCGATAGCCTTACTTCATTTTCCTGTCGTTACCCGAGCCGAGCAGGATGGACCGGTCCCTTGCAGCCTCGAAACAAGCAGGGGCGCAACCAAGTGGTCACAAAGCAAACATCCACTCCAGCCAGAGGAGGGGGAAACAACAACAAAACACTCACTCGCCTTGGAAAAGAAACTTTTACTTCAAGTTCGAATGGGAAGGACCATTCATCCAATCAATCTTGACCGAGTCTCGTTGGTCCTTGCGTTGTCAGTGGGTGGCGTCGAACCGAACTTTCACCGAGAGAAGTCCACGAATCGTTCCCAACCTGGATGGACCCCAGCGAAACTTGCCGCCCGTCCTGGCGCTGCAACGGCCACTAGATACTTAAGCTCAAATGGCCGCTTTCATCTGCAGAATGCCTTTGTCTCAAGTTTCGCCCTATTATGGCGGGGAAGCACACACACTCGTTCACTCGACATGTCATAACACCAGCACCCGTGGGCTTCATGCTCCAGTCTATGTTGGGGTCTTGCGGTCATGGACCATCGCCAAGACTGCTGGACCTTCCCTGTCGCCAACACCAGTACCTTTTGGAAAACGCGAACGAGTATTAACTCGCAGGTTTAGCATCGAGTCTATCGGCATGGCCTCCATGTCAATCCGGTTCCGGACCCAGCCTGCACCTGGGCGCTGTCGAGCCGTCCAGAAGAAGCTGCTGGATGCTGGATCTCGTATAAACAAACTCTAAGTCGGTAAGTACTTCACCATGGACCATCATGCAAACAAAAAGTGGAGTGCATGTGTTCAGTGACACATAAGCCGTAAATTATGACAACAAATAGGGAAACAGATGCCATGACGTGATGCCGCTCACCAGTTGGAGAGTCCGCATCTATGCATTAGAGTTCGCCCTGGGTGTCCCGTATCTCTCCAACACGCAACTCTTCATATATTCGCACAGCCCGTGAAACCTTCCCCTTTCATCCCACCTTTCCGTCGGCAAGTTGTACATGTGAGTTGCTCGATGACTGCAAAAAGGAAAAAAAAGGAAGTAGGAAGCCTGTATGTCTGTGTGTCCGCATGTGTTGCACGCATGCGGAAGAAGCCGACCAATCTATAACCCATGTTTTGTTTGTTGTTAGGAAACTTAGATGCCGAGGGTGAACTCAACGCCGACGTCGATATCCCGAGCTAGAAGATCTTGTTGTTAATATCGCGCCTTCCAAGGTTTTTTCGATTATGGAGATGAATTCCACTTACCCATCTTCACAACCTTGGAAAGCTGCACCGCCTTCTCAGCGGCGCTCTGCAGGTCGTCGATCGAGAAGATCTTCATGCCCGAGTCATTGATGATCTGGTGAGCCTGCTCAACGTTGGTTCCCTGGAGACGGGCGATGATGGGAATCTTGAGGTCCAGGGACTGGACGGTGTTGATCAGACCGTGGGCGATGGCGTCGCAGCGGACGATACCACCAAAGATGTTGACAAAGACAGCAGTGACCTTGGCGTCGCTGGTGATGAGCTCAAAGGCTTCCCTAATGGCGTCCGAGGTCGCACCACCGCCGACGTCGAGGAAGTTGGCGGGCTGGCCGCCGTTCAACTTGATGATGTCCATGGTGGCCATGGCCAGACCGGCACCGTTGACGAGGCAGCCAATGTCGCCGTCGAGCTTGATGAAGTTCAGGTTGGACTTGGCGGCGCGGACCTCCTCAGGGTCCTCCTGGCTGGTATCGCGCCACGAGAAGACCTCCTTCTGGCGGTAGTCGGCGTTGTCGTCGAAGCCAAACTTGGCGTCCATGCACAGCACCTGGTGGTCCGAGGTCTCGGACAGGGGGTTGATCTCAATCTGGGTGGCATCCTTCTCCTGGAAGATCTTGTACAGCTTCTGGATGGTGTCCTTGGCGTCCTCGATGCACTGCTCGCTGAAGCCGAGGCCGGTAGCGATCTTGCGGGCGATATCGTCGGTGACACCGGTGTTGATGTCAATGTAGGTGGTCGTGATAGCCTCGGGGTTCTCCTTGGCAACGGTCTCGATGTCCATACCGCCCTGGGAAGAGGAGACGATGACGGGGCCCTGGGAAGCGCGGTCCATCAGGACGGCGAGGTAGAACTCGCGACGGGCAAACTTGCGCTCGCAGATGTAGACCGAGTTGCACAGGCGACCAGCAGCACCAGTCTGCTTGGTGATGAGCTTGTGGCCAATCATCTGGTCGGCGAACATCTTGGCCTCGGTAGGCGAGTAGATGACGCGGACACCGCCCTTGAGACCGTTGTCGAAGGTACCCTTTCCACGGCCACCAGCCAGGACCTGGGCCTTGATGACCATATCACCAGTGCCAATCTGCTTGGCGACGGTCTCGGCCTCGGCGCCGGTCGTCGCGTTGAAGCCCTTGGGGACACCGACACCGTACTGTGATGATTGATTACTTGTAAGCAGTCGAGTCGCGGAAGACGCGAGGCTGTGGGCATAAGGGGTTCGTTGGAGCGTACCTCGCGCAGGAGCTCAGCAGAGCGGTACTCGTGGATGCTCAGAGCTCTCCGTTGCTGAGCAAAGCCGGGCAGGCGCATTGAGGGGGCGAACTGGGGCTGCGAATCGGCGTTAGCATGGTTTTGCGCCAACGTGATGATGGTATTGATGCTTTGAGCTCAGGGGATAGCTCGGCGACCAGGGGATTAGAACGCACCTTGGAGATGGCCGAGGCCAGAGCTCTGCTACGACCGAGCTTGTACATTTTGATGGGGAGGTCAATCGAAAGAAGAAGAAACAAAGATGCAAAGAGGGGAGATGGTCCAAAGGGCTATGTTTTGCCTTTGTGTCGGGGGATGACAGAAAGGCCGGATTGTCGTGATGGCAGAGTGCAAAAAGATTGACGTACAGCGGTCGTTGCTCTCGCAGGTGTTCCACCCAAAACAGCGAGATAAATGACGCCTGGCTCTCCCACGCATCGGCTTTTTCCCTGCTGGGCCCAGCCAATGGCCGATCCATTTTCGTCCTCCTGGGTCCCACGCCAGAAGAACCCCCTAAAAGCCCTGTTTTTCATTGGCTCCCTCATCGACTTTCCAGAAATCTTGGCTCTTTCAGGCCCGGTACTGTCGCGCAACAGCCGCTGGTACCCATTTTACACCGAAAGCTGCGTGCAAAAGAGGCTCAATTTTGGTACCTATCACTAGTTTGTCTCTCTGTGAGCTATGTGGCCGAACGAAGGGGGGAGCAAACAGCTTCTCTGCGACATGTATGGATCTACCTCATGCGTCATGCAATGGCCTAGACGTCCATGGATGTTGTTTCTCTTTACCAAAATACCGCGTGCAATGTTGCATAGTCTACGAACAAAGAAATCAAAGGCGTCCAGCAAATAGACTGCCCCAGGTGAAGCCGGCAGCTCTGGGTCCTACCTAATCCCGCATGCTTTGCACCCATCTACCAAGAACCAACTCATGATTTCAGTAGCTAAGTATAATGAAATACAAGACATACTCGCTATATTCCACCCCAAACATCCCTAGATGTAGTGTCTGTCCGGACCAGATAACCCCCAATCGTGAGCATCGGCGTCGCTGGACCTCGGCGCCGATCAAGCCCGGGATGAGCCGGCACGGCAGTTAGCAGAGGGCGAGATCTCCAAAGCTCAAAAGAAGAAAATGCATCGGCGATAAGATGGGCAGATACCCCTCGCGATAAGATCTCGATAGCGGTGGACCCATATTAATTTCTGTGTGAGTTCTAGAACTGGAGGCAGCATGCTCTGTGTTCGAACCTCACACCAATTGATCGCATGCGAACCGCCGTCAAATCTTTGCAACAAAACCAGCGCAATGCCTTTGGGAGACAGCACCGAGAAACCCTCACGATAGCTTGCCAGGCCAAGCGTCTCTTCGGATCCCAATCAAACAAACACACATCATCCGTGGCGAACCCGCCCCAGCGAGCGCAAAGATGCCACCCTCCACCCAACCAGCCCTCCCGGACGACGACTCGCCCAAGTCCTTCTCCTCCTCCAAACCCCAGAGCGCCGCAACCTACACCCAGTCCCGAAACCGCGTCGACCTCATCCTAGGAGCCTCCCACAAATCCATCCTGAGCAGCCTGCGCGCCGGCCACGCCTCCCTCTACTCCTCCTCCACCACCACCCCCCCTCAACCACCAGCAAGCCCCGCCTCCTCCAAGCCCGCCTCCGTCGGCTTCTCCGCCCTGCTCGGCGGCTCCTCCTCCTCCTCCTCCGCCGCGCACAGCCACAGCCACAGCAACACACCGCGCTCAGCCGCGACAGCCCTACAAGACGAGCTCGAGCGGGAGATCGCCTCGCTGCGCAACACGAGCGCCAACGCGGGCCTCGGCTTCGCCGCCGCGAACAAGCAGGCCGAGAAGGACGGCCCCGCGTCCGCGGCGCAGAACGCGGCGCTGAGGCGGCGCATGGGCCTCGGCCGGGGCGGGCGCGCCGGCGATGCGACGAACGGGGCGGCGCGCCGGCGGGCGAGGGAGGACAGCAGCAGCGACGAGGAGGAAGGGCGGAGCGCGCTCGGCAGGAGGAAGTTCAAGAGGGCGCGGGCACATCGAGAGCCCGACGAGATGGAGGATCACAGTACCGCCGATACGGATGCTCAGAAGACTGTCGGACCGAACGGCGAGGCTGCGCCAGCCAGTGTCAATGAATTGGACGCACCCGAAGGGATGCAGGCCGAGGCCGGGAGTGGAATAGACACACCCGAGGCACAACAAGCTGCGGGCCTCCCACCAGACGGCCAAGCGCAGAAGCGCAAGAAGAAAAAGAAGAAGAAGCAGAAGATGGCCTGAGATACCCCCAAGAATAGGAGCATTGTTCAATCACCTTGCCTCATAAGGCATTCACGACGATATATGCCCAGTCATATTGTAAACAGATATATGATTCTCATGACGGTTCGTATATCAGACACATGAGAATATGAGAGGCAGTGCCTCCTTTTGCCCTCCTAAACTTAATCCCTTCTCCCCACCAAACGCCATCCCTAGCCTGAGCTGCATCGGTATCCCTAGAAGGAAAATGCAGTAGTATTTTTCAAGTATGCACAACTGAAATCAGGCCTCGTTCCCTATTGCTCCGGGTGTTGCCCGGGGTACCGCCAAAACCGCCCTCTCGACCTGTCTCCAAAGGCCCGTCCCTCCCTCCCATCACTCGCTACCCTCGAGAGGGACACAACGCAAAAGCAAAAAGGAAAAAAAAGATAAAAATACAAATAAGTGTCCAAACGTTATGATATGAAATCCGTGATACGGGATCTCTCTTACTTTTCATTAGTTCCGTAAAGCATGGTGTCCTCCCATTGGACGGACTGCCGCTTGAGACCCGTCCAAGTGAAGTGAGCCCCTGAGACGAGCCCAAGACGGAAGGCTGCAAAGAAACATCCCAGGCGATGATAAAAAGCTGCCAACGACGGTCTGGCGCTAGACGTACAAGGGTATGACAAAAGCAGATCTTGCCGGCCCATATACAAAAACACATAAATTTGGTTTCCTGACGGCCAACCAACCCACCCAATATAGGCAAAAGGGAATGTGCGAGTGAATCCACAATGATGAAAAGAGTCGCAGAGTAAGCCTCCAAGTGTCGTGAAAATGCGGCCGTAGAAATCCCACCCATACCTCATTAAGCCGGGACATCCATAGGATATGCCCGCCAACACCTTGACCAAATGGAGCTGCTGTACATAGACCCAAAAATGAAAGCTGCCACAGCTAGGAAGATGTCTTGGTCGTCAGCCTTCCTCTCGCAGTGTAATTTGTCAGATTGTTCTACTGAATGCGTTTCCGTTTGCGATCGTCTTCTCCTCGGAGATCCTCGTCCTCGTCCTCTCTTTCGGCAGTGTCCGTTGGATTGAGAATGTGAGCCATACTACCACGCCGGGTCGGCGGGGCAGAGCTATCCTTGAGGCCTAGCCGATGATCTCGGTTCGCAGAGTTCCAGGACCAATTACTCAGGCTGTCAAAGCCACTGATTCCGTTGGAAAAGGGCGGAGGGGGTGTCTCAGGTCTGGAGTGAGGCTGTGAGGCGCTCTGTAAGGAGTATGTGGAGAGCGATTCCCTCAGGCGCTGGTCTTCAGGCGCCACACGGTTGGGAGAGGATGGCCACTGCGAGGATGACGGCCCTGAGCCGTACGGGGACGGGTTGGGTTGCCACCCATGAGCGCGGATGTCGGCTGATGTATGTCGCCGAGCCAAACTCCCCGGAGGAGGCTCTACATGAGCCAGAGGGTGAGGTACTGGTGGAGGAGCTGGGATCTGTGTTCGTAGCGATGATGGCGACGAATTGGACGTAGAGCCTGCACCAATAGACCCGTAGGGCCTTCGAGTAGTGAGCGATAGGTTGGAGGGTACCGATGGGCGATAGTAATTGGGAGCGCGTGACTGCGGCACCGCCAGGGTCGACCGGCTGGCATCGTCTTGCGCCAACTGGCGTGGGGAGACCGGCGCGTTGTCTATGCCAGCGAGATAGTGGCGGCTCGAGGAGAAATCATGGGGCTCGTCCAGGCTTCGAACCATCTCTGCCTGACGTTGGATCTCGCCCTGTAATGCGACAACTGGAACGACGTCAGAGAGCACCCTCAGCACAATTTATGCTCGACAACTTACCATCACGGTGTATTTGGTTCTCGGGGTTCGGCACAAGCTGCAGGACGGTTCTGGAAAGCTCTTGGTTGAAATGCAGCAGTCTCGTGACTGTGTCCATGACAGTCTGCTGCTTGATGTGCATGTAATGCGCGTTCTCCTCGCTGCGCTGCAACCTGCTGCTCATTTCGTACATGGTGCGCTCAATCGCCATAAGCCTCGGATCTGAGCCCTCAGGCATCGGTATAGGTTCGGCTGGTGTTCCTGGCTGTGAGGAGGCCGGCTTCTGGCTGCTGCTATAGTCGCGATGGAGAGGCGTGTGGCGAGATGCTCGGCGCTTGATCTCTCTCAGGCCGACAAGATCGCCTCTCTTGAAATTGCCGCCGCCATGCTTGAATTCCCACAGGGTCGAATCGGACCCGTTCGCAAAGACATCACTCACTGCACACCCAGTGTGAGTCAATGCGACTTAAAGAGTGACCCAGAGGAGCGCATACCTTTGTGAAAGCCATACATGTTCAATTGGCGAACGAAAGACGAGATGTTGGTGTGCTTGAAATATTGACTATGAGACGGGAGAAGGTCAGCTTGAGGGGGGCCGTTTTCACTGATGGCAATCGGCAGACATACGCCAAGACCTTTGAGAAGTCGTGCGTGGGAGACATGACGAAGCTCTCAGAGGAGCTCGACCATGATATTAGGTGTTGAATATTCGGGTCTTCCAACATGCTGTTTCTCGTTTGTCAGCGGGTGATCGCCCACAGGTCGCCTTGTACGCAGACAACGCTCACTTGTAGAGTTTGTGGATAAACGCAGTCTGCACAATCTTGGGCTGGTGAACCGCAGCCGCTGCGGCAGCCGGGGCGGGCATGGTGCCGGCCGATGGCGTTTCGGTCTTGGTTGAGCTGCTGGAGGGCTCGCTGTTCCCATTGGAGTCGGCCCCGGGACTCTTGGTCGTCGAAGGGGCAGCAGAGCTCGTGGGAGTGGTGATCTCCATCGGGTCGCCGGGAGAAGGAGCCGACATCTGTATCGTGGGTGTCATGATGGGAACTGTGCGAGCGGTAGAGGGCGGTTCGTCGGGCTCGTCGGCCAGCGGGCGTCGCTGCGCGCTGTCAGTGGCAGCAGCCATTGGTGCTGCGATGTACGAGTTAGTCCGCGAGAACAAATTGCCGGTCTCTGGCAGAGCAACTAGGGACATTTTGCGAGGGACGAGAGGGGAGAAGCGAAGAAATTGCGTCGCCTCCGGTGTGTTGAAAGGGTGACAGAGTGTGAGGGGGAGAGTAGGTGTCGGACGAACCTCATCGCTTCCCTATGAGGTTGAAAGTCGGTTGGGACTGGTCAAGCAGAAAGTATCGAGGTTGCGCAGCGCCGTTGATGTTGAGCGGCGGCGGTTGTGGCCGTTGCGGTGGTAGGTTATTGCTGGTGCTGGTGCCGGCTAGGTACTTCCCGTGTACCGTGGCATGGGCCCGCTCGAGCACTGTTTCTGGGAGGTCGTTTGGGGTAGATCTCGGAGGCAGTTGATGTTTGAACCGCAAAGCGTTTGGCGAAGATCCCAGAGGAGGAGGGAGATCAGGGCAATGCCGGCGTGTGAGAGGGGATGCGATTGCGTGTGTTGGCAGAACAATCGAAGAAAGAAGTCGACCCTGCGCGTAAGGGCCAGGAGAGCAGAGTAGACCAGAGCAGAGGTGGAGGTTTGTTGCTCGTGAAAGCACGGATCGTGGATCTCTGTCTTTTGTCATGCAAGGCAGAGGGGGGAGGGAAGACTAGCCGGTCCGCTATCCTGCCTGCGGATGGATGATGGATGTACTCTACCTCTCTCCCGGGGCTCCAGAGACTGAGCATCAGGACGATTCGGAGAGCATTTGAGGGCCGGGAAGGATTCGAGCGAGGGGGGGTGTATGGAAATAATGGAAATACCTGGAAGTGTAGTGGATTAAGCCAGAGCTTATAGGGCCTAGGGTGGTCTCTACGGGTGGTGTGGACTGATTGGTACAGGTACGGGGAGGGGAGTGGGTATTCTGGCCCAGGGCCTGTTTCGAGCAGGCCTGGGCGTAGGAAGGTCTGACCCCCTCGCACCCCAGAAGACCCAGACGAGATGGACCAGGGCACTTTGTGCGTGAAGTAGGTACTTGAAGTACCTAGTGGAGGTACCTTTCTGGAGAAAGGTCGAGTCGAGTGAGTTTAAGGGGGAACGGGAACTGATCGCTTCTGGCAAAGTAAAGTATATCCAATTAATCGGTTTTCTCTGTTGCGGTAGGAGGAGGCATGGAGCGTGAAGTCGGAGACTTCGTGTCACGGGCGTCTCAAGCATGGTCCTCGTTCAGATCTGTGGAGGTGTCGATGCGCCTCTCTGCCCTCGATGCTCCAGGGAGTACTCTATTTACTTGAGTAGGGACCTACATACCGTAGTAGGGGGAAAGCTGGAGTAAGTAGAGGCTAAATATCGCCACTGTCAGGGTTGGAATCCATCCTACTAGCTATCCACGTCTATTCCCATTCCCAATCCAGTCCACCGGACGAGTTTGGAAGTCTGTAGCCCTCTTCTCGTCCCCAGGCGGGTGTCCTGAGGTCTTTTCGAGTGAATGGAAAGAATGGACCTTCGTACTTGTACAAACCCACCTCATCCAGATTTGAGGTCTTGAGATTGAGGTGTACTTCGATACGGGGGTGCGGGTAACGGGTTGTGGGTACCGGCTCGGGCAAAGTGGTCCAGGCGTTAAGCTTTCCCAACCACCGCAGGGAGCGCTGAATCTCGAATCTGTTAGTCAATCCCAGGAAGAATCCTCGGCTTCTTCGAGCAGCCTGAGTGTATTCTAGAAGACACGCTGGACCATACGCCAGACTGTCTGCTCGGCAAACGCTTCACCAAGGTCGATCGGGGGAGGAAAAAGAGGTACAGAAGTCCCTGGCTACCTACTTACTGTCTACCTGGGTAGTACAAGAAGACACACTCTTCTTCGACAATCCGAGTCTTGCGAGTCTTGCTGGCCATGACCTTGGGGGGAGAGAACACGTAGACAAGTGCATCACGGTGGCCGAGAGATGGATGGCATTGCCCGCTACCACCTGCTGCGAGTGCCCGGGACGTCTGATTCCTTTGCTCGACCAGACCAGACCTGCTGTCGGCAAACGGACGCAATGGCCAGCCTGGGCCCGTAGCGGGTGGTGGGTCGTATGCACAACACAGCGATGGCGAGATTGCGTCGTTGCTCCTGGTGCTGGGGAATGCTGAGACAATCAGGTCCAACCTGATGGTATCAGTCGATTGCCACGAGGACTGGAGGTTCAACCCGGCACAGCATGAAGGGAGCTGGAGGCATGCAGGTCATCGCAAGTGCTAATCACTAGGGGCCCACGCCGGCTGTCCCAAGAACCAACGACCGGGGAAACTAAGCAAGTAGGCTGCCAGGACAGAATGCGACTCTCCCAGCTCATAGGCTGGTAGGCATTTGCACTTACAAGTAGGACGGTCAAGCGGGTCACAACCACCTCGCCATCCCTCCCAGGGCGGCTGATCTCTCGTGGTTTTCTTTGCTTTTTTCCCTTATGAACCCCTTTCTTGGTTGCAGAGGTGGTGCGGATCATCAGCTTATGATCTAGCTCGAGATGAGACCGCCGCCGTGTGACATAGAACATGTGCAAGCACGTAAGGCCTAGACGTGTCGACAACCTGACACGTTAGGACAGTGAAGCAAGCCAGCTTCGGGGCAGCACCCGGCACCAATCGCATGCGTCCTTGTAAGTACCTACCTATATGGGTACCTTACCTATATCGAAGTGAGATATGATGGTGGTGGTCGGTGCGTTTAGGGGCGCTTGTCCCATGGTCCAGATCTGATCTCACGTCGTGCCGCCGGGGTCTGCTGTTTGGTGCTAGAAGATCTGGTGCTTCTCGAAGGGAGGGGAGAGGAGCTTCAAATACCAGCCTATCTCTTAGCGATTGTCTTGTCCAACATCTCGCCACCTCGCAACTATTGTCGTTTCTAGGTCGCGCCGCACACCACCCGCCATCAGATAAAAGAACACCCTGTAGCGCGATGTGACTGGCTGTCCTGTGGGGGGAGAGACGGAGCGGGCTGATTTATGACAGCACTAGACGAGCGAATCGGGGAAAAGAGGATGACCTTCCAGATCGGGGAGAATGTTCGAAATAGAGGGCAGATCCGTTCTTCTGAGCTGCTCCAAATGAAAACGGACGCCACTCAATTCATTGGTCACGCTAGTAAAGGTTGGCCAGCGGTGTGTGTGCCAGGACAGCGTGCAAGATGAGATAACGACGGCCGCCGAGGGACAGCGCGGGACACCTCTGCATGAGCTTGACTCTACGGCAGCAGAGTTGAGGTTGCCGACAATGGTTTCGTGCGGAGATCCGACCGCGAGTGGTCGCAGCTCAAGCGGCCATACCTACTTCCTCCTGTGCCGACAGCCGCGATCTTCGTACAACGAACGACTGGAGGCAGAGAGTTTGGTTGCTGCCATGGACAGCCCTGTTCGTGGCGTCGAACTAACCCTGTCTCCCGATGCTCCCATCAGCAGCGGCGGCACAATTCGATGTTACGCAAGACCACGTTGTAACAAGCATGGGACTGCTGCTTGACAGGTTCTGATGCACCGTCCAGAAGGAAAAGCCTTTGTTGAAGTGTCATGATGGAAAAGACGACTAGTATCAGACGTGGGATCTGCTCTCGCCTAGTCGCGTCATCTGGTCATCTCGTCATCTCCAGGTCCGCGCGCGCGCGCAATCCAACCCGCCAGGCCAGGAGTTCCATGTCAGACGAAAGCTGAATCACACACCTTTCCCACCCCCGAGACCAGCCATGTCGTCCGACTGAATGCGGCGTCTGTGGCGTTTCCACCAAGAAGCCATGTACGCACCTACGCCCCCAAGAAAGGGGGGCGTGTGGGATGTAACTAACGGGGACTGCTATCCACCTGGGATGCGACTCCAGCTGTAACCAGAGATCAAATCTGGTAGCGGGGAAGAAGCAGAAGTCCTGAGGTTATCAAAGACCCCAGTCCTGTGACAGCTATAATAGCCGAATTATACTCTTTACCACCTCACGGACCATGCGTGTCGGGGCCAATGTGTTGGCTGTCGACCTTTTTTTCACCACCACGAAAAGGGGGCCATGGTACAGGTCTATGCAAGCATGCTATTCAGCTTCCACGCCTCGGACAATTTTCCTCCATTCCCAGGGCTAGCCCGACCACCCAAATGGTTTTTTGGCGAGAGCTTACTCAGGACTACCTGACTAACTTGCAGAACAAGGGTGTCAGTGTCATCATCATGCCCTTCGGTATGTATTTTGGGTACAGTGACGACTGGTTCGTTGAGCCCCTTCCCAACCCATGTTCTTGTACGAATGACCGGTCACATTGCGTGCCGCTACGCGCCTTTTCCCTGCAGAACCGGGCAGGTCGTCCTGCATGGGCCGGGTCCAGGTCTCGAGCAAGAGTGGTGCAGTCCCGTCAGAGCCTGGGCCGTCGAAACAGGATATGGTCGTACATTGGATCCTCCCCAGACGAGGCTCCTGTTTCGCCTTTCAGACCCTACAGTAACGTAATGCCATTCCGAGGCTTGTGTTCTCTCAAGTAATGCCCATATTATACGCTCCAACAATAAGCCTAATAAGCGTGCCGTAGGGCAGCCTCCGAACCAAAACCACCCCCTGAACCCTGCTAGAAACATCATGCCTTCGTGAGATCGCCATATTCTGTCCTGCTTCACTCGTCTTCGTCCATGCCGTTGACCCGCCGCTCGCCAATCTCCCGGATCTTCTCCCCGAGAATGGCCCGCCCATACCGCTCCGCCACCTTGCCGGCCGCCTCGATCATCTTGCCACTCTGGTCACGCATCAGCTGCACCATCTCGAGGGCGCGCATGCCGCGCTCCTCGCCCTCGCGGCACTCGATGGCAAGCATCTGCAGCAGGGTCTTGTCGATTTCGATCTCGAGCCGCGACAGCGCCGTGCGCTGCGAGTGCGATGACGAGGTCGAGTCCACGAGGTCGCCGAGCTGGGCCGCTTGGATTCTCTTGAGCATGAAGGCCTGTTCCAGCCGTCGAGACTCACTGGCATCGACGTCATCTGCATCCTCACCGTCCTCGCCTCCACTCCGCTTCTCCTTGGGCGGGGTCGAGGTGAGAGGGATAGAGAAATCGAATTCAGAGAGCAGAGGTCGCGGGAAGTACGGATATTGGTCGCCGCCCTTGAGAATGATGCAGTGAAATTTGTTGTCGGCCACGGCGATAGGGAAGTAGTTCTCATTCTTCCTGCCAGAGGCTAATCGAGGTAGGAGTTTAGTGTCCAAGAGCGGAACCCACGACGCTCTTGACGGCTGTCGCCAGTGCAGGAGAGTCAGGAGTGTTCCAGTTGAGTCGTAGATACAAGGATCCTACAGTGTTTGGTCAGTATCGCCGACCGAGAGAGCTTGGGACAGGGAAACGGCACTTACACCATTGTCCGAGAAGAAGACACTCCTGATCGATGCTCCTTCGGGAAGAGCCACGGTGTCGTCATTCTGGCAAATTTCGTCCCGCTTCACATTCTCAATTGTATAGAGAAGCCTCGTGTTGCCATCGGCGCCCATGGGTCCATTGCCCATTGTGAGAACATAGTCTCGCCAGCTGGCACAAGTGACCACCGGGGTGCTCTTGGGCCGGTAGACGCGGTAGGGGATTCCAAAGAGCGTGTAGACTCGGACATAGTTCGCTGAAGTGATGACTGTGACGAACGAATCGCTGAGCGACATGGACAGCACCGCCTCACCCTTTGGAAGTTGCATCCTCCAGTCATTTCGGTTCGTCCAGGTCTCATGGGGCCGGTAGAAGATTGTGGCAGGCGCATTGTCGCGAGGTGGGCACGAGAAGAGGGTGCCATTCTCAGTGAGACATGCCTTGTCATAAAGGAAGGTGTCTGTAAAGTGGAAGTCGCGTTGGAATTCGTGGTCGTAGAACTCAACAGTGACGGTGTGATGGGAGTCCTGGTCAACAGTCCACACGAACCCAATGAGGTTTAGACACAGATATTTGCGATTTCCTCGCCACGGAGTAGATCCTGGCTGAAAGGCCTCGTGATATTGGGGGCTGAACAGTTCCGCACGTTTGGATGGCCTCTCGTCAAACGGATCATCATCATGAGGTCTCTTGGTGGCGCCGTTCAGAGTATAGCCAGCACCATCATCATCCACGACGAAGTCATCATCCTCCGCAAAGCCGCCATCGTCAAGGTCAAGCATTGAGTCTTGGCTATCAGGGGACCCAGCTCTGGGGTGTGGCGGTCCAGCTTTCAGACCGTTCACCGTCAACCGCCTGGTATTTGCTGAGACCTCGGCTAGAGGGTCATGGATGAAAGGTGCGGGCTGTTTGGGCAACTTGAGCAGGATCGAGTACTGGCTCGAAATGAAATCGGGGCAGATATACACGGAGCCTTCAGCATCGGTGAAGGACACAAGGTTGTTCTTCGGGTGCCAGGCGATATCCATGACGTTCGCATAGTCATGCCGGGCGATGACGCTCTGAGTCTTTGTCTCCCAGATCAATAGCTTTCTGTCCTTGCCTGCCGTTGCGAGCATTGCGCCATTGGGCGACCATGATATCGCCGTGATCTCTCCTTCATGGCCGTTTGCAAAAGACCTCTGGTTCTCCCAGTCATTCTTGGACACAACTTGGATATCTCGGGTCGGCGTGGGGACAGCAAATGCTCTGCCGTCTGGGTGCCAGGCCACTTTAGACGAAACCTCCGTGTCCGCCTCGAGAGCGGCGATGACGCCATCCACCTTGCGGATGAGCTCAGGCTGGTCCGCTGTGAGGGAGTAGATGTATACAATTCCGTCTGTGCATGAGAGAGCGATCATACTGCCCTTGGGATCGAAGGAGAGGTGTTTGGCGGGCTTGCCATGGTCCTTGAGCTGGCGCACCCTGGTGTTGTCCTCAGTGCTGACAAGCTTGACCGTGAGCTCGTCGCTTGCAACAGCGCACCACTGTCCATCTGGAGAGAGCGCCAAGTCGCGTATCGGAAGGGAAGTTCGGAGGAGAAATTTGTCGAATGCATTGGTCTCAAGAGAATAGAGGCTCACGGTGCCGTCCTCCGAGCCAACAACAAAGAAGTCGTTGGTGGCAGCTACACCGACATTCTGCTCCGGACAGTCGTCAATATTGGTCGGCTCGCCATCGAAGCCTGTCTTATACAGCCGGATCGTGTTGTTGGAGCCGACAGTGACAAGCTGGCCACCGTTGGGTGTGTAAGAGCAGTGGGTTGCGCCAGGAGTGTGCGCAGGCCGTGGCCGCGGCCGCGGCATTTGCGTTGCCATTGTCGTCTTTTCGAGGAGTATAAAGGAACAATGGACGCTTGCAAGCGGGAAGAAAATCGAGCGGGATGTTGTTTAGTCGACTTTCATGTGAAGTTGCCCAAGTGACCCTAGCGATCTTCTGAGAAGTTGGAGTGAAAGCCAGGACTTGGGAGACGCGTCTGGACGCGTTGAGTGCTACACGCGTTTAATTGGTAGGGACACTAAAAGGCACACCCCACCACTTTCCTCCCCAAGGTTAGGTAACCAACTGTCTAACCTTTTCACCCCTCTGAGACATCGAGAGCTGTCAACTGCAACCACCTGCATCAAGAATCCTCCTCCACCCCAGCAAATCACAGGGTTGCCTCATATGAAAGACTTAGGCACCGATCAATTTTGACAAGCAACATTGAAGAATTAAGGCTGCCTTGCGAATATCAAGGATGCCTGCACCCTAGAAATTGTATAAAAAGGTGTCGATACAACAGACCATGAATGTTTTGGTGGACTGGAATCATCAGCCAGCAAAGAATCACTCTTGCCCCGGAGCAAGCACATACTCGCGATGCAGTCATCAGATCCCAGGCACTTTTTCGAAACCGAGTGAGTGGTAGAAGAGAGCCAAGGATACTCAATTATATTATCTAACTCGGGCAATAGTGCCACGCAGGCCAAGAGGGAGAGAAAGGTTGCCAAGTCAAATAACAAATATGGCAATCCTATCGCTCTCAAGTCAAAGCTTCTTGCAGCTGTTCTAGACCCTACTTCACCCGCAACTGTCTTTGTTGCCGAGTCAGCAGGCTCTGTCCGTCGGGTCAACTTGGATGTAGGCTCGACTGCGCTCATTCCGACTGGATCTGCAATACTGACGTCGCTTCCGCAGGACGGCAGCGTTAAATCAGTCTACAAGGGCCCAACGGCTCCGGTCACCTGTGTGGCTGTCGGAGGCGAGGGCAACAAGACCGTGTTTGCCGGATCGTGGGACAGGAACATCTCTTCCTGGAATATAGAGACCAAAGTGCCAGTCCGCCAGTACACCGGCCACTCTGACTTTGTCAAGTCCATCGTCTGCACGAGGATATCTGGCAAGGAGATCCTGATCAGTGGAGGAGCAGACAAGAAAATCATCGTCTGGGACATCTCAACGGGAGTCCGTCTTCACACACTGCAGGACAACACGCAAAACATGCTCGCCATACAGGATCTCGCCGTCGACCCTGTACAAAGTACACCAGACGAGGCCTTTCTGGTCAGCGCCAGCAGTGACCCCCACATCCGCCGATGGAAAGTTCGGCTGGATGGCTGGGAGCAGGTCGTTGACCCATCGTCCGAGGCTCGAGCTGAGGAGAGGCGTACTATACTTGAGCATGAGACTACTGTCTACAAACTTGTCTTTGATTACGAGGGTGACGAAGTCGACCTCTGGACGTCGAGTGCCGACGGGACATCTAAATGTCTAACGCGGATGAGCGGCTTCGCGAGTGACGACGAGTTCAAGCACGGCGATCACGTACGGGCCGTCGCTGTGACTGATCAATGGGTTATCACAGCTGGACGTGATGAAAATTTGAAGCTTTGGGACCGCGCTTCAGGACGCTTGTACTGTTCCCTAGAGGGACACTACGACGAGGTCACTAGCCTTGTTGTGCTACGAGGACCTAACAAGGGACTGGACCGCCTCTGCAGTACGAGTTTGGATGGTACAATCAGGCTCTGGTCTCTTGCGAAGCCAGATGTCGATGCAATGGTTAAAGAGCAGCAGCAGCCTAAGAATCTTGAGGAGCAAGATGAGAAGAAGGAGGGCATGGAGGGCATGTTGACGGCTGAGGAGGAAGCGGAGCTCGCTGCTCTGATGGATGAGGATTGAACGGCCCCGGCCATAAGTGAATGGGGGAAAAAATAATAATAACAAAGCCCAAGCCCTCTTGATATGAGCTCTACACAACCCCCAGAGCGCTGCGTATTCCCATGTGTGGTAGGTTCTGACATGCTTTGGAAAGGCAACACAGCGTCAAACGTGGGCGACTCGTAGGGGATGCCATCCCCTGTCCTGTCAATGGCGATCGGCAATCCCTAAAATCCTCAGTTTACCTAGTTTAATTTGATCCGTTTTGCTGGTAAGTTTGCAACTCACCAGCCACGCCATTTGCCCTGAGGGAAATGAGATTTGCTGGATGGAAGTTAGCGTCGTGCCGATCCGAGTAGATACCGGACCTTAACCCGATTCGAGCCCAGGCCACTGGGAGGCGCCGGACTGCCTGTCTGGGGTTCGACTTGCAAAGAACCTTGAGCCATTCAGGTTGTCAAGAGGTGGTGTGGTACGTAACTTGCAAGGTTCGTGATCTGCAAGGGCAGCTGCAGGTCATCAAAGATCTTGTCCATAGATTATCGAGGAGATACCCTGTGTAATCCATCCGGGGTCCTGGAGGTGACACACCCATGTTGGAAAGACGAGTGGCCAATCCGTTATATATTCTCGTATGCAGGTGACCGCGACGTTCACATTGAGCTGAACGGAATTCACTTTGTGTGCGAGTCTCTGTACAACAAGGGAAGAAATCACGGAGCTACATTGTACTTACGACCGGCCTCACTCCAAATCCTAGCTGAACCTGTGCCCTGCCTGCAAGATTTGCATACGTACAAGTGAAGTCTTCAAGCATCTAAGCATCTGAGGAATAACGCCCACCGTAGAGGGAAGCATGTCGCAACTACTGGCCCGAAACCCCGTCCCCGCAACCACTTGGACTGTACTTGTACGGATGAACTGGGTTGTCTGTGGGCAGTCCGGGTTCAAGCTGAAAGGATCCCTGGATACTGACTGTGCTGAATTTCTCGTCCGACACTTGTTGCTGATGCTGATCTTCATCGCCCCACTGCGCGGACCTCCGTTCCTGCCCCGACACCCTCTTCCGTTGTGTGGGTTCTCGAGTCGTTCTTCCCTCGAGGCGGGGAGACTGCCCTGCATACGATCCTTCCAAAAAGAAAGGAAATTTCTGCAGCAAACATACATGTGCCTTCTCCTCGTGTTTCTGCCTCCCAAATTCCGTCGTATGCTTGGTCAAAGGTTCTAGAACCCTTTGAAGCCTCCCTCGAAAACCCAAGTTGGGGGTCCTGGGACTAAAACACTCAACCCGTACGCACATCGTATTGCTTGTCGTTGGTTAAATTCGGTCTGGAAACTGGAAAATCTTTCGACTTTGTACACACTGGGTCTGGTGGAGGCAACTCGGACTGTGAGGCATATTATGACACGCTTCAATCACAAGACCAACGTAAGTCTCACAAGTGCTCACTCGAGGCTTGCAACGGAGCCCCTGCTACGGCCCGGACTGTTGAAAAGACTAGGGCGTATTAGCGGGGACTGGGAGAGGCTATCCCAACACCATCTCTGTATCCCCGCTCTGCCCAGAGCAGATTGAACCAAGTGGATAACGTCAACGCGCGGTGCGATCTCTGGAAGTTGCAGCTCCTCGGTTCGGTGCCCTCTTTCACGGCATTCTTCCCGATGCAGCAGGTGAGCTACTGTAGGTACCAGGGGCCTTGCGACGATCTTCCCTCTCCTTCAAGGCTGAGTGCAAGTGATGGCCACAAACTGCCAGATTGTCGACACAGACAAGGAGGAGGGCAGCTCAGGGGGTCATATCTCACCCACTTGCCATCGAGCAGTTGTTGGCCGAAGTGAAAGTGCCAGCCCTCTTGCGACGACTGGGGGGCCACCGGTCACTTGGTGATGGCCAGCTTGTATGTGGTCCACAGGCAAGTACGTGAGCAGGAAAGATCGAGACTTACACCAGCTATTCATGGCTTCCCCCCCACACCGTTGCAAGTATCCGCTGCCCAGCTTTGTGTCCGTTCTTTTACGAGGCTACTCGAGCGTCAACGGCTACCCGCTGTTCAGGCCCGGGCTCCATTTTCTTATTGTTTCATGCTGCTTCCCGATCGGCGAGCGGCAGTCATCCAGATGCTAGAGCAGAAGAGGTGAGCCCGAGGGGACGGACAGACCATATACAGCTCCACCTCCTTAGCTGCCACCTGCCATCCATCTCACTCTGATTCGACTGGTTGTCCTGCACCTTATGATACTGCCAACCGCTTGCTTCTCAGTCTTTCAACCCTTTCCTGTTAGTCTAGTCCTCGTTGCCTATTGCATTTGGACCTCTTTTGCAGACTTCATGAAGCCGATCCCAAGTGATGCTAGAATGGTCCTCTAGATGCAATATATCGCGAGCCTGCATCGACCTGCTGCCTCTTCCACCCCACACACCTTCTAGCCTACCGCTTCACTGTTCATGGAAGTATCGATTCATTCAAGAGATCACTGCAGGAGTCCCTTGTCAAACGCAGAGAGACGAGGCTCTGTTCCCAACCATCCCCCAAGAAGTCGCAGATGATTCACAGGCTGCTGGTCTAACACAGCATGGATATAAACGCCTCTGGCCGGGGCAATGTGGTTGCCCTGGAAGGCCCGGCTCATATTGTGTCGACACAGTTACGCCTCCTGCCGAGTTCTCCGGACATTCTGACTCTCCCCGACATACAGTACTATCTACAAAACAATGGATACTCCAAATTTCAAGACGCCCCCGGTTTCATCCGCTCGGTGCATGAGGCAGCAAAGTCACGAGAAGGAGATGCCCTCCATTTCATCGAGCAGGCGGCGACCAAGGAAAAGAGACTTGTGTTTCTCAGTGGCGGTACGGCTAGTGCATATGCGCTCTGTATAGCTACGATTAGCCAATATGTGACCGACGGAGATGTACATCAGGCGGAATTAAAATTCAAAGAGTCGATTCAAGATGGGCTCAAAGGCCTCCCGGTGGCCAAGGCCAGGGCGGCAAGGGAAGACAAGGAACAGTCTCAGCTCGTCGCAAGGCGCAGCGAGAGCCAGGCCAGACCTATGGAGGATCCTGGATCAAGAGCTATGCGAGCAGCAGAGGCACTTGATCGAGAGACTGCGGCTCTTCAAGAAGACGACACTCTTGATCTCGGTTTCAAGCCTCGGCCTCGCAGCATGAGTCTACCACTCTATGGCTTTTCAGACGATCCCGCAGACACGACCCCGTACTTGATTCTTGGTGCCGTCCCAGCAACAACGATGTCCAAGGAAATACCAGGAGACCCGGTCACTACCCCAACCACCACTTATGCAGAGGTTTCAACAAGTAGGATCCAGGATCGTGAAGTCAACGGCCCCGGAAGCCCTCCACCAACCCAGCGAGCTCGTTCCCCGACCTGCTCAGGAGAACCCGACGAGCCAGCGGTCTTTAAGGCAAAGAAAGGTCTCGCATTCAGGAATGCGGTACTTGTAGATACTAGCTCTGATTTGAGACCATCGTCAATAGCCAGTCCGGGCCTGCAGCGCACGCGGTCCCTTGGCCGTTTTCACGCGACCTACCGGACCAAGGTACACGACCGACGATCTGTATTGGAGCTTTCATGTACTCCATCAGTCGAATCAGCAGGCCTTCCCTCAATATTTGATGCCTCTCAGCTAGAAGGACCTTCTGAAACGATCAATGAGAAGGCAATTGGATCGCCTTTAGCCCCCTTTGGTCTTGGCGCGCCACACAAAGCATCGGTCAGAAGGCTACCTCCTAGACTGAGGATCCCATCGCCTCCGGCCAAAAAGACGATATACGTCGACAAAGCGACCGATACAGTTGATCCTTTGGAGTCAAACCAGGAAAATGAGCCAACAACGCGGCCGGAATCCTGCTCTTTTCAACCCGTCCTACCTTTCATCGAAGACCTTGTGGTTCAACTCCGAGACAATGAAGACCGCAGTTCCTTGCTTGTATCAGCCATACAGAGTCTCAAGGATGCGCAGTATCCTGTATTGCAGGCTTCGTTAAAGAAACCGACGCCTGATGCGGCAGAGAAGCCTCTGGCATTCCCAGCGACCCCGACCTCGCCTCAAGGGCCTATGTTTATCACACCTCAGCCTGCCCACATGGACACTCCGCCCTGGACCAGGAATGAGGAATACGACCCCTTTGCACCTCAGACGTATCTTGAAAATATGCAGTGCAGGCGTCCGTCAGATCCTCGGGGGACGCCATATCAGGGTAGCTCTGCCATCAACCCTCCGACACCGATGAGCACACCGCCACCAGCAAAGCCAGAGATTGGTCACAAGTTCTTGAATATTCAAGTCTCTTCTGACCAAACTGCACTCTCCATTCAAAACGCCCTTCGGAGTGTTCTAGAGAGCTATTTCCCGGTGGAAGGTGAGGTGTGCTCCCCGTTCCTATTCCACATTCTCCCGAAGATGGCACGCTTGTGGGGACCACTGTTTGAGAAGGCAGGCAAGGGCTCAGAAAGGCGCAACGTCGATTTGATACTGGCCATTGGGTCGCAGGAAGGCGTCGAGAAGGAGTACAACTCGACTATATCCAGTCAAATCGAGAAGATGGGAAGCAAGTCAACAGGGGAGACTCGGAGCGGCCGAGTTGACATCCGGTATGGTTCACTATCCGAGGTTCACCGTGACAGTGTTGGCTGACCATATCTTTCAGATATCTCATCGTCAATGCTCTCCAATCGGCTGCTGCCCGTTCTTTGCATAAACAAGCGAGAGATCACTCCGCCCTTTCTGCCTCGGAGCTTGCGGCGCTCCTCATTTCGCAGCTTGATATCTACCTCCGCACCCATGCTTCTGTCAGATTTCTCCTCCTCGAGTACCCTCACGACCAACTCGGAACCATGTTGGCTCTGCGAGACTTCGTTGGCCCCGACGTGATGAAGATAGCGGGCATCATTCAGAGCTCGGACTCTCCAATCACCAACCGCACTCATCGCTACAGCCCTCCGGGATCACCCCTTGCTCCGGCCTCGTGCCATCCACAATCACGGACCAGTGCGCCATTCTCCAAGGCCGACTTCCTCCTCGCGTCCTCGGCCACCGACTCGGAGATCGCCAACTTCATGTCGGCCATCTGGAAGACCCTGATGGACACCTCGCCCTTCTACAACCCAGAACCGCCGCCCATTTCGCCTGCAGCAGCGTCAACCCGTAGGCTCAGGCCCAGGAAGGACCTGTCCATCCGGACGTCGCCGCCGCCGCTCCCGTCGCCGACGTACAGCACCATGCCCACCCCGCGCAGCGTCTCGGCTGCCGCCAGGGGCCGGCCGCGACCCACGTCCATCGTCTTCCGGTCGCCCAGCTCGCCGCCCCAGTCCCCGCTCCCCGACACCCCGTCGTCGCACTACCGCGGCCGGCGCCGGGACTCGCCCGCCCCCTCGGCGCGGTCCAAGGGCTCGACGGCCGCCGACACCGTCCGGACCGCCTCCGGCACCGTCCGCTCGGCGCGGGCGTACCGCTTCTTTGGCGGCGGAGAGCAGCAGCAGCCGCCGCCGCCGCGAATAGACCTCGCCTCTGCATGGAGCGAGGACAGCGACTCGTCCGACTTTGACCTCGAGCAGGAGCGGCGCCTGATGCCGCTGTTCGCGAGGACCGTGGCCGCCGCCGCAGGAGGCACCGTGCGGCCGCCTTCGCGCAAGACCAACAGCCGCAAGGCGCTCAAGTGGCTGGGTCTTGCGTGATCATGCTTTCCTTTTTTTTCAAATTTTGAGTTCCCAAGTAAAGCGTATGGTGCAGGTGTGAGAAGAAAGGGGTTGCACTCCCCTTGATGTTTTGTTGAAAGGAAGGAGTAAAGTGATCTAGACAACGGTGTTTGAGCCAGGTATGGAAATTGGGCGATGGTGGGAATGCCACTTCTCTTCTTGCATGTAAATATATATACAGATGGATCTCGACAGCCTTATTGTCACATTTACTTGCAGTGCTACTATTTCCCGATGCATCAGCCATCGACTTCTGAAACCAGTTCTATCCGTTCTCTCGGGCTGCCATCTGTTCGTAACCATATCGAGATTCAAGGATTGATTCATGATCGGGTGTTGAGAAAACAATGCCTCTTGGGTACAACTCCGGTTGACATCCCCATATGTGGCTGTGTGTGATCGGAGTCGACCCAGTAGCCTCGAGTTTCGCATCACGCAAGAGCCATGTTGGGTTACAGTGTGTGGGCCATGGCAAGGTAGATAAAAATCCCATAGATTACTAGTCCCAAGTTTATCGGTAATTTCACATGACAGGAGAGAGAAAGACGGCAGAGTGAACATGTTGACCACGCACGCGAGTAGAAAAAGCCTCTGCCTCCTCATTATGTCCAGGAACCCCGATCAAGCACGCACGTAACGCAGAACATCCTCGAGAGAATCCCGCGTTTGCTGCCCGTCAGGATCTCGGCCGCCCCCAATCCGAGCCCATTCTTTGTCCAGGGGTCAGAAGGCATAGAGGCTGCCTGCCTGGTTCAGGTAGAGGTGGCGTGGATCCAACTGAACAGCCCATTCTATGCGTAGAAGGGAGAAAAAACACCATGAGGCACCCTAGTTCCTGCCTGCCAGACCCCGCCCAGCATGACCTATGCTAGTCGCCAAATTCCGCTCCATGATGGTCGTGTCGCAAAAGAAAGAGTGCAAGTTACAAATCGAGACAACGAGGCAAGGCAATTTAGCAGCAGCCGCCACTCGAGTTGTTGGTGACACCGTGGCCCGGGCCGACCTGCACACTAGGCTTGCTGTTCTGTGTTGCCGCGGTGCCCATGCGCTCCTTGATCTGGCGGGCCATTGTCAGGAAGGCCTGCTCGACGTTGCTGGCGTTCTTGGCGGAGGTCTCAAGGAAGGGGATACCAAGGCTGTCGGCGAATTCCTGATTCAAATAGTCAGTACGATGCTTTCAAGCATTTTGGGGGGCCTCCCAGGCACCCGACCCACGCCGCGAGCATCAAGGCTTGGCACGGGACGAAATAGAGGCTTGGAGGGGACCCCCGAACAGGATGCGCGTACCTTGGCAACAGTGTACTCAACAACCTTCTTGTCGGCCATATCGCTCTTGTTTCCGACGAGCAGCTTGTTGACACCCTCGGTGGCGTACCGGTCAATCTCCTGAAGCCACTGCTTCACGTTGTTGAATGAGTCCATGTCGGTGACATCGTAAACGACACAGATACCGTGAGCACCACGGTAGTATGACGAGGTGATAGTTCGGAAACGCTCCTGGCCAGCAGTGTCCCACTGAGGTGCGAAACGGGTCAGTTTGAGTCTTGGCCATCACATGCAGGGGTTAAGGCCGAGAGCTTACGATCTGCAGCTTCACCGTCTTTCCATCCAGCTCAATAGTCCGGATTTTCTATCAGATAGGTCAGCACAGTTGGCAGACGAGGCAAGAGCAGGCAGGAGATGCATACGAAGTCGACGCCGATAGTCGAGATGTAGGACTCGGTGTAGGTATCGTCGGCGAACCGCAACAGCAGGCAAGACTTTCCAACACCGGAGTCACCGATGAGGAGGAGCTTGAAGAGATAGTCGTATCTTGAAGCATCTGTCAGTTTACCATCAACCGCGCGAAGAAGTCCGGGTCTGCTGTGATCCTAGGTTGGGGAAGAGGGCTCTACTCTGCGAGGGTTGAGCAACAGGTTAGCATGACCACCTAAACAGGAGGATGATGATGATGATAGGCTCGGAGCGAGCAGGCAGCCGTACCACTCGGGATTCATGGTGCGCAAAGAGAAAGGTCTCGAGCCGGGAGTCTGGGGATGAGAATCGAAATGAAGGAAGAGGCCAAAGCGAGAATGTTGCGTCGGCGAAGAGGTCTGGTCTTTGGAAAGGGTGATGGAAGAACAATGATGGGGGGAGAGATTAATGTGGGCAGCGCGGAAGGGTGATGAAGGTGGGAATCAGAGTATCGGGTCGACTAGGCCTAGGTACGGAGTTTGGTTGGTTGCGGTGCAGATGGTTTGCGTGGAGGCAGGTACCTGTGGCGGCCTGTGGTGTCAAAAAAGATAGGCCTGTGTCAGGTGCGTTGACAGTGCAATGGGAGTTTGATTAGCTGGCAGTCACAGAACGTTGCAGCCTTGGGTCTCCACTGGAATCTCGAGTGCTGGCCTGCGCCTTTCAAGGGGGGGTTTCAACTACGGAGTACGTACGTACTCCGTACGGTATGCACATCACGTGACGCAGGAAACGGCACATGCAGGGGTGGTGTAAGATCGATCCATGGATGGTAAGGTATTTTAAGGCCAAATAAAGGTACCTACAGAGGAGATAGATGATCGATAACTCTCGATCCCTCACATCCCCAATTCTTCTCCATCCTTGCTTGAACTGGGACAAGGCACATGACCATGGCCATGTCTCTCAAGCAGCAGCTGCACCAGACGCGGTTATCTGGCTGACAGGCCCATGTGACATCAACAACACTAGCGCTTTGAAGGGGGCATTCCAAAGAGCGAGCAGTGCCAAGGCATCTGTGTTTTTTCTGGTCAGCCCTCCTCCAGAGAGTCCGCTACCGGCTACCGGTTCTCGAGTGCGCAGTGCAGGCAGTTCGCTATGAACCTAGGCCTCGGTTTCTTTGCTTCAGGTCAGGTAGGTACTCTCCAGCCACAGAAAGGCGCCCAGTGAGCGCCAAATACTTGATGGCCATTTCCAACAAAGGCCTTCTCCGCTCCTCGCTACAAGCCGTGAAAGACATGCTGCCATAGCGCTCGGCCCAGCTGTTCTTTAGGCCCCCCACCCCACCCTCTCAGTAGCGGGGCCTCCACTGAGCCACTGCCGCTTGAGCGGCTCCAGCTGAGTAGCCAGCCGGAAGCGTTATCCCATCAAAAAGCTTACCACCGGTCGGGAAAACCTCACTGACATCATATCACCAAGCCGGCCCTGACTGAGCATGCGCCCTTCGACCCTGTGACTGTACCCAGAACAACTACCCTGGTCTATCGGGAGACTCGCAGTTTTCATGTACTAGCTCGAGGCCTTCCTCCCTCGACGTCGGGCCTGATGTCCGCTCCGAACCGCATCGTACGATCGCAATCCCACGTTGTGAGCCAATCCTCCCTCGGCCGCCTGCGCTCCATCTTCACCGGCAAGGCGCCCACCCAGACCGGCACGGCGCTGCGGCCGACAAAATCCCTGGTTACGCTGCAGGAGGCGAATCCGCGCAACCTGCCAGACCTCTGGTTCAGCTCGACCATCCCGCGACCAAATGGCCCACCCGGACCGGAGGGCAGGAAGCCTCAGGATGATCGCAACGTCAAGCTAGGCAAGAGTAAGTCTGCGGCGACAAGCACGATAGTTCAATTCTTTCCAGTGTCACTAACTAGGGGGCTCTATAGCTTTGCGCATACTCCAGGAGCGTCTCCCGACTCTCCTGCAATCGCCCTTGCCGCAAGAAATCCTATCACCGTACATCTCCCTGCACCTCTTCCCTTCGACGCATCCGCACCTCCCGACCGTCTCTGGCCGCGTCGCATATATTGCTGCGTTATGGACCTCGCCAATAGCGTGGAATCGAGTCCCAATTGTGGGCAACTTGAAGCTCGAGATCCTGTCTGAACGCATGGTCAAGCAGCCGCTGCACTTTTCGCCTAAGAGGCAGGGCGCCATCGGCGAGCAATTGGTGGTGCGGTGGCGGACGATAGGCAAGACAAAGGGCTGGGGCCTCGCGCCCAAGGACGAGTCCAAGGAGTTTACCGGTCTTTTCATCTTTGAGTTTGACAACGAGGGAAGAGTGCTGAGCCATACCATCGAGCACGTCCAGGAGGGCGGAGATTGGGAAAATGGCGTCGGCGCAAAAGTGGTGGGACTGACTGACTGGCTGCTCGGTGGCATGAAGGGCGGAAGGGATGGTGATAATACGCCTTGTCCGGCATTTCACGGGCCCGGTCCTAGGAGGTAACCTTGTAAACAGGGTGCTGCGACTGGAGCATGACACGGGAGAAGCCCCGAGTGTACGAACAAGACCGGCAACAAAGGGATCAGGGTAGAAGGGAAGAAACCCCTCTCAGCATTGTACCAATACCTGTAGTCTTAGCATATCTTACCTGATATCCCATGTCTGATAACCTTACTGATCCGATCCAGACAGCCTAGAGGCAAATCATCTGTTCACCCGACTTGGGGATTGTAGAGAACGAGTGTGATGTATTACACGTCTTGGGGATGATGACGAGCAGAACTGCCACTTGTCTGAACAGGTAATATAGCATAAATTGGGTGTTCCCTGACGCACCTGAGCCGGGTACGCACACCGAATCAGGAAGAGCTGCTCGAGGTCTTGGCATCGGTCACGAACCCGCACTACACCAGCGGGAATGAAGGTGGCGTTGCGTTGTGGCCACTTACACGGACAACGGCCAGATCTCCCACCTGTGAAAGTCGGTTCTTTAAAACAGCGTGGATTTGCCTTGGAAGCTATTTCCTCTGCTCTCTCTTTCCCCAGATCTTGGCCTGTCCACATTTCCCCATCCGTCCACCCACTACAAGGTACAACACCGCCACTACTGGAGAGCCTGACAAGCCACACATCACCGTCCTCTTATCAGCAAAGGCCGAGATCGGTCCAGCCCCATCCCCTGAAGAACGCCTCCGTCCTCCGCTATATCTTCGTTCGTCAAACACTCAGCGAAGGGGGGGCCTCTCTTCTCTCCCAGATGGACCTCCTCCCGCCCCCCAGGCTGGGCAGCGATGACGAAGACGACAACAACCCGGACTTCTGGCTCGAGTTCCAGACGGCCAGCGACGGCCTGCACGGGCCCGGCTCCACCAACGCGCCGGGCGCCCCGACCGCCTTCCCCAGGTTCCCGGACCTGCCCCCGGAGCTCCGCCTGCGCGTCTGGGAGCTGCTGCTGCAGCCCCGCGTCGTCATCGCCGCGTGCCTCAGCACCGCCACCGAGGCCGCCAAGCGCGAGCAGCTCGCCAGCCGGAGGCGCGCCGCCCCTTCGCCCACGCCGGCCCTGCTGCACGCCTGCGCCGAGAGCCGCGCCCTCGGCCTGCGGCACTACGAGCTGGCCTTTGCGTGGCAGACGCCGCGCATGCTCGCCTCGTCGGGCCGCCGCAGCGCGGCCGCGCCGCGGACCCAGCAGCAGGCGCGCGTGTGGTTCAACTACGCGCTCGACGCCCTGATGCTGCTCGGCGACCTCGAGCCGTTCGACAGCTACGGCTTCAACACGCCCATGGTCTACTTCCTGCGGCGCGAGGACACGCGGCGCGTGCGGCACGTCGCCTGCGCCTTCGAGGAGCTCGGCTACGGCGAGCTCGAGGCCGACCAGATCTTCGCCTGCCTGTTCCACGTCGTCGACCGGTTCCCCGGCGCGGGGCGGCTGCTCATCACCAGCACCGACGCCGACCTGGCCCGCTTCCGCGCCGTGCTGTCGGCCGAGGCCGACAACAACATCATGCAGAAGATCTGGCGCGGCTGGGTCAGCGGCACGTCGGTCGTCACGTCGTCGCTGGCCGACAAGCAGATCCTCATGGTCCGGGAGGACGAGCTGGAGCGCTTCATCCGCGAGGACTGTTGAGTGAGGCGGGACGGGATAGTGTGTGTGAGAGGTGGGTGACAGCGACGAGATGCGGAGTCCTTCTTTAACCTGACGATAAATACACGAATGACGATAAATACATAGAATTTTAATATACGAAGAGATACCCAACATGAGAATGCACTGTAAAATCAAAACACAAGTGTGTCGTGTGCTTGACATGAGTTCAAAAATAGGGTATTTCCTCCCGATTTTTATAATAAACTGAAGGCATCCAAGATCACTTTCTACATGCATTCGTGGTTACAAGAAATACATACCGCCCCAATATTAATCCCCTTGACATCGTTTGGCACCCGCCCACCCAGAACTTATGACCTTACATCCTGGGACATTTCCTGGCCAACCACTGGGTTCTTCTCCGCGTCATCTCTGGCGACGATGGCCTCACGGCGTTTGCCTCCTCGGGCAAGATAGAGCAGGTACGGCTCGGACACAATGTGATCGTGGCCGCGGCTAGGTCCGAGCGCTTCTCCCTCTTGCTTCTTCTCCTTGGCAATGTTGACGTTGCCCAAGCACATAGCGGCCATGATACACTAGAAGAGGACATATTAGAGAGGAGGAACATCAAGACTGAAAAGCGGGGGGGGGGGGGGGGGGGGGGGGGGGGGGAGAGCTTACAAGAACACAAAGCGGCGTAATCGCAACAAACGCCCAGACGATGCCCATCTACCTGAGTGTTAACGGAACTGATTCAAGACTCAAGACAGAGACCAGGTCTATGACCACCTACCTTGGCTTTCTCCTGAATCGGATGCTTCACGTTCTCTGGCATTGCCGAAAGGGTATCAAAGTCGCGCAAGGGCGAGTTTTGTCCGATACCCGATGTGTTGTTGAACACCGTCGACATGATGGTCAAAGCAAGTGTGCCACCAAAGGGGAGAGCGACTGCCATCAGCGACACGACCGTGGCGATGTGATCTGGGAATAGCCCAATGGCGTGCAGAGAGCCTTCATCACGACGCATCAGTGATCTGATCTATGTGAGAAACATATTTCGAGACTTCCGAGACTTACCAGGCATGAACCTAAGTCCTGTTCCGGCACCGGTGAGGGCCATCATGCCAAAGACGGTCGGTGTGTGCTCTGTCCACAAGGCGTAGGCTAGAATACCGACGCCTACTGCCTCGACGATGGAGCCAAGAGCCAGGGGTACAAATGTCTTGCGTGGATAGACATTGCACATGAACATGGCCATATACACTCCGACTGTGGAATGTCAACTTTGATCCTTGTTGCGCAGAGTGCTGAGACTTACCTCCTAGGCCTGGCGTGTAATACAGCAGCTGAACTCCGGCTTTGTCGGGGGTGTACTCCTGGAAGGACGTCAACTACTGATCCAAGCACACGGAAGTTTCCATTCCGGGCAATCCTCACCTTGACCATTGTGAAATAGAGGTTACAGAAGTAGAGAACCTGCCATCGAGCATTAGTGCTTGTTGTCCGAACGGAAGTCTTGGAGCGCCATCCTCACCGAATACATCGCCGCCCCGGTAGCAAAGTTGATGTAGAATAGAAAACCAATGTCTCGCGTCACCAATAGCTTCCACGGGACCATGGGTCGTTTTGCTGGCCATCTACGTTCCAGGATGCTACCGGGTCGCATCAGCCTCTCCCAGACGATGAAGGCCACAGTCAGGGCCGCACCGACGCAGAGGGGGACAAGGACGGCAGCCGTGTTCCAGTCGTAGGTGGCGCCTCCCCAGATCAGGGCAAGGATGATCAAGCCGAAGCCGAAGAGGAAGAGGACTTGTCCTCCGATATCGATGGTGAGTATACGCTGCGAGAAGCGGGCCAGTCGGGGCCGGGCTCCGGGGCTATGCGCTTCCTCCTCGTCGAGGCCGGGTAGAGGCTGCGCGCCGAGGAGTTCCTTTCGCAGGACGAAGATGATCAAGACGATGGCTACTGCACAGATCGGTAAGTTGATACCAAAGCACCAGCGCCAGTTGGAGTTTGTCAGGTATCCTGCGGGGAAACAAAAGTATTAGCCAAGGAGCCGTCTTTGGACTAGGTGCTCCGCGAATGAATGGTTATTATTACCTCCGATTACAGGACCAATACCGTAGCTGATGCCGGCGGTAAAGGAGAAGATAGACCAGTTCTTTGCGTTTTCTTGAAGCGAGACCTTGTCGGCGAGGATGACCCGTACAATCACATTGAGACCGGCACAGCCCAACCCCTGAAAGCCGCGACCGAGCAGAAGGACCGGGAACGCATGGGTGGGAGCGCCGGTACAAATAGCGCTACCGATCATCATGATGATAATAGCGGCCTGCAAGGAAGAATGCCGTCCAAATATGTCAGTCAGCTGGCCCCAGAATGGAATGAAGGCAGCAGATGTGAGATTGAAGGCCGAAATAATCCAATTGAGCTGCGAGACCTGGCCTAGGGAGGTGTTAGTGGCTGGTCAGGGGGTCGGACAGGAGACGTGAGAACGGACCAAAGTCTGCGGCGATCCACGGCAATGCACTGGCGATACTATGACGAGGGCATGGCTTATTAGTTTGGGTTTCAAGACCACTTTCAAGTCGGGAGGACGGCACTGACATTGTGACATCGAGCGCTTGAAGAGCAAAAGGGAGGATCATGCCGACAATGATCTTCAGGCGGTAGATACGCGCTCGCTTCTTCTCTTCTTTGCTTCGGCCTGCGCCGATGGTCGACTCCGTAGCCTTCGAGGTGGCTACCGGTGTAACATCCCGTCCCTGGTGCAAGGGTGATGACTCGCTGGTAGTCGACTGGACCTCCTGGCGATGAGAGACCTGGTCGGCTGGTGCCGGCTGGGTTTCAACGGCTCCAATAGGACGGAGCTCAAGAGGCTCGGATTGAGGAAGCTGGGCTGGATGCTCCTGATATGGATTGCCGTCTTGATCCGTATTGACGGCGGCTGGTTGCCCCTGTTCATTTGCCCTCGCAGCCGCTTCGGCGCGCTTCCTCTTCACGTATCGGTAGAGCAGAATCATGGTGCCGTTTGAAAGTTGTTGTTCAAGGTCTCTGTTTCTTTTGAGTGATCCCGTCAGAACCAACTGCTGTTATACAACAAAAAAAGATAGATGCTCGGGCGAAGAAGTCAAGCATGGGTAGGTAACCCAAGAAGATCAGGGGCCGAAGAGGTCAATATAAATATTGCAAGAAGGATTGGGCTCTCCAAAGGCACGAAATACGAAACTAGGGCCTCCAATGACACGCAATACGGAACCAGGCCGTAGACCGCCCAGTGGGCTGCCTTGAAGGGAGACGGGACCGGAGCGAATGCGAGGTCTCCACGGGAAAGGGACCCGTGGAAATGGGGCGTGGTGGAGATGGAGGCGGGTTGTCGTCACGTCTCCGGGGCCTGCTCAGCCTTACACATAAGAAAGTGGAACCTACCGGCAGGCAATGCCGATATTTAAAGCAGCTTTGCTGCTTTCTCTGCACGATATGGCCTTCCAGGGACTCGATCCTATGCAACTCCGGTGCCTGTATCGCAGATGATTGGCGTTGACCGTTGCTCTAGTGGTGTGGAATCGTGACTAGCTGAGTTCGAGGCAGCACAGCCTCCGCTTGATTGGTACAGTGATGTGCACGAGGACGCACAGAAAGCGGCGAGAATGATGATGATGAAAACAAAACAAAAATTGCGATGAGAAGCTCCATACGGCACCGAGATAAACATGGACCGAGAAGGTTTATAGCTCATCTAGGTAGCTTCAACGCCCGCCGGTACCAAGGCGACGGGAGAGGCGCTAGGTGTTGCGCTGTTGTAGCCCGGATCTGTGTCTTGCCCTGAGTCGTACGGCGGCGGCATACCGGCCGTTGGACCTGCAGATTTCACTGCTTTCGAGACATTCGAGTATGCATCTTTCTCTTCTCTACAGTCTGTGGGCTGGCTCCAAAACAGCCGCCGGCGGTCTCACCCTGAACCTCTGCTGGTTCCCAGGTTTCATGTTACCAACCGCGCGGCGCTGTGTCACGATGTGACGCGGCGTAACGGCGGCCCTTTGTTGCTGGGAGAGATCTACGAAGGATGGGATGGGCGGGGGGTTATGTTGATGCAGCATGCAGTCAGACAGCAGATTGCGAGGCATGTAAGAGTCGGTAGGCCTGCACGATGGCGTGGCATAGACAAATGAGCAAGCTTCAGCCACGCGGTTGTAATTTCAGCTCGATGGGGAAGGGCTCCCTAGGGCACGAAGCGTGTGGATGGAAGCGAAAGCGAGAGCGTGCAGTGATTGGCGAGAGCGACGGGGCCGGAGGACGATAGCGAGAGCGAACCCGCGCCGGCTTGGCGACCTGCTGTCAGCCCGTGTCAGCCCGGGGTCTCCAACACCCCGATCTGAGCCCTGTGACCAATGCCAGCGCTGGAATGCCCAACAAGCTTCCACTAGCCAGCCGTTAGCTCGAGGCCGCCCCTGGGTCCAATCCTAAAGAACCAGAGAACCAAAGCACTGGCTTCTTAGTTAGTTTTCGCTCGTTTACCCTTCTGGCACGTTTGCTTATTTGCGTCGCATTCATCTTTATTACAGCATTGCCTTCGCGGGCGTACAATTAATTACCTTAAAGCTTGCTGAAGCTCGCTGTGTCAATCCTCAGTTCGAAGCTCTCGCGTGTGTTTATTATCCAGTAATGTTGTGGATATAGTGTGTTTTGCAGGGATTCAATTGACCAAGAGTGTACGGAGTAACAGGCGTTGCTCCATCCCTGGGAATTATCCCCAAGCAGGTCACAAACCCAATACAAAAAGATCAAGAGGCTCACGCGGTATTGGCTTGCAGTTTCCTTCCGAGCAAGCAGACATCAATCATTGTTCGAAATCCCGGGACATCACAATCTCTCCCTCATATCCGTTTACGACATATCCAGCCTAGTTCGACATGAATACTGCTAGAGTACTACCGATCCATCGTCCCCAACAGCATCTTACCCGCCGGCCGGGGATACTTGACGGCCAAGTAATGGTCAGATTAATTGACAGGCTGCTGAGAGGCAGGCCATCAAAACCATCGATTTCCCCTTCTGATTTTAAGAGAAAGGATATGTGCATTGTTAATGTTGAGGTAGCTCATGATGAACTTCCATCAACTATTCTGGCCCACGCTGATTCGTGCTTCAAGCGAGGAGCATGGCACGTCGTTACATGAACTTCTTTATGCCGATGATCAATCCTTCCAAAAGCAAACCAAATCCGGCTGCTGCTTGTGTCAGACATCTACTGGGCTTTTCTCCTTAGAGCCGCAGCAACACATCACACGCAAATGTTGCCCTGGTGAAAGATTTCTAGGGAAAGTCACTGTTTCCATAGCTTCAGTGGATGCAAAACACTTCATAAAGTGTTGACTGCAGCTTCGCAGATATCACAACAGGTCCTCGTGAAACGGGCGTTTTGGAGAGAGATCGCCTACCAGCCGCAAGGAGGAAAGCCGGGATGGGATCCACGCCTGGTTCCAGCAAGTAAAATCTGGGTTTTGTCAGCAGAGGATTCCGACGAGGATATCGGAGTCGGCCCTAATGAGAGGCATGTCCGTTTGCGACATCCAGCGAATATATCATGGCCGGGCCGGACCCGGCTCTGAGGAAGACTGGAAGAAGCCGAATTCGCCCGTGCCGCCGAAGAGACGTCATGCCGAGATGGCCAAGGCAGCCCCAAGCCTGGACAGTGGATCTTTCGGCAAGGCTGTCTGCAGCAGCTGGATGCCCGGCCGGCCCTGCGGGGGTTTCTCCGGGGTGCTGCTGCCACTGTCGAATGGGAAAGCAGGCAAATGCGGTACTCGGCTCTGCTTGAAATCCTGGCTGGGGTTCCGTTCGCCAGTTGCAATTACGGTTATGGCTCGGTAATCTTCTTTCAGGTGGCGACAGGTGGCTCTTCCAATAGTCCGGATCATACGACAGGGCACTTGAGGCAGAACTGTCAACCTTGGAACTCCGATCGAGAACTGGGTCTCTCAAGGCCCCCAATTAGTACAATAGGTAAAAAATGTACAAGTACCTATCCGTTGACCCGGCACTTGAGGCTAGTCTCTCGCTAGCCCTCTCTTCGATAACGGCCTCCCGTTTCGTTTCGTCTCTGATGAAGCTCGCGAATTCCATGGCAACTCCCGGGAGGATAATGAAACTCGGCTGCAAAGCTCTCGTCTCTACTGCTGATGCGCAAAAGGGGAGGGAAACCCAAATGCATGCTGGACAATGCAGCGGAGTTGCATTGTCAAATATGCATCCAACCCAGACTCATGGACGCTTCCAAAAGAGGCCAAGTTGGGAAGACCGAGCCACCAGGTTAGTCAGAACGGCTCCTAAGGTTAGCTTGGCTGAGTCCCGTTCGACCGGGAGATGCACTGGTGGCCCAGTCTGGCCCTGTTTAGCACCTGAGCTCTGCAAGGGTTTAACCCACTTTGTCTTGTCTGGCGCATCATGCACCCGCAAGCCCACCACCATTCACATGCTTTTCCTCTATCCATTTTTGCCTCTTTTTCCATATCGCTTGCAGAGCCTTTGCGCACCCATGTTGGTACCGGTATGCTGGGATTCCAAGGCAAGACTCAGTCCATGAGACCGGAGGCTCGTGGCATTTAAAAACTGTTGAGCTGACTTGCTTTCCAGTGTCTCGTGGGCCAAAGAATACAAGTAAAAGCGTGTCGCAAGTCTAGCTGGCTCCCTGACTAAGGTAAGTTGCAGATGCCAAACAGGCACATGCTTCCCTCACCACCCACACACACACACCCCTTCTGCACTCTCTAGCTGTAACGTATGTTCGGCTGCCAGACAACGACAAGTCAATCCGGCATCGGCCACACTCCCGACTCGTGCTGACGGGGGAAAGAACACCCGGGTCATAGATCATCAAGCTCCTCCTCATCTCGATTCCCAGCAACCCGGAACAGGCGGGCCAGAGCGCCTTTCAGTGTCCAAGGACATCTCCCAGAGCTTAGAGAGATCATTGGCCAGGCAATTTGAGGGGGCTACCTACTCCGTACTTTAGGTACAGGTAGTGAGCAGCGAGCCAATCTCGAGGCATCTGAACAAGACGAGAAGAAGTCGCAGGTTCCATTTGACAGAGTCAGAGCCGGGCGCTGAGTGGGGCAGTTCCCATCGGTATGTATCCCTTTACGGTCGCGGGCCATTTCTCCAACACACCCTGGACTGCGTCACATTCACACGTTGGATCTCCACCACCCTCCATCTTGGGATATGCGCGCCTTCTGAAGCCGTACTTCCTCTGGTCCGAGAACAGGTCATCATCTCTCCTCACTGTCCCTCGCTATCCACCCGGTCGTCTCAAGCGCTCGACCGTCTGGCCTCCCATGCTCATGCCGTGATCCCAGCCGGACCACTCAGCTACTGCGTACCAGACACAGCACTCGGCTTACACAACGTCGTGTCACAGATTGAAAAACCACCGACCGATCCCCGTGGGGTCTCCATCACTTAGCGTTTCTGCTGCGTCATTAGGCTCCATCGACAGAGTCTTGGAATACGCAGAACTCCCTGCATTGCCCTCGCCAAAACGACGGATCGCAAGCAAGCGTTGTACTTTTTGCTCGTCTGCATTTACTATCTGCTTTGGGAGATACAGCACAGTATCTCTCTCGAACCAGCAGACCCCACTGGCTCAGTCCGTCAAAGGATAACGGACCCTCACGACAGGTAAAGTCATCCATCCCACCCTGCTGCTGCGTCTTCTGCGAGGCCATCACCACCATTCGGGATAGCGACGCCTGCTCCTCCCCTTCTGTTCAGTCTCTTGGTGACGGACGTAGAGTGGTAGAAGCTGTGGCGTTCTTTTCCGGATTCGATGGCGCAAGGGAGAGAGAGGCTTCAGTAGGAATTCACGGGTGAAAGAGGGACCTTCGGCCTTCCATGCCACTCGGAAGGAGAATGAGAGGACTCATTTTATATTGACACTACTAACACACTAGCAGAGCACCGTTTGACATATCCTCCATTCTAGTGTCCGGCGTCTTTGGCACTGCGGCTGCCACCAATTCACTTTCCACGATAGCTGCTCCGTTGGCTTTGCTGGAAGAAAGCAGTCTGCCAGGACTTAATTCGGAGGAATCAAGGAGTCTCCGATAGAAGGGTTCACTCCCTGTTCAGGTACGTGTATCTCGCTGTGTCTCTGCCTGGATAAAGTTCTTAGGCCTTTGTCGGCATATTTGCACACGCTGTACCCATATTACCCATCTCTTGTCGGGCCTGCGGAGGGTGCTCCAGATCACGCAAAACGGTAGTGTCCAATGATCTGTTCACGCCTCGCGTGTCAGGCGTCTTTCGTCCGCATGGCACTGGGTACTCCAGTACCTCAGCAAGGCTGCCGCCCTCCTGGAAGTCCAGGTTGAGAAAGATAAGGTTCCACATGTCAGGAACGAGAGCCAAAGTCTTAGTGAGCTTCCGCCGGCCCCTGCGGACCCAGGCCCATGTACCTGTGGAGTCTCCAGAGTCTCCTCCGTCTCCCTCACACTCCCTCACGTTTCCCTCTCTTGTGGCGTCTCCCCTACTGTCTCTTCCTCTCCTCTGTTACGTTCCCATCCTTCCTCTTCCCCTTGCCGAAACCGAACGGGTACCCAACCGAGTTGGTCCACTCTCCCTCCTCCTGTCTACTCCAGAGTCATTTTATATAAGTGCCAGCCACTCCTCTTGTCACCTCCTCCTAGCCATGGCTCCCTTACACACTATCACCACTTACACCAACCTAAGCCTCACACGCATGCTCCGGGGATGCCACCATACTATCTCCAAGACTGCCACTATTTCTACCGCACAGCCCTGCGCGGCTTGAACATCTGCACCTACGTCTCGCCTCTTCACGCATAAGCAGGGTTCAACTGGCAAGCTAACAGCCATGCCAACACAAGTCCGAATTTTCACAAAGCCCCAGTCTCTGGACGAGACTCTGGCAAAACCGGCAAAGCCAACATTGGCACAGCCACCTTACGTCCCAAGATCGGTGCCCATCTATCCCGAGATACCCAAGCCGACCATCCGCTGTTCGACGCCTAGGTTGCCGCTACCTCCCGCCATGTCTGTCTACGACGAGAAGCGCGTGGAAGGAGGCATTACCTTTGCACACCAGGACAAGCTCCCAAAGCTCCCCATCCCGGACCTGAAGAGTTCCGCGGAAAAGTATCTTGTTGCTCTCAAGCCACTCCAGACTGCACGAGAGCATGCTGAGACGAAGCATGCTGTCGATGAGTTCCTCAGGCACGATGGGCCTGAGCTCCAGGAGAAGTTGAAGAGGTATGCCGAAGGGAGAACGAGCTATATCGAGCAGTTCTGTAAGTCATAGAATATCTCCGCCATGGTCTCCTTGGTAGATGTGTCACTGACTGTGACACAGGGTATGACTCGTATCTCAACTACGACAACCCCGTCGTGTTGAACTTGAACCCCTTCTTCCTGCTCGAAGATGACCCGACTCCGGCCAGGAACAACCAGGTCACACGAGCTGCCTCACTGGCAGTCTCGGCCCTCGAGTTTGTGCGAGCTGTCCGCAAGGAGGAGTTGCCGCCCGACACAATCAAGGGTCAACCGCTGGACATGTACCAATTCTCTAGGCTCTTCGGTACTGCCCGAGTACCAACAGAGAATGGATGTCAGATCGAGCAGGACCCAGACTCGAAGCATATGATCGTCATGTGCCATGGCCAGTTCTACTGGTTTGATGTCCTCGATGACAATTCGGATCTCATCATGACGGAGAAGGATATTGCCATCAATCTCCAGACTATCATCGACGATGCCACGGAAACCCCTATCCAGGAAGCTGCCAAGGGAGCCCTCGGCGTCCTAAGCACAGAAAATAGGAAGGTCTGGTCCGGGCTGAGAGACGTCCTGCTGCGGGACGAGGGCTCCAACAATGCCGACTGTCTGAACATTGTCGACTCGGCGCTGTTTGTCCTGTGCCTAGACTACACAGAACCAGCCACCGCCGCCATGCTGTGCCAGAACATGCTTTGTGGATCGAGTGAGATCGAGAAGGGCGTCCAGATCGGCACATGCACCAACCGATGGTACGATAAACTGCAGATTATTGTTTGCAAGAACGGCAGTGCAGGTATCAACTTTGAACACACGGGCGTCGATGGGCACACCGTGCTCCGGTTCGCCAGTGACGTCTATACCGACACCATACTACGCTTTGCCCGCACGATCAACGGGCAGGCCCCAACTCTCTGGGCATCGACAAGCCCAGACCCGTCGAAGCGTGATCCAGAGAGTTTTGGAGACGTCAATACGACACCTCGCAAGCTCGAGTGGGACCTGACGCCCGAGATCAACATTGCTGTGCGCTTTGCCGAGACCCGACTCGCGGATCTGATCCAGCAGAACGAGTTTGAATGCCTCGACTTTAGTGCTTACGGCAAGAACTTCATCACTTCGATGGGCTGCTCGCCCGACGCATTTGTCCAGATGGCATTCCAGGCTGCCTATTATGGCCTGTACGGCAGGGTCGAGTGCACGTATGAGCCGGCCATGACCAAGATCTTCCTCCACGGCCGGACTGAGGCGATCCGATCGGTGACCGAGGAGTCTGTCAACTTTGTTCAGACATTCTGGGCGGACAATCCGGCGGAAGCCAAGGTTGAAGCTCTTCGCAAGGCGTGCCAGAAGCATGTCGAGGTCACCAGGTATTGCGCAAAGGCTCAAGGCTGTGACCGCCACTTCTATGCGCTCTTTTGCCTCTGGCAGCGGTTGGTCGACGAGGAGACTGCAAGCATCTTGAGCAGTCCGCGATCATCCAGCCCTTACGACGGCAACTCGGACCAGGCCTACGAGCTCGGCAGCAGCCCAGGAAAGCAATCTGCGGTCTCACAAGACGGTGAGATGCAGACTCTGGCCCGTGCCAGGGGTGATAGCACCACGTCTCGAACCAACGGCGCGACCCTGCCTCTGATCTTTGCCGACTCGGGCTGGGACAAGCTCAACCAGACCATCCTGTCGACCTCAAACTGTGGCAACCCTTCCCTGCGACAATTCGGCTTCGGTCCCGTATCGGGTGAAGGATTCGGCATTGGCTATATCATCAAGGACGACGGCATCTCCATCTGCGCCTCCAGCAAGCACCGGCAGACGAAGCGCTTCATCGACACCCTGGAGAGCTACCTGCTGGAGATCCGCCGGATCCTGCGCATCACGACCCGCAAGGCCACGATGAGCAAGCAGACGCGCGCCCGCGAGATTGAGCACACCCGGCCCAAGCCCGTCAGCCGGATGAAGTCGCGCGGCAGGATGATCACGGGGGCCGAGATTATCAAGTCGCAGCGGTCTGCGACGGGCACGACCTCGCCTACGGACGAGAGCGCTACCCTGAGCGAGGATGATGAGCTTGGTGGATGTAAGTTTTTTTCACTGGTCCCCCCTCCCCTCTCTGCACGTTTCCTGGATGGCATGGATGGCTGACTCGGTACCCTTGCTTTCCAGATGGCTTCTTTGACGCTGGTATGCTCCTGCAGGCGCTCAAGGCGCGGGGAGAGAACCTGGACTCTGGCGAGACTCGCCCTTCGGAGCGCGCCCAAGTGCAGGCGCGCCGAAGAGAAGTTGGTAAGAAATTGCGCTTGATTGATTACTAGTGCGGCAGATGATCAAATTGTGTTGCTAGGGCTCTGATGTACAAAACATTCGTTTGTCCGTGAGGGTTCCTTCCAAGGCGTTTTTTTGTGTTGGACGAGCTGGTCTTTGGGGTGATTTGGAGGGCAGAACTCTATCTGATTTCTGAACATGGTTCGTTATGCGCGAGGAGGAAGGGAATTTCTGGCATTGCTGAGCGTTTGTTTCGGGCTCGTGTGTCGTCGGGTCGAGGGGAGGGCCGCACTTGCTGGGCATATGCATCACAGCGTCTATGCGTGCGTGGAGTCTTTTCTGTACATATCATGAGCGCTCAACAGCTGGACCCAAGCAGCAAATATCTAGAATGTCCCATTTTTGCATATGAAACGACAGAATGACCAGGTTCTGGAGTGATTGGACGTATGTGGTCTGCAGGTCTCTCGGGGGAGGACGTGATGTCTCGGCGTGAGACGGCTCGGCCCTCTGAAGGCGGTCCGAGAAAAGAATGGACGAGGCTCTGTGTAGTCAAGTGGGTGTCTGAATGGTTGACGGAAGTTCATCAGGAGCTACCTCAGTCTTAACAATCAATATCCTTGTCGCATCCTTGCCCTAAGAACTCGGAAGGGCTATCCCACTACCTAAATCTGATGGGCTTGATAGATAGTCAAGTACTTCTTTTAGCAGTCCGTCAACTAATCTGACCATCACTTGGTAGTCTTGCTTCCATCTGGGTATTTGGAACGTGAAACCCGAGACAGAACGGGAATAACATGAAAAGCTGGTGAGTAACACGGGATCAGCATCGATCGGTCTCTGACTGTGCGCAACCTTGCAACTCCCCGAGACATCCAGCCAGATGCATATGATGTTGCTCAAGACATGATCGAGTTGTATACAGAAAACGGCCCGGTTGTGTGCATATCGTACAAGCAAAGCAGATCGAGGTGAGAACAGCAAGAGAGACAGCATCCCATCTCAATGAGGTTCTCGACTTGGACCAAGGCATGCAACAGAGGGGCGGCTCAGGCATCTTCGGCCCCGAAATGCCCTTCTAGAAGCATCGTCCTCCAGGCGCTAACGGGCACTAAATGACCACCTGGGCAGACGGAATCGATCAACACATCCACTACTGACTTCGAAACCACTTTACGCGTCGCCAACACCACCAAAACGTCCATGACGCGTTTTTTGACACCAATGCACAGGTGAAACGACCTCTCGTCCGATCACATTGATGACTGCACCCGGCCGGACCAGACCTTTGCCGTCGTCGTCGTCGCCGTCGCCGTAGCTGGGGGGTTGGTGCCGCCATAAAAAAAACCCAACAAAAATCCTCCCATGACATGACGGACCTCCTGCGCGTCCTGCCAGACTTCCCCACGGAGCCATACGCCGGCCTGCTGCCGGCCCTCGAGCGCCATGCCGTCACCACCAGCGACCTGCTGACCCTCGAGGTCGCCGACATCGGCAAGCGCACGCAGCTGCCCCTGCTGGACATCAAGCGCCTGGCCAACGCCGTGCTGAGGGCCCTGCACGAGGACCTCGGGGTACTCGCCGCCCCGGCCCAGCAGCAGCAGCAGCAGCAGCAGCAGCAGCCGGCTGCCGGTCCAGAGGTCAGAGATCGGGACGACGGCGAGCGGGAGGAAACTGCTGCCACGAACGAACCAGAGGGGGACGAAGAAGAAGAGAAGGAAGCAGCAGCAATAGCAACCCGCCCGGAGGAGGCACCCTCCCCACCACGGCGGCCAGGAAGCCTCCAGCACACCCTCGCCGGCCTCGAGTCCCGGTGGTCCGCCATCAGCACGCTCGACGCCCGCCTGGACGCCGCGCTCGGCGGCGGCATCCCCACGGGCTACGTCACCGAGATCGCGGGCGAGAGCGGCGCGGGCAAGACCCAGCTCCTGCTCTCCCTGCTGCTCGCCGTCCAGCTGGCGCCCGAGCACGGCGGGCTCGGCCGCCCGGCCCTCTACATCTCCACCGAGGCCCCGCTGTCCACGCGCCGGCTGTCGCAGATGCTCGCCGCCCACCCGTCCCTCTGCGCGCTGGACCCCGAGGCCCGCGCCGCCGTCTCGCTCGACCGCATCCACAGCGCCGCCACGCCCGACCTCGAGTCCCAGGAGCACATCCTGACCTACCAGGTGCCCGTGCAGGTCGAGCGCCACGGCATAGGGCTCCTCGTCCTCGACTCGGTCGCCGCCAACTACCGCGCCGAGTTCGACCGCGGCACCGCCGGGCCGGCGTCGTCGTCGTCCTCGCGCCTCGGCAACATGGCCGCCCGCGGCGCCGAGCTCGTCCGCCTGGGCATGCTGCTTCGGGACCTCGCGCGCCGGCACAACCTCGCCGTCGTCGTCGCCAACCAGGTCGCGGACCGGTTTAACAACCCGAGCCCCGCCGCCGCCGCCAGCGCGTTCCGGCCCCCGCCTCACCGGCTGCACAACCTCGGCAGCAGCCAGCCGGGCGGCGGGCCCGCCGTCTCGCAGGAGAGCCCCCTGGCCTCGCGCAGCCGCGCAGCCGGCCCGCTCCCCGCCGTCGAGCCGACCTCGTCCCTGGCCGCGGCCGAGGCAGCCGCCACACAGTCCTCCAGCCCGCCGCCGCCGCCGCCGCCCTCTATGCCGCCGCCGCCGCCCGAGGACCCGCTGCCTCCCCCGGCCCCGCCGGCCCTGCTGCTCGACCACCAGCAGCGCTGGTTCACCGGCTGGGGCGACGACCCCTTCGCCGACTCCGGCCTCAAGACGCCGAGCCTCGGCCTCGTGTGGACCACCCAGGTGGCGATGCGGATCGCGCTGCTCAAGAGGCCAGCCTACGGGCGGTCCCGGTACGCCGGAGACGAGGACGAGGCCCGGGGGACGCCCACCCTGCGGAACTGGAGGAGGTGGATGAAGGTCGTGTTTGCGCCGCACGTCGCCGCCTCCGGCATGGGCCTCGACGGTGCTACCGAGTTTGAAGTCACCATGGCCGGCGTCAGGGCGGTCGTCAAGGAGCCCAAGAGGTGAAAAATGTATTGACTTGGTGTGTTGTGCCACCATTTTGACTGGGGCGGAGCAATGGCCTGGATGCACGGGCAGTATCAGTTATTGTATATCTACGACGATCAACGGGGCAGGTAGACATGATGTCATGAATTGTTTCGAAACGCCATGTTGGAATGATCCAAGTATCACCAAAGTAACTTTAGAAACGATGAATGATTGATTCACACAATACAAAATCTCGATTAAGTTAACTCCTTGTCCGAAGGTCCGAAACAAGCTACAAGAACAAAAACCATTGCGCCGTTGAATGCAACGCTGTGAGATGCTATGATGTACAGTTTCTGCGTGATGCCCTTAAACTTATCAAACCCCCTTCCCTTCCCTGGCGCGACAAAGCTCAGCGTCTTAAGTCGGGTGAGGGAACTCATCCTCGATCTGCAGGCGCACGCCAACGTTCATACTGATCAGCTCCTGGATCAGCAGCTTCGCGGCGTAGGGCATCGTCATCTCTGTGACTTCCCTTGTGCTCTTGCAAGTCTGGCAGAAACCCTTGTAGCCAAAGAGACCACAGCGCTGGCAGATGTCTATCTTTGTCGCGTCCGAGCTCGTCATGAGACGCTCCAACAACAACTGCGAGGCTCCGTACGCGATGAGACAATCGCGCTCCATCTCTCCCAGACGCAAGCCACCGTCTCGTGATCGACCCTCAGTGGGCTGGCGGGTAAGGATGGCGCGCGGGCCCGTGGATCGGGAATGCATCTTGTCCTGAACCATGTGCTTGAGGCGCTGGTAGTAGATGGGACCGTTGAAGATGTAGGCCTCAAGAGGCTCGCCAGTGATGCCAGACGTGAAGTAATCTTTGCCCTCCCATGAGAATCCACGGGCAATCAGCTCGTCGCCCATGGCCTCAACCGGATGGGATCGAAAAGCGTCTCCATATCCGTATTGCTTTTTCCCAGTAACGACACTCGCCTTTCCAGTGAGACATTCAAACAACTTGCCCACGGTCATACGAGAGGGGAAACCATGGGGGTTCATGATAATATCGGGAACCAGACCACTGTCTGCGAAAGGCATGTCCTCTTGATCGACAATGATTCCCACAACACCTTTTTGACCATGGCGAGACGAGAACTTGTCTCCCAATTCCGGGCGTCTTGTCTGTCTGGTCTGTACCTTGACGACGAGGTTGTCCTTCTCCGTTTGTGATATCATGACCTTGTCAATATAACTTGGGTCCGGCGCACGGTATGTCACAGATGTATCGCGATATTCGTCCGATCCGCGATCAGCCCCAATACCGGTCGAAGCAAGATCCATGGGCGTTTCCTTCTTGATCATGACCTCACCCGCGCTAATCTTGTAACCGACAACAGCGACGCCATGTCCGTCAATGGCCTCGTGTTTTGCACAGATCTGCCCAGTCTGCTCGTCGATCTCAGGGCCACCCATACGTTCAGTGCGGCCGTTGGGATACCTCTGCATTTCCACACTGTGCTTGCGGAATACCTGGCAGCGACCAAAGCCGCGATCGCACGATGCTTTGTTGAGAACGAGAGCATCCTCAATATCGTATCCAGAATAGGACATGACGACGACGGTGGCGTTCTGCCCGGCAGGGAGTTTATCGTAGTGGATGAGCTCAATAGTCTTGGTGATGACCATTGGCCGCTGGGGATAGACGAGGGTGTACAGGAGGGTGTCGATGCGATTGAACTGATTGTATGCAATTGCGCCGATCGCTTGCTTACCCATGGCACACTGGTAGGTGTTACGGGGTGACTGATTATGGTGGGGGAAGGGAATCAGACCAGCAACGGCACCTAGAATCGTGAAAGGCTCGATCTCGAGGTGTGTCGTTGCTGGTGTGCAGTCGTCCTCGTATAGAGCCACGAGAGCATCATTCTCCTCGTTGACGTCGAGATACTCAATAACACCACGGTTGAGGAAATCGTCAAACGTAGCTTTACCGAGCTGGAGGAGCCGTAGGTGCTCTGCATTCAGTCGCGGTGTGCCGTTCTTGACGATGATATACGGCCGGCAGATACGGCCCTCGTCTGTCGCGATGTGGACAGCAGAGAAATGGTTGTTGATGTTGATACTGACGAATGGAGAGATCCAACCACGGCGGCGCATCGTTCTGAAACGCGCTGCAAACCTCTTAGGATTCTGAGTCAAGGCAAATGGAGTGCCGTTGATATGGATAATGTAGGCGCCGGGTCGATGCATCTCTGCCCCCGAGAAATTTCTCAGGGGCTCAACGCCAGTATCAAGCGTGAAGACCCATTTCTTCACAGGGCCTTCCTCAACATGGGTCGTAATGTGCGTCATCAAAGCCAAGTTCTTGACCAAGCCACAAGCTTCTCCTTCCGGCGTATCTGAGGGGCACAGCATGCCCCATTGCGAAGGCTGGAGAGCTCTCGGTCCACTGACCTTTCTGGTCTTTTCGAACTGACTACTGATGCGCGTCATCATGCCGAGAGCGCTGATATAACTGAGCCGACTGAGAACGTGAGTCACGCCAGCGCGATTCATATTGAAGCGCTTGACGCTCCAGTTGCCCGTCTGGATGGCCCTGTTCATACCTGCAGAGATATGACCACCGCTGGCGCTGATCGTGGTCATCGGGTCGAACGCCACCGACTGATGAGGCTTCCTGAAGAACTTGTCGATATGGAACCTCATGTCGACCAAAAACTTCTTGAACAAGTCTTCGAAAAGAAGTGACAGAAGTTGCCCAGCCAACTCAAGTCGCTTATTTCCGACGAAGTCTCTATCATCAACTAGCTTTGGGTCATGAGCAGCCATCAAAACGCGACGCACCATCATCGCTACGTAGACAGCTTTCGGGTAGAAGTCGAGATTTTCGATAGGAACGTGGGCAATGATAATGTTTGCCAGCGCATCCAGACCTTCCTCGACATTATTTCGACGCGGCATGGGACCAGCCTGCGGTCTGTTCTTGGAACCCATCTTCACTCGGGTACCGATGTACTCCAGAGCCTGGTGTTGAGTGAAGACGCCAGCCCTGGTGGCGTCATCAAAGTTGACGGCAAAATCATCCATGTAGCGGCCATCCGAACCAGCAACCATTTGCATGATCTCGTAGTCAGAGAGACCGCCAAGCGCTTTCAGAATGATGACGATGGGGATGTTCTCAACGAGGATGTTGTGTTGGAGCGTGATACGTTCCCTCTTCAGAGTCACATAGGTCTTAGACTTTCTCTCGTGGGTAGAACTAGTCACAGATGCCGAGATGATGTTGTTCTTCTCGTCTGCCTCCACAATGACACGGTTCTTGCTGAGCTGTTCCTGAATCAGGATGACCTTCTCCGTGCCATTGATGATGAAGTAGCCACCAGGGTCCAGAGGGCATTCATTCATGATCTCCATCTGCGCGTTGGTTGCGCCGCTGAGGCGGCACTTGGAGCTCTTGAGCATGACCGGGATCCTGCCAATCGATATGTCCCTCCTGATGACCCTCTGCTTGTCCCTTGTGAAGGCGATATCGACAATCATTGGCGCGCCATATGTCATGTCTCGCAGGCGACATTCCATGGGAGTCACATCGCTTAGAGCTTTGATCTCGCTGGTATCGGCGCGGGTGGGTTGACCAACGCGGATATCCGTGAACTCGAGATAGAAGTCGCTCTTGACATCGCTTCGAATAGTCCGGTTTGCTCGGACGATCTCCTTGATCTCATGTTCGACGAAGAAGTTGTACGAATCAATGTGCCTAGCCCGACAGTCAGTATTCATCTGTGGTATGCCGTCGCAAGCCAACCGGCGAGGGCAGCTTACTGCTTGACCAGACCTAGCGCAACGAGAAAAGGCGAGTCAGCGGATTTGTTTCCAGCCGAGTGAGGCGGCGATGTAGATGGGGGAAAGCTCACCCTTGACCTTGAGGAAGGCTGGCAGAAGCTGGTATTTATCCTCCTTGGTCGAGATCGGATCCGTGAGGCTCTTGCCGTTGTAGAAGGGCTCGAGCAGTGCTTCGAAGCCGTCGTCAATCACCGGCATCTTAACAGAAGCATGACAATTACAATTCTTGCTGAAGGGTATGGATTGTTGAGGCAAGATGACCTGCGGCACGCCTGTGTCTTCACAAAGTCTATGGCTGGCAATGACTGGAAATTTTGAATTTTGCCCCGCGTCGAGTCACGATAAGGGAAGGAACTTGGGCGATAAGATATGGGAAGGCGCGCTAGTTAGCCCGGGAGCTCCAGTCGCGTTCTACGGAGCCTTGCACATGCTTTTGGGAAGGCGCTAGCTACCTAGGTAGGAGTTCCAGGTTGATCAAACAACATTGGTTCAAGACTTCATTCAGACATGCAACAAGCAGTATTGGTTCCCTATTATTCAACAGGAGCTGCGCTCTTCGGATCAACCTCCCTTCCTCGATCGTCACCTAAAGCGAGCTTTGCCAGACAAAAAGAGATTGTCGCAACAGATGGGCGTCAAGCGTTTGCTTGCGGTACCTTAGCCATTGTCATCTTGCTCGATCCAACTGCAGAAGGCGAGCAACTACACACCCGTTGTTCGTGAGGGCACCACGTCATCGTCGACAAGCTTGGTAACCATCCGTGGACACAATTTTGCAAAATGCCGCCTTATGACCTTGGCCCATGACTCTTTTGTGAGGGATATAGGGTTTGAAGCCCAAGCCCACATACTGTCTTCACGCGAGCCAGCCTTCAAAGTCTTCGAGAGGGTTAGTCTGGTTGCCACAACTCCAGTGCTGTGCATAGGCCCGCTTGCGCACAGGAGGAGGGCCCATGCCCAAAACCGTTGACGATCAAGGTGGACTTCCCTCTTGCAGCAAGAATGCAAGTGATAGTTGCATCTCTTAGCCTCCTCACCTACGGCCCCTGCTCGCCTCAAGAGCGGACGTTTCAATAGCATGTACCGGTGCCAGGATGAGTTGTATCTGCAGCTGGCTGCATTGCTTTGCTGGTCTCCCCTCATGAGTTGGTGAGTCAAGCTGCTCGGAGTCCAACATGGATACTTCGAGTTGTAGCCAGAAAAGGGTGTACAGTGAGGCGATTGTTCAGTCTAGGTAGCATGCTAGTTAGGCATTTTCGTATCGCAAAAGTGATTAGGGGCTTCTCGTAAGAATCAGTGTTGGGCATCGGCAAAGATCCCTCGCGTCACGAAAGGATATCATGTCCAGAAGAGGGGCACCGGCTTCGTTCTCAGTGCGGAGAGAAAAGTCGTCTCGGGGATGGTGTACTCGCAGAGCTTGTCCACAAAAGGATTATTCCTCGGTCAAAACGGGACTTGGTTGGGTAGGTTTTATGTGGGCAACGAGTTGGCGACGATGGTCTGGCCTTCTTCTCCACTCGAGCATGACGCCTAAAGAAGCGGTGAAGGACCACTCGGAGGGGAATAGTTGCAGAGCCACCGAAAGCGGCTGCACATGTTGACGCAGCGTCAAAAGGTGCCCAAAGGATTGCCACCCGATCGAGGGACCCTCTGGATGTCGAATATGGGGGCAGCGCAGGTGTGAATGACGGACGAAGGATCTGGTCCCGGTTCACGACAGAAGGACGAGATCTATTATCTGCTTGAAGACCAACACGCGGTCCCAAAGTCCTCAGGATGGGGATTGAATGAAATGACTAAAAAAGACATAACGGGAGCAAGAGGCCTGGCCATCGCATTCGACTACTGTTGTTTTGTTGTCGTTAATGCAGAGGAGGTGGGTTTGGAGCGGGAGATGCGAGCCCCTCGCTGCAAGTGGCAATCCATGTTCGTCACAGCATGAACAGCACCGTATGTTCCAGTGATCGGTTGATAGCGCGCTACTTGGCGATGATCTAGGTTTCCTTCTGCTGTACGACCATCGTTCGACAGGTGTCGAATCAGCAGTTCGAAGGAACCGTTCAACACAACCACCTTTATGCGTGTGCGCCATGGCGGACACGCCCAGCCCGTTGACTGCAGACCACGAACAAACACAACAAAAACGCCAGACGGATGGCTACCGAGAAAAATAGTCCGTAGGTACGAAGTAGGTAGTTTCATCAGCGGCTGAGAAACGAGGGGGGCACGCGCTAGGCTGGATGTAAGACATAATGTGGGCTTTGGGTCGACGGGAAGACCCTGCAACCTGGAGTCGAGAAATTCTTTCGGATGGTCAATCAAAGGCGTTGTTCACTAAAGCACTTGCGGATAGTTGCAACACCAGGGTGCGGCTCGAGAAGGGACGGCGTTCTGCCGGCCTTCGCATTAGCGCACCCCGTCAAGTGAAGGAAATTGAAGCAAAGCAAAGCACATGGAGACAAGGGGCCTTCCGCCGAGGAGAGTCAATGTGGTTCGGACGAGCCGCCTCGATGATCGTTTTGCCGTTCAAGGGCCAGTCTTCTCGAAGCCCTGCCGAACTTCATCGACAGTCTGAAAGCCCCCTCGGAGATTTTGCCCGCTTCCCTGATCTGTGAAACCACTGGCGCCTCTTGTTGAGATTGTTTGATGATCGAGACCCGTTTCTGTGGTCCCCTATCGATTCCTGTTCCGGGTAAATGCGCTGCTAAACCCCACCGCGCCCACCATGTCAACCACGCCAGCCACGCTCGTCGACCACACACATCATTTCTGACAACCGGACACCACACACCCCTCTAGCTGAAGGATGGTGGTGACAACTGTTTGGGAAGATAGGCGGCACCCTTAAAAGGGTACCGTACCTACCTGTCCTTTAAGCGGCTCGAAGGCGATGCCACGGATTGTCCAACTCGACGAGAGAAAACCACACTATCGCTACTACTGTTGAAGCGGGTCTTCACGTTTCTTCATGTTTGCGATGGGCAATCAGCAGATCCGAGCTGCGCAATGTCGAAAACATCTTGCCACGGCGGTGGATGCCGTGGATGGGTCCCCTCCAAAGCACTGACTGGCTCATGTACTCTGCAGTGGTGTCGATAACTGATCGCTTGCCCGCCTCATGTACACAAGTCACGGCCTAACAAGCGCCAATAGGGCTTTGCACTGTTTCATCGGCAGCATAGGTACAGGCAGGACACATAATCGGTTGCATAGACTTGCTGCAGGGACAGGGACTGGACCTGGGGTAGGGTACAGCCTACAGGCCATACAGTCCAGCTCGAGAGCGGGAGGAGCCCCGGCGACTGGCTCTTGACCTTGAGCGCCGTGACGCTGCTGGATGTGATAGGCAGGCTGGCTTTGAATGGGATCCCACACCGCTACGCATCCTGCAGGTATGATGTCAAGGACAGGAGTATCATTCGTCCTTACTACACTGGCAGAGCGCGGGGCGTCGGTTCTGGTCAGGCACTCGATCTTCTGAGGAACTCTTCTCAATGGACAGTATCTTACTGGCCGCCACATATGCTGCGTGCTCCAGAGTCATTGCCAAGGGCCATGGGAGTACCTAGTGAGACAGTCCCGGCCGCGGGTAGTACGGCCATGTCCATGCCTCCGCCGAAAACAGTACCTCCAGAGAATCCGTTGGACGAAGCACTTCGTCTGCAACTGTCTCGTTGGCCCAGGCTCTCCGTTCTTGGTCCGATGTCCAACTGGCTCTGGCGGGCCACTCTGTTGAATCGGGAGGCTCAATCCTGCCCCCTCCTTTTCCTTGTGCTCGCTTGCCCTTTCCAGGGAAGGTGAGATATGGTGGGGGATGTGGATGATGCTTGGCCCCAGTGGAGGAGGCAAATAGTTGCAACTTGTGTAGGTATGTACTGAGCGGCTCTTGGGATAGAGTCCTTCCTCTGCCCAAGGGAACTAAGCACCGAAACTGTACCAGTAAGAAATAGCTGGAGCTTTCTGGTCGAGAAGCAGGCGAGTCGATATCGGTATAGGGCGAAGAAACAAGAAGTGAAAATAAAAGTACAAAACACATAGACAAGATTGAAGCATCTTGTATTGTACAAGTTGAGCTTGGCAAGGAGGGGTCTCATGGCTCATGGTGTGGGAGCGCTAGAGGACAAAGGCGTTTAGGAGGGCCGAAGCTCATCTTAGCGGGTTCTCCCCTAGCCTGTCACCTGCAATGTCATTGGCTGCACCCCTCTGCCGCCTAGTCTCCACCAGGACATCTGTCAGGGGTTTCTCGGACCGCTCTGCGCTCACAGTTGAGTGCTGCGTTGCGTTGTGCTCAACTGGCCTGTTTCCAAGTTCGCTGTTTGTCAACTTGCCGGGCAGTGCTATCGCTTCTCTACCTCCTTGTACTCAGCATCGCATACAGCACACACCCAGCTGTAACCTGCCAGAACGCTGTACCTACTTTGACCCTTGCCAGCACTGACCAAGTTACCAGGGGCGGCAGAACCTGGCCGCTCCACTACCACCTTAACCTCGCTCGCTCTCTCTCCCTCACACACACACACACACGGGTACGCTCCGCCCACGCCCACGCTCACCTTCTCCTCTTTCCAACTCCCCCACGCTCTTTTTTGCTCTGGTTTCGCAACTCTTCGCTGCTCTCCTGGCTCTCCAGGGTGCGCAGACCTGTGTCTAATAGTTGTATTCAAGGTGAGTTGGGTCTTCTCGTCTGTTGTTACATTGTCTCTCTTTCTCCTCTTCACCAGACATGATCCGCGGTTGGCCTGTCCACTTCTTCATTGGCGCCTCACGAGGGAGGTGGCGGTGGGAGTTGCAGCACCCCTACACACAGCAGCCCTAAGAGGACCAGGCCAGAGCCTCGGAGCTTTGCACACACACAACCTTGACTCTCCTTCTGGGCCCTCAAAGCTCTTCGCGCCCTGCCTCCTGCATCCCTGCGTTCTCTCTCTGCTGTGACATATCGAATATGTATCGTCAGCGCTAACTCGTCTTCCCTCCCCTGCAGTATCATATAGAGAGCTCCTCGATTGCCCCTAGGGCCGTGTACGAAAGGTTGTCGATATTGTAAAAATGGACGAGTTACGCTTCCGGTCCCAGCAGTCTCCGAGAAACGAGTCGCCGATGAATCCCTTTGTGTCTCCTCCTCGCAATGGCACTCGCATCACACAGACGGTCGCCTCCCACGACCTTCGATCCGCTCTGCCTCGTCGATTCACCACCGACTCGGGTCGTGTACCAACATTGTCGTCTTTCACAACTCAGAGGGTTCCGGAACCCCAAGAGTTGCCGACCGCTACGGTATGCTGTTTCCTTGCTCTCAGGCGCGCGACTGTGGCGGGGGCATGGCCACTCCTTGTCAGTTGACACGAGGCTGACTCTTCTCTAGACTTTCAACAGAGTTCAACTGGTATGCCAGCTAGATCGTCTTGACTTGAGCAACCAAAGCCATGAAGCGGCGGAGGCTGTGTGTGGATTCTGGACACCAGTGCTGACCCTGTTCATAGCTTGAGAAGAAGAGAATGGAATACGAGAAGCTGCGGGAGCAGAGGCGCCGTTTCGAGGCCGAGATGCAGAAACTGGATCAGCAGCAACGACGAGAGGAACAGGAGCTCGCTGCTATGGAGGAGACCTTTGTACGAATCGGCCCCAACGGCTTCTCGGGGCATCAGTCGGAGCCCACAACGCCCCCCGAGTACCGTGAGACGTCTTCGGGCTTCCCCTCGATGTTCTCTCGGCCCAATCGGTATTCTATGTCGAGCCTGACATCGCCGCCTGGCCTGTATAATCGACCGGCCCGCTCTGGCTCGCAGCTGGCCTCCCCGCAGTCAGGCATCATGCCCCAGTCGCAATCACGCTTCACCTATGATGACCAGCTGCCCTCAAGATCAGTCCCTGGGACAAGAAGAAACAGCGATGAGGATGAGAAGGAGCAGGCTGTCCGGCAGGACCCTACCAGTCATCGATCTACCAATGCGTACGTACCCATCTCTGCCTTATCCTTTTGTCGATCCGTTGCCTGTCTAGCGAGCGCTTGACAGCCGGCAGCGGGTTGGGAGCTTCACTGCCTACATGTATCATTTTCGGCTTGGTTTCTCAGGTCTGCTCGCTCAAAAGATTGTCACTAGAGGGAGGAGTGTTGACAAAGTTCTCACAAATTTGTGACCACACTCCTTTCCTTGGTGACATCAGACGAGCGTAGGTTGAAAATCCTCCAACCCAACTCTCGTCCCTCTCTTTCTGTCCTCTTCTTCTTCCTTCTGTCAAAGACGAAAAAGAATCACATCTTTCTCTCCCCTCGGACCCAAGTCTTCAAATAATTCTACCGCTTCGGCCACACCCTATCTTTCCATCATAGCATCATCCCCACCCCTGAGCTGCTGCTGCTTGAAACGCTTCTCAGATCTCAGGATCTGAATCGCGTACCGACGAAGCACAACACATTCTCTCACTTGTCCACCTCATACTTCACACGCTTGACCACTCGAGGTTGTAATTCTACTGCGGCCCCTTGCCTCTATCGTCCCTGATTACTCCTCGTTCACTCCTAAATCATCTACAAGTTCATAACGTCATTCAGAAGCTTCTACTCACGTCAATCTCATAGCCTCAATCGCTACTCGATGCCAGTGACTCGGTCGAGGACCGGCTTTTACGACGTCAATCTCGACCAAACCAACACTACCCGGTTTTTGTTCGGCGACGAAGACGCAACCCACGACGTCAAGTACCATCAGACCGCAAAGATGGACGACAACTTCCCAACACTGACGCGACGAGAAGATCAGCCCAACATGGTAAGCTCCGAGGTTTTCCCGATATGTTTCTGTTCCCTATTCCCTATTCAACATCACGCAATCACTTTCCCATCAGAGGCATTCTCACCTGTGCACTCTCGGGCTATTGTACACGACGGCTTCATTCATTTCTCACTTTGCGACCTTATTGTTCATCGTCCGATCCGATCGCAGGCAACAATAGCCTCGAGGTCGAACCCTTTTTCTTTCTTTCTTTCTTCTTTTCCCACCCAACCCCCTATCGCGTCGCTGCAGCTATTTAAACTCTCCCACCTCCCCCTTGATTTCTGCCTTTCCTGCGCAGTCCTCGCTCAAATCCATCTTCCCACGCTGCACTGCTGACAACTGTTTTCTCCCAGTTGTCTGCATCTTCTGCTGCGTTAGACCTTGCTTTATCGCAATCTCCTGCTCCCGACGGCACGTCACCTAGTGGTTGGGGCACTGTTAACCGCCACCGCACTCAGCAGAGTCTTTCCGCGCTTGGCACCGCTCAGATGAACGGCACCACAGCTGCCTCGACTGCTCAGAGCAGCTCGAGCGAAGTCGCGAGTCTTGGCGGTCGTCCTTCGTCCGTGCGTCACTCCATGGACTTGAACTTTTTCGCCGAAAACTCAGCTGATTCGCCCACCAAGATGATGCAACCCCAGGCCAATTCGGTTCACTCGACTCCCCCCAAGTTGCAGAGCTCGTTCTCTTCCAACGACGTGCCTACTGTTAAGAACACCTCTGGCACTGGCGTCTCTGCCTCGAATGCGAACAATCATGCCCAGCAGTACCTGCACAACCACAACGCCAGCATGGGCCGCATTCCTCCTGGTGCTATGCCCAACCGCCATAGCCGCGAACTTTCGACTGACAACAATGTTGCTGTCACTCGCGACCCCAACACTGGCTACGCCTCTATTGGCTCCGCCCTCCATGCCAACGCCCCTCCGTTCAATCATGCTGCTATGCAAGGACAGTCCTTGGGCCCTAACAACGGAGTCACCTCGACGGTCCCGAACAACAACTATGGTGCCTACTACAACGGCGGCGGCGGCAACTTCGCTCCGAACGGCAATGGACCAAGCCCTTATCCCAACAACATTCCTCTGCTGTCGGCTCAGCTCCAGGGAATGTCTGTGTCCGGCGGTTCCATGTATTCGCAGCAGAACTTCACAGGCTACGGATCGATGTACGGGACTCCCAACCAGACACGCGATAGCCAGGCTCGTGTCATTCAAGCTCGTCGACAGGTTGACAATGAGGGTATGTTCTCTTGGGTCATGACACAGTCCACACTTCCTTAGCTAATCATCTTGTCGCAGCCATGAACCGCTACAACAACGTGCCCCTCGAGTCTGTGGGTGGCACTATCTATGAGCTTTGCAAAGATCAGCATGGTTGCCGTTATCTCCAGAAGCAGCTGGAGAACCGCATCCCGGATCACGTCCACATGATCTGGCTGGAGACCAACCAGCATGTTGTCGAGCTCATGACCGACCCCTTTGGCAATTATCTTTGCCAGAAGCTTCTCGAATACTGCAATGATGATGAGCGCACAGTCCTAATTCAGAACGCTGCTCAGGACATGGTTCGCATTGCACTGAACCAGCACGGCACACGCGCTCTCCAGAAGATGATCGAGTTTGTGTCTACTGAGGCGCAAGTTCAGATTATCATCGAGGCTCTTCGCCACCGCGTCGTTGAGCTCATCCAGGATCTGAATGGCAACCATGTCATCCAAAAGTGTCTGAACAAGCTGAGCGCTGCCGACGCTCAGTTCATCTTCGACGCTGTCGGAGATGCCTGCGTTGAAGTCGGTACACACCGCCATGGCTGCTGTGTTCTTCAGCGCTGCATTGACCACGCATCTGGCGACCAGAAGGTCTGGCTGATCGGCCGGATTACCAGTCACGCTGTCACTTTGATCCAGGATCCCTTCGGAAACTACGTTGTTCAATACATCATCGATCTGAATGAACCCAGCTTCACTGAGCCTCTTGTCGGTCAGCTGAGCGGTCGTATCGGCCAGCTGTCCCGCCACAAGTTCAGCTCCAACGTCGTGGAGAAGTGCCTCCGTTGCGCCCTCGACCCTTCCAAGGACATGATTGTGGATGAGTTGCTGGCACCCGGCGAGATGGAGCGACTTCTGCGCGACTCCTTTGCGAACTATGTCATCCAGACGGCCCTCGAGTACGCTACCTTCTACAAGAAGCAGCAGCTTGTCGATGTCATTCGTCCCATCCTCCCGACAATTCGATCTACTCCCTATGGTCGGCGTATCCAGGCCAAGATCCAGGCCTTTGACAACCGTAGCGGCCAGTCGAGTGGCCAGATCACTCCTGCGGACAGCACTCAGGGACAGATTCCTCTGCGCCCAAGCCACAATCGTGCCATGTCTAGCAACACCTCCGTCCTCGTCTCGGGAGGTTACAGCAATGGCACAAACGGCATCTCTCCCCGTGGCACTCAAGCTACTTACCCCTCCAGCGCTACACTGACTGTCCCTCCGCCGGCGCCTGCACCTGCGCCGCAGCCCTCTGCTCGTCACGGCCCGATGCAGCAGTATGCTGGCCCCCAGTTCGGTCAACCTGGCCTTCCGCAAGTCGGTGCCCCCGCCCCGGGCATCTCTGGCGCCCCTGGCATCCCTGGCATGCAAACCACCCCTGTCGGTCTGGGTGCTCCTGGTGCTCCTGGCGTCCCTGGTGGTGTTCCTGGCGTCCCTGGTGGTGTTCCTGGCGTCCCTGGAGGTGCCAATGTCCCCGGTTCTGGCCATGTTGCTCCCAACGGTGCTGTTCCGAGCGACAACGCAGACAACACCTGGGTCTAGATATACCCACCTGTGGACTCGACGCATATGCAAGATGCAAAGATGGCGTCCTCTTTTCTTTGTTTGGGGGCACGCATCGTGCCATTTGCAGAACTTGTTTTTTCCGCCACCACGCGAGGGACATGAACGGCATGCTGCCACAGTACGATATTTCCTTTCTTGTTGTTCTCTTCAACATCGAGATGACCCCATGACGTGCACGATTCCACAAAACAAGACCGTCGAGCATCTAGCAATTCTTGAAACAGCTCACAGAGGAGTGCTTCTCGGATTTGCTGTGTTGTACAATAGAACGCTCGACGCATATTCTACCAGGCATTCTTCTTCACTGCTTTCAGTTTGGGACGGTACACTTCATTCATCGATATGCGCGGCTCAGCAGAGGGGCCATACAACGTGGAGGGGAGCTTGGAGGAAACTCGTTGGCTCGACCTCTTGTTCGGGAAGCGCTGACAATCTTCTCTTTCACACATTGACCGCGGGCTTGGGGACAGGCAAGGCATTTGCCACTTAGCATAGAATCTTCTCTCTTCTCTACCAAAAAGGCCGAGGAATAGTTGATAGCTAGCTTTTTACTCTTACTACTGGCCCCTTTTTTTCACCCCATGGTTTTTTTTCGTCTTCTGTCTTGTCATTTTCGGGAACGTTGTCTTCCATCGCTTTTGCATTCTATCCATCCATCCCATTGATGACCATTAAGCTAGCTATAGATAACCTTCATGCCTACTTCCTACTCTCATCTTCCCACCTCTCTCACTCTGCCTCGGGATTCAGATCGATCGGCAATCAGACCATCGAAAGACGGACAGGTTGCTGCTGTGTGTATCGTGCGATGGGCCTTAGGCCCTTATCAAGGGGTCGTCGGGTTGACTGGAGGGAAAAGGGATTTTTTTCTCCAAGTCCTTGTTCAAGGTTGCTTGATGATTCTCGGCTGCGTCCAAGCGTCATCCATCGGCTCGTCTGACATCGAGACAGAGAGGAGGAGGAGGAGGAGGAGGAGGAGGATCTTTGCTATTCTTTTAAAAAGTGCGGTGCGAAGTGGCGGTGCGAAATGCCTGTGTGAAGTACACTTCATCAATTGAGCGTCCGGACGACGAATTACCACTATGCAGGGTTTGCTGCCAAATGTGACGTGACCATCATGAAATTGAGGCACCGGAGAAAGTAGTTGCCTTACGTAGAATGCTCCCAGTCATTCTCCCGGTTACCACAGCCTCTCTGGCGATAGATCGTGGGACGATGTCGATTACTCGGTAACAAAGAGCTCGGGTGCCCAATTTTTCAGAGAGCCTACTGATCGCAGTATGGTACGTGCCAGATATGAATGGGAAATCAAGTCGATGATGATGTATACTCGCATCAGGGCCAAGGATGGCTTGCCTCCGGATTCACTCAAATCAACATTATTAGGACACATGTAGCAACAGTGGACTTGATGGTCATGCCATTTTTCATTTTGATATGCTATCGTGAAACCCCCAGACCGTAACTCAATCGAAGCCCAGAGCATGCTAACTGTAGAAGGCCCAATTTCTTTTTCCATTCCGTGCAGCAGAAGACACCCCAGAACCTCCAGATCCCTAGCCAACCGTTTACCGGTAGCGCCACAGGGACAGGGTGTTGTGGCGCTTCCAGGTCTTCCTGCGGCCAGCCTGGGTCTTGTTGTAGCGGTGACCCTTGTTGAGACCGCGGGAGCGCTTGCCGGTGGCAGTCAGGCCACGAGCCTCGCGGTGCTTGTGGACGGGGTTGACGATCCAGTTGATGCGGGGGTCGCGGCGGATGGCGGCGTGCTGGGGGTCGACGAGGATGACCTCGTAGTACTTGTAGGTCGAGTCCTGGTTGATCCAGTACGAGTTCAAGACGCGCAGGTTAGCGCAGCGGCGGCCGACACGCTCCTCGGCGGTGGCCTTGAGGGAGCGCTGGTACTTCAGCTGGTTGACACCCTGGTTGGTGGGCTTGCCTATAAAGAGAAGAGATGTGAGCATTCGTGTTTCTGTTTCGTGACCGTCGTGATCTCCATCCGCCACGGCAATGGCAACGTACCATAGGTGGCACCCTTGGGAACCGGGCGCTTGCGACCACCACGGCGGACACGAACGCGGTAGATGACATAGCCCTGCTTGGCCTTGTAGCCGAGGCGGCGGGCCTTGTCAGGGCGGGAGGGACGGGAGGCCCGGTGAATGACGTTCAGTTGGCGAAGCTATATACACTCTCAGCAATTGTTCAACGAGTGTATAGCGAGGACGGAACAAGTCTCATTCTCCAGCAAATGCTGGATGAAAGAACCTGTCCTCGGCCATGATCGCATATTGGGTATCATCGTTTTCAACATACCTCCCAGCATCGGACGCGGAGGAGGAATCGCAGGACATCTGACTGCTTGCGCTTCTGCAGCTCTTCGACGTACTTGAGGGCACCCATTTTGGCTGTTGGTGAAGGAGCGTATTAGTAAATGGCTTGGAAGAGTGATTGGGAGGATACTGTAAGTGTGAGGGGGCACATACCAGAATCTGTCGATGATTCTCTCCCGGTGGTGGAATTACTGGCTGATGGAAAAGATCACGAGAAATTTCTCGAGAGATTTGCGCTTTGGGAGAAGGGCAGAGCAAATTGAGAGAAAGTGTGCCCTAATCTCAGAGACTAATCCATCTTTGACCTAGCGCGGACCAGTTTTCTGAGGTCTGCTAGATCACGTGTGGTGGGGCGAACCTGACGCATTCTCTTTTTGCTTACATAAGTGCTCCTGCCCTGCTGCACTTTTCTGTACGGAGACATGGTGGCTGATGCTGACTGTTTGGGCAGGTCCGGGTGTAAGTCACGACTTCATATGCAAGCACGAATGGATTGTTTGGTACTGGCTTCCTAATCATTCAACCTGTGCCATCCGCATTGGTCCCGAGCTACAGAAGATGGAATTACATTGTAAACAGAGTTCAACGATTTGTTTCTTGGTTCTTGCCAAGTCCATGTCGTCCTCGTAGCGAGCCGTAGCAAGACCCTTCGTCCCTGTCAAGCCAAGAGATCCTCCGCTCAGACTGTGAGATGCTCAATCTTTTTCGACAGTCCGGATTATATCAGCAAAGGCGTTGAACTGCTCCCTCATTGTCTGGCCCACTGTCGCCTTCCTCTGCACCTCTAGGGTCTTGTTGAACAGTCCTATCGCGGCACGGCCTGTTTCTCCCAGCTCGTTTCTCTCGGCAGTCAGCTCGTCTAGGCGGTGGTCGGGACTAACAATCGTCTGAACAACCCTCTCTCCAAACTGGCGGCCGTAGGTGAGCAGTTGAACGAGCTGTTCGTTGTCCTGTCTCCACACGTCATGCGGCACCTCTGGGGTGAAATCTTGAGTCTGGCGATTAGCAACCTCGTGCCTCTCCAGTATGCTGCGGCACGCCGTCATGATTTTCCTGCCAGTGTGATACAAAGCGTTTGTCTCACGCCTTCTCTTTCTGTCGTTACCACCACGGGAAGAGAGTGTAGACGGTCCCGTAGCAGCGGCAGAAGGATCATCCTTGGAAGCCTTGATGCTGGCTGAAATTTTCTCGAGTCGCTCACTGTGCTGCGCGACGATGCTAGTGCTGTTTGCTGATGTTAGTTTGGGACCGTGATAACCAGACCCGCTCCGCTTACATCTTTTCCTCGGCGCTTTCAATGTCCTTGCTGATGTCCCCCTGGGATGCGGCAACTGCGGCCTGAAACTTGGCGAGAAAGTCTCCCGAGGAGTCGGTTTCCCTCTTGACCTGCTTCTGGTGCCACGAGCCCCAGCTTAAGAAGTCACTTCTCGCCAGTCAGCGGCAAGAAGATTCAGCTAAAGGATATTCTCAACTGACCGGCTTGACTGGCGCCCCTTGTCTTCCTCGTACTCATTCAACTTGGATCGCGAAGGTTGCGCGGTTCTGGTTGTCTTGCGAGGCCGTCTAGTGTCTCCTTCCTCGTTCAGCTCGTCTTGGCTGCCATTGGATTCCAAGGTTATGGCCGAGGCCGATGCCTTGGGCTTTCTCTTGCTCGTAGCAGGTGCCATGACAGGATCTGGGGAACGAGGCAAATCCGGCAGGCGACTCGATAGCAGATGACTGGTAAGAAAGGCTTCAGACCTCAACAAAGCCTTCCCATGCAAGCACTTTGAATAGATGGATAGTTTTGAGCGTGGGCGAGGGAAGAGGAGGAGGGAAGAGGAGCCATTGTGTTATTATTATCATATGTGGAAGGTGCGGGAGTACAATAGCGACTGCATGCGACTGTCGGAATAGGAATCTCTGCTTGTCTTTCCTTTGGAGGGAAGGAGCCTAATCATCTTCCCGCAGACAGTACTTGCCCCCGAACATGGACAGCTACGACACCATGGGTCCAGGCTGCAAGGAGAAACAACCTCGGATCTTCAAACATTCAATGGATTTTAGAACCTGGAATATTGTAACAGAGACAGCAACACGTCACAAGGACCGGACCTTGGCCGTGAATACAATACTCGGCAGTGATCATTTGGGGTAGGTCTGAAGTAGCACAGAATCGGGATAAAGGTAGAATACCTACATACTCAACAAGCAAAGGACATCGCTCAAGCTCGGCATGTCCAGTCCGTACAAAGAATCTCCGCTAGCCAAAACCAAAAACGTGCCTCCTTTTCGAACTTGGGTCATATACACGCGCCCCTTGTTTGCCGACCCCTCTTGCTCTTTCTATACGGTATGTGTAAAACAAAAATTATTTACCCCCTTTTACATCATGAAGATAGGAAACGCTCCCCATCCCCTTCCAAACCGGGTTCAGGCACATACCAAACTCCACGAAAAGGAGGACGGCACCGAAGGACGTGCCAGAGCTCGTGAACGGACACTAGTCCACCCGCTGACGCCTCCAAAGAACAAAACAAAAAACGACGAGAGTTCCGTATTCTATCTGGACATATATCATGCTGTTGCAGAGCAGTATGATCAAATGATCAATCCCCGCTCCGTTGTCGTGCTCTGTATAGGTGTATCCTTTATGATAATCAAAACGAGTGATCCTCTTGACGCCAGCCGGGAACATCTTAGCAAGAAACCAGAGAGCAAAAGTATAAGTAAGGACAAGAATGAACGGAGGCTGTTGAATAAGGTCAACAACCATATAACCGAAATTCAGCGAGAGTTGAGGGAAAGACCCTGGAAAGACCCGACCCAGTCTCCCGGGCCAGCAAGTGGAGAGACGCTCTGGTCATGGGGCGAGGTAGCTGATTGCGGGCTCGAGAAGCGTCCACGTGAGCCTGGGTAGTCAGCTCCTTGGGGATAACCGGAAGCAAATGGTTCTACCGGCGACCCATATGAGTTGTTCGCAGGGCGGTTCGTAGCCCCAAAGGCGCCATACGGCGTATATGGGTAGCCAGATGGCACGTAGCCGCTGCCTCCAGCACTAGGCCTCTCAGCGCCGAACGATGCGTTGAAGGACATCGCAAAAGGCCGGGGAGTCGCACCAGCACCAGTGCTGCCAAATGCCGCCTGCTGTTGCTCTTGCTGCGGGGCTGGTCGTCGTTCAGAACCGTTGGGCCCCCGTCCGACACCAACAGCGCCAGGGCCTATGCCACTTGGGGCCTGCAGGCCGAGAGGCTGGCTTGCGAAGGAGGCCGGGTTGATTGCCGACATCCAGATCCGGGTTTTGTATATTTTGAATAGGTCCGTAACGAGTGAGTTGAAGTTGATATACGAGTCGGCAAAGTAGTAGAACGTCAGCTTCTTCCAATCCCTAGTGAAGTCATTGGTTAGAACATTCAGTCAAACATGCGATGTAATCACAACTTACATTTGGAACTCGGCGTCGAGGATTTCCATGTTCAGGCCATGCTCTTTGACCTTTTGCATGCACACACGCTTCGCTTTGGCTTCATTGCCTTCCTTGTCCCGTAGCGCTTGAACTTCGTGGTTCTGCGCGAGCCGCTTGATGAGCTTCGGTTTCAGCTCGCCTGAGTTCGGCTCTTGCATATGATGCTGGCCTGGCGGGCCCATGCCACCAACCGCACTGCCTTGAAGACCATTGGTGGCGGCCATCAGGCCAGCGCCTGCGCCGTCCTGGGCCACACCAGCCGTCTGCGAGTACATCATGAGCCACTTGTATTGTTCCTCGGCGTAATGTTCTTTGAGACGTTTGGCCTCGACCCAGTCAACGTTGTCCGCTGCGACCGTTCCCAGGTCGGTCCCGCGATCGGCTTCCACAATGACCAAATCTCCAGGTTTGACCGTCAGTCCAGTCCCCTCCTGAATGTAGAACACATCGGCCCGGGCGCATTTGAACAAGACGACATGCAGAGGTGTCGACCGATTCGGCTGCGACATCCCGTACATGCTGCGATGCGGGGATGAGGATCTGTTTGAGAATGGCGCCTGCATACTGTATGGGGCTTGATAAGGATTGCTATACGCTGCAGGGAGGTAGTTGTTGTGGGCGTTGGCAATTCCGGGGCCGCCTGTGAAATATGACGCCGGGGCATTCGAGGGAAAGTTGTGTGGGTCAGAAAACGGAGAGGCGAAGTCTTGAGCGTGCTGAGCCTCTTGAGAAACAGCTTCGTGTGAGATGACAGTGTCGGCGATGGAACCGATCGACCCATGCCTAGTAGGCACGTCGGCAAATGAGTGCCGTCTGCTCTGGGAAACATCTCCAACACCTCCAAATCCAAGGGAGCTCTGCCAAAAGGCCTTCTTCACGTTCTCCAGCTTTCGGTTCTCGAGTGTAAAGGGCGAACGCATGCTTCCTGCGCCGCCGAATTCGCTCATCCTTCGATATGCTGCTCTTTTCCCGCTCAGGTCGCCGCCTTCCTGTGCCTCCTCCAGTTCGTCTATGGCAAAATCAGACTCCTCGGGCACCGATTCCTGTAACCCATAGCCATTGCCAAGACCGTAGGTAGCAGCAGTAGAGGCCCGTGGCCTGATCCGTGCATTGTGATATTGCTGACTCGCTTGTTGGCGAAGCAGAGCGTTCTCGCGCGTCAACATCTCGATCGCCTTGGCTTCCGCAGACTGTGATTGAAGGCCGTGAAGTGGATCAGCCGCATCCTCCTCATCATCGTCTTCGACCTCCTTCACCTTTCCCAGCATGCCTCCATCATTGGACATCTCGCTCAGCATGCTCGGTCGCGATGGTCGGTGCTGTAGACCAGAGTGAGGAATAGTACGCCCAGACCGGGAGTTTAGAGCCGCGGCACTACCCATGGCTGGGCCAACGACATCGGGATCAAGCTGGCCCACAGAATAAGACTGGGAGCGGTAGGTCTTTGGGGTCGGATGTAGAGGGATCGCGAAAGGTATTTGCGAATTGGGCCCTTGCTCTCTGGGAGCTGGGGAGGTCTGGCCTGGGTGAGCTTCTGGTCCAAAGAAGGAGGAGCCTGAAGACCCGGGCGGATGGGTCGAGGTAGGTGATGGCAAAACCTCTGCGAGGCGTGAAGGCGGTTCCTTGCGGTCGTTGTTCCAGATCCCGGTCCCCCATGGAAAAGAGCTTGGGCCGGCGTGGCCACGGCCGAGGATGTTGCCTGGTGCTGGGTGTGTGCCCCATGCACCGGTACCGGCATCGGCAGCAGGGGTGCTCGGGTGAGAGGCGGTCGGTGACATCGAACTGCTGGCGAAGGAGCCCTTTCTTGGACGTGCTGCTGCCTGAGACGTATCATTGAGCCACGAAGCCCTGCGTACCGGCTTCTGGTGCATGGGCAGTGGGGGAACCTCATGACGGTGGCCTTCGGCTTCGTCATCGGAGCTCGCCAATGCTTCGGAATCGGGAGTCGAGCGCCTGTTAAGCTTTTCCAGAAGGATCGCCTGGCTACTAGGGCCAGCCGGGCCAGCCTTCCCTTGGGAGCTTGTTTTGTTAAGAGAGCTCATATCTGTTGGATTTCTAGGATGTAGTCAGGATGGAATGATGTTGTACTATGCATACATTCAGATAGATGTGCTGAGTGGACTTGTCAGGTCTGGTGGCGATGTTCTCTATGTCTGCTGGGTGGTGACCTGCTGACTGGTTAGAGCACGTTCGTTGATTGGCATTGAGGAAGAAATGGGAGCTCCAGAACTGTGGTACAACAACGGCGCCTGAGAACTGCCAGCAGGCTCAACACGATCAAGTACAGATTGAATCAGAGGCGAGGCTGGTGGTGTGCTTCAAGGGTCGCAAAGTGCACGCAGGCTGCTCCGCTACAACTCTCATATCGAACCGACGGCCTCCCCGTGAATTGCGAGGTAACACATGGGCTTCCATGCGATGAACAAGATGCCCTACACTGGATGCTGACCCCCTGCATGGCCTGCGGGCTCCGTTCGTAAAAGACAGCCATGAACCGATGAAACTCGGCAGAAGGACCCCATGTGGTCGCGTGAGGGCTCGACATGTACGAATGCCGCCATGCCATTGCCGGGAATGAAGCACAATTCTTCTCCAAAGGATGGAGAGACAAGATAGCACAAGGAAAGAAATATTTTTAGACTGCGACAGGTACAAGTAACGGGAAACCGCAGAATGCCATGCAAGTTGCTGTATCGACAGGGCAGAGTGGCAAGGAATGGCAAAAATTGGTCGCGAGAATGAAGGGTGCGTGCAGACTCACCAAAACTGACCAGACAGCGAAGTCTATCAAACAGGGTATCGGTACCAGGAAGCTCTAAATCGATCTGAGGGAACGAATGTCTTGTGTGAACTGGCGAAACGAAACGCAGCAGAAATCTAAGATAGGTCGTAAACGTGGTCGAGGGAGGTGTCCCAGACGTCGCCCCGCGCGTCTCCAGTGGCTCGTGACGTCCAGGAAACGAGATGCGCGCGGATTGCCAAAGATGGCGATCTCAAGCCTGCGCACGCGTGGCAGGATCCAGGAGTCGCAATGACTTCCAACCGGCTGTTCGTACACACGAGAGTCTGGCCTCGAACACAATCGGCGGCCTCGAGAAGTTTGCCCTGTCCTCGCCTCCTCGTCCTTGGTGGTGTGCAGAAAAGGCCTGGGAGCTCTTTTGCCGTGCGGAACTGGCTGACCACTGAGGATTGAGACAAGGTCAAGCGCGGCCCATTGTTGGCAAGGCTGGCGGATCGCGCGAGATTGCGAGTGGACCGCTGCTATGGACACCGCCCGGGAAAAAGCGTCACTCAAGGGGAAGGGAAGGAATGGAAGAGAGGTCAATCGACAAGAGCCAGACAGAGCGGGAGAAGCGTGTCTTTCTATGGCCTGCCTGCTCAGGGCTTGTAGTTGCAAGGTATGGATAGGATCGGGGGGATGATGGACAAGAGAGTGCAGAGGAGCGGGGGGGCTTTTTTGGGCGAGCGTTGGTACGGGGAGTGGCTGGTCCTAGCTTCTAGGGGGGGCCACGGCGACCGGGCTAGCAAGGATGGCAATGTCGGAATGCTGTTAAGGTTTCTAGGCGTGTGGAGGATGAGCAGCTGGCGGTACGGTGTCGGTCCGCATCTGTCCAGCCGAGGCGCGTTTGCGCAGTTCGATATTTGATGAATGAAGGGTTGATCCACGAGAAGCTGCCGCTTTGGAAGGATACGGGTCGAGGCGATTCGGAGGAGGATGCTTGGGGAGGAAGAGGGAATACAAAAGGGTGTTGATACTGACTGAATTGGGGACCTGTCTATGAGTTTATGGGGGATCAGGAGGGCGAGAAAGGGTTTAGGTTGGCGCACTAGGTGAGCTTACTTACGTACCTACTTTGGGGAAAAGCAGGCAGGCAAGCAGCCAAGTAAATCGTAGTGGTGTGTGCCGTCTGGTGCCTTTCTGTATGCGATGCGTGCGGAGGCGATTGATGATGGGGCTGGCCGCCACCACCAACAACTACCTAGGTACTTCATACTGTAGGTTAGGTACCTATAGGTAGGTAGGTATTGTGCTTGACTTGACTTTTATTTCGTGTCGCCTCCCTCCATCACCACCACCATCGTGAATGCCAACACCATCCGCGACGCACGGTATGGCAACCAGCGGAATAGACCAACAACGGCTGTCTGCCTCACAGAAAGCACCCGAGCTCCTAACTCTCGGCAAAAGCCTGAGAACTCGATGGCAGTGTACGACAAAAGGTGGGCAGCCAGACACCACACCACGGGGGACACCACCCAGTTCACTTAGTACATCCCCCCCAGTGACAGACTGCCTGAAACGGAAAACGGGGCAGGAATTCTACAGAAGTAGGTACGGAATGTGCTTGAGAGGCTTTTACGCTAAAGTAGATTGCTAGCAGGATCCCTCCGGCCCTTCGCTCGTGACAAACAAAACCAGCATTGGCGTGCCTCCTGCTAGGTAGGCCCGTACGGAGTAGGTGGATTGAATGATTCAAAAGGTTGGACCACTTTAAGGTCGAACTGCGGGGTCTCGAGCTGTTTCTGCGCACCACCCGTTCCCCCCCTCCCCCTTATTCTTGTCCTGCGCTACCAGGATGCCTTTCCTGATTGCGTTAGCAAGCGGAGTATGGGGATGGGATGGCAAGAATGGGTCGAGTGACTGCCACTGGGGTGGGTTCCCAGGTGGCTCCAGAGCTGTCTGGCTCACGCTGGCTGACTCACCAAAGGGGGCAAAGGGGGGTCTCCAAGCGGGCGTGGCGGGCTCCAGTGGGTTCCAGTTTGCAATCCCGAGGTCCCTGATTTGCCCATCACCCATGCCTCCATCATCTCCAGTGCATACGCTAGGGAATGCGGGTGACGCTCTTGATGGGACGGGTCCCCATCTCGACAGTTACAAGTACTCACGGAGATGCGTGTGGGCACAAGTGGGCACGGACAATCTGTATCAGGTGGGTTTTCCTCTTGCCATAATCCACCATCGTATCAGGGGCATGGCACAAACGAAGCGGTCTTGATCACTACGTAAAACAGCCTGGGTCTTGTCAACTCGAGAGCACAAAAGAGCTTCTGTTGCTAGTTGGCATACTTGTGTTGTCATTGGTCTGCTGGCTGAGTACCATATCAGGAAAAGTTTAAGGTTTAGGGTGGGCGTGGAAGAGAAACTTCCCGTGCACCTGCTCACGCCATACCAGACTTGATACGTATGAAGGCTATCACTCCACGCATCAAGACAACTGCCCTTCATGTTGGAGGGCCAAGGACGTCATTCCCGACTGGCTCGGAGTGCAATGTCTATCACTCGCGTCGTCAGCGCAGTCTGGCGTCTTTAAGGCTGCCTACCTGGTTAGCTGTGGTCTAGGCCTTGGATCGACATCCAAAGGCGCGTTCTCTCTACAAGCAGGTATGTTCTAGACCAAGTGATCGAAGTCTATCGGTTGTGCAGTTAGATAGCCCGTGTCTTGAAGAAATTGAAGTTGGTTCGGACTCAAGCAGCCTCGGCGGCGGCCGGCACTTTCCTCTGCTATTTCTATATTGGGCTGGGATTTGCTTTGCATCCTGGAATGATCGATGATGGGATGGTCGACGAAATCCCCGGAACAGAAACAAAAGCAAATAACGGCCCGCCAGCCAATCGTGTCCATGTTGCTACTTATGTAGTCGTTTCGCGACCCAAGTCGAGGATTCCGACACAGAGCTGTAGCCGCAGGCCGAGTCCGACTTCTATTCCCAATGGCAGGCTTGGCTGGCAGGCTTGGCACTCATGCCTCGTCAACTCGAGCGTCTTCAATGGTGCACGCGCCGTGAGTTTTGCTCATATCCTGCTAGCTTCAACGACTTGTCAAACCGTTTGGTGTCAACGCCGCATTACTTGCCGTATTACTTAGTCTGTCCTTTCCATACGCCAGACTGTACACTATCTAAGCTTCAAACACCTGCCCTGCCCAAACTGACTTTCAAACCAGGATCACTAGGATCAAGGATCGTATCAGCACAGACGATCCACGATCCCCTTAAGAGGACCTGCCATGCCTCCCCCCCCCCCTCTCTGCTTCCTGCATTAGTCTATCAGCAAGCTCTGCACCAGAACTGCACCAAGACGGCACCAGGTGACGGACATTGGTCAAAAGCATGCGTTGCCGTGGGTTGGTGAGTTTGCCAATGCGTGAAGGAGTCTTCGGTTGGCACCCCAGACGACGACAATGCGCGCAACTTCAACATCGAGCCTGTTCCAAGGACTCAACTCTCGTCATCAGTGAGGGGTCAAGGCATAGGTCAGTACCTACATATTCACCTAGACTCAAGCAGGTGCTGCTGTACAACCCCAGGCCCATGCTCCCCGCACCACCGCTCTCCGTCCCGTTCTGCGCTCGTAGGACTCTCTCCGCGATCTTGGCCATGCATGCAGAGGCAAGGCCGGAGGGTGGTATTCTGGGGGTTGAATATCGGCTGCAGGGTGTCACGCGGCATTCCTCGGCGCGAGGAGCCTTCTTCGTCCATCACTGCAGGACGGACGAGTTACCTGACACCACCGGCCCCAACCCAATGCCTGCAGACGCCAACATCGATACTGTCCCATGTCCCATGTTCGTTCCATGCACACCATATGCGGGGTTGAACAAGCCAGGCACGAGAACCAGACGATCCTATTCCGAATGCAGTGTCGCCCGCGAAGGAAACCCGGCGCCATATCCAACCATATCCCTGCGTCGCAATGCCTCTAAGTCGCTTGGATAAATCCAGTCCCGACTCGGTGGGCGAAGAAGAAGAGTAAGCGCAGTTTGTGTGTGCTATCCTCAGCCTATCCCCCACAAACTTCGTGCAACATTCATCGAAGCTTCCCCGAACCCATTATTGGCCTGACCGCACACCGACTATCAAACTCGAATCGGCTGCAGCAGAAGTGCAATCGAGCTTGTGACCCTTCAGCAGACCAGACGGTGGCTCTTAGCGACCCGCCAATAACTGCCTCTTTTTTTTAAGTTTTGCTTGGGATGCGCCGCTCCGTTGCATCAAGGGCGATCCTGCAATTCAAGGGGAGGGGGATTACCCCGGATTTGGAGAGTCAGTGAGTGAGGTCCTAGCGCCTTCCCAACTTCGTAGTGGGCGACCTCTCTCCAGTGTTCCCCGTGTCAGTGGACATAGCTCCTTCGCCGGTATCAATATTGATGCAATAGTACGGGAGCAAAAGGTAAAGATGCCGGGGAAGAACGGTACATGAAGACGCGTGTCAAGTCTCATCATGACGCCAAAAAGCCAACCAAGCTTCTCCGAGTCCATGTCTACCGTCTCGCGCACATGGTTGTTCTTTGTCTCGCCATGAAACCATTGCCACCAGCTCTTGGTGGCGCCACTAATTACATTACCCCGCCGGCTCTTGGTAGAGGGAGGTCCTATTACGACACGGTACAGCAAACGTTGGTTCCTCGTGAACTGTTCCGTCATCTCGCGACCGAAGGCCCTCCATGAAGCTATGACTTCATCGTCAGAGGCTTTGTATCAATGGCTCGAAGCTGACATCACACCCCCTTAGGCAAACCCCTTTGAATGGCAGTGCAGGAGGAGGGTTAGTCGTAGTGACCGTCCGTGGTGGCGCATGCAGCTACGGCTTGAACGTTGTCTAGTGCCTACGCTACCTAGACTGTATGTCAGAATACGGCACAGTGAAGAACGCCCAGCTCCATCACGAATGAGACTGTCGAGGGAGTGCCGGGATGGCTGCTGCATGCAGAAGCAGAAGCATGTCTGTCGCTCTCTCGTATGGTTGGCTCAATGCGGCCGTTGACCTGGTGTCTGTTCGCTAAGGACCTTGTACTGTTGGCCCGAAATCATCCACCGAGATCACTACCGATTCCGGATCCTAGCCGTTGATTTCACAAATTGGTCCCCACCAACTTACATTTACAAGTGCATACATGCACCTGGAGACCTGATGATCTGCTGCTGCTGCTGCTCCTCAATGGAACAAGCGGCATCTAATGATAGTCATCGAGAAATAGCCCCTGCGATCGCAGGAGCCGGCGCTGCCAAGGGCCCAGAAGCACTATGACGACAGATGTTCCCTCTTCGTCACCCTGAAAAGGGCCTACCAATGTCTACTCCGTCCTTACCACATGACAAAGTGAGTCGAATACGAACTGCTTGTGCATTAGAATGGTGATTTTACAATTGTTTATGCGTCATTGGGTATATAATAGTACAACATCAATCGACTTGGGCGATATCTCTCCAGCCTTAGCCGGGCACACTATCAAGCGTCCCTGAGGCTGGTACCTCGCCCTTCTGAGCTTTCAGCTTTTCCTCGAACTTGGCAAATTCGTTCATTGCGATTTCTTCCTCCTGGTCTAGTATTTGCGTGACACCCTGAACTTCTTCGATCTGTGAAAAGCAATGTTAGCCGGTCCTACCCGCGGCCAGTGTGGAGGAATGGGTCGTACATAGTGCATAAGCATGCCCTCTATACCGTTCTTGAGGGTGACGGTGCTCGAGTCGCATGTGCGGCAAGCACCGCGCAACTTGAGCATGACCATCCCGTTCTCAAATCCGCGATACTCGATATCGCCACCGTCCTCCTGGATTGCAGGCCTGATCCGAGTCTCGAGAAGTTCCTTGATCATGCCCACAACCTCGCTGTCGTTTTCGTTGTAGCTCAGGCTATCTTCTTCGGCAGCGTCTTGTCCAGCCTCGCCGTCCTTCCTCTCCGCAACGTTCACGATGTTCTGGCCCGAGGTAATCGCCTCGGTAATGAGCGAGAAGATCTCGGGCCGGATGTGCGCCCAGTTTGCATCTGCGGCCTTGCTCACGGTGATGAAATCGGGCCCGTAGAAGACCGAGGTAACGCCATCGATGTTCATGAGCTGCGCGGCCAGCGGGGACGGGTACGGCGGCGCGATTGTAGAGCGCGGGTTGAGGTATTCGATGAATGTAGACGACACTTCCGGCGGGATGACTCGGTGGTTCGGCAAGAACTTGATGGCATCCGCATTGGGCGTGCTCTCCGACTGGATGAAGATGTGTCGTCGTCCGTTGACCTGATTAACGTTGGAGAGGCGCCATGCAGACTGTACCGCCGTGGATCGTGGCCTCAGCCCTGAAGTGCTTGTAGGAAGTCCACTGCGCGCAGCTGTGTGCGCTGTCCTGTAAGCCGTCGCCCAGGTCAACGGCCTTGCAGCAGACTTGGCCGACTGTCCACGGCATAGTAGCGAGGCTGGCGCCCGTAATAGCCTTGTCTTCGTCATTGCGACCGACGTGCTTGAGTAGCAATCGTTGTCGAGTAAGGGTTGTCGTTGAAAAGCCGGAAGTAGTGGCGTCTGGGAAATATTTTATGGCCGGGTGCTAAGAAGGCAATTCTCTCGGGAGGATGGCGGCTGACAAACCGGGGCGCTCTCAGTGATTTGCGTCATTCTTTAGTTGGCCCCACCTAAATTTTCTCTGGGGTACCTGAGCTTTTGCGCCATCAACCAATAACTTCTGGCCTCACATCTATCGACCTTATCTCGCGTCCAACCCAGCTGTCAACATCACCATCACATCAGCACGACATCACCGGTGCCGTCGCCATGTCGGATATACCCCAGAGCGCTGACGGGGATGAGCACGTAGCTCCTCGCGCACATCTAGCGACGGCAGAAGCTTCACAACCAGAGCTTCCGGATAATAGCCTACCAGCAGACGATTCCTCAACAGCACCAAAGCCCAAGCCGCGGACCATATGCGGCGTCTGCAACAAGGAGGCTAGCAAGTACAAGTGTCCAAAATGTCCTTTGGCCTAGTAAGTTAATATACATATCCAAGCATGCATGTCCCCTCGCTGACACGGGCTTTCACAGCTGTTCTGTAGCTTGTTCACGGACACACCGAGACAACCACCCTCCTTCCGAACCTCGACCGCCCGTACTTGAACCGGAGGTGAAGGAGAAGCCCAAGGATAACCACCCTTTTAGCGTCCTTGATGGCTCCATGGAACTCCAACAACTCTTCCGGAAGTATCCGAATCTGCCGTCGCGCCTCAAGCAAATCTACGACACTACTCTCCCTCCGAAAGATGAAAGCTTTGTCAAAGGAGGCCTTCCGACCAAGGTACCTCCAGTGTACGCAAGCAAGAAGAACAACGAGCCCTGGACGCAAGACATTGGTCTTCGGCGTGGGCAACAAGCACTGAGGCAGGCTAGAACGGACCCCGGCGAAGATGGCGATGGCGTCCGTGAATACTGCGAGCTTGTGCTCTACCTGCTGTCCAAGTCCGAAAAAGAGAACGACGTTACTGAGCTCGTACGCCAGGAAGCTGCTATGGAAGATGCAAAGCTGATCGAGAAGCTCATGCAATCCGAAGGCCGCTAATGCAGACTGCTCACGCCGACTAGTCCACCACCACTGCCGAAGAGATATCACTTGGGCAGTACCAGTATGACTGAGAAGCTCAGGTCTTGGAGAGGAGAATGAGACTGCAATGCAACGCTGGCCGTTCTTCGGATCAAGTCTGTTGTTTGTTATTCATCATCCATTATTCGTAAGATCTTGCGCACTTCTAGCCCTTGCACGCCACGCTAATGTTTGAATCTAGCAAAAAAGCCCACTCTGGGTGATTTCGGAGATAGTGGTGAGGTCACGGACTCAGCATCTCCTGGAGACACGACACCCTTCTCCTCCCGGCCGTGCCGTGTCAAACTTCCCCATTTCCCTTTCAATGCCCAAATAGATCCCCGAGATCTCAATGAGCCTTTGAGCTTGTCCTTTGGCTCGTCACTCTGGGTCCAGTCGATACGGTGCTCCGCGGCCGTTGTCGGATCCGCTACCTCATCCTCTTCGATGACAGGCGGGTCCAGGAGCACCATGGACTGACGAATATAGCCGTCCGCTCGATCAATCCGATCTACAAGATCCCCCGTGCTGCTGCGTCTCGGCTGATGTTGCTGATAATCTTCCGTTCTGCGCCAAGGACCGCCCTGAAGAGCATACTGCTGTTCTCGCTCCTCGTCGATCTTGGTGTCCCGTGCTATCGTGTGGGTATCCTGACGTTGAATCCGCTCGACCAGGTGCTCTCTGTGAGTTTGTACGCGCTGCAAGTCCCGCGACTGTTCCGCAGGCCCCGCGGCAGAGCTGTTGGCCGCTAGTGCAGGGTCTGTGGTTGGTCCGTCGAGGTGGAAGGCCAGAGCATTGCGCGATAATTTGGGAACTAGCGCACGCTCACGCCAGCTCACGGCTGTTGTCGTCCTCGCGAACTGTGCAGCAGCTTCACGGGGCACGTAGGGTTGAGGTGCGTTTGAACCATCGTGCGGCGATGCAGAGACCTCGGGTATCGACTTGCCCTTGGAAGCCCTTGAGCGAGAGTCGCGCTTTGCAGGAGCCGCACGGACATCGACGGCCACGACTTCACTCGGTCGTTTTGAAAGCGGGTTCACCGATGGATTCAATCGGCCTGTGGCATTTGCATGCCTGGCCGCGAGCGGCGTTTGCCTCGATTCTCCTCCAAGCGCACCTGTTTGCGCGCCCGGGTCTGCTTGTCTCGTGCTGTTCTGACGTACTTCTCGTGCCTTTCGATCACCCGCCTCGATCTTTGCTCTGAGCTTCCGTTCAGCGTGAGCCCGTTGCTGATCGGCGAGGACCAGGTACAGGCGTCGCGACAGCTCGTCGGGATCCAAAGGCGTTCCTGGCGGGTGTCGGCTCCTTGGTTTGGTAGGCTTGCCAGGCTTGATGGGCGGCTGGCTTGACAGCTGGTCCAGCGTGCAGCTCATATTGTTCCTCATTCCCACCCACGGGGGTTCGATGGAGACCACCTTTCTAGTCGTTCCTGTCCAAGTCCACTCTGAAGAGGAAGAGGCCGACGTCTCGTGCAAAAGGCTCCGTGTTCTGTATAAAAGGCGAGTAGGCGAGTGGTGAGAATCAGTCACCGGCTAATCACAGGCCGTTTTTTAATCCCAAAGCCCGCACGCGTTTCTTGTCTCAGTTGGTGATGTGGGATTCATGTGGTACATGAAATGTCCCGGGTATCGGCTCTTTATTGTGGTGACAGCTGCAGTGGCACGAGGGTGTCCGCTGGCTCTTATGTATGTCTTAGACACAAAGGCGACAGGCAAGCCCTGGGCAGAAACAGCTGTGCCTTTGAGGAATAGCACACCACACCACGCCCGAGCGAGGATCGTGGGTAGACTGGGGTATTTGACCTCAAAGCAGCATGGCGCCGCCGCAGACTATCTCTAAATGGGCGGGCAATGGTGGGGAAGCAATAAGGATTAGATCCGAACAGCAAGGACCATTGAACGGCACGCGAGCGTTTGCAAATTTTCCCTCCCACACACACCCACCCCCTCACTCGCCAAGGTGCAGAAGGGACTCGTGGGCCAAGTCGAGAGACTTGGCTTTGACAGCTCCCTTCTTGTTCCCCGTCCGCCTGGACACAGGCTGCCCTGCGATTGGTGTACTATCCTGCAACCATATTCGAGACAATGCGACACGGTGCCCGGCGCCGGATAACTCGATGCCACGGATAGATACATCCACCATGACACACAGTGGGCCAGCAGATCGTTCATCTAACGACCTGCCCTTCTCTCTATTGTACGTACTCCCGGCGGCCATATGGCTGATCAACACACACCGCCGAAACTTGGTCCCTTTCGGCAACAGACACAGACGATCCAGTGCCAAAACGGGTCAGCCGAATCCTTGCGCCGCGGCAACTGGGCAAGCGCTGGATCCAGTCCAGACCCTCCCGCTCTAGAATGTCTCGGGCGTAGCCTTGGACCAGGCCCCAGGGATGAAATCTCGTGGGTGCTAACAGGTGCTAGAGTGCTCCCCCAAGGGGCGACCCGCCGCTCTTAGTGGTCGGGACATGTCTCACTCGTTACCCAACTTAATATATCCACCGCATGCTCCCCATGCTCGTGTTGGATCAGATGGGCGAAAGGGGGCGCCATCACCATGGCCAACAAGAGAAACAGGTCCCATCGTCGAGTCGGTTCGCCAGCTCCCCTCCTTTGTCCTGCTGATCCTGGCGTGCGTGCGTCGACTGGCCGTGGGGCGATGCGCATTTGCACACAACGCAAACCATTGAGCCCAGCTGACCGCGCTAGAGCACTTAGACTTATTTTGCCTTGCTAGTCTAAGTTGATCAGGCCGGAAAATTGGCTGCTAGTTGGCCGTCCACTTCACTTACACCACCACTCGGGGCACGCTACGGCTTTGGACGATGCGGCGCTAGAGGTGCCTGACAGCTCTGCCCATCTCTGCTTCCAACCCCGATCGGTCCAGCCCCGAGTCTCGAAGGGGAGAGGCTCTGTCGCAAGCCTCGAGCTGACCAGTCGGTGCGGCCTGGATCTCTTCAAGTCATTTCCTATTAGCCCGACAGATAGCAGACGAGACGGAAGGTGGCTGTTCCTTCTGCTCCACATGTAACTAGATCTGTATCTACTGGCCGTACGCCATGCTGCCTAGGGTCGAGGTCGAGGCCCGCGATTGTCGAGGCAAGCGTGCGTGGCTTTACCTCCCCGTCTCTCGACGGTCTCGCGCCAGGCCCGGTCCGCAAAGTTCTAATGTTGTCGACTTACCTCACTCCGGTTCTTCGTAGCTTGCGTAGCGAGTGCTGATCATGGCCTGCTTTGTCATCGGCAAAAACCGTTGCGACGCAGACAAGAGGGCCTCCTCAGTGAATACTACGCTGCTCCATAGCTTTCTCATACAGGGTCTTGTTCGTAGTCTCCAAGCCGTTTGCCGTCTTCCGCGGCTTGCGGATACTGGCATCGCCGGCCAATGCAGGTGCTCTTTTCTGCGAGAACGGCTTCGACAAGATCCACCACGGAAATGAGATCGCGGAGTAGGACAGAGATCGCGAGCCCGGAGTCGGTGCACCCAACTATGTCTGGGTGGACTCGCGCCACCATCAGAGATGTGAGCTTCATTCAGTATGACTTTGATAGCTAATCTCCCCAGATCTTTTGGGTCTAGGCGTTCGGTCTGGCGTACGACTCGGTGGAAGGGCCTCGAATGTTGTCGGCTGGGTGTGTGGTCAGAAACAGACTAGTTGAAGGCCATAGCTGAACGCCATCGACAATGAGTAATGGCTAAGCGTTCTTGTCTATTGGCTCGTCGATTTTTCTTTCTCTTTTTGTAATGACCAGGCATCTCTTATGGCCCAAGCGATGAATCTCTTGTGAGCTGGGTATGGTGCCTCAAAAAGGAGCCCTCGCATCAAAAGGTGTGTAGGCAACATGCTCGTGAAAGAGCACACAATCTGTACGACTTCACCCGGGCCACCACTGTGAATTCAAGGCGGGCAAGTGATGGTCAGATTAGTTGACGGACTGCTAAAAGAAGTACTTGACTATCTATCAAGCCCATCAGATTTAGTTAGTGGGATAGCCCTTCCGAGTTCTTAGGGCAAGGATGCGACAAGGATATTGATTGTTAAGACTGAGGTAGCTCCTGATGAACTTCCGTCAACCATTCAGACACCCACTTGGGCGGGGTCTGCTGTTGAGGAAGCGATCCGATGTTACGTTTTTGAGCCTCTGTTGCTTGTTTGCATGTCATGTCATACCATTCTTATCAACTTGAAGAAGAGAGCAAAGACACGAGGCTCTTGCGTGGCCTGTCCGCTTTGGGGAAGGTCGAGCGGAGAATTAGCGAGGAGCTACGAAGTGAGGCAAGTTATGAGATTAGGCACTCTGATAGTTAACTTGTTGCTCCTTCGCTGATATAACTGTCGGGCAAATCTACATACACTGTCCGGGAGCCGAGGGGGGAAACTATCTACTTACCTAGTATCAGTTTGCAACGATAGAAACAAGTTCGCTGTTGTGCTCAAGCCGAGTTACATGATACTCTCGAGCACTGGTATCCCTTTTCGGCCTTTTCGGGGCAACTGTGATCGTTTCGTGTGGTTGTTCGGCGGTAGATCTGATAATGGATTGCCAGTCTTGCAAGTCCCCAACGCTATTCATCAAATCATATAAATTATTGTGTATATGTTGTCGTAGGGATATGTGTAAGTGATTTGTAGCGGAAGAGTGTCTTGGAGATGCTTGTCCAGGCCTGGTTTCGGAGGTGTAGAGTCCGCTCGCGGTCCACATATCACTCCAGCACAGTGAGGTCCGGGTCCAGCACAGTTGAGTCGCGCTGTATCTGGTTGCCCCCCTCCTAAAGACGGAAGCTAGGAGCCGTCGCCCCGGGACTCGTCCAAGTCGAGGCGGTGAAGCTCGCGAAAACTGTCTGTCGTCTTAAAAGAGAGTATAGCAACATTTATCGTTTGTTACCTAGGCATGACGAGGATTTGGTCCCTCGAGAAGCCGAGTCACGCCATGGAGGCTTAAGCTGGACAAGATATCCTCCTGGCAGCGATGTCGATGGAGGGGTGCTTGGCGCGGGCAAGCACTGATTGGCCGTGTGAGCCCACGTGTCGAAACCGCCGGATCTGAGAGCCTGGTCAAGCAAAGTCAAAGCATTGGCGGGCATTGGCAGACATTGGCAGACATTGGCAAGAAGTATTGGCACCCTCTAGGCCCATGGCAAGAGACGAGGTCTCCAATGCAGTTCCGTGATAAGGTTCACGTGGCAGTTGGTCTGGGCTGCTTGTAAGGAAAGCAAAAGCCCAGCTTGATCCGCTCGATGGGGGATCGTGGTTGACGATAAAGTATAGGTAGGTACCTCGGGTATCCATAGAATTGGGGGCAGCTAACAGAGATGTTGCAGGTCCTGCTTCTTCAGCTCATCACTTGTTGCACGACATGGACCCATGATGGCGATGATCATTGGTACCTACTACCTCGACCTACCCCAGTCGTCATCCCGGGGCGGATATCGTCGAGTAGCAGCACTTCGCGAGACATCTGCGTGTCAGGCTGCATTGTTCTCCGGTATAGTCACTGCCACATAAGTAGCTTGAACATGGTTCCCCTCTACTTTGTGTCGCCTGAGTGATAGAGAGGGGAATCCTCGGGTTCTAAGCGCCGTTGCTGAACAGACGGTGTGAGTCCGCAATCCGGCAATCCACCTCAACAGATCACAGCTTGCCTGTTCCGTCGAGCATGTGGCCCGACAGGGGAAAGACACCGTGGATCCAACCATGCATCCCCCATGCCGTCCCATGCTTGTCCCATGCCTATGCGAATGAGTGCTGGAAGGAGGAGGCGGAGGCGGAGGCGGAGGGAGACAACAGCAGGATGAAGGGAGCCATGCGACGCCTTTTGTGCACCCGTGCTCGTTCTCAATCACACTGGCACATACATGATGGCCCTATTTCCCACGGGCGTGCTGTGTGGACTGGACACGGAGCCTTGCTTTGTTTCCCACCGTTGCAACAAGGTTTGGTGGCAGGTGGATTGATGGGTAGCTTCTCGCACTTGTGGCGTCTGTTTTATCTCTCTACTTCGTATCTTGGCTCTCTCGCTCCCCCTCCACTTGATCGCGGACCCAATCGCGGCACGCCGGCACCGACAGGTGTGTGCTCTTGCTCCAACGGTGACATCCAACAAGCCAGCTCGCTTTCAACAGTCGGGTCAATCCACTGACGTGTTGTCTCTCGACGAGCTGGTCCATCAATTCCTCCCTCCAAAGCACAGGTGGGCTTGGAGCAGCAATTGAGGGCCGCGCTTTTCAGCATTGACAGCTACTCGAGCCGAGACGATAAGAGCATCAACAACAACACCTACTACCAGCACCACTGCTGCTGGTGCTGCTGGTGCTGCCTTTTTCCTTGCGAGCGACAAAAGCCCATCCATCACCGTCTTTGCCCCCCCCAACGCGACAAGAGTGAGTTGGGCCCCAATTGCGAACCTCCCTTGCCTTACTTTGTAGATGTACTTACTTGGGGCAACCCTGGAAGCTAACAGCTTCGCCTAGTCCTTTGGAGAACCCACCCCCGCCGCCTGGCGTTTCTGGCCACCTCCTGAACCCTGGAAATCAGTCCTCTGTGGCTGCTCCGCCGCCCCCCAAAAAGCCGTTCTCACCTCTGCCTCCTTTACTGTTGTGGCTGTTGGTTGTCGTTTGTACGTCCGCTTTCCTGCTCCTCGTACTGTCAAGAGGTCTGCAGCCTCTTGATCTTTGTTGTCCATGGCGGCCAGCCACTTCAGATCGCGGACTCACAGCAATGCAGAGACGTCCAAGCTGCAACCGGCCGACCCTCCGCAGCGCCGGCCTGCACCCCGAACCAACTCGGCCTCCGCAACACCGACTCTTTCGAGCTTCCCTCGAGTGACGGCCGCCGGTCGCTCTCACTCACCACAGCAGCCCCAGTCCCAGTATCAGAACCAGCATCAGCAACCCCGCCAGCTGCAACTGCAACAACAGCACTCCTACTCGCACCCGTCTCCGACCCAACCCTCCTCCGCCTCCTCCGAGGGCACCTTTCTCCTCCCCGACGACCCTCCAGTCCGCAATGTACGAGATTCTTTCGCTTCTATCGTAGACGACCCGTTCTTCCAACGCTTTCACGAGGACGGCACTGTGGATGCTGTCGCACACGGAGCTCCCTCAGATCACGACGAGTCCAGCGATGAGCCTTCGTCCAGTGGTGCTGAAGCTTGGCCGCCGCCCAGGAGAGAATCACTAATCATATCGCCTACATCTAGTGTGGTACGTAAAAGCACAGCTCTTGGACAATTATTACGGCTCCTCCTGTCTATGCTAGCCAGCAGGGAAAAGCTGACCGCTTGTCTCTTTTTATATGCAGTCAAGCGCGGTACCTAAGATGGACACCATCAACATCGCCGTCATAGGCGCCGACGGTGTTGGCAAGTCTGCTTTCATTCAGCGAGCTCTGCGGCTGCCCCGACCTCCGACGACAAATGTGACTGGTATGCGTATCGAAGTGGAGGGTGCGCCGTGCATTGTCAGTCTCATCGAGCTGGATCTCGAGCATTTTGACTTTGACCCCACGCAGAAAGTGAGGTGGCCGAAGCAGATCAATGGCCATATGGTACCCGTTATGGACGGCGCGTTGATATTATACGATGTAATGAACAGAGAGAGCATCAAAGAGTTGCCGGCAACCTTGTGTAAGTACTCGTGCGCAGCTGCAACTGGAGTGAAACGGTACTGATAACAAAAATAGCTGCTCTTGGAAACTCGGGCTTGCCCACCATCCTCGTGGCTACCAAATGTGATAACCCAGAAAACTCGCGGCAACTCAGCACTGAGGGCATTGCCACGGCATTTCCATCCGTCATCAGCGACTTCAAGACGTCGTCAAATGTGCCTGGGAGCAACCGCGATTGTCTGCAGGCCATCATTCGAGCTGCCGTGTCCAACAGACGAGGTGAGTGTGTGACTTTTATTCATCGCCCAGCGATACATGTGGCCCCAGAGGGGCGGTGCCCCGACATGGCCCTTGTCGAAACAATCCCACGACCCGCTTTGCCAGGTGGATATTCTAACAATTGAGCAGGGGCAGACAGAGCTCAGGCGGGTGCAACTTCTAGAAGACGTGCCGCGTCGTCGGCAGCTCACCTCGACACCCCTCAGGACACCGCCAATGGCCGTGCGATCACGGATAATACTAAACACAGCAGGGCGAGCTCTGACCTCTCACTCCTGCGAGGGTTTCCATCTGTACCAAGTGACCGAGAGTCGTACTATCGCTCACAGAACTCTCGGTCGCCGCGGCCCGAAATGCCCAACGCCCCCCAGCTCACAATGTCGAGCTTTGGGACAGAGATGACGGATGAGAACACAACCCACTCTGTCTCGGGAATGCTGCGGACCCCCGGCGTGCGGCTTGACTCTGGCTCTGGCCAGGACGCATCCTTCTTGGACGTCGAGGAATCCGATGCCGAATCATATCGGTATTCTGACGACATCCCAATCCTCCAGAGGAATGACGAGGTTTATGATAAGCCGGCCAAGATGACTGGCGTCACTTTCGATGAACTAGTTGATCGTTTGCTCGCCCCGCGGATGACGAAAGCAGATGCCAATTTCGCGGAAGTATTCCTCTGCCTGTATCGCAAGTTCGCTGCTCCAAGTCAACTCTTCTCAGCAATCCTATCGCGGCTTGACGCTGCGAAGAATGAGACGGGCACGCCTTACTTGCTTAAAACAACGACGCAACTTCGCATCATCGAGGCGGTAGCAAGATGGGTCTCTGCATATCCGGGCGACTTTGCTCGCCCTGCCACACGGCGCAGGCTCGAGGAATTGATCCAGAATCTCTCTACGGATCCTGTTTTCGCACTAGCCGCGGCAGAGATGCACATGCAGGTCGATCAAAACGTTGTCGAGGACGATGACACGGGCTGGGCAAACTCGGACGAGACCAAGCATGACTCTGGACATTTCACTGACATATTGGACGACGCACGACGTGGCTCCGAGATCAGCGAGAGCTTGAAATCTCTGCACGGGCAGGAGACCAGGTCGTCAGACTTTCGCCCTTCCCTCGCCTCGGATCTGGCAACCATGGAACTTGAAAGCGGCGGCCACGTCGCTCGGTTTGAATACCACACTTTGGAGGACTATGAGAGAGAGGCGGCAACAATGGTACCAACCGCGACTCTGCCGCTCAATAAGATTCGTTACCACATCTTCATGGATCTCGATGCCGATGATGTCGCAGACGAGATCACCCGCATCGACTGGGTCATGTTCTCCTCGATTCGCATCCGGGATTTTGTCCGTCACGTCAGCCTCTCGCTCGAGGAAAAGGAGAGGTGCAAGTCGCTCAAGAATGTGAACCGCATGATATCTCATTTCAATCATGTGGCGAAGTGGGTGTCCAATATGATTCTGATCCGTGACAAGGCGAAGCACCGGGCGCCTTGCCTTCAGAAGTTCATGTTGATCGCGCTCAAGCTGCGTCAGCTCAATAACTACAATGGCCTTGCCGCTGTGCTTGCTGGCATCAACGGAACCGCGGTTCACCGGCTTGCCCAGACTCGCGCCCTCGTGGACCAGGACGTACAGAAACGCTTTGCCCGGCTGGGGCTGCTCATGGGCACCCAAAAGTCTCACTTTGCGTATCGGCTGGCTTGGGAGAATTCGCCCCTACCACGCATTCCCTTCATCCCGTTGCACCGCCGTGACCTCGTGTCAGCCGAAGAGGGCAGCCGCACGTTTGTGGGACCGCAAGGCGACCGCATTAATTGGAAGAAGTTTGAGGTCCTGGGCGAGGTCATCCTGCCGATCATGAAGAGCCAAGGCACCGCCTATCCGAACCTCAAGAGGCACAACCTATCCCGTGAGCTCATCCTCGACTGCCGGATGCCCACGGATGAAGAGGTATGTCATCTCAAGCGCTCTCAACAGGCGTCAGATTCAAGTAATAGACAGGTCCACTAACAATAATCTTTCTAGGAAATATATCAGAGAAGTCTTCAGGTCGAGCCTACAGGTGCTCCGGCCGAGTCAAGCAGGAAGAAATTCCCCTGGTTGCCCAAGTAATCAGCTCCCCAAAAAGACAAGACACATCTACCACAAATCCGGATCTCACGCACACACACACACTCGTGGAGGGGAAGAGAGAGAGAGAGAGAGAGAGAGATATCACATCACAGGACATATATTCCATCTATCCATCATCATCATCATGTGGCGTTTATTTCGATCTGGTTTGCACGTTCTTCTTTCGTTTACGCAGTGCCTTGCTCTCACGGCAAAGGCAAGGACTGGCTCCTTACTGGTTCGTTTGGTTGCTTTATCAGATATGATGCTTTTTCACGATACCTGGAGCTCAGCTAGAACCTCCTTGCAACATTTATCCAAGACTACCTTACGTCTTATGCACTAGAGCCATGTTAGAGACAATGCTTAATGAGAACACGCCCAGAGAGCAGAATGGCTTTTTTTCTCCCCCGCTTCTCTCACTTATTTCTGAGGGAGGAAAGGTGCAAGGGCGATGATAAATGCCTGCACCTTCCTGTTCCAGGCGCCATGGTCTCAACTTTGAACCAACCCGCCGCCAAGTAGCCTCGGGGCAGGCACGATCCACTCAAGACCTTCAGTCGCTCGATTCTATCTTCTCTCCGGGCCTCAATTCCTTTCTTGTGCTCGAAACCCACCTCAGGCTCAACCCGAATAATCATGGCTGATGAGCGACTCATGTCCTTCGATCTGGACACCTTTGAGCTATCCACGAGAGACTCACTGCATTCACTGAGCGTTTCTACTACTGCCTCTCTGCTCGTCCCGGCTACCTTTCGAGAGGGCACATCTATCGAAGATTTAGCTCACATGGTCAAGACAGGAGCCTTGTGGGTAGGTCGTGAGGGAATGTGCCGGTTTGAAATCCATGCTGTCGTCAGCGGGAGGCCACTTAACCTTAGCAGTACAGGTGCTGTATCAATGGCACATCTCCAAGAAGGCATACAAGATTGCTTGGTGTGTTGTACTCCGTCGACAAGCGGGAAGGGAATGACGATCTAACTTCTGAGCAGATTTGGACGGAGATGGGCCTAGAATTGAAGAGAGACACAAGGCCGCGGCGGCCCGCGAACAAGTCCCCGGAACCACAGCTATGCTTCTCGGTCGATCATCCAGCGTCGGCCGACGGCTTGATAGCACCACCAGAAATACCCTGCGCCAAGTTTCGGGCCGTCTCCTGTCGCTTTCGATTCCGTGGCCCTAAGCTTCGGAGTAGACCGCAAGCTCTTCGCTCTACGACAAAGTCCCGTCCAGCAAATGGCGCAGGATACATCGCCGAAGGTCTGGGTATTGCAGACCTCAGATGGAAGGTCACCATGCTTCTGAGGGCGGCACTGTATATCCTCTTTGGCATCACGCGTAGAACTGCGGGTGTACGCACACTGGATAGATTCAAGGGTCCTTCGCTACTTGATATCGCACCAGCTGTCTGGAACTCTTACTACTTCAAGGTAAGTATAAAAGGCCAACAGTATCAAGAGAGGTTCTGAGACAGAATAGTCCGTCGCTTCACGAGCCCCATTCATACCAAGCATCGCTTCAAGTCTCGCCTATTTTGAGAATGCTCAGACGCCACTCTTGCGCAACAAGATCGAGAAACTTCTTGGGGGCTCAGATCGACAGGATGCTTCCGACGGTCAGAGTGAGGCTTTGTACAACGTTACCGAGAAGAGCTTGTGGAAAGTCCTTTTGACCAACATATCGTTCACGAAACGGCCGGATCGAAGACGCGTACCAAGTGCGACTGGGAGTGGTTTGGATGAAAAGTTGCAGGACGGCATATTTGTCCAAGGGCCAGGAAAGGGAGACGGTCCATTATCGGAGCTCCCTGGGGCGAACCTGTCTGTAGATGCCAGCCAAGCTGCATCAAGGGAAGATGACGCGTCCATACTACGGACAAGTCCGCCGTCAGACCCAGGGCCCCTTCGATATCCCAGCAACGACAATCAAATGGCACTCACCAATACTCCCTTACCAGACGACATTTTTGTTGATGAGTCAGAACAGACTTGGTGGCTCCCTAGGACCCAAAAGACCCCTGACCTGCTGCTTCAGTCTCCATTGCCACCAAGGATGAGCTCCCCATACGCTGGCGCAGAGTCCCTGCCTGGTATCTATGTTGATCCGCAGGGCGGAGCAGAAAACTTGGACAGCTGTCAAGACATTCCTGGGCTTGATACTGATGATGGAATATTTGTATTGAGCAGTGAAAGCACAAAAGCTATGCCGTTCCCGGCTGAAGGATTGTGCCTCTTCGAAGGCGCCCACAATAGTGCCGGAGTTTTCGATGCCGACCTCGTCGAACAAGTTGACAACCATGGGGCCCATAACTCTGGCTACAACAATGAGACGAAACCTGACGACTGGCCCCGAGAAATATATTGGGAGAATGCAGAAGCTCAGCTCCCGGCCATGTCACTACCTGGTTTGTTTGAACTTGATTCGCTTAGAACAGAACTGTGAGGGGCGAGCATTGAGGAAATCGCTGCGAGGCATTGAGGGCAGAAACTGAACAGAATCGAATATTAAACACGGTCGTTCGGGGTGGAAAACCAAGCCAACGCTCTTTATCTATAATCAACTATACGCCACATAGCCTCGGACATGTAGCGAGCGTCATGGAAATAACTGCTGAGAGCAACAGTCTCGGATGGCCCAAGGTGGCTCGTGATGGGTGTCCTTCAACCAAGTAATCAACCGTGGGAAAATACAACTCCAGATTCGCTCCCAGAGTAAATCTAGTTCGCCAGCTGCCAGACCTGCCGGCCCAACACGTAGGGGGCTGTCAGAAAACAGCAATCCGTCCTCATGATGGAAAGGTTGTCCGGCGACCGTTGATGAGACCCCGCGACGCCCTCCCAAGAACGCTTCGACTTGGCCTAGCTATCGAAGAAATTGAGGCCTGGCTCATTGGGCAGTAGCAGAACTTTGCCTCTCATTTCTTTGCGGGCGGCCCTCCCTTGCCGCCTTTGCCCTTGGGGTCCTTCTTCTTCTTCTGCTCAGGCTTCATGGTGGCAAAGTGTATGTACCAGATGAGCAGACACTGGAGGATGATGACGACGAGGACGACGAGCAAGACGGTGAAGAGATAAGGTTGGTCGTTGAGTACGGCGACAGCCTGCGGCGTTGCGCCGATCTTGGCAAACCAGTCGAATTGGCCCATCTTTAGAGGAGAAGAAGTCTATCGAAACTGCGGGCGACGTCTTGTGGTGATGGTGGGAGCAGATGAGCAACGTCCCAGACGTTTGGTAGTTGCGCGGCTGGTGAGAAACGATGTGCCACCGGGTATCAAGATATTATAGACGGTCGAACGACTGAACGAAAGGGTTGGAAATTATGGATGTGCAAGACGAGCCAGCTCCGATTCGATGATTCAAGACAAGAGGAAGGAGAAAAGAATGATTGACGCGAATCAACAAACTATGCAACGCAGGAGGGGAATAGAGGGAGAAGATTACAAGTAGTCGAGGTTCAGCGTGGGCGGTAACAGAGTTCAGCCAGCGTCCGAAACCATAAGCGTCACAAGCCGGGAAAGACAAGTCTCTGGCCAGTTTGGTAACTAGAGCGTACGTATACGAAGGAGCAAACTTACGACCACCTGGGGCAGCCCATCCTTACGTGTCGCTATGGAGCATCGCGAATGGGAGTTCAGGGGCTGTTGTCGCCCAGGTCAGACCCTTGCCGTTTCAGAGTTGCGACAGGAGTCGACCGACCAAGTGGGTTAGGTAAGCAGTTTTCATTGGCTGGGCCCGGCTGAACAGAGGCGATGCGATGGGATTGAAGCACCGATACCAGCATATCGGGGGATTCATTCAGTGGCCATGGGGCGCAAGACATGTACGGAGCACATGCTGGTGATTGCTCATCGCCGGCACCACTTACCGAACCAGGCAATGTGAGGCCATCGAAGGAAGAAGTCCCCATCTGGCCATCTGGGGTCCAGGTTGACCAAACGGAGAGGTGGGTCCTACCTACCATTGTACCATTGGACAATCTTTCCGAGCTCCGACCACTCCAAAAATTTCGGCCTACCAAAACCATCACCTAATATCCCCATCCGCACATGCACGTACGAGCTTCCCTCGAGAGTCGCGCACCACCACAATTCCTGCCATTGGGAGACCAGCGTCATATCGCGCAGCTCCTAGGCAGCAATGAGCGCCGCACGGCCAGCCGCTAGGAGGTTCCTCTCCCGGCTGACGTCCTCTGCTGCTCCCACCACCCGGCCGACCTCGACACCCGCCGCCGCCCCCTGCCTCCAGTCATGCAACTTCCACAGCTCGGCGCGCCTGTCCGCCCGGAGGCGGCCGCGCTTCCAGAACGTGAGGGCCTCTGAGATGGGCCTCGTCACCCCGGAGGCCGTCAACAAGTTCACCCAGGACAACTTCCCCGGCTACACCGAGGAGGAGAAGGAGATCCTGAGCAGGAAATACACAAAGGAGCAGATGGCCGCCCTCGAGGCCGGCGAGGCCGCCATCGACCCCAAGGACCTGACGATACAGGGCCGGCTGCGCACCGACGGCCACCGCTTCCGCTACCTCGACGACTTCGCGACCGTCCAGCCCATCGTGGACAAGCGCATGAAGACCAAGGCTCCCGCCGATCCCAACGCCAAGTTCATGTCTCCCGACGAGTTCGCCGACGACTTTGTCCAGTGGCTCGAGTCCTTCATCCCCAGGGACGTCAACATCGACAACCTCTCGGACGAGCAGCTCAAGGAGATCGTCGACAAGCACGCGCCCAGCGACGTCGACTCGCTCCGGTTCTGGCTCGACCGCCCCCCCGTGACGGGCACCGGCGAGACGGGCAACACGGCCATGGCGCCGGCGCTCGCCAAGGGCGTCCCGGGCGTCAAGGGCCGGTACAAGCGGCAGACGGACCCCGAGGACGAGGGCCTCGACGAGACGGGCGTCTACCAGGACGTCAAGAAGCACATGGGCCTGCGCGTCCGCGACATCCTGCAGCTGTCGACCAAGATCCTCGTCACCCGCTGGGTCTCGAACCAGACCCGTCTCGGCAAGATCCGCAGCGTCTCGGTGCTGGCCATCGCCGGCAACGGCAACGGCCGCCTGGGCCTCGGCTCGGCCAAGTCGACCGAGCCCAGCACGGCCATGCTCAAGGCCAGGCTCCAGGCTCTGCGCAACATGAAGCCGATCCCGCGGTACGAGAACCGGACCATCTACGGCAACATACAGAAGAAGGTGTCTGGCACCATTGTCCAGCTGGCATCTCGCCCTCCAGGTACGTGTATTCTGAACCATCATCATCCAAAACGTGATCCAAAGATCTCGATTTCTAAAAACGAATTTACTCTTCTAGGCTTCGGACTCCGTGTGCCACACAGGATATTCGAAATGTGCCGTGCCGCTGGCATTCAGGACATCGCCGCGCGCATCCCGCGCTCCAGGTCCCCCATGAACACCGTCAAGGCGGCGTACGAGGCCCTGCTCGACCAGCCGGACCCGGAGGAGATTGCCATCGGCAGGGGCAAGAAGCTCGTTGACGTGAGGAAGGTGTACTACGGCGGCGCTGTATATTAGAGAAGACGGGAGGAAGCGGGAAATGGCGAGGAGAAGAAGTAGACACTGTGTACTACTACTGCTGCTGCTGGTGCCACGATAGCCAAACCCTTTTTTGTGTACAAAAGCATAATACATTGTATCATTGACAGCATATCCATTTGGCTTTGGTGTGCTCCTTGTGAGTGAGGACATCCCACCAGGTCTACATCGTTGCACATGGCCGCTCTTCCTAAAGCATTTCTTCTCCCTCTGCCTGATCCTGATGGTTATTGGGTATCATAAACTCGTGTGCCGTGCCCCTTCCTCGCCCGCTGATCGCGCTCGGCCAATGCGTCCGCTGTCCATCGATGAGGATGGACAAACAGTTCTGACCGCCAGCCGCTCAAGGCATCGTCGAAGCAGTTCGTTCGTGGGCGCAGTCCTCTCGATTCTGGTTCCATTGTCCTGTCTTCTATCCCTCTTCGCCGTCGCCGTCGCCGTCCTCCTCCTCCGTGAGGTGCCCTCTCACTGGTTCTCCTGGCCCCCCCAGTCGATCTGCTGCTGCAGCACGATGCTGTACACGCTGGCCTTGAGCAGCGTGAAGACGAGGCTCGTCTTGCGCTCCAGCTCCCGCAGGCCGTCGAGCGTCTCCGTCGTCGGCGCGCCGGCCAGGCCGTCCAGCACGGAGGCGAGCTGCACGGTTCAGTCAGTCTCTTGCTGCTCTCTTTTCTCTCTTTTCATCTCGTTTTTCACACACAAGAAAAAGAAAGAAGGACGGAGGGGCGGGGGTACAAGCAAGCAAGCAAGCGGATTCTGTTTGTTTCTCACCTTGCTCATGTTGTCGGCCAGGCGCTCGTACTCGTCCAGCACCTCCTGCTCGAGCGGGGACAGCTCCGGCGGCGACAGGAGCGGGTTCTGGGCCGTCTGGTCCATTTTCTTTTTTTGCGGATTCGGCTCTCCCTCCCTTTGCCTTTTCGGAATTTGCGCGCTGGGTTTCGTACTTCTTTTCCGCCGTGCGGTGTGTATGCTAGAGGTGAGGTCGGAGAGGCGGGGAAACAGTATAGGTTGAATTTCGCGTGGGGTTCAAGACGCGACGGGTGTGTACTTTGGTGTGTGTACTTTACCTTAGTTAAACGCCCGCCAAATTGGGAGTCCCGCAGCGGCGTAAGAGGTCTCAACATCCACCTCGCAGCAGAACTCCATAGACAATGCAAGTATATTGTTTCAGTCACTTGAATAATACACAACACACAGGGTGTGTGTGTCTTGAAGCTTCATCTTCAGAAGCATCAAAAGAGACCTCTCGACACTCCTCCTAGTGCCCAAGACGACTGACACACTCTTTCTCACATCTGCCCAGATGCAAAGCGATTGCCATCGCAGAGAAAGCATGATATATGTTGCATTTGATGGAAACGGGGCTGAGAAAGTACAAATACTGCTATCTTGTTTTTGCCCAAAATATCGAGCATTGCCCTTCCAAGAGAACGCCGCTATCCGCAATAACGCCTTGGAATGATCAACTGAATATGTGTGATGTGTGACAAACAACAACAAGCCATGTCCGCGTAACCGCTCGGTGTGTCGTTTTCGTATCCCTCTTCTGCCACATCTCTCGTCTTAAATGAGTGAACGTAATGGAAATCGCGGTATGTAAATGCAGTTTCTCTCTCTCTCTCTCTCTCTCTCGGCACCTTCATCGACGGCTCGTGGACTCATAACCTTGCTCTCGAGGGCATGTCCATCTCCCACTCCAGCCAGGAGCAACGGCTTGGGCCAAGCATAGCCCAGGTCGCAGCCGAGGTAGATACGTAGGCAACACTTGACTATTGAGAGTCTCTCCCAACACTTCGAAAACAGGCTCGAGACCCGACGTGAGCCACGCAGTCTTGCACCGTCCTGGTCAATATACAAGCTCAAATCACGTACTGTGATGATCGTCGTCCCCCTCATGATGTAATGTAACGCTGTTGAACTCTTCGAACGGGTCGACGGCTTCATTTCCAGGAGTCGACAGACCACTATCGAGCGGAACGCCCTTGAGCATCCTCGAGCCGCTGATGTCGACGCTTTCGCTCTCCTTGACGTTGCGGAAGTTGATTGTGTCGATCCCACGGCCCTGGTTAGGGATGATAGGCGGCTTCATATGACGAATCAGGGCCCACTGCGTCGTCCTGAAGAAAGGGTGGGCCTTGATGTCCGAGGCGCCCGCCCGAGCACCCAGTCTCCGATTCTCGTCCTTGATCAGAAGCTTCCGGATCAATGATTTGCAAAGACTACGTAACGTGTCAGTATGTGAGATACCTTCAGGGCTCAAATGGTGGCTCGAAAAGGAGCTTACTTGGAGATTGGTGGTGCACCGGCGTGGTCTGGGAAGGGAATGTCCTCCCGCAAGATGTTGGCGAACGTGGCGTTGCGGTTCTTGCCCTTGAATGGCGTTGTGCCGTAGAGCATCTCGTAGATGAGGATACCAAGCGTCCACCAGTCCACCGCACTAGTGTGGCCGCTACCCTTAATAACCTCTGGTGCAATGTACTCCTCGGTCCCCACGAACGAGTTCGTACGGAAGTTGGCGATGCACGACTTGGTGTCGATGGTGGGGAGCGACGACGTGCTGGCGCCATTCTTTCCGATGATCATGGTCGGCTTGCCGCCGGGGCCTGACTGCTTTGATAAATCAAAGTCCGAAAGCATGATGTGGCCCGATTGATGCAAGAGAATGTCTGTGCTCACACGTCAGCAACTCTTCTGTGGCCCAATATGCTGAAGTTCCGGCGTCACTTACTCTCAGGCTTCAGATCTCTGTAGATGAACCCCATCAAGTGGAGATACTCGAGAGCGGCGGTCACCTCGGCGGCGTAGAACCGTGCATCGTCTTCGGGGATACACTTTCCAGGGCGCGTCTGCAAAGCCCTAAAGAACTCGCCACCGCTGCAGTATTCCATGCATAGGTAGAGGTAGTCTTCGGATTGGAAAGAATGGTATAGCGTCACGATGAAAGGGTGGTTGCTTGTAGCCAGAATTTCCTGCTCAGCGAGCGCTCTCTTGATCTTGTTTCGCTTGATCATCTCCTTCTTGCTCAGGACTGCGGCAGAGTCAGCTATAACAGCCTTGTCGGGTGGTCGCACGCAGGACGAGGAGACGTGGAACTTACCTTTCATAGCATAGAGTCTTGAGCTCTTCTTTTCCCTCACTAGATACACCTTGCCAACGTCTCCTTTGCCAATGAGTTTGATCTTGTCAAAACTCTGCGGGCCGACCTCGACATTCCTGACCTTGATCGAGTTGGAGCTGTATGTCCTGCGGAACGAAAGCGGAGTGACGCCGGGCGGCGGCAGAGCGCCGAGGCCATCGGCATCGGGAACGGCGAGACTCTCGGTCGCAGAGGCAGCCCCCTTGGCCTCGACGAGCCCGACGGTGCTAGCGTTCTTGTTGACCATGATGGGCTCCTTGCCGAGCTCGGCAGTAGCGGGTCGCTCGCCGCTACCCTTGCCGCCTTTGGAGAAGAGGCCCTGGGCATTGGGAGCGCTGGCGACCCTCCTAAGTTTCCTCGCCAGCTCTTCCTTGGTCGCCGTCGTCGCCCGTTCGGCCGAGCCGTCTGGTGTTTGGATCTTGACGCTGGGAGTATCGGGCGGGCTGGGTGGGACGGACCCCTCATTATGATGCCGCAGGCCTGGCTGGCCCTGATGAACAAAGTAGGGATTGGCGTGAGCCGTGGGGCTCAGCGCCTCGTCGAGAGGATTGCCCTCGCTGGCCACGGTGGTGGATCGCAGGCGTCCGACGGTGGTGAAGAATTTGGACTGGCGGAAGGAAGTCTTGCTGTCCGGCTTCAGGCCGCCTCCGCCATGCTGCTGCGAATGGTCCTGGCCGGCGCCCCCCTTCTCGCCATTGGAGAAGCTATTTATCCTGAAGAAGTTCTTGAGCCTCTGGGGGAAGTGGCTGTTGCCATTTGCGTTCTTGGTCGATGGCATGGTGAAGCTTCGATCATACGGCCTCCATGGTTGTTGTCGTTTCTTGGGAAGTATTTGGCTGGAGGTGAGGTCGGGGTGGTGAGGAGCGGGAACAGGAGCGGTAATGTTAGTCGGAGTCGTAGTAGCAGCAGCAGTGGGAGCGGCAGTGGAGGAGGAAGAGGAGGATTGGAGAGTGATGGCGGCCGTGGCCTCAGGCATGTTTGCGGGCGCAGCAACAGCGACAATCATTCGGTCGGGGAAATCGGTGTGGTATTGGGAAGGCCTAGCAAGCCTCTAGCAAGCCTAGATTGACTTGGGATGCTTGATTGGTAAGTTGGCTTGGTTTGGTAAGGGCAAAATGGCAGAACCGGGCAGGGGTTGGCGGAAAGGGTCGTAATCCAGATTCGGAGGGGGCCACACCACGGGGGGGCACTGGCTCGACGGGGCACGGGGGAGTTCCAGCCTGGCGTGAGGAGAGAGAGCAGAGGGAGGAGGGAATGCTGAGAAATGGATGGGGGGACCCTCCAGCCGTCTCGCCTCCCGTTCGTCTCTCTCTGGCTCTGGCTCTGGCTCTGGCGCCGTCGTGGGTGGCACCAGCGGGTCGCGGGATGGCGGTGCAGTGCTAGAGATGTGGGCTCTCTCCTTGCTTGTCTCCTGTCTCGAGGGCCAGAAATGCGTGATGCGTGATGTCGTGATGCTGGGTGGGTTTGATCTGTCAAGCAGATTGAGGGCTTTCGTGTTCAGAAGTCGACGCCGTTGTTGTGTTTTTCTCTCACCAAGTACAAGGAATTCTTGGCCATTGTGCTAGAATCCGATGGATTGGCTTGTTCTGATGTGTGGCAGATGGATTGTCAATTCGTCACTGGTTGAAATGCCAATAGGTATCTAAGGTACCTATGGATGTCAAGAACCAAGCTAGGTACCTTCTTAGCTGGGAAGAACTGCAGTCCTGCCTTGCTACTAACCCCAGACCGGACTTGATTGATTAAATTGATTAAACTGGTCCGGCTTCCTCCCCGGAGATTCTTGCATCAAGGATGTTGGATGTGCTACCGTTGTCGACCGATGACCGAATTGTAGGAGAGCCCTTACAATTGATCTGGTGCGGAATTTAGCCATGCCAGAGGTGCATGTCAACTTAATGCAGCATTCTTTACGAGATAGGGTTGGTCGGACGTGCTGGAATCAGAGGGACTTGAACGCGCGTTTTCATGCTTCACAGCCCGGTGTTGCATGTGGTGAGTAAGCCTCGTATCCTCTTTTCCCCGTTCCCCTTTTCAAGGTACGGAAAGCGATGGAGAAACCCAAACTCGACATCCCATCATCATGATAGGTACACCTGATGGCAGTGTTCCTACTCCGTAAATCAGCAAGATTCTTGTCATTCCTGCATTCTCCATGGCGCCTAGGCTAGCAGCTACGGATCAAATATATGGACAGGAAGACTTCCCTTTGGGTACAGTAGTGTCACAGGGCATAGACACTCACGACACTTTAGCTCTACTAGCAGGCAATTTAGTGCATGGCTTGAGACTGGCGTCTATCTAATTGCCACACCTGGCCCCTGGCTCAGAGATCGGCTCAATGCCGCATGTTAATTAGACATCCGTTAGCGCTAGAATGCGCCGTCTGGGTTGATGGATCCGAAACAGCATACCTTTCAGTACTTCATTGTAAAGGATACCCTATGCCATTCTATCTATCTCTAGGAAGAACCGATACGAGCTCTCACTCAAGCCTCGTCCAACGGCAGTGTGACGTAAGGGCCACGGCTTTGACCAGGGGTCGGGTGATCCGCATCGATGGCAAGACCCATTTTCTTCTTTGAGGCCCACTGACTTGATGCAAGGATCGGTCTTGGTTCTACAAGAATGGGCGTCTATTCAACAGAAACGGTCATGTTGGAATATCAGAATGGCCAATATGGTTGCTTGTAAGAAGTGTATTCCGGGGTATCTCATGTCGTCTACCTTGTACAACCTGTAGTTCTCCAATTCTTTCGCCATGACGAGCCGCGTAAAGGCTCTGTTGGCCCATGAAGTGTGTCCATCGTAGTCAAATGATGTATTCACCCAGCCCGTTCGCTCGCATTCAGTGACTCATGCGCGGCCAGAAACAAGCGGGCAATGCTTCAATTTGGCTCCGACGCTGGCGGCGAGTCCTCTTCAAAGGGTGCGTTTGCATCACGCTGCATCAGTAATTCTCTGAGCCGCCGACGGTTGTTGCGCCAGGTGATGTGGTCCTCCAGCTCCTGGTCCCGAATCGAGGGCGTGACCTGGTTCCCGTCTTGATCGAGCAAGTATGGCGCCAGCTCGCTCTCTTGATGATCTGGCTTGGAGGCGCCCATCGAGTTCTGCGGGCCATCGCCCATATGCCACTCAAACGGAACCAGATGCATATGCTCCATGTGCTCCTCAAAGTCGATGCCGTCCTGGAGCCTGACCTGCGGCTCGGCAGCCGCGCATTTCGCCCACTTGCACAGCTCGCTGTCCCCGTGAACGACCATGACATGCTTGCGCAGCGTGGCCATGTTGTGCAGCTCGGCTCGGCAGCCCTGCCACTCGCAAAGATACGAGACGAACTTGGGACGCACTCTGCCGAATATCGCTTGCGGCGTTGGCGAAGGCCGGCGCGGAGGTCTGCCCCTGCGCTTCTTGAGGTCGTAGTTTGGCGCCGGCTTTCCCTTTGTCCTCTCCGCGCGAGCGAAGCTCCTCTCCCTGGCCATGTTCTTCTTCCCAGTGGAGTAAGCCATGCCGGGACGCCACCCCTTTGGCCTTCCGCGCTTACGCTTGACGGTCTCAACCGGTGCGTCTCCAAGAGGCTCCTTGGTGTTCCTCGTTGGGCTGGTGCCTGCAGATCGGCGCGGTGTCATAATGTTTGGTTTTGCATGAAGCGTTACGCTGATGTCCGAAGTTATCCTCGGGGTGGTTGACATGGTCGCGGTGTGATATGGCAGACTTGCCTCACGGTTGGGGCTCGGGTCGAGAAGTATCTGCACCTGCGACGAGATGCTGCTCGGCCTTGGCGTTGAAGGCGGCAAGATGGGCGTGACGCGAGTGAGTGCTGACGAGGATGGTGAAAAGGGCACCGGATTCCCATTCGGTGCCGTGATGGTCGCTGCACTGTGACCGGGTTTGGAGTCACCAGCAGTCACGTCGGGAAGCTGCACACTAGCCCTCGGAGCAACCGAACTTGACTTCTGACTTCCTTCGCCTCCTCCCCACTCCAAGGCCGTGGGAGGGTTTGAGCTCATAACTCTGGATTCACGCAACCCCGGACGCTGATGTTGCAGCTTGTCACTGGAATCGGTATTCAAACCCCATGCCACTCACGAGCAAGGTAATGCCGTGGCTATTGGAGTAGTCACCCACAGCGACACTTTCATAAAGAGGAATTTTGAGAATAGGCGGTCAACATTGTTGGTTGCGAGATGTTGCCAGAATCTTGGTGTTGTAGGTCGGTACCTAGGTAGTCCAGTCGCGTCTTGATGCCAATGTGAATGAGGCCCTTTCTAGCCCTTTTTTGGTGTCGAAAGGGCTCTAGGGAGCTGCGACAGTACCTCTTTGAGTGCCTGTGTCCACAATTTAGTGGGGTCCATTTCCCCGGATATTGGAAGCTCCAGCCAGGTCCTACTTGTACTTGGAAACTCATAAAGCAACAAGAGAACAGCATTAAGTGCAGGGTTGTATGAGAGAGGAATGCCATATTCTTCTAGGTCTATTAGGAGATCCCAGTCCTGGAAGAAACCCGAACCGACCCTCCCCCCCCCCTCCCCC